AGATCAGCAGGGTTATCGTTCGCTGCTTTGAACTTTGATGCTAGGGCAGTGTCAATGAGCTTAACAAAGAGCGAATCTGGGAGGAGGACCACGTCCTCATTATCATGATCCGGTCATCGGGAGAGGGCATCGGGTGCAGCAAGCTTGCTGCCCGGGACATAGTGGAATTGAAGGTCGTACTCGCAGAGGGTGAGCTGCCAGCGGGCTTGCTGGCGTGTCAGCGTCTGAGAGGAATGGAAGTATAGGAGGTTCTTGTGGTCGGTGAAGACGATCACCGGATGGGGATTGCCTTCAAGGAAGTGTCTCCATGCCTTCAGGGCATGGATAACCACAAGAAGCTCTCGGTCGTAAATCTGATAGTTCTGTTCCGCAGCATTGAGAGACTGCGAGAGATATCCACATGGGTGGTAAGACCCATTATCGTCGGTTTGCAGGAGGACTGCTCCTGTCGCAAATAGTGATGCGTCTGTGGCCAATGCAAATTGGCAAGAGGGGTCGGGGTTCCGGAGTACAGGTTCGGTGGTAAAACACTGTTTTAGCTTCAGGAATGAAGCTTCGCAGTCGGGGGACCAGGAAAACACAGTGTCTTTCTTTGTGAGGTCGAGGAGGGGGCGAGCAAGGTCGGAATAATGGGAGATGAAATGACGGTAGAAATTGCAGAATCCTAGGAAGGATCTGACTTCTTTCACCGTCGATGGAGTCTGCCATTCGCTAATCCCCTTGAGTTTTGCCGGGTCCATGGCCACCTGTCTGGGTCGGATGATCATCCCAAGGTACTCTACCTCTTGGGAGTCGAAGTTGCACTTTTCGGGTTTGAGGAAGAGCTGCTCCTGACAGAGCTTCTCTAAAACCCTACGGGTGCGCATCTGGTGTTCTGCAAGGTCAGAAGAGAATATTAGGATGTTGTCCATATAGACGATGAGCCATCCTTCATCTATCTCCTTGCTGAATGTTTGGTTCATGTAGGCCTGGAACGTCGCTGGCGAGTTGCAGAGCCCAAAGAACATCACTTTTGGCTCGAAGAGCCCAAAAGATGTCGAGAAGGCTGCCTTCCATCTGTCGTCGGGGTGGATTAAAATATTGTTGTATCCTGAACGTACGTCCACTTTGGTGAAGTATTTCGCATCCTTGAGTTTGGCGATAAGGGGCGGAATGAGGGGAAGTGGGTATGCGTTCTTGATAGTCCATTTGTTAATGTACCGGTAGTCTTGACAGGGGCGAAGGGAGCCGTCCTTCTTTCCTACAAAGAAGAAGCCTGAGGCTTGAGGCGACTTCGATGGTTGGATAAAATCTTTCTGGATGTGTTCGTCCAGAAACGCTTTAACCGCTTCTGTTTCTTTTGGAGAGAGCGGGTAAGCACGGGAAGATTTTGGGATAAAACCTTCCTTCATTTCGATCTGGTGGTCTACACCTGGTCTCGATGGGGGAAGCTTGTTAAGCCCATCTTTCGCAAATATATCTGCGAAGTCGTGAAGGTATTCGGGGACAAGCTCTTCAAATGGTTTTTTCTTTGTTTCTTGAGCTTTGTCCTTGGCGAATTCCTGCGCCTTGTTACTGGTTTTCGTATACTCCTCCTTTGCCGTAGCAAGGATCCAAATATTGCAAAGGGGAGTCTTTCTTGTCTTCGTGGTCTCCGTCTTGGAGGTCCCATCCCTTGTTAGGGGGTGTTGAAGGTGAGGTTCTCGATCAGTCTGACCGAAGAACCATCAGCCGAGTATTCTATAAGAATCTCGTCGTCAGTCAAAGGGTAAGTCGCAACTTCCTTGACTTCAGGTAGGGGGTCGATCTTTCCTACCCAGACGTCTTCCATGACGTCAGTTTCTTGAGGCATTTTGAAATGCTTTTCTTCGGCGGGTACCTCCTTGGCAGGTTTTGCCTTCTTCGTCTTCTTTTTCTTCTTCTTGCGTCGAATTTCTTCAAGTACGTGCTCCGTACCCAAGGGAAGTGATTTGAGAGGTTTGAAAGGGGCCTCTTCTTCATCTTCGACAATTGGTCGAAGACCTTCGAATTGATAGGAGGTTACCCCATTCTTTCTTCAAATTTTGTTGAGTCGTTCCTCAACGTATCTGGATCTGGGTGTGGGGAGCATTGTGATTTCGTTGCATCCCCAATCGATATCTGGTTTCATGGCAGATAGCCAGGGTTTCCCTAGCAGAATTTCGTCTCGTTCGGAAAGTCTGGTGACGTTAAACTTTCCCCACATGGTTCGTCTGTCAAGTCGGGCGAAGAGCACGCAGTATCAGGTGACCTTCCCAGCAGTGGATTGGCTTCCATCTACTGTAGTGATGCGGAAGGGTTTCTTCAGGGGGTGGGTTCTAATATTGTGCTTCTTTATGAAGGTGTCACAAATAAATGTTCCCCCAGCCCCTGAGTCGATGATGGCTGTTGTTGCAATGGTTTTCGTACTCGTGGAAGAGAAAAGTGTCACCGGGACACGGAATTCATTTTCTTTTCCTACAGTATGAGTACACAGGATATCTAAGGAGGGGACGCACGTTGCTTTTGTGGTCCTCCGCTTTAAAAATCCTCTTCTTCTTGGAGCCGGTTGGTCTCCATGTCGTCTCCGGAGCTTTCGTCATCACACTGGTCTCTACCAGTTGTTACTGGAGTCTTTCCTTTGGTATCTTTCTTCTCTCCACGTCGTATCTTCGGGTGGAATCTGGGGTCGTTGGCTCTGTGGCCATGCTCTTTGCATGAGAAGCAAAGGCCCTTCCTATAGCAATCATCTTTCTCTGCCTGAGAGAGGGTGCGGTATACGTCCATAGTGTTAGGGTCTCTGGACGATGAGACATTGGGCTTGGGGTAGTGCTTGGAACCGCGAGGGGCGTATCGGGAGTGTTGGTTTTGGGAGTTGGCAGAGACGGCCTTGCTCCTGCAGTAGTTAGCATCGAGCTGAACCGCAGAAGTGTACCATTTTTCAATAGTGTCAGGAAGTGTCTCCTTCCTGTAGATTGCTTCGCGAAGGCTTGGGTTCAGGCCTTTCTCAAAGAAGTGTGAGAGTGTCACGCCTTCCTTGATATTGGCGATGGTAGCCAACGTTTTGAACTTCGAGATGTAGTCCATAACGTTGTTTCCCATTCTGAGTTCGGCGAATTTCGGTGAGGGCATTCACCTGCTCATCAATGGGTTGAAATGCAAGGTTGAATCCTTTCTTGAATTCGGCGAAGGTTCCGAATTTTGGAGGGTTGGTGCTGAAAGCTTCGCGATAGAAGTTGTCAGCCCATGCTTTAGCGCTGTTCTTTGTCATTAATGACAGGGCGACTGAGACCATGGTCTGCTTGCTGTTGTAGATGGTGATGTTGATGAGAAAATACGTCTTCAAGCTGTAGAGCCATCATTGCGTGTTGTCGGTGTCACCATTGAATTCCGTTGGTGCTCCTGCTTTGAGTTCAGGAGCGTGGACTACGACGGTGGTGGAGGAGGAGGATGGGTTAGACATTCTTGTCTTCGGATTGGCGCTAGTGTTTCGGGGAGGTACTTCGTCTGGAAAGTCCTCTTCAGAAGTCGGAGTGTTTCCTAGATCTTCTTCGTCATTCAGTCCCTCGTCTGAGTGGTACTGCTCTGTCGGTGAGGTGGGAGAGCTAAACTGTCCGTCTACCTCTTCTTTGTCAGGATCTTCCTGATTCGGGTCGTGCTCCCAAGAGAACTTGCGTGTCCAGGGAGTGGTCGTCTTGTATCTGTTTCTGTCCTCGATAGGTGTCGAGGGCTAGAAGGGAACTTGAATCTTTTGTTATGACTTGGATGGTATCTGTTGGCGACGCTCAAACAGAGCGTGTGTCGTCAATGGTCGAGGACATCCTTGGGCTAGCCCAAGGTTAGGGGTCTTACTTGGCGAGGCTTCGGCAAGTAAGATTTGACGCCTATGTCCAAATCGGGTAGCTTATGTCAAGCAGGTGCTTAGACGATGAGCTGTATCTGCCAGGGCTTACGACACCTGAAGGTTAATCGTAAGATCGTTGTTAATTAGAAGGACAGAAGTCCGACTAGTTAACAGGGGCTCTGCTTGTCGACGAAGTCGATGAGCAAAGATCGAGACTATAGGCTTATCCGCGAAGAGCAGATAAGAAGATAGAATATAGACTGCTGGCTAGGCAGAAAGGATCACTCTGGTGAGAGTAGGAGGTCAAGAACCAAGTAGATTCAAGTTAGGGAATATGGTACATGGTAGCGAGTTTATATAGAGGACAGGAGGCGTATTAGTGGGTGATAACTCGTACTACCAAGTGAAGTAAACGGTAAAGGGCATAACCATAAAAGGAAGGCACGGTGAGACACGGGTGAACCAGAACGTGCTTGATAAGAAAGTGAGTCAAAGGTCAAAATAAGAAGTGAAATGCGCAGGGGCACAATCGTGCAGCTGCGGAGCTAAGTATAAGTCGCAGGTGCAACTGCGCATTGAGTCAGAGATCAAGAAAGGGAAAAGGGCAAAGGGGATGCGTCGTGCATCATATCATAGGTTACCGTCCGGACGGTAAGGGCAAGGGGACTGTCCACAGGATCAGTCAGGTGGTGGAACGGAGCATGGGTATGCTTCGTCAGCGAAAGGATCCGGCCAGATGTACTGGCTTTGCTGAAGCGACAGATAGAGAGCGAAGGGGAATGCAAGGATGACAAGGATGACCAGTGTAAGGTCGGGGTAAGGGTATGACGCGAGGGCTGATACGAGGAGGATCAGGAGAAAAATGGTAGGGGCCCAAGCGTCTAGATGTTCTTGTAACAATGACTATGAGTCCACATTGTCTAACCTACCTTGGGATTTGATCTCAAACAGTCACCATTCTCCACCTTAACTATGGAAAGCAGGACCACCGTGCTCTGTTTGTCAGCAAAAATCATACTATATAAGGCAGGAGCTTCTTGAGTACCTCGAACACCGCAAGAAGTTTGTTTGATTGGCAATTGCCAGATATACGACAAACAATAGTATCTGATGTTGTACAGTCCAGACCTAAGAAATACTGTGTCCAAGAAATACCATGCAAGAATGTTCAGACATAGTCCTAAGAGGCAATTGGGGCATCTTCCCTACATCCTGCTTCTGTCTCTGAGTCTGCAGATTCAGGAAGTTCTGCCTCCTCCGTGCTTTCGTCTTCTGTCATCATTACAAAGGGCACCAATCCAAACCCTCGCCACTCGCAAAACTCATTGCACTTGTGCTGTTTCTCGAACATGCTAACTGTGCACTCCATGTTTCCCTTACCAAAAAGATCCATCCCCTCACCAACTGACCTGATAAAAAAAATCAGTATGATTATGTGAGCATGAAGCACCATATTAACACATGGGTCTGTAAGGATCTGTGGGTCTGTCAGCAGCTCTGTGCTTCCTATCAAAATATCCGAGTCAGCATTGTAGCAAGCTGTGAGCAATGAATATAATTATCTTGATAGTCTGAGATGAAGGCCAAGCCACCCATCTTCACATACTGAACGTGTTGGGTGAAAGCAAAAAACGAAGCCACTTTATAGCGATAATCATCTTCATCCAGTAGAGGATTACTGTAGAGATATGCACTTAGCTTCATCACAGCATCACATGTCCGACGAATCGAAGCTATTTCTTGTGACGGTCACACAAAATTGAAGTCGTCGAAGGTAAATTGTGACACATGGTAAAACATGAAAAAAGAAATGCAAAAATATTCCCAAAAATTCTTGTACTGAGTATTTGCCATGCATCTCGCTTTACATGACCAAAATTCTCTTCATCACCATCAACTGTGAGCTCTTGCTGACAGCAGCTGGTAGTGGTGCTGATTCGAAGCTATTGCTGATGTGTCACAGGTCACACCCATCTTGGAATCTTTGAAGCTAAGGTTCAGTTGGTTACACCCAGATGATGTCGAAGCTAAGTGCATATCTCTACAGTAGAGTCCATGTTATGAATAAATTTCAAAAACGCGTCTGATCCGCCTTCAATGAGCTCCTCTACAAGATATCCAGCACATGTTGAGCCAGTTTTTGAGCCTGCCCTAGTAGGTTTGGAATCACGTTGAGAGTAAGAAAATGCCAGGCTGGCATCAATGAAGCGCACACGAGGGATGTTAAATGGCGGAGGTTCATCGGAAGAGGCAATACAGCGATCAATGAAGGCATATGTGAGCTGTAGGAGAGAGCAAGACCAATATAAGACATTTGCCTCTTTGAAAAGCTTGGCTATCTCGTCAACTGAGGAAAAACAACCTATTTTGTACATAAAGCTGGAGGCGGATGGAAACACCTTATGAAATGGTCACTTTACTGCAACATTTTGACCTGGGATTGATCCTAGCCCACTTTCAACAAGAGGAGTGAGAGAAAGCCACCCAGGATGCGCAGTCTTGAATCCGCCAGCCCCAAGCATGCTGTGCGAAGATGAATTGACTGTCAACTGTCCAACCATAGACTGTGTTGGATCCAACTGAAAAGAACGCTACCCAGGATTCTTGAGAATATCTGCAAGTGGACAAGTGGGGATTGCATAGAACTGAATGTTCTCAGTGTATGTACCAAGTACTGGAAGAAAAAACTAGTCAACAGCGACGGCATGGAAAATTACACCAAGCTCACCTTGTGCAACATCAAAGTTTGTTGTATTGCCTCCAGTCCGCAGTGCTTCTTTTAGGTCAGTGCAATCAGGTGAGCTAAACACTACTTCACTGGGTGGCACAACTGCAAGTTTCTTGTGAGGTGGCAATGAAGATGTTGTAGTGGTGCTCAGATTGTGCCTGTGTGACCGTTTGGTGGACTCGGGTGTGCTTGGCTGATCCATTGATGGCACGATGACTGGTTGGTGCGACGCAAGATTTTGAACTTGGACTTGATGAGTAGGCCGGGTTGGAGTGGTGACCTGCAGCATAGACATGAATCATCATATGAATTGCTGCCAGCTGCGAAACAAACTCACATTTTCCACCGTTTCTGCCCGATGTTGAACTTGACGAGTGGGCCGGGTTGGAGTGGTGACCTGCAGCATAGAAATGAATCATCATCTGAATTGCTGCCAGCTGCGAAACAACTCACGTTTTCCACTGTTTCTACCCAATGTTGAACTTGAACTTGACGAGTAGCAACCTGTACCATATAAATTGTCATCTGAACTGTTGTGAATTTGAGAATCCAACTTACCTCCTCCGCTTTTTCTACCCACTCTTCATATTCATTCCACTGAGCCTCTGGAACAACAAGCATCAGTGCAAATTGCTTGGTCTTGAATGTGGGTGCCTTTGATCCCTTCTTGCTTGGGACCATACATTGCGAAATGAAATATGGGACCGAGGCCTTGTGTGTAGCGAGGTTGACCCATACTGCATCTTGGACAACGAACTTTTCGATACGCCATGGGAATCCTGCACCAAAAGTCAAAATCTTAGGGAGGATAGTGTCAAATGCAATATTCATGAGCCCAGGTGCATCAATGCATGCATCAACATCTTTTTTTCCCTCCCGGATATTCTGTAATGATTGACGATTAAGTGGCATGCTAGTTGAATTAGAAATGCTTGAAACAGACCATGATGGCAACCCAGTGTCCTTTTTTCCGTGCTCCGACCTCATGAACTGCCGAAATATCGAGTGTGATGGTTTCTGTTGGCGGAAGGGCATATGAGAGCTTCGCCCAATGCTCATGCTCAGTGCTATACTGGGTGTGATTTACTGAATAGCCTGGGGAACAACCTGGATGTGCAGCATGGACCACATTTTGCAGCTGCCCCCATGATAACGGAACAGTAATGTCTGGTCCAGCGGAATAGGTCATTGAGCCTTGACCAAAGGCAATAACGGGAGGGGGGTTAACTGTTGCTGTGTGTATGAGTCTCGGTCAGATATAGTGCACAACACAAACAGTAATCAATGACAAATGTACATTTCCTCTGTGTGGTGTTAACAGTTTGCCAGATTGTGCATGGGTCAGGGAAGGTATGGGAGATTTGTGGAGCAGCACTTGACATTGAAGCAGGTCTAGAACCGGCTGCTGTGAAAACAGCTGCGTGTCAGTCATTGTATGGTACGGTGACACTGGGTTAAGCATACCAGTAGGTCTAACAGATGTGGCAGGCATGGTTAGATAATGGGCATGGCACGGACCGCAGACATAGCGGCCAGGTTTTCCTGGGTCAACAGTACCGACATAGAAGCAAGGATCACCTTTTGCAATCCTTGCTCGACAAACAGGGCATTCACAAACACGATCTTCTGCAGCAAACACATCTTCTGTGAATTGAGAAATGAGCTCAAACTCAGGCATGGTAGAGATACAGCAAAGGAAAGCAGTTTGAAATTACTAGCCTAAGTAGACAGATTATATACCTGACACCATGCCATTCATGAATGCACATGCAGACACATGACTGTGAACAGCCAAGGATTCACCGTCAACATTATCAAATTGCTCGGAAAAGATCTGTCCGGGGCCTCATAGATAGAACCTCCTCCGAGTCAGAGGGTGCTTGGTTTGATCACAGGGTGGTCAAAAGGTGCAAAGCTCATGCGAATCGTGATGGGGCAGTCGACCACTGTCCCTTGCCTGACCATGAAGGCGCCACCTGTTTGAATATAAGGTTTCTTGATTAGGGTGCTCCATAGTGGATAAGCCAAGCGCACCTCACTGGACAAAGATCCGAGACTTACATTGTACAGAGTCAGTTTGCTAGGGTTCACACTGTGCACTCCAAACCGTAGACACAGAGTTTGCCTTGAGGGTCAGGCTTGTTGTCAGCCGTGTAGTACATAGAAGACACGTCTACCAACTTCAATTCGTTCATGGGCTGGGGAGATCATTCCATAATCTGACCCATCTGTCAGATAGTAATTAACAATCGAAGATGAGGGGACGTACCTCTCGTAACTTCACAGAAGAGTGTGACCTTCAGGAAATCGATGACCTTGGCGCTCAAGTGCATCCCAGAATGGATGAGTACTGACACCTGTGGTATGATACTGGTCGAGTTTTTCCTGCACAGCTGGCTGGAAGAGAGCGCCCTTGTTTGAAGGAAGTCGGGTACCTAATGCTCTCAATCATTTAACAGGATTCACTGCAGTCCCTCAGATACTCCGGTCTACAAAGCATCACTCCCATAATAGTTGCTTCATTACTATGAGCTGATTGAACGTGGACTCGCACTGGATAACAAATGCGGGAAGCATGAGACGATTTTGATGCTGGTTAGGACTCGCACTGGATAATGAATGCGGGAAGAATGAGATGATTTTGATGCTGGTTAATATTGCCTGGCTTGTAGGGAATATACATAGGCTACTCAGATGTATCGATGATGTGTTGTCCTCCGAGTCGAAGCATCGTGAATATGGGAGAGATTGAGCTTACTGGAAGTATCCACACCACAGTTCTAAACCTCCACCCCTTGCATGCCACCATCTCTGGTTGAAGATCAAGCCTGGGCTGGACTGATTGGATGAGGTCTGACTGGACTCGGGCTGGATATAACAAATATAGGAATGAGACTCGGGAATCATGCTGGTCGATGTTAGCGGCAAACTGAGTGGCAGTTGAGGTGAGTAGTGGATTGGCAGTTTCCAGTGAGAGGATTGGTAATTCTTACATTAACCCGCACGTGTCTGCAGGTCCAGTTAGATCTTATGTGTCCCATTGATCAATCATTGATCAGCTCAAGCGTGATCTGGCTGGAATCAATGGCAGAGTGAAGAAACAGTTTATCTCAAGTTGCAACTTCAAGTTCTGTTGGTTCGTGCGGGTTGGAATCCTGGGTGCAGGAAATCAGTTTAATGCAGCAAGTCCCCAACCCCTTTGACTACCCACATCTCAATATGGTGTTACAGTGCAGTAGAATGTTCTGAGTTCTCCCATTCTATTTCGTCGGCAATGGGAACAACAATACCCTATATTCTTGCAATAATGTCATACTGCGGTAGAATGGTCCGAGTTCTGCCCAAACTGTAACCTATTGTCCACCTGGCATGGTACTTGGTGAGCCTCATTCCGATTGTCATGTCCTTACTGACATACTACTGTAGCTTAAACTGTCACTGAAACTCCTCGCGAATTTAACCTCCACCGGGTCAGAGGTGTATATGTAGCTTGTGTCAAATCCTCCCCACATCCACTGTCAGTGGCTGCACCAGTACTCGAGCTCTATGCCGAACCAGAATAAACCATCCCGTAAGTACCAGTAATTGACATCATCCAATGTGCTGACATTGCACCCTAGCACCTCTCGAGGATATTTCTCTGCATATTGTTCGATTATGGAAGACCCGGAAAACTGACAAGCAGATCGTTCAGAACCTGAGAAATCATTACAATACATCACAATATGGACTCGGGCAAGTGATCGTGTTAATTTACGTCCGCAGTGCTTGCTTACTTCATTCTAGGCTTACAAAACTTGTGAAGATACGTATTGGAATGGGTCTTCTGCGCACACGCCAACAGCGTCATACTGTTGCCAGTATTCACGAAGCTATGATTGATCTTCGAGAGATGTTATCCCAATGCAGGTGCCTGGGAGATGGTTAATTTGCTCTTTCATGAGCATGCCATGAGTGTTTTGAGGTAAGTAATATCTGTAGGTGGTATCATGCCATCTATTACACTAAACTTTCATCCTGCCAGAAATGTTGTGATAGCATACTTTTCAAAGTACGAGGTTGACCTTGTCCGCCAGCGAAAGGCTCGTAGGCTCCAGAGACAACAGTTTTGGGCAGCAGGAGTCAATGACTTGTTCGCTGTCGATCAGCATGACAAATGGCTTAGGTTTGGACTTGCATCACATACTGGCATCGAACCGTTTACTGGGCGCATTATGTGGATGAGAGTGTGGCATTCAAACCAAAATCCACAACTCATCCTAACTTACTACCTTGAGACCATCCAGGAACTTGGTCATAGGTTTTTCTTTATGAGTTTTTACCATAATGCCATTGATGTTGTTATTACAGACATGCCTATGGTCACACAGAGTGACCCAGGATCGGAGAACTTTGGTATTGCTAATGCACACACCATGCTCCGTCAATGGCACAATCTGACACTGCAAGGCACCCTGAAACACCGCTGGATGTGTATGAAGAAAAACGTCATGCCAGAAATCACGTGGTCTCAATTACGACACCGGTTCACTCCAGGCTACGAGAATTACTTAGACAGCGGTGTGGATGCTGGTTGGTATGACTGTGGCAATGCTTTGCAACGGTGTGTAATCCATTTCTTGTATGCTACTATGGTCCTTAAAGACGACTGCAGCTTAATATTTCGATGGATATTTATTCCATGGCTCCAACGTGAACTTGATGGGTACAAGGACCGTATAAACAACACCGCAAAGCGACATGATCAAAACAAGGTTGACAAATTTCTTGTACCGTTTTTCCCTCACTCTTGCTGACGTGGCCTACTATCTACTTCAAGGTGCTCCCTCGTGGGGTGCCGAACCTCATTTATGATTCACCAGGAGACTTCGGGGTGCTTGATTTCAGAGTGTGTGATCCATCTCCTGTTATTTTCATTTGCATGTGCTAAGTACAAGTATTCCGATTTCTATCTAGATCATTCTTGAACCAGGTGCTATAGGCCGAGCTCGTAATCTCAATCTCAATCTCAATCACGCTGTCTTTGAGCTTGTCCCTCGAGACTTTGGTGATTTCATACATCAGTGCTATAATGAGCTTGGCCACCCTGTTGTTGATCGCCGCTCAGCATGGAACGTCTATTTGGACTTACACCAGATCATCTCTCGACTTTATAAGCAGTTGCCACCAGTGGTGCTCCCCGATGACAATCTGAACGATGATTTCTTGCCGCTCTTGGAAAACCACGAAGACTTGGCATTTCGCGACGGGAATGATGGGGCCTATTATATGGGCGGTGTAGGAGGGGGATTGGGCCTTGGTGTGTTTTCTCCGTGCATGCAACATTAAAAAGACCTGACTTTGTTGTAGATGAATCTCATTCATGACAATTGGACGTACTTGCAAACAGCAGGAGGACTACTATCACAATTATCATCAGGGTCGACTGCTTGTGTGGTAGCTCGTTTTGCCTATGGCACGTCAGCTGCACTTGATAATGCTCGTTTGCGGGCAGATGATGACATGCGACAGAGATTATCGGCATCACGAAGACGAGCAGATGGCTTGGCTGGTCGACCAGAGCGCCTAGCACCAGCAACAAATGTGGCCACTTGCCATCCGGAATTCAAGAGGACGGAGAATGCGTTGGATGAGGCTGGCTGCATACCAGATGGAGGTAGTGGGATGTCGTCGTTGTCAGCATCATGGTAGAATGTGATCTCGGATGGATCCTTGAGGCTCCCGTCTGCACGACATGCAGATGGGTTAAATCCAGTCATTGTAGAACAATAATGAGAAATATCACCAAGTTGCAATTGAGACTCACTGTGTTTGGCGTTGGTGGGGCGGGCAGCGGGGCTCATCTTCGCATCCGAAAAGAATCCAGGGCCTTCGACTTTGGCGAGAAGGGTAACTGAATTGTACTTGCTGGTAACAAGAATGACGTTGGAAATGAGGAACTTGTGTCAGTGGCAAAAAGCGACAGTGAACTGGCAGGTGCCAATAAGAATCATATGAGTGACCACAGTATAGACAAGGTGACGTATCATGACGCGTGCAGCTCGCAGGAGCTTGTACATCTCACAGTACTAGTATACAACTTGCTACACCCGAACCATTGGCGTCCGTGCTAGCTTCCAAGCTGCACTGTATGTATTGCCTCCAGTTCAGAGCTGAAAAAGTCATACATTTGTACATGGACATATGTAGCTGGTACTAAGTCATGAGGTTACATTTCAATGGCCGGTTGTGACAGCCACAGAGACAGTCGGGAGGACCAGGATTCGAAGTCGGGGAAAATAAGGACGGTTGAAAAACATCTATATTGGGTACGTAGCAGGACTTACTCTATTATATTTTAGCTCTATCTCTGCGGTTTCCGAAGTCCTGCACCAGAAATGCTGACAAATAGAGCGCGGTGGTCCTGCTTTCCATACTTAACCGGTGAGGATTCACACAGTTGCCATTCTCTGGTTATAGTATATTTATTGTTACTACTTCTACATCAACCCTATCGGGTTATTTTGTCGTTTCCCCAGTGACTGGTGTGCACAACATACAGTTACACACTACCTGAGCAAACATTAATGCTTGAATGGCGGTAGGGAAAGATAGGCTTGCTTTTTACATATAGTGCGGTTCCCTTGAAACGTACAGCAAGTTGGGCAGCCACACGCCGTGGCTGATTCAACTGTCCCTTTAGATCCGCAGAAAACCGCGTAAGGCATCCCGTAGTTAAGTCCTTCGTACGATCCGCAGGCATATTCACCTTTGGATACTAACCGTACTATTGAGTACGCGGCCTGCACGTAGTAGGCCGCAAAAGTACCTACCCAGGGGGAAGCAGTTTCGACCTTTGGGTGCTGTATCTGAATTAGACGCGATAGCTACGCCAGCCATCGCTGCGGCAGATATGACAATATTGGTAAGTGAAGTGAATTTCATGGTTCATAGTGTTTTCTGGGCTGCGTAGGTTGGCTTTTATACGCGATCAGACTCAGGTAAAATTGTGAATGCTTTCATGCGCTCGCATTGCCGGATCTCGGGAATGAAACATTATATGCCGGCTCATGCACATGCCCAGCTGTTGCATAGTTTTCTTCTATTTGTGAAATGCGCTTGAATCTTCACTCATTCTAAATCAGTTTATCCATCGTTTGCTTTTAGGTTCTTGTGTTATTCAGGATGCGGCACCACGGCGGGCGTACAGACTATGTGCAAAGCTATTGCTAGGTGTTTCTCAGAACTTTCGTTGCTCATCGACATCGATTATTCAAATCCAATCATCCTAGTTCCCGCCGGGATTCCGTCGATCTAAGATTTTGATTTCTTTGTTTTTGGTCCCTCCTCCCTCAGAAACAAAAGGCAGTGAACTTTGTCTGACCTGCGTGACTTATAGATAGCTTCTTGCGGTAGGCTAAATAATCCAGATTGCCACACAGGGCCAGAGCGCTAAAATAATTATGAAAATCATCATTCAATGAGCCTATACTATCATGATGTAGGATGATCTATGCCGCGGACTGGTACGTAGTCAATCCGGAAGATCCACTACATCTGCCACAATGGATGATTGAACGATTCAATTTCTGGAGAATGAAGGCACGGTTGCTAGAAGACGACGACAAAGCTGCGCTGGCTGCAGCTGTCCTTGTTGGCATTGAGCTAGCTATATGATATCTTTGCCGTCCGCAGATGGGAGCCTTTCGAGTCCATACAGGGATACCTCGTGGTAGGTCCCATTTTCCAGCCACAACGATGAGTGGATGCTGCATGTTGCGAGGATATATATATTCACATCACCGTCGAGGTCGAACAAGCTGTCACTCACTGATAACCCGTTCTCTGCAAGGTTGAATATCCTTGCAGTATCTCGGCAAGCGCTTATCAAAAGTAGTACGACTCCTCGCGATCCGAACGTCCCCCCTCAGCAGGATTAACTACAGCATTGTGAACCGGCCGTACATTGCCCGCGGTCATTTGCTCGGTCCTGACGCGAAGGCCCTGCCTCATCACCGAATTTGGAGTGCCAGTTTTGAAAAGTCTCTAAAGAATGGAGCGGAGGCGAACAATAATGTTAAGAAAGCGCAAGGTAATGGAACAGAAGGAAATACTGACCATGTTAGTGCGTCGCAGGGGGTCGAAACGCTGTGCGTCCATGGGGTTGTGACTTGAACGTGAACGACCCATTTTGTGTCTATACAATAAGAAGAGAATACAAGTCTTGTAGCTATCTAGAAGTTTGGAGTGCGAATGAGAGGAGTGAACGATGACCTTCTCATCTTCGCGAAAGAGGTATTTAAGTAAACGCCTAGTGTAAAAGCAACTGTGGACGATAAAGTGTGGAATATTATCGTCGTGACGCGGTGCTTATTGTCATTGTGATGTGATGTAGGTGGCACCTACTAGAAAGGCAACAGGTGACGGTTATCATGGTCAGGCGTGTCGGGATAAAAAGAAATGACTTATTTACCTGGAGCGACATGATCGCAAGGCGTCGACGACAGAAGAGTTTGACGATGCTGGATATCGGTACCCACTATCATAAAGAATTGTGTAGCATTAGCGTCATGTAGTCAATATACATTCTCTATCATGACTTACACTCTCGTCCTTCGAACTTCAACATGCCTGTCCACCCCATCACTGTTTGCCTATAAATTCTCAGTTGTAGTTGGAGATAATGTCCAGCCTTTCGGATCCACGCATATTGTAGCCCCGGGTTTACAGACATCTCTATTGATCCTTCTCAAAATAGAGAAATATCATGAGGGATTGCCCAAACCCGCTGCACAAAAACAGTCTACCGCACTGCAGAGAATACTTCATCGGAGTAGGACATCGCGTAGCCAAACACATAAACAAGCATCAATAATGCCATCCAGAGACTTGGGAATTGATATTTCAAATTATATTTGTAGCGCTCTGCGCCACCCACAATGCTCCACTTACCTCGGTATCGTAGGCGATTGGCCCGAGAGCGCTTATGAAGAAGTAAAAGCTCGACATCGAGCGTAAGTCGTCGCCTCCCAAACGTTGCGGCCCCGGGTGGGAAACGCTCGGTCTCTAGGCGGACATCGCTAATTTTCCCAACGAGCGCAGAAAGAACTACAATCCACCAAGCTCGGTTTGTAAGTTGTTCATCGTTTAACTCCAAACTAGTATCTGCTCATATATCACAGCTACGGTCGCTATTTTTGTGACATCCTCCTTTACAGAAGCAAGGCTTAGGAACCAGCTGAAGCTACAGTCTGGCTTCACCCGCCGCGAGCCATATATTGACATTTTGAGAAAAGACACACTCATGAACCTTGGCCATATCTCGCAGTTCCCTCTTCCATGGCCGTCTCGAGTCTCGCGGGCTGTAAATGTTTGGAAGGAGTATTGTGATCACATCGGTCTTGGGGTCGTTTTGCAAGTATTTATTGAAACGCACACAGCGTTTGGACGAGAGCATCATCTGCGAGGTTTCGCGAGACCAACAGTATAGATCATCCAAATACTAGTCGTAAGTTTGGCCAGTAGAGACTGCTTTGTTTTTACAATGATCCATATGAGCTTGACCCATATACAGCCTATCATGATCAGATTCAACGCACACGCTGCAGAGAAATTCAGAATTCTGCTTATCGATCAGCGCTTGCTTGACACTGCCTCGAGGCATGCAGTTATTTTCATGTGAGCCCTTTTTTACTTCGCTTCAACTGCTATTCACTAGCAACGACCAGAATGGTCCTTTTCCGGTCTTGCTATGATTCGCTGATAAAAATATCATTATATCCGAATGGCAACAACAGATGAGCCTGAAGTCTTTGAGACGCAGCCCGTGTGCAAGCTGTGCTCAGAACGTTCCAGTTGGTGAATTGGTGCTCGTCGACGTACAAAAGGTACCGTTGCATTTACTTCGCAATGCTGCTTGCCCGAGCACACTGCCATGTACTTATGCTTTTGATTTGTATGACCGACTCATACTGTCTCCCAAAGGTTTACAAGATCCATGGCGTAAGACGGATCTATATAGGCTATAATCTATGTATCCAAACCGATTGAGGTCGTCTTCTAGGAACCCTGCTTCATTCTCCAGAAATTGAATCGTTCAATCATCCATTGTGGCAGATGTAGTGGATCTTCCGGATTGACGATCATCCTACATCATGAGAGTATAGGCTCATTGAATGATGATTTTCATAATTATTTTAGCGCTCTGGCCCTGTGTGGCAATCTGGATTATTTAGCCTACCGCAAGAAGCTATCCATAAGTCACGCAGGTCAGACAAAGTTCACTGGGACCAAAAACAAAGAATCGAAATCTTAGATCGACAGTATCCCGGCAGGAATTAGGATGATTAGATTTGAATAATCGATGAGCAACGACACTTGTGAGAAATACCTAGCAATAGCTTTGCACATAGTCTGTACGCCCGCCGTGGTGCCGCATCCTGAATAACACAAGAATCCAACAGAGAAACTGATTTAGAATGAGTAAAGAATCAAGCGCTTTTCACAAAAGAAAACTATGCAACAGGGCATGAGCCGACATGTGTTTCATTCCTCAGGCCCAGGCCTCAGATCCGGCGATGCGAGCGCATGAAAGCATTCACAATTTTACCTGACTCTGATCGCGTATAAAAGCCAACCTACGCAGCCCAGAAAACACTATGAACCATGAAATTCACTTCACTCACCAATATTGTCATATCTGCCGCAGCGATGGCTGGCGTAGCTATCGCGTCTAGTAATTCAGATACAACACCCGTTGGTCAAAGCTGCGTCATGTTCCATGGTAGGCACTTTTGCGGTCTACTACGTGCAGGCTGCGTACTTAGTACGGTTATCCACAGATGAATATTTATGCATATTTTTCAAAGAGCTTAACAACTTGATGCCTTACGCGGTTTACTGCGGATCGAAAGGGACAGTTGAATCAGCCACGGCGTGTAGCTGCCAAAATTGCTGTGAGCATTCCGGGGGTCCCATGGTGCCCAGTATATGTACAAAGCAAGTCTATATTTCCCTCCGCCATTCGAGCCCGAGTATTAATGTTTGCTCAGGGGTGTGTGACTGGATGTTGTACACACCAGTGTGACAAGAGGGCGTGAAGCCTCGAGCCTAGTTTCGATTACTAATTTACGTGGCATGTAATACTAGTATAACTAGCACGTGAGGAACGCGACACGTAAATTGACTGGACTGGACGCGCTTGTACTGATACTGCAAGTTTTGAAATATCGCGTTGTTCTACACCTGTACTCAAGTTTCTACAATCAAACCCGGTATACAATGATCCACAACTGCATTGACTGGGACGCCATACCACTACGTTTCTTAACGATATCATATGGAAATAAAAGGGTGGTGACGCAGAAGGGTCCAACATCCAAAGTTCGCGAGTTCAAAGTGCGTGTCATGTTGATCTCTCTCGTGAGTTTTAAATTATGTTTTTGATTCCAGTCTCTTCAATCTTTTGCGCACTGTAAATTTTGTCTCCAAGTCCATCCACTCTCATCTCTGCGCTTCCGAACGACCTGCAACCTTAGCTTCGCGCCTTGCGAAGACGACTCAGCCTTTGAGGTAGATAAAGAGGCATGGGAAGAAGAGGGCTTGGTGGACCTTGTCTGCTGCCTGGAGGTTTACTTGGAGGAGGTTATGCCTGGTCCGCTGTCCGGCGAAGAGGCATCGCAACCTGTTGAAGAAGGACATGAAGATGCTCGGGTGCACCAGCAAGTTCGAGGCTCTGACGAACGGCAAGGTAGAGAGGGAGAATGCAGTGATATACCAGAGGCCAATGACAATGTGGAGGAGGACGAAGCACGGGACGATGATGAGATGGAGAGAGAGCAGGATAAAGAGGAGCAAGAGAAGGAGGAAGAGGATAGGGAAGAGAACGAGCAGACGGAGGAGAGTGAGGAGAGTACTGTGCGGACTGGGCCATATTGTCGGCGACGAGGGGTCATCGCGTCTGATGACGAAGATAGTCCAAAGGCGGTTGACCGTAACTCGAGGCTAGCTGCAGACTTGCAGCAGACACATAACGCTGCTGTCATTGGCGACACTCAGCCCTCGACGCCCAATGCTAAGAACCAAGCAATCGCTGTTCGTGCACAAGACATGTCGCCTGGTGAGTCACTCCCGTCTGCTACACGAGTATGTACGACAATGGAACATAGACACAGAATGGTTAATTAAGAAGGAAAAGGAAACTTCTCCAGCGCACGTACGGGTATCGTCAGTCACCGGAAGCTCCCAAGAAGGCCGAACTCCCTTAGGAACACATAAACCACTAGGTAGTGCATCTCATCCTTTGTCGTCTGATATCTTACACCACAGCATTAGACCAACCTGTCAAGCAAGAGCCACGATCGGCAGGGCGATTGGAGTCTCAGCCTCAGGCGACTCAAGTGACACAGCAACGTACGTCGTTTGCAAGATCATCCATTTTGCTGATGAATCTACATAGCCAAATCAGCACCCGACCCCACACATAACAAACTCGTCATTAGCATCCAGCACAAACTCTCCGCGCAGCATGCACAGTTCAGCGCGAAGCCCCATGTACGAATAGGTAAAGTTCTCGCCAGTGCATGTAAGAGCTTCCGCTTGGATGTCAATGTGTCAGTGCTTTCAATATTTGTGTTGGGCGTTCACTGCCTCATATTTTCACTTTGCAGAGCGCAACTCTACTTGGTCGTGATAACGCAAAATGAAAAGGGCTTGAAGGAGGAAGATTATTTCTTATGTGACCCAAATGAGACAGTGGAAACCGCTATTATAGATGTGGAAGGGAGGGTAGACTTTATGATTCGCATGCCTGAAGATCCCGCAATGTAGGATGGTATATTTCACTTTGTAGTGGAAAGTGTAATTTTACGGGTGGCTTGCTTATTCCTCCAAGGCGTCAAAGGATCTACCTTCTATCTCTGACGCGCTCAATTTTTCCGGAGAAGAGCTTTACAACTCTTGTCCTTCCCCATCATCTAATTTAAATCTTCTCAAACCATCTCGTACTGTCCAAGGCACCTCTTCCTCCCAGTGGCTGATAACCACTACTGCTTGGTCGGATCCAACGCCTCCCTCGCAAAGATAGCGCCTCGCAGCGCGGACCATATTTTCGTCCATCCCACTCCAAACTTCGTCCAGCAAAACAAGTTGGGGGTGGCCCACAAGTGCCCGCATCAACAAAACGATACTCTGTTCGCCTGCGGAAAGGTCCACGAAATCGCGTTTCGAAAATACTTCGTTCGGTGCCAACAGCTCGTCGCCACCGGCGAAACTGCTAGTTTCCGTCTCCCAGGAAGTCGGACCGAGGCCGTTAAGGACCTCGCGTACGCGTTTCACTCTCCATTGTCTGACTTCGTCGCTGAGTGCACCCTCTAGACCTATGCCGACGCCGTCCTTTCCACCAGGGACGAAAGCACCATCGAATCCCGTGCCTACGACGTCGAACACACTGACACCGGCGCGTCGCGGGTACGCATTTGCAAGCTCTGGTGAAACGACACCAATGAGCGAACGCAAGAGCGGAGTAGGGATACGTTGCCGAGGGCGAGAGAACAGCTCCAGATTCGAACCATCTCGTTGAGTGTAAGACTGGGGATGGTCGCCAGTCAGGAGTGAAAGAAGTGTAGTTTTCCCGGAACCTGTTGGAACTGATCAGAACCCTAAAGCTTCGGTTTCGTATAGAAGTTGACGCACCATTTGCGCCTTGAAGATGCCAGCGCTGACCTTCGCGAATGGTCCAATTGATCTTTTTGAGCACCTAGATTGATACAGCGTCATTTACACGGAAACAATGAAGGATAATGTAGTTGCCTTGCGTGGGCCGTATGACACATTTACGTTCTTCATGTCAACTACTGGCTTTCCATGATCAAGGCCAGACTGCAGATATGACTGAGTAGTGCTTGCCATTCTATGCTCAGCCTCGTTTGCGTGATGATCTGCGTGCTTGGACATGATTTCATCTTTGACGCCTGTCAGGATAGTTTCGCCCGTCACTAGAGCGATGTGCGAAATCCAGTCGGGAACAGGGTCCTGCATCCTGAGACCCATGAGGATGCGTGGACTGCGAGAATCATGTAGTGACCGAAGGACATTCAATAAGATTGGGCGTGTATTGACGTCAAGGCCGGCTGGATAAAGCACAGCCGTTATGCATTGTGCGTGTCGAATTTAAGTTCAATCACTCACTCAACGGTTCGTCGAGTACAAGGAGTTCCGGTTCAGACAAAATAGCCTTCACAATGCGTGCTCGACGCGTCTGGCCATTCGATAAAGCGACCAAAGGTAAATCCAACAGGGATGAAAGACCCAGTCCCGAAGTTAGGTCCTCGAATATGCCCTTCTTTACTTCGTCCTGTGTAATTTCTACGGGCGTTTTCACCTTTCCACCTTTTGGCTGAATGTTCAGAAAGTCGTACTCTCCGAACATACTTTCCCGGAGGGTGATACGGTCTTCCTCTCTAACTGCGCCGTATCGAGAAGTATAGTCATAGAAAGCACCACCTGCTGCGCGGGACCGATGCGCGAATGATACAAAAGCTACACAGTTGTGTGGGTCGCGTGGAGGGTCTGAGAGGAAAGGAAATAGTCCTTCGGGTAGGGGCGGAGGAGGAGTTATACGTAGGTGGCCTAGGAGCGTCTAAAGAGCATTGTTAATGTGTCAATGTCAACTCTACTTCGGAATGTTAGCATGACGCACCTGCAAAAGGGCCGTCTTTTGCCTCGAACCTGTCCCTATTACAGCCCAGCTTTCACCCTCATTAATAGTCCATTCAACATCACGGAAGACCGGCGCTGCGAAGTTTGGGTCACCAAAGCGATAAATGTTGGACCGTGAGATCTGGACGATAGACTTGGTATCTCTGTTTGCTCTTGCGCTGTAAAGTCTAGCGATTCACTGCATCAGAGGGAGACTTGCGAATACGAACTTGTCAGTCACCTTGACTTCAATGCAATTCGTTTTGTTGCAAGCCAAACTGCCTTTTTGCTCCCATTTGTGAACATTTCTCACCGCATAAGTTACAGATCGGTAGAGGATGATGCAAAGGCCCAGTCTGGTAGGCTGTTATACACAAGATCAAACGTGGCCTGGATACAAACGCTATGTGATAGTAAAGACTTTTCAAGGGAGCGAAGCAGCCGAAGCTGGACACGGCTAAAAATGCCGCGTCAAGTTGCATCACAGCGTCAAAATAGCTACGTTCGGGTAGAACTATGTAGCCCAACCCTTACCAAATCCGTGTATTCAGTGTTCACGACTGAAGGCACTCTGTTTTTTTATATCAAAGTCTAGCAGCCTGCAGTAGTATGCCGCGATATAAAAAGGAATGGTCGCCACGACAATAACCGTCACGAAACAACCCCAAACGCACACATCGCCCAATTCTCCTTGGCCGTGCACATCTGTCCAAGCACCAAACGCTTGACTATGCTGGTTGTGTTTTCAAGTGATGCTCTTTGTAGGTATTGAACTTTTTGAATGATCAGGAACGGATAACTTTTAAGTAGGGGGTAGCGCTCACTATGCATTCCTCAAAGGTCACACTAGAATTTATTATACCCTCATACACCATCTCAGCGACGATCTGTGGCAGATGCACCGATGAAGCGGCATCAACAGCGCCCTGTATCACCTGCTGATTCCGAGACGGATCGTTAACGTCTGAAACGGTAGATTTGAAGCGGGTGGCTTCTCGGACATACGAAGCTCTAAGGTGCACGAATCTCAGTCATGTGAAGAATAGTACAAGAGTCTTTTAGAGCGCACCTTGTTGATAATAGCTGCAATAACTGTCCATCGATGGTGTCCAACTGTACTCGAACTTCATTCAGTGAAGAACAGCATGTCGTGCCATTTGCGAATTGTATCGTTGGCTCGCCCCATGGAACGGTACGATTGGCAGTCGAGGATGGTATGGAAGGGAGAGGGTTGAAATAACATTTTTCAGAAGGGTCTGAGGTCCAGGAGGACGCTACGACAAGACCGATGATTTGAAGAGCAACAAGAAAACCTAACATTCCGGTTGACCTTTCCAGTACAACTGCAGTAGAGTTTTGACGGTTGTGGCTTTGAAGGTTTATACTGTCCCGGAAATCAGAGTATTTTCGATCGCGGACATATGTGACGTGTAAATCTCACCTGTAAATTTGATTATCGCGTACACTAAAAGCCTAAGCTGATCTGCTTTCGTGGCGGGCTGACGGCGATTGACGGACATTAAGTTCAAATTCAAATTCCCTACGTTAGCCCATTGCGTGATCTACGGGCCGTCACATTCAAACCTCAAATTCCCATCCAGCGTCAAATAGCGCGGCAGAGCTCTTCGTAACAACTGCCCACTCTGGCAAGAAAAGGAGCACCTCCTCCAATGACGGAATCTTGCCACCAGTACGCCCCCCACCAACAGTAGCACTTTCATACTCTGCCCAACCACAGCTCACGCGTCCCGTGGCCTTCTCATCCTCACTCCCTGCAAAATCAACGTCCACTTCAAACTCCTTCTCCCAATCCCGACTCCATAGTCGTATTTGTTCGAGCCCGTCTTCAGGCACCTCAGAGCCGCCTTGCAAACCTTTTCCGCCGTCGCCAGAAAGGTGGAATCTTTTCACGCGTTTGCCCGAGAATTGGAGAGTACAGCTTCGAGTGTTTAATCCTTGTACTTTGATGCGCGCGCTGTTCGATCCCGTACGCTTAACGGATGTGGTCACCCACTTCCCCAGGGAGGACCTAGGACTTTGTCCATAATGACGCTTGCTCGGACCCGGAGAGGGCACAAATGCATCCCCAACCTCCCATGTACAAGTTTGCAGGCCAAGCTTGTCTGGAGCATCTGTACAATTGATCGGTTGGTCAAATGCAGACGGGAATAGGGGGATGATCGCCGTCGACAGGAATTGACGAGGACCAGTTAGTGCGGTAACCACGCGAGACGTGTCTAAGTCCACACTTTGAGCGAAATAGACCTTGAGTGGTGTTTCTTGTGAGAACGGGAACGCAAGATAAGTGTAGAGTGTTGACAGGATGAAGAGGATGAGAATGATACCGTTCAGCCAGCGATGCATGTTCATACTGAATGGTGCAATAGGAAGTACGATGAGTAATGCCAGAATCGAGACCGGTCCATAGACTGCACGGCATGTCAGCTCGCTAAGCCAACACAAGATGAAATTCGTTAAGCACTCACCACTCAAAGGACTGGTTCCGTCTGTGAGCGTCTGGTTTGTTGCAAGTAGCACGATAACCGCGATATGAGACACTAGAATAACAGGCAGCGGAACAACAACCAACAGCTGGGCAATCCACCAGCCAATAGCACCTTGCTCTTGACCTAACGGCCTGGACTGGCCATGCTGAGCGATGAGAGGTGTAATCTCTGTCGGCTCAGTTTCCTCAATTATGCCCGCGCGCTGGTGGCCATTCTCGGAGTCCTGTTGGCCGTTCTCGGCAGTGTCTACGGCATCGTAGTGCACGCCTCGCACGTAACGCCTTTGTCCTTGAATCTCTTCCTCGTCTTCGTATCCCCGAGCGCCAGCCATGCCTTCCACACACGCGAGCACAGCTCCAAGGAAAACCACCGCGTTCCAAGCGGTTATGAAATATGTTCCCCCAAGCGTCATGGCTGATGTTGTATATACGAGTAGCGCCCATGTCAGAACATACTGATGGAGAAGGATAGACAGCTTTTGCTGTTCTGGAGCGGGGACAACGCCATGCTTCGTAAGTGGAAAGGTGAGAGCAAGGACTGTTGTAAGATAAGCCAGCGACAACGCAGACACAAGTACAAGCCAAGGGTGAGTGTGAATGACCTGACAATTGATAAGTGAGCATGAGGAACGAGGAACTACACACTCACGAATGGATTCAGCTTCGCATATCCTACCACTAAAAGCATCTGAAAGGCAACACCGAGTAACAAAGCAGTCCAGAATTTGGACCAGACCCAAAAGCTTTTGAGGAAATGTTTGATTTCCGCCGATGCACGCACCACAAAGCTCTCGCGATTTACATCACCATTTGCAGCACGATAGTTTCCAGAACGAATAAGAGACGCGACTCGGATGATATGCTCGAAGTAGACCAACATCAGGAGAATGACAGGCCCGACGGTAAGGAGGACGATGTTTGCGATCCTTAGAGTTTGGAATGTGAACACGATCATAATGGTACCAAAAACTAATAAGAGAAGAGTTAAAGATGCGGCCAGATGAAATAGCAAGGAAAGAACTTACGGTCGAAATACACTGGCTCACTTCCTTGTCCAACGGACTCGGTCCTCGTTTTTCCCTTTGCATCATTTGCGAGCACGAGACTCGAGGACAGTGTTCCCTCCATCATTGCCCATAACGCGTTTTTGCTCTTGTCGTCAGACATACCAGGGATAGAATCGTACTTCGTATGATACCTGCTCCTTCCGCGGTAGAAAGCAAAATCTAGCCCCTTGAGTCCAGCTTGTTCGTAAACCGAGTAGTCTGTACCGCTGCGGATAACACCACGCGAAAACGCATCGCCAGTAAGGACATTTGCGTGGGGATGAGAAGTGCTCCAGGACGCCAGAGGAGCGCGAGAAGTCGTTCGGAAGAGTAGTGGTCGTCTTCAACATATCAGTCAACAAAGTAATATAGGACAATTGCATTAAACCGCTTACCCTCCTGCGGCAGCGCCTTCCAGGTTCAAGAAGGTATCAGTGACATTGGCCCACGGATGCTCCATGAAACTGGCAGCTAGATGAGTGAGTGTAAAATAGAAGAAATAATATAGCGTACACATGAGCTCCATTCAAACCGTCCTCTTCGCCATTATTGATGTTAAACACCACCGTCCGCCTGGGCCTGTTCTCCGCAAAGTACTTCACCATACTCAAAAGCGTCACCACGCCCATACCATCATCCGTCGCGCCAGGAGCGGTACTGACAGAGTCCCAGTGCGCACTGAGCAAAAGCCCGCCTGACTCTTGATACTCCTCATCGCTCCCCTCAACCTTGACCAATACATTGTCAGACTCGTAGTACACTGCGTATGGGTTGGTGGAGAGGAGTCCTGAGGCCCAAGACGCATTTGAAGAAAGGTCGAAATCCACAGAGACGTGGTCATAGGAAGAAGCGATGTCCTTGACGCGGTTCAAGAGGTAGGACCGAACTAGAACATTGGCATGCGAGTTGAAAGGATGCGGACGAGCGGCCACCTGAAAGAGCAAAAGTGAACTACTTAGTTGTATATCCACGAAGATAACGCACCTCGTGCAAGTCTCTGTATGCCTGCTCAAACTCTAAGCCCCGTGTATGTTTGGGCACAGAGGGGAGCTGGTCGGTTATCAGCAAGGTGCTGAAGACTGCCGCATAAATGACGGTTATGAGGATAGTGGTCGGAATTGTGCGAAATGCGAGCACGGCGGATAGCCCGCTAAGGAACCCCATGTTTCTTTCGGCTTGAACGTCGCCGAGTCAATGCACGACTTATAAGTTGCAAACCTGGTGCTCAACTAACGTTATTGACTAGCGTCTATAATATATGTAATAGCTTGTACTCGTGATCAGTAAATATCGATCAATAGTAGTCACGGGGGTCGAGAACAGGGCGCCGCATCTTTCATATTAGGGTGTAATTTTCTGAGCCGATTTATTAACAATGAACATCATGCAACGTTGCAACATTGGTAGACAAAGTTACAACACATTACGCAAAAGACCTAGTAGTATCAACACAATTCAGGTTAGAACAAGGGAAGACAGACGATTTCGCGTAGATTTGCTAATTCATGCCAGGAAGCGCATCTGTAGCGTTCCTAAAAGCCTTCGTTCTTACAAGGCGTCATACTTACATTTACTCACTCTTTTCCTTATTGTTTCCGTACCTACAGTATATAAGGACTCCTTTATTTACTGTTAGGACAGTTGATCATTTCCACCCCCGAATATATTTACGTTCGGACTGTTCTATCTGTCTGAAATAAGTCTATTCTACGAAATCTCGACTCTACTGGGTGTAACGCTTTTCATAGCGCCACAGCATCCTTGAGATGCTCTTTCTTCAAGCATCGCGCAATCACACCACACGTCCTGCACTGCCGCTTCTTTGCTTCAAATGCATCTTCGCCATACCCACTGCTGGCCATATCAGGATGTCTATCACCATGGTATGGCTTACTGCCATCACCATGAAGATAACAGGGTGACGACAAGCAATAGCTTTCGCCAAAGTTTGACTTGAGACAGCGGCAAGTGCCTGGTGGACGATAAAAGTATGGCACGCCTGGTGTTCAGAGTCAGCAGTAAAAATAGGGAGATGAAAGCCATGAAACGTACCTTGCATATCTGAATACGTGCAAATTTCGCAAATGGTGTAATCACAAGTCGTGCACCGCTTGAAGGCGTCGCCTACATCCTCTACATCATACTCGTCCTCTGGAGGAGTACCACGGAATCGCAATAAACAACCATCGCAATTGTGCGCAGGAATCGGGTTCCGCCGGCGCTCTTCCCAAGCTAATTATTCTACCCTCTTGACGTTGTCTATTGCCGACCCCGGCCCACCCCATTTTTTCATCATTTTGTCCACCTTGTGTAAGATGGCCGGCTTGGTGCAGACGCTGCGTTTGTGCACCTTCCAGTCAACTTTCTGGCAATCTACGCTAGAGAAAATCGGTATGTTAGCCTCTCAGTCCAACAAGTGCTAGCACTGATGCTTGTCACGTACGAGCAGTAGCTGTCCCGGCCGTAACAAGTCAGATCAAAGGTTTTTATATCTGATACCAGCTTGTGCTCACATGGTTTTCTGACATTTTGAGCATCGTAGTGGTTTTTCACACTCGATCTTGCACACACTGCAGTGACGCATGATGGCGAAGGAAGAAAGGGTGGAGAACGGCAGTCTCAAGCCTTAAAGGAGCAAAATAATTTGTTCGGTAGCAGCAGCGCCGCGTGCTGATGCTGGACCTGAACGATTTTATGTCACAAATTACCGGCTGGCAGAAAGTTAATGTAGGTTATTTTTCAATACTGCGACCCTTACTCAAATGTAAAGATTAGATCTTTCGCTCTTTTCCTATGCATAAATTCTTACTTTATGCTGCACTAGAGAGAAAAATATCTTGAGCTTTATGGCCTCCCAAAGCATGCGTTAAGGATCTCGAACGTGTCACGGTGCTGTGTTTGATGAAGTGAGTCGCTCTCCGTCAGTTCATGCGCTGGACTGGTACGTGGCTCACATTCCCTTAAAACCTTGTCACCAAATTGTCCCGAAAGTGTGCCCACTGCATGCGGAAAAAGCGAGATAGGCTGCCCTACTCGAGCTGCATTCTTGGCAGACATCGTGAACGCCGCGGCAGCCGCAACCTTTTGAAAAATTCTCGCTTCCTTGTATATAGTGAGTCTGGTCCACGAGTCTAGCGTAAAATCTGTATAGCCTTCTTCAAGTGTTTGTTTTGTTCGCCGTCACTCGTTCACTTGAAAAGACATGGCAGCAGTCATTTATCGCGCACGAGCTATGTGTCATCAAGGAGGTACAAGCACTGGCAGATGTACCAAAAGTAGGCGCAGAGAAGGATTCATAGACTGGGTCAGGTCGACTGACGACCTGCCAGATAATTTCAAATTCTAGGATAAGAACACGATGAGTATTATTCAGCAGGGGAAGAAGCTTCTGATGGAACTATAAGGGAAGCTGTCAGTATCAGCTATAAGAATTGGCTCAGTCTTGTGATTGATAGCATCGGAAGACCGAGTTTTCTTTGTCGTTGTCGTGGGCACACGCGAAACAACAAGTCTCCCTTACGACAAGCAAAGAAAATACGTTTCAAGAGTATCACGAACTCACCGCACATCCACACGGCAACCTTCGAATCAGCCAACACTATAAAACAAGCAAAGACGATCTCCCCTTACGTCTTCTCAAACGGCTGCATTTTCTCCAGATCGATCACCTATCACGTCAATCAACATGTTAGTGGACAGAGCACTATGTAGGTAGCATGCACCAAACACCGCTCCAGGGCCCATTTAGCCTTCACCTTCTTTAAATTCAGCTCGCCCGTCGTTTTTTTGAGTGCAGCCGATAGCTCGTTCATCAGCTTTTGACGTCGGGTTCATTCTGGAAAGAAGATAAACGTAGACGTCTCTGTTAACCAGTTCAATAATGACCAAGCGAGGATATAGATATCACGCACCCAGGTGGACAGAAATATGGACTATATCTTTCTACATGTGCTCCAGAGGGACTGTAACCGGCTGCCAGTGGATCATACATATAAAACATCAGTATGTTCCGTGTTAAGAACTTCTTGATGAGGTCGTGGTGAGATGCATGAGAACAACCGAGCCATTGAAAGAAAACGGAGTTAAACGTTAAACGTTAAACTTGTGCCAAACTCATCTTAAGCTTAGTCGTCGCAGAGATCTCTGTGAGTAGGTCGCCGCATAAACAAGTATCAACAACGTCCAACCAAGAATCAACCGAGTACGTCGAGTGGAATTTTAAATTATTGTACATTCCATTCAGATAAAGAAAACTCTCCTGAGTCTCACTTCAAACAAGAAGAGCTGACGAAATACATCGCTCGCGCTAAGGAGCTTGGCAGAAAGGTGTGATAATACACGTAGTACTTTGGACAGGCACTTGCCAAGATATTCAACCACGAGTTATTGGTGAGTGACAACTTGTTCGACCTCGACGGTACTTCTATTGATGTGAATATATCTATCCTCGCAACAAATCACATCCGGTCACACACTCCAACTTGAAGATGAAGCTTGCAGGAGAGGCGCACCCTGGCCTGGCGGAATTATGACCATCCAGATCTTCAAACAACTCCATCAACTCCTTATTTTCCAAGGTGAGAATTAATAGGACCCCATCGTCTCCCTGGAACTGATTGGGAATAACACACTCATGTTCTTGATCTGTCCTAGTCGGGGAGATCTCATCTTCTCCGATTTCGCCACATACCTCCCAATCAGCGTCCATTATACACATTCCACGCTCGTGGCTTTAAGGTGCGACTACCTTCAGCTCCATAACCGAAATTGTGTCTTATCACACCACAGGAGCCAAAAGGACTTAGACAGCGCCACGCATCATTGCCTGCTACAGTTATTGCAGTGTCGTCGCATTTCAAGTTGCCAAGCAGCCTAAGGCCATAGGCAACAAAGTCAAGTTCGTCTTGACATACTTCTTCATCTTGTTGACTCCATATATGATATCAAGTGGACGCTTGGTATTATAGTCCATCAGATCATAGCCTGTTGGCTTCAGAGCGTTCACGAGGAAGTACAAGCTCTACATCGTGCGTAACTTATCGCCTCTGGAACATCTCTTGGAGCTCCAGCTGACGCTCGAGATGCTCGATCACAAGGTGGACACTGCACGATTTCTCAACGAGTGCTGAAATAACTTCAATGCACCAGGCTCTGTTTGTAAGTCGTTCATCATCCGACTTTAAAAAGTTTAACCAGTGTTATTTTTGCAACATTGCTCCTCACGGAAGCATGGTTTATTGGCACAACGACCAGCTGAAGCTATGGTCTGGCTTCAGCCGCGGCGAGTGTGATATGATGTGTTTGGGCAACACAACGCGCTCAGTTTCATATTCCGTGGTCGTTTTGAGTCTCGCGGGCGGTAAATGTCTGGAAGCAGCGTTGTGATCATATTGGTCTTGGGGCTCACTTGCAAGCATCCATTGAAGCGCACATAGCGTTTGGATGGGTGCATCATATTGCGAGGTTTTGCGAGGAATCATGCAGATAGTCGTGAAATTTCAGATCTGGCCAGTAGATACTAGAGACTACATACTTTGTCTCAATCATCCATATAAGCTTAACCCACAGCCTATCAGATTCAACGCGCACGATTCAGATGTGGTCGAAATCCGGGTGCTTAGCACTTGCAACACAGCTAGTAAGTAACTGCCTCGAGGCATGCCATAATGGCTTCACAGAAGCGATTGTGCCCTTATTCTTACTTCGCTTCAACTCACTACTACTAGCATTCACCATGACTTCGAGAAAAGGTAACTCATCGAGGGATTCGACTCAAGGATCTAGTCAAGTAACAGATCCTGGAGGCTCGGTACGTGGCTTATGGGGATCACTCAGCTCACACCACTTCAAACACTGACATTGACACATCCTTCGTCTAGCATCGACCCCGTAACAAAATCGGACAGTTTCTGAAGAAGCTCAAGGAGGGTACAAAAAGGTTTAAGAGGGTGAGTCCACGAACATGCGTGATGAGCATCCTGAATCACCACTAAAATTGCAATAAGCGCTCGAAGGATTCACGCAGCCAAGTCAGCCCTGCTCCTCCAAGTAGTGAACGTCCATCTACCCCAAATACCGATGTAAGTTCTCATATTTGCCTTTCAGTCTCTGTGCTCTCTCTGAATGTTGATTGCCGCGCGGGTTCAGGCTGCTCCATCTGATGTGGAAATCGAGGCTGATACTGAATCGGCACTTCGGGGTGCACAAGAGGTTGCAAATCGCATGCATCCACTTTCAGGCCCTGCGATAACTGCAGCATCTGTCGTCGAAGGCGGACCAGAGGGTCTCGATGCTGCTAACGATCTCCCGGAGACATATCTCAAACCCCTCAGGATATTCGACGATGTTATCGGGAAGATCGCTGATGTATGGTTCCTCCTCTTGATCGGAACCGAACTAATCTAGCTCACAGTTACATCCATATGCAAAGATGGCACTGGGCGTGTTGTCTTGTACCGCCAAAGTATGGTTTCCCTTTTTCTCTTCCTATCCCTCATAGCTCAGCAATTATTTGCACAGATCATTCTAGCTCAAACGAATCGTGACGCAGCGGTACTCAAACTTCTGAAGAAGTTGTGCGAAGTTTACGACTTCATAACACAAGACGGGAAGCTTGACCAACAACTGTCCATGCGCGCTACTAGTGTTCTTGGAAAGATTTCTAAGCAGATACGTGAATGCGCCAATTTCATCAGTAATTATTCGGAGACCAGCAACTTTTGTGAGTGTCACTTGCGACTGCACTCTGCACTATCTCAAGCTTCTATCATCATCACAGGGAAGAGACTCGGAAAGAACATCGCCTCGGAAACGACAGATACGATCCAAAAGTACAATGACGTGTTAGATGGGCTCATGGACAACTTCCGGCACCAAGTTTTGCTCGATGTAGCCGTACGGGTCGACGACATAGACATACAGGTCCATCATATAGGTAAGGATTTGGATGTCCTTGGTGACTTGACATATATTCATACCTTTCCAGGACAAATACTGGAGCTCAGCGGTATGACCTATGCAGAGGGCGCGGGACTCGATACCAGGAAAGAATGCCTACAAGGAACGCGCACGGAAGTACTTTCTGACATTACGGAGTGGGTCAACAGTACTGGGGACAACGTTCCACGCGTGCTGTGGCTATCTGGCCCTGCAGGCAAGGGAAAATCAGCCATCGCACACACCATTTCTAAGTGGTTCAATGACGTGGGAGGGCTTGGTTCGTGTTACTGTTTTGACCGCCAGCGAGAAGCAGATCGTCGCCATGAAAAGATTTTTTCCACAATCGCACGCGACCTGGCTGACCGTGACCCGAAGATGAGGCGGGCATTAGCAGATGCAGTTCAGTCCACAATGTCGCTCAAGACCACGGCGGATATCGTCCAGCAGTGGCAAAAACTTCTTATCGACCCACTGAAGAAGTCAACCGGATCAACCGGATCAAACGGGGAACCCATCGTGATCGTGATCGATGCACTGGATGAGAGCGGTGGGGGAGAGACACGGGAAGATCTCCTCCGTATTTTAGCTGCCAAACATCAACAGCCCGGCGTTTCCAAAATCACAGACCTTCCAGACAACTTCCGCTTCATCGTTACCTCCCGGGCGCTTAGTGACATCAAAGACGAGTTTTGCGGCGTTCAACATATTAAACAGATGTCTATGGATGATATCCCACCAGCATTCGCAGAGCGCGACATTCGTGCTTACGTATCAAAGAAGTTAGAAGGACCGAATTTCCAGGACGGAGACTTCACAATCCTCGCTGAGAAAGCTGATGGGCTTTTCGAGTGGGCGCGTCTCGCCTGTGAATACATCAAAGGGCCCCATCTGGGGCTATCTCCAATTTATTGCTACAACAAAGTTATATCACACGGTCCTGCCAAGTTGCACGGCATGTATAACCTCATTCTAACGAATATTATGCCCAAGGATATATCTACCGATGTCCAGCATTCGCCGAAATTTGATGCGACGGCGCTAGTTGCATTCCGCTCAGTGATGAGGCAGATACTAGGCACAGCTGAACCCCTCCCTTTAGCTTCTCTGAACGCCATGAGGCGCCATTTTCCGATGCGAGAGGACATTTTCGACGTCGATCTTGTGGTTAAAAGTATGGGCGCCCTCCTCAGCGGCACCACCAATCCAGATTCCCCAATCCGACCTCTTCACGCATCATTCCGCGATTTCTTGACAGACACAACCAGCGGAGAGTTTTTCGCGGACCTGTCAAAGGCGCAACGCGACCTTGCATTCGCTTCTCTCCGAGTGATGGAACACGGTCTTCGCTTCAATATCTGCGATTTAAAGTCGTCGTATCTACCTAATAGCGAAGACCCCGGACTGCAAGAACGAGTCCAAAAGTACATCTTTCCACATCTGTCATATTCCTCTCGATTTTGGATTTCGCACGTACGAGACACAACCTTTGACGAGGAGCTTGCGAATGAAGTGAAAGTGTTTTTCGACCACGAGCGGCTGTTTTTCTGGCTCGAGTCACTCGCCCTGATCAATGCCCTGATCAATGCGATTCCTGCCCTTCGACTCATTCCCCAGTGGTTAACGGTGAGTACATGACTACAAAGTACTAGCTAAAACGCTCACGCGCAACAACAGGGCCATCCCGAATTCAAAGATGTCTTATTGACTGCAATGGACGCACAAAGGTTCATTCAAGTCTTCGGCAGCATCATTTTACACAGCACACCGCATCTGTATGTATCAGCACTCCCATTCTCGCCTGCCAACTCTCCGCTATCGAGAACGTTTTCTGCACGATTTCCAAATATTCTTCGTGTGGCAGCTGGACGTGATATTCACTGGCTGGCTGTTCAGAACGTGCTCAGGGGGCACACTTCATCAGTTTTGTCGTTCTCGCCGGACGGCACTCGCATCGTCACTGGTTCTTCAGATCACACTGTTCAGCTGTGGGATGCAGGGACGGGGAAGCAAGTCGGTGAGCCCTTGGGGGGGCACACTGATTCAGTTTTGTCGGTCTCATTCTCGCCGGACGGCACTCGCATTGTCACTGGTTCTTCAGATCGCACTGTTCGGCTGTGGGATGCAGGGACGGGGAAGCAAGTCGGTGAGCCCTTGCGGGGGCACACTGAAGAAGTTTTGTCGGTCTCATTTTCGCCGGACGGCACTCGCATCGTCACTGGTTCGGAGGATCACACTGTTCGGCTGTGGGATGCAGGGACGAGGAAGCAAGTCGGTGAGCCCTTGCGGGGGCACACTGATTCAGTTTGGACGGTCTCATTCTCGCCGGATGGCACTCGCATCGTCACTGGTTCAAGGGATCGCACTGTTCGGCTGTGGGATGCAGGGACGGGGAAGCAAGTCAGTGAGCCCTTGCGGGGGCACACTTCATTAGTTTCGTCGGTCTCGTTCTCACCGGACGGCACTCGCATCGTCACTGGTTCTTCGGATCACACTGTTCGGCTGTGAGATGCAGGGATGAGGCAGTCATCACAACAATGCGCCGAGTCAGATCCTCCAGCTCTCCCAGTTGAACATCGCGCGATGGAGGCCACCACTACCATGAAATCAAACACCTGGAACAATTACTTCATTCGGTTCTCATCCACCTCCATCCATGCGCTATGTGATACCTATGAACTCATTGAGGGAGCATCCCATGACGACCACAGTTTGACCCCCTCGACCCCCTTTTTCCTGAACTATGACAACGGATGGGTGGTAGGGCCCAAACAACGGCTTTTATTCTGGGTACCACCTGCTTCTCGACGCCTATTTTATAGCCCTGGAACTGCAATGGTGATCCCTAGAGGAGGTCCTGAGCTTGATTTGAGCCGCATGGCACATGGACAGCACTGGCAAAAGTGCCGAGAGGGGTGAGTCCTCAAACCCTTTTCCGTTCCTCAAACTCTGAACTCAACACTTGCAGGCCTTAGTGACGAGGATGATAACATCAATGAATGCATTATGGAGATTTCAGATACTATTTACATCTGACACCGACTGTACAGTCATCCTACGTGGTATTGTATCTATTCTATACTCAACGTCCAGTTCTAGTTCAGGTTTGTCCGAGCCAACGGCCTATTGAAGGGCTGACTGCGTGACTCTCGTGGAGCAAGATGTGAGAATGTGTCGATGGACAAGGTGTGCCTATTCTATTAGATGCTGTTGCGCGTGCGCAGTGGATTGTGCCGAAGTACAGTATACATTAGTGCTTCCTCATTGCGCACTCAGTAGCTGAATACATAGACATTGTCTTTATAGTCATCTATCACGATACAAAAGGAAGAGTCTGAGCATACTATACCATAGTGCTTTTTATTTTGACTAGCTTCGCTGGCATTTGGCTTGTGATCTTGGATGGACGTCGTATTAGTACACAAATAATACATGCTGCAAATACGACGTGCAGTAGCGGTCAGTATCTCAGGGGAGGGCGTTTTGCAGCGCCCGGAAGGGACCTGCACGTGCGATGATTGGTCTGATCCTCGATCGGCACTTCACAGAAATGAGTTTCAGGGTAAGGGAAAGTAATGAACTGAAAGAATGACATGGTCCGTCAGCTTATGTGACTTACGTGTCATGAAGGATGAGAACTTACTGATCGTTCGGCGACCACACCTTGAACGTGCAAGCGTCTTCGACATATATACGCTCCCAGCCTATGGGGAAAATCCGATATGGTAATAGCCACTTGCGCCGTTCATCGAAGGTGATCAAGATTCCTCGATTATTACAAAACCGATCGAGTTTATCGAGTAAGAATCTGCCGGGTAGCAGGATTGAAATGGATTGAAGTGGTTGACTCACCATTCTTCTGCACCTGTCTTCCAGCGCTATAAGTGCAATAAAAAAACCTTGGTGACTTGTTTGGATGAATTCTTGAAGAAATCCCTCCAGCGATGCTCGCCGATTAAGCGATCGAGCTGGGGACACTCGCGAGCTATTTCAATAATAACCATGTCGCATGCCCGATCAATGGGGAATGCCATACACACGAAGGTCAACCACATACACTGCAGACGATCCACACCACCGCTTACACTAAGCTCTTTGAAAAACGCGTAAAAGTACTTTGCGTCGACGCAGCATGCCACCTAACGCGCAAATTCTTGCTTATCCTTGGGCACGTCCATGTTGCAAATGGCGATCGAGGACGTAAGGGTGAACGACAGTGAGTCAGCGAGGTTCGTCGTCTCCAAGAGGAGGGGTAGGAATACGCTTTGGCATGGTGGAAAGATAGAGAAATGGTATGTTGGGAGATCGAGTTATTTAAGCAAAAAAGGATGGGCATGCGGTTGACGTGCCGAATCTGCGTGCTAGTGGCGACTCTTAAGGATCCCCCTGAAGGAGTTCACCTGAAGGGTTCCAGATTTCTGTGCCGTTTTAGTGCACCATAAGTAGTCCCGTATCAAGACAGGTAAAAAGTTGGCCCTGATGATCATAGCGGATATCGTGTTCCTATGTCCACATTAGTTGACAGATCTGGTTGATTTCAGGATATAATAAACGTTCAAACCAAAACAAGTTTCTTAAAGGCTTGAGCTCAACAAAACTTGTGCAAGGTCAGACAGGAATGGCCGAATGGGTCCAATGGCTCAAACTCGTCGAGATCCATATCGTGAGAAAAAACATCGGTTGTCTTGAATTTGACGCTATGTTCACTTCAAGTTCCTTTCATTCATGATATCTCCTAACTCTCGCCAGCCTCTTCCTCTCAGCTCGTCTTCGCAATTCAACATGCAAGTATTAAATTATTCATATACGTACCTTTAGCCAACGCGCTGTCTCTTCTTTCTTAGACTTCCGATCTGATCACGCCCGCTCATATGCACCCACACTGATCTACATGTTCTAATATCAGAGTGTGCAAAAAGTTGGTACTGGTTTTGGAGGCGACTTATTTAGGGCATCTGGCTTTGGCCAACGGTAAGTTGTTTACCCTATTCCACTACCCTCTACGACATATGCTAGGCTGACCCTCGATACATCATCGCCGATGCGTCCGCCGTTCTCGAGCATAGACTCGTTTAATTACTTATCTACATCTAGTCCTAGGCTTCACCCCGACACCACCTGAGAACGATGGCCCATTCATCGATCAAACCATCTAAACGCTCAAGGTAAGCACTTCTATACGCTTTTGTCTAGGTTATACTTACTCCCTCTAACCCATTTATTGTTCCCTCGTAGTCGAGATAGACGATGACGATGATTACTATGAAGAATAATTTCTTCGTCAGCCGCATCTGGTCTTCCCTGTTCATTTTGAACAATCAAAACTTTCCCCTTGTACTTCATTCGCCCGAGCCCATCGCCTGGTCCAAATGAATAAGAAGGACTTGTCGCATGGGCAGCTCTCGAACTTCGATATGCTACTCAGCGTACCAGTGATCAAGGACGATGGCGTCAACAGTTGGGTGTGTATTATAATCTGGTTCGATGCTTCATGCTAATAGACATGTCGCTTTCTCTATGGGTGTTAACAGATTACGGGGACCTGAACCAAAACCCGATGCACAATTCGACAATCACTGCCACTTCCCTTTCTTCGTTCTTTGTGCTCAGAACAGACGATGAGTTGTGATTCGGCATTGTGTGGAATTCTCAGCCCATCAGCTGTCTAAGCTCAGACACGCCGCTTTTACTTTGGTGATTCACAGTGCTTTTGCTCGCGTTCCATATGCCTGACCCGGATGGATGATCGCAGGAGAAGACAGCATGAAAGCAAGACCGATGTGTTATCAGCCATCTGTGCATTTACGATCACTGTCGCTTCTCGCGCTTTTTGTGCTCAGACAGTTGCTGATACTTTGTTAGCTTCCCGCTCAGCGCGCCTCATCTTCTTGTCACGCGCATTCATGGTAGAACTGTAAGTCTTCTAAAACTACCATACTCCATATCATTAAATCGTGCTTAACCCAGACGATTGTCATGGACGACATGACTTGCGGACAGTGATCAGCTGTGAGTTGGTTCAATCAGATTATCGACGTCCAATCCGCTGACTAGTACTCTGCAGGACATTGTTACCCTTTGTGTACGATTCGGCACTCCGCTGCTGCCAGATGGATAGTGATGAAAGTATCCAGGCGTTTTAGTTGATCCGATGCATCGTGAGCCGTATGCGGTTTCATGACTCGCTCGGGTCCCTTTTTCTTTTGCTTTGCCCGGGCACGTCATAGAGTCAGTGCGATCTGATAAAAGTACCTACTTCAGAATATCATGGCTCTTTATGTCTTCCGACTTGAGACTTGGAATATCTTTTCTACTTCCACTCAGCACTTCTAATCTCCTTCCTACTCGCATTCATTCGGTACAAATGCATATACTCACTTTTTTTTATAGATTGACATGCTGAATATGCTTTGATCAAATGTCAACCAGCGATATCATGCCTACTTCCACCCTTCACGCACGATTCATCTACTACCCAAATGTATGATGAACGCTTGAGCATGCCAGTCTGGCTTGTTACGCTCTCGTGCGTGACCCTTGGTCATTCAGCAGAAAGGGCTAGACTTACAGGTGCCATGTACTCATGTGCGCCCTTCGATGTTCAGGATTGGTACGATCATCATCTTTGACATTGCAAAATTTCCAATTTGTCTAGAGGATGCCTCATCTAACCGGCATCTATTCTAGGCTAATATCCGATCCTTCATTCATAGTACTTCCATTTAGTGTGGGGTTGGAAGTATTTTGTCCATAATCGAACATTCCTGCTTCGTGTCTTTCCATACAGGACAACTTCTCGTCATCGATACACCTCACATCTTCATGGACGGTTGATCATGATCATAGTCGCTCTCTGGAACTTTATTTTCATGATCATCCTGCGCTTTTTTGTCGCGGTGTATCACTAGTCACCGGCACCCACACGTCGTTTTCCTTACTGTGAACATATCTTGCTGTATCGCAGGTGTCATAAACTTTGGTCAAATCTCGCAGTTCCATCCGGAGTCTATGCATGGTTGTCTTGAGTCTCGCCGGCTGTAAATGTTTGGAGGGGGCATTATGATCGTATTCAAGTTGGTATTGGGGCTGACCTGCAAGTATCTATAGCATGATCATTAACATCAAGGCATCGCGAGATCTAGATCTATAGTAGTAATTACGCTGAAATTTCGAATTTCAGCTCTGGCTTGTGATACTTTGTCATGACCATCCATACATATTTAGTGCACAGACCGGGTTATTGTTATCGATTATCAATTGCAACAAGTGATGGGCCTCGAGGCGTGCCATAATCGTTTTATATAAATGGTGTGGTAGATTATCCCAGCAGATCATGACTCCGCGTTCCTCCAACTTCTCAAACCTGGAGGCAAGGGAAAATCAACCAAGCCTTTGTGGGGGCACACTGATTCAGTTAACTCGGTCTCGTTCTCGCCGGACGGCATTCCCATCGTCGCTGGTTCTTGGGATCACACTGTTCGGCTGTGGGATGCAGGGCATGCAGGGACGAGGCAGCCATTGCAACCTTGCGCCGGGCCAGATCATTTAGCGCTCTCATATGAAGATCGCACGATCGAGCCTGCCGCTACCATCAAATCTACTTTGAACCATTACTTCATTCGCTTCTCGTCCAACTCTATTCACGCGCCTTGTGACGCCTATGAGCTATCTTAACATGTACAACGACACTGGCAAAAGTGCCGATAAAGGCGAGTCTCTTCAAAGTCTTTTCGGGTCCTTGCGCTTATTAAAATCAACACTTGCAGATCTTAGTATTGACGATGACCGCAACGGTGGATTCATTATGGACAATTCAGCCATGACCGAGTGTACAGCGGACCGTGCTTCATATTATATTATATTTTCAGCATGTACTTTGGGTTTAGGGTTCTCCAAGCTCATAATTTGAGCTAAGAGACAAAAAAAGGTCGAAATCCATGAAGATGTGGTAGCGATGTCCTTGACGCGGTCCAAGATGTAAGAACAAACTATAACATTCAAGTTGGCATGCGAGTTGAAAGGATGCGAATGAGCAGCCACCTGAAGGAGCTAAAATGAAATACCTATTTGCATATCCATGAATATAACGCACCTCGTGCAAGTCTGTATGCCTGCTGAAAATCTAAGCCCCTTTTATGTTTGGTAATACAGGGGAGCTGGTCGGTTATCAGCAAGATGCTAAAGACTGCCGTATAAATGAGGACAGTAGTCGGAATTGCCGCTATTTCATTCCAGTGTGTCATCTGTCGCGTGGCCAAGCACGTCTCTGAGAGGATGGTGGATGATGTATCTGTCTAGCGCATCCTAAATGACGCATCTCACTTTCACGCGACTGAGTCGACAACTGGCACCGGTGTAAAGGACGAAGCTCATTATCCTGGCACATCATGAAGCGTGAGGAGAGGTACACTGCTTGTACTCACAAAATTTTCTGACATTGTAGCGGCTTTTCACACTCGATCCTGCGCGAACAGCTTGCGCACACTGAAATGGCGCATGATGGTGATGGAAAGGGTGGAGAACAGTAAGCTCGAGCATCGAAGGACTGAAAACAAGCTGTTCGGTAGCAGTGCTTGCGTGCAGTTGCGTGCCTGAACCCTGCATGGTTTCGTGTCGCAGATAGACAGAAGCTTCCGGTATCCGCTGTAGGACTGGCTTAGTCTTGATCAAATACATTGAAAGACCAAGCTTCTTTTGTCGACGTCTCAGTTAAATCATACGATGATCAATTAGGGAGGGTAAAGTTACAATAACAGAAGATCGCAGGCTGTGTTCGACATCAGTCTTGAGCGATTCCGAACTCCAAGAGCATTGTGTCTACAAGATCATAGGTTTGGGTAAGCACTAGACCAGCACTGGCACTGTGAATTGTAACAAATTAGACGTCAACGTATCCAGGCATGGAAGAACTTGCCCGATAATCTTAAGTTCGTTCAAAGTCCGTTCCTTTCCATTGAAAAGAAGCCACATGAGCATGTCAAATTGGTGCGTCGCATGGCCACCGAAGTTCAACAATTCGGGTTTGGGTGCCTTATGATCCTGGATGCATGATCACGCCCGAACCATCGAGCTAAACGCTAAACGCACCTTACTAAACTCGTTAGCCCCTACGTCAGACTCGTCGAATGGGTGCAGGGGCACGCAGTCATCTATCGCGTATTGATTCTGGAGCAAACACCACTTTGAAATGTAGCTGACTCACGAATCAACACTCGGCTGTTTGGTCCCATCACTTTGCGGATGTTACGGAGAATAACCCTTGACTCATCGTCTGGCCAGTTGTGAAGGACAGTCTTCAACTGTCTCTCATTATTGAGCAGCCCGCGTTGAGTGGGACCAAGCACTTACATAGTAAACATCCTTTCCAGCAACGGGTGACTCCTCTAAGAAATTCAATGGCACGAACTCTACCCGTCCGTCAAGCAGTGCCTCAGGAGCATTCGTCTTCCATATCTGATAAAAAAATAAATATAAACTTGTCCGCTGGGTGATAGACCTGATGCTCGGACTCACATCTCTCGACCGCTTGATAGTTTCTGGGAGGTCCTGATCGGTTATCCTAAGATGAGGGAACATCTTCGCCAGAGGAATAGACATGGCTCCCGTTCCAGATCCAACATCTACAACAGAGGACACATTGGCCCAAGGGTAATCTTATGACCCGATTCAGTCATGCTGGCGGTTGAGAAAACTGTGATCGCTCACGATGCAGCACCGCAAATGAGTTCTGGATCTCAGAATAGCCTACCATACTTCTGTGAAATATCTGTGGATAAGATTTCATGAGCCGTCAGTCTGTCATGAGTAGATGAATCTGCACGCACATCGTGTGCGGCATCCTGTACAATATGGTAAGGCATGAAAGACCAGTATGACGACTATGAAACTCACATCCATGTCCCAGAAGCCGTTGTTCTTACCTTCCTTTCTGAGAGCGAATGCTCGAGGGGAATGTTCAGCCTTGTCCGATCTTGCAAACTCTTTGTCGATCATAGTCTCATGGAGAACCGCAGCATACTTGGGGAATTCCCGTTGATATCCTATAAAACACCCACTGTTGTTTGTTGACTTGAGCACGAGGGAGAGTCGCGTGTTTGCGAAAACGTCTTGCTTGACTGTTTGACAGCAAAGGTTTCAGAGAGAATTGACGACAGTATGATGTGTATTACCTTCTTTGAAACAACCTCTGAGAGCCAAAATTCGCAAGACGCGTGCGATCTTGGTCTTATCGAGGTTGACTTTGTCAGCCAACGCATCGACACTAAGACCTTCGGGGTGTTTGTCCAAGATGTCTGCAATACGTGCTTGCACGGCGACGTCTATGCACGCCCAGTTGTAATTATTAACGAACTGGAAATGTGAGCAAAAAGGGATGTACGGCCGTCTATAATCGACGCTTACATTATATGCCGTGTGTTGAGGAGGAGCCAGTATTGTATTCAATTGCTCGCATGCACCCTCAAGCAGCCTGATCGCCTTTCTGAGGGCAAGTCCATCTGTAGCGAGGTCGAGGGGGTGGAAGGCGCCTGCGTCAACACCAGGGACTCCATGTCCAGTTTTCTTGTATTCCGCCATTGCTTCGCGTGCAGAGGTGTTGATGATGTCCAAGAGGGCTTCAACCTTGGCTTCATTCGGATCGATCATTTTGGGAGAGTGCAATGTAAATGATTCCGCATCAGCCGTCTAGGTTTTATATTCCTTGAAAAAACACATCATTTCCATGGCAAAGAGATAATAATGAGTGCGTGGAAGAAGACCAAAACTAAACCTAGTTCGAACACTCCAAATCACATCGGACCCACCGGAGCCTATGTCGTCCATATCACAAGTGAGTAGATAAGCCGAGGTTCACATTGGCATTCGCAACATGCATACTAACCAGCAAGAGGAGATCATCGACCGTTTCCGAGTATGTGCTGTGAGGTTCATCAATCAGTAGTACTGAATTCAGCTAGCCACACTGCCAGTTGTCAAAACACCACCCTGACCTAGCTACGGTTCCGACTTGTTTAGACGTCCGACTCGGAGGCTAGCGCTTACCTAAATTCATGTCGTACTTCACTGAAATTTGATCCGACGAGATTGTCTTGAGTTCTCCGTCGCGCGACAGCAAAAATGTTATCAAACGTAAACGGCAATTGCCGACCTCGGGCAACAAGGCTATGTCGGAGAATGACGTGGACGGTCTGTATCATCATTTTCATTGTCCTACTTCGTCCGACCGTCGAGCTCGCGGTCCTGGCACATACCTCTGCCATTTTGATCCAACCCTATCACCCGTGAGTGCCGCCACCTCCTTGCGTACTCTCAAAACCAATTTTCCTGTTGCCTGTAGCCTATGCCGTCGCCGGTCTATTTCTTTTGTTGACAGCGCATCAAAACTGAATGGCACGTCACGGTCCCGCCAAGATCTAGTGCCAGACCCCCATGGTGCTCAGTCACCACCTTTCCTCATCGCCCCTTCCCATCAATTCCCTTTCTCAGTCTTCTGACTTTGATTCCTTGCTCGACTCTTACTTCGTTTTTTTGTCGTTTCGATCTGTAAGCTCACTCTTGCGTTATGTCACGTCTTGTAAGTCATCCTCATCTTCATGTCACTCATTTTTTTCCCGCTAGTATCCAAATCAATGCTTCCTGTAGGGCCATTCGCTTGCTTTTATTTGGGTATGTCATCATTTCCTCTTTTTTCGCGTTGCACTCGGATTTTTATGATGTCATCGATGACAACAAACCAATTTGAAGCAGTTCAGCTGACTAGTTTAAACTCATCACAGTTGTGCGTGAGTGTGTGTACCGTATACCTGCGCCCGTAAGTGAGAACGCTTACGATGAATGTCAATGCTAAAACACTGCTACTATGCCAGATGAAGCTCCATCAACTACGAACAAACTGATTGGTCTGAGCCCCAGTCCCTTGATGGCTCGCCTGGAGAGAGGAATTGACTGATTCAGTATCTTATTCGCAGGTATTGCTTGCCTTAGACAGCTGTTTGGCAGTACAATAGATTCAGAGTATACAAAATTCCCAGATGAGTAGTTGAAGGTGATACGTTCTCAAAGTTGTAGCCTCGTGTTTGTGAACATAAATGAGAAATTAAAGTAGTCCATGGCATGACTTTGCTTGGAACAAAGAAAATCTCTTCGGTCTTGTTCCGCTGCATAAACAAGTATCAACAACGCAAACCACCTTGGGCGCGTCTCCCGACTCGGAGCACCGCAAGGCGACCTGCACTAATGAGCTTGGCAGAAACGCGCGATGATCCACACAACACTTGAGATCTTGAGACGCCAACGATATTCGACCTTGCAGAGAGCAAGTTATTGGTTTGTTTGACCTCAGCGGTACTTTTATTGATGTATCCTTGCAACACCGTGACATAACATCCACTCAAACACGCCTTGCGGGAGAGACGCACTCTGGCCTGCCTGACTCGGAATTGTCACCATCCAATATTCCAGCAACTCCATCAACTCCTTATTTTCCAAGGTGAGAATTAATATGATCCTATCGTTCCCCTGCAACGGATTGGGAATAACACACTGATGTTCTTCATTCATCCTGGGTGGTAAGTAGTTCTCATTTCCTTAACTTTGCCTCATTCTTTTAAAACTAGCGTCCATTATACACACTTCATCCTCGTGGCTTCAAGTCCAGCCATCCGTTCTTCACCTCCATAATCGAGATGTTGTCTTATCACACCGCAGGAGTCACAATGCCCCAGTGCTACAGTTATTGCGGAGTTGTCGCATTTCAAGCCGTCAAGCAGACCTGATATGGGCAACAGTGTCAAATTCGTCTCGACATATTGCACGCACAAGATTGACCAGACGGTTGACATGCTCAACTCACCCAATTCCCCGGTCTCGTATCGGATCATAGGCTATTGTCCCGAGAATCCTCATGAGGCTTGACATCGTATGTAACACGTCGCCTTATGAACAAGGTCTAGCAGCTGACGCTCGAACTGTTCGTACACTAGGTGGATATCGCTGGGTTTCCCAACGAGTGCGGAGAGAACTGCAATCCATCAGGCTCATTTTTGTAAGTCGTCCATCTGATTCCACAAGTGCAACTCTCTTTAACTACAGTCTTATTAGTGTTTTAGCGATATTCCTGTTCATGGAAGCAGAGCTTATTGGCCTAACGACCAGCCGAACTATGGTCTTCAGCCGTCGTCTTGAGTATCGTGGGCTGTAAATATTTGGAGGGATAGTGTGGTCATATGGATCTTGAGGCAGACTTGCAAGTCTCTATTAAAGCGCGCATAGCGTTTGGATGGGTGCATCATCTTGCGAGGTTTCGCGAGATCTAGAATTATGCAAATAGTCTTGAAATTTCAGGTCTGGCCAGTCAAGACCATGTACTTTGTCACAATCGTTCACATCACTTGGAACCATAGGCTCAACGCGCACGCCATACAAAGATTCGGGTGCGATCGGCATTGGAATGTTTACCGGCATCGCTCTTTACTTGGAACAAGTATTGCCTCGAGGCGTTGCCATAATAGTTTCGTATAAGTGGTGTAAGCCCTTATCTTACTTCCCTTACTCTTTCCTTCAACTGCTATTCACAATGACTCGACAGAAAGGCAACTCATCGAGGGATTCGACTCAAGAAACATCCAGTCAAGCAGCAGCTCCTGGAAGCTCGGTACGTTGGATCGCTTACTATTCCACTCCACTCCAAACACTGACATTGACGCATCCTTCTAGCATCGACCCCGTAGCAAAATCGGTCGGTTTCTGAAGAAGCTTAAGGAGGATACGAAAAAGTTTAGGACGGTAAGTCCACGAACATGCGTGATGAACATCCTGGAACACCACTAAAATTGTAATAAGCGCTCGAAGGGTTCACGCAGCCAAGTTAGCCCTGCTCCCCCAAGTGATGAACGTCCATCGACCCCAACTACCGATGTAAGTTCTCACACTTGCCCTAGTCTCTGCTCTCTAAATTTTGGGGATCGCGCAGGTTCAGGCTGCTCCGTCTGATGCAGAAGTGGAGGCTGATAGCACGAAATCGGCACTTCGGAATGCAAGAAAGAAAGAAAAGGGCATCCATCCACTTCCGAAACCTGCGGAGACTGCGGTATCTGTTGCAGGAGACGCAGAATCGGATCTCGATGATGTTGACAGTTTCGATGACACATATCTCGAACCCCTCAAGATATTTGACAGTATTATTGACAAGATCGCGGATGTATGGACCCTCCTCTCGATCAGAACCGAACTGATCTAGTTCCACAGCTACATCCATATGCGAAGATAGCACTGGGCGTGTTGTCGTGGACTGCCAAAGTATGTTTTATGCTTATCTCTTTATATCTATCAGCGCTCAGCAATCATTTGCACAGATTATTCTAGCTCAAACAGATCGCGACAGAGAAATATACAAACTTCTCAAGAAGTTGTGTCGAGTTTACCGCTTCATAACACAAGACGGGAAGCTTAACCAAAAACTGTCTATGCGCGCTACTCGTATCCTTGGAAAGATTTCTAAGCAGATACGTGAGTGCGCCAATTTTATCGGCAATTATTCGGAGACCAGCGACTTTTGTGAGTGTCGCTCGCTGCTGCGCCCTGCACCATCTCAGACTTCTGTTATCATCACAGGGAAAAGACTCGGAAAGAACGTTGGCTCGGAAACGACGAATACCATCCAACAGTACAATGACGTGTTAGATAGGCTCATGAGCGACTTCCAGGACCAGGTTTTGCACGATGTAGCCACACAGGTCGGCGACATAGACATACAGGTCCACCATATAGGTAAGGATTTGGATGTCCTTGGTGACTTGACATATATTCATACCTTTCCAGCACAGATACTGGAACTCAGCGGTATGACCTATGCAAAGGGTGCGGGACTAGATACCAGGAAAGAATGCCTTCAAGGGACGCGCACGGAAATCCTTTCCGAGATCACGGAGTGGGTCAAGAGCACTGGGAACGACGTTCCACGCGTACTGTGGTTATCTGGCCCTGCAGGCAAAGGAAAGTCGGCCATTGCCCACACCATTGCTAAGTGGTTCGACGACGTGGGAGGGCTTGGTTCGTGTTACACTTTTGACCAGTCGCGTAAAGCAGATCGTCGCCACGAAAAGATATTTTCCACGATCGCGCGCGACCTGGCTGACCGTGACCCGAAGATGAGGCGGGCATTAGCAGATGCAGTTCAGTCCACAATGTCGCTCAAGACCACGGCGGATATCGTCCAGCAGTGGCAAAAACTTCTTATCGGACCACTCAAGAAGTCAACTGAGTCAAGTGTGCCAACTAAAGAACCCATCGAACCCATCGTGATCGTGATCGATGCGCTGGACGAGAGCGGTGAACCAGAGACACGGAGAGATCTCCTCCGTATTCTAGCTGGCAAGCATCAAAATCCCAATGTTCCTAATATCACAGCCCTCCAAGACAACTTGCGCTTCATCGTAACCTCTCGCCCGCTTCGTGACATCAATGACGAGTTTCATGGTGTTCAGCATATTCGACCGATGTCGATGGATGATATTCTACCAGAATCCGCAGAGCGCGACATCCGTGCTTACGTATCCAATGAGTTGAAAGGATCGGGTTTTAAGGACAGAGAGTTTGAAGTCCTCGCTAAGAAAGCTGATGGACTTTTCGAGTGGGCGCGTCTCGCCTGCGAATACATCAAAGGGCCCCATCTGGGGCTATCTCCAATTCATTGCTACAAAAAAGTCATATCAGACGGTCCTGCTAAGTTGCACAGCATGTATCGCCTCATTTTAACGAATATTATGCCCAAGGATACATCTACCGATGACCAGCATTCGCCGAAATTTGATCCGACGGCGCTAGCTGCATTCCGCTCAGTGATGGGACAAATACTGGGCACAACTGAACCCCTTCCTTTAGCTTCCCTGAAAGCCATGAGGCGCCATTTTCCAACACCAGAGGATGATGTTGAAGTGGAGCTTGTGGTACAAAACATGGGCGCCCTCCTCAGCGGCACCACCAATCCAGATTCCCCAATCCGACCTCTTCACGCCTCCTTCCGTGATTTCTTGACAGGCACAACCAGCGGAGAGTTTTTCGTGGACGTGTCAAAGGCGCAACGCGACCTTGCATTTGCTTCTCTTCGAGTGATGGAACACGGTCTTCGCTTCAATATCTGCGACTTAAAGTCATCGTATCTGCCCAATAGCGAAGACCCCAGACTGCAAGAACGAGTTCAAAAGTGTATCCTTCCACTTCTTTCATATTCCTCTCGATTTTGGACTTCGCACGTAGGAGACACAACCTTCGACGAGGAGCTTGCGGAAGAAGTGAAAGTGTTCTTCAACCACGAGCGGCTGTTGTTCTGGCTCGAGTTACTCGCCCTGATTAACGCCCTCAGCAATGCAGTTCCTGCCCTTGGACTCATTCTTCGGTGGCTAACGGTAAGTACATTTATACGGTGCACTAGATAAAGTGCTTACTCGCGCAACCACAGGGCCATCCTGAATTCGAAGATGTCTCATTGGCCGTAGTGGACTTACAGAAGTTCATTCAAGTCTTCAGCGGCATAATTTTACACAGCACACCGCATCTATATGTATCAGCTCTTCCATTATCGCTTGCCAACTCTTTGCTACCGAGAAAATTTTCTGCACGATTTCCGAATATTCTTCGTGTGGCATCTGGAGGTGACATGAACTGGCTGGCTGGTCAGAACGCGCTTGGGGGGCACACTGATTCAGTTTTGTCGGTCTCATTCTCGCCGGACGGCACTCGCATCGTCACTGGTTCGGACGATCACACTGTTCGGCTGTGGGATGCAGGGACGGGGAAGCAAGTCGGTGAGCCCTTGCTGGGGCACACTGATTCAGTTTGGTCGGTCTCGTTCTCGCCGGACAGCACTCGCATCGTCACTGGATCTTGGGATCACACTGTTCGGCTGTGGGATGCAGGGACAGGGAAGGCAATCTGTGAGCCCTTGCGGGGGCACACTGATTCAGTTTTTTCGGTCTCGTTCTCGCCGGATGGCACTCGCATCGTCTCTGGATCTTGGGATCACACTGTTCGGCTGTGGGATGCAGGGACAGGGAAGCCGGTCGGTGAGCCTTTGCGGGGGCACACGTCTTTGGTTTTATCAGTATCATTCTCGCCGGACGGCACTCGCATCGTCACTGGTTCTTCGGATGACACTGTTAGGCTGTGGGATGCTGGGACGGGGAAGCAAGTTGGTGAGCCCTTGCGGGGGCACACTGATTCAGTTTGGACGGTCTCGTTCTCGCCGGACAGCACTCGCATCGTCACTGGTTCTTCGGATGAGACTATTCGGCTGTGGGATGCAGGGACAGGGAAGCCAGTCGGTGAGCCCTTGCGGGGGCACACTGATTCAGTTAAGTCGGTCTCATTCTCGCCGGATGGTACTCGCATCGTCACTGGTTCTTCGGATCACACTGTTCGGCTGTGGGATGCAGGGACGGGGAAGCAAGTCGGTGAGCCCTTTCGGGGGCACATTCATTCAGTTGCGTCGGTCTCGTTCTCGCCGGACGGCACTCGCATCGTCTCTGGATCTTGGGATCACGCTGTTCGGCTGTGGGATGCAGGGACGAGGCTGCCATTGCAACAGTGCGCCGAGTCAGATCATCCAGCTCTCTCAGTTGAACATCGCACAATCGAGGCCACTACTACCATGAAATCGAACATCTCGAACAATGAATTCATTCGCTTCTCGTCCAACCCTGACCATGCGCTTTGTGACACCTATGAACTAATGGAGGGAGCATCCCATGACAACCACAGTTCCACCCCTTCGACCCCCTTTCTCCTGGATGATGACAGTGGATGGGTGGTAGGGCCCAACCATCGGCTCTTATTTTGGGTACCACCCGCTTCTCGACACTTATGTTATAGTCCTGGAACTGTATTGGTGATACCCAAAGGAGGTCCTGAGCTTGATTTGAGCCGCATGGCACATGGGCGGCACTGGCAAAAGTGTCGAGAAGGTGACTTTTCTCAAAGCCCTTTCTGTCCCTCGCACTAAAATCAATACTTACTACAGGCCTTAGTAATGACGACGATTGCAGCAATGAATCTGTTATGGAGATTTTAGATACTATTCAAATGTGATACCAAGTGTATAGTACATCGTGCGTCGTATGCTATTCTACACTCAACATATAGTTCAAGTTCAGGGTTGTCTGAGCAAACGACTTATTGAAGGGGCTGACTGGGTGAGTCTCGTGCACTGGATAACATGAGTGCGGACAAACATACGTACGGTGCTTACCACGTATCTAAATGACATGCGATTACATAATTTCAAGACCTTATATTCAGGAGATCAGTGTTTATCATCTATATCTGTTATCTGTCCTTTACGTATGCCGTTTAGTGCGGAGAACGATCCCGTATTTATACTGGCCATTCGACACTTGAACTCACTCTCTCATCTAACACGAATAAAGATGCCATCACACAACATCGATTTCAAGACTCCAATCAAAGAAATCCCAATGGCGGAACTTATGAAAACCAGTCATGCTCCTGAGCACGCAGGTGGCTTTGGTGACGTCTGGAAATGCATCTGGTCTACCTCTTCTAGTAATCCCCCTACCACAGTGAGCCCAACTACAGCCACGCGTGAATGCACATTGATTGAAATTTCTAGGTCGCAATCAAGGTAGTGAGGGTCAATCCACATATGGTGACATCGTTGAAAATGGCCACACGGGTAAGGACTTACGTTACAGCATAATTAACAACACTTGCTTATTCCTGGTGACAGGATATACGACGTGAGGCCTGCGTCTGGGCTAAATTGAAACACGATCATATCCTCTCGCTTCACGGAATTACAACTGGTTTTGGAATTTTACCAGCATTCGTTTCATCATGGATGACGAAAGGGTCTCTCGATAGCTACCTGAAACAACAACCCTGGCTTTCGACATTACAGAAGCTGGACATGGTAAGCGCTTGCGTTTGCAAAGACTAGCCGAATCTCAAGCAAAGCAGTCACGCCAGATAGCATCTGGTCTCAAGTATTGTGCGTGATTCCAATTTTTCCATGTACGGTTCAGGTTGAAATAGCTGCTTAGTGCATGAAAAAGACATTGTCCACAACGATTTGACACCGGTAGATATCTTATCGTTTGCAGAACTAGTGTACTTGAGAGATGACGATATCATGAATCTAGAACAACATACTCATCGATAGCGACGACAAACTTTGCCTCGCAGACTTCGGTCTCTCAATGATCCTCCCACAATCGGGAAGCTTCATGTTCTATTCCTGCCACGCGGGTAATGCGCGTTGGATGGCCCCCGAAATGGTTGATGTTTGGCAGGCAAAGCCCACAAAGCCCGCAGACGTATATTCTCACGGTTGTATCATGCTTCAGGTAAATATCTTGTTTCGTTCATGGTTCATGTTTGACACTCCGAAGCTACTTTGTGGTCAACAACCTTACTTCTGGGTGCTGAATGCGTTTCACGTGATGGCAGCGATATTGAGAGGAAGAAAGCCCTTCCGCGAGCTCACCGGCATTGACGAAGATCAGAAGCAGTATTGGCTGGAATGTCTGTCCACTGATTTCAATGCTCGACCTAAAGTTCAGGAAATTGTAGCGTTCCTAGAAGCCGAGATCAGAAAATTTGATGACGAGTAATTATAATCAGCGCAATTCATACGGCTACTATGAATACTTTGTCCGTATCGATTCACGACCTCACACACCTTTCAGTCACCTTTGCACTTATCACCGTGCTTTAAAAGTCTGCGTTCGGAGCTTATCTTCCTGAACACGCGCGCCTGTCAAGCGTGACGAGTGAACTTCTACTACTATTTTATGCGAGGGCCGACTCTAATCCGCAAACTGACTCGCACTCCAACTGACGCATGTAGCCATCAACTAACAGTACAGCGAGTCAACGTTCATGGCTGAGTATGGGAAGACAGGTTGATCATCAGTCTCGAGATGACGCATCACGTTGTTTGCGCAAATGCAGTCATATAGACCACTATCAGTCGTTAGGCCCCTTTGACAGCTAATGCTATCAAGTGCGCCAGTGAATGAATATTCATTTTTATCATGCGAACGAGCGCTTACCGATCGATGGCACAAACAGCGTGGAAGTTCTTCAGCAGATGCTCATATGTGGAACGGATCTGAGTTAACTGTGGAGATTATGAGCGGAGGGCTAGAACAAAAGGTACGATCTCAGTGTTTGGTCAAACGACTCTAATATTAATTAGTACCTAGAACAAAAGGTACGCTATTGTTTTGGTTAGCATCTCGCTAACGTATACGAAACGGTAAGTACTTACATCTCAGTGTTTGGTCAGACGACTCAGATGTTCGCTCGAAGGCTCACTGCCTTTATAGATCGTAAGTACGGAACGGAATAGAGTGGAAAATTTCGACATATATTGGATGGCGCAAGGTCATGTCAAGAGGGCGCAGCCTATTGGCTGCGCCTGGACTGCGCTCGGACCAGCTTATACTTTCGGCTTCTCGACCCCCGAGACTTCGGGGTTCCTTCCTTCCGCGTCCTCTGTCTCATCGGTGACTTCGGACTTCAACATCAACATCCGCAGACCTGAACAAGTAACATTTCGGTAGTACTAACTTTGAATCAGTCACGATCTCCTGGAGGAGTCGCCTGAGCGCGCGTTATTTATTCTCGCCGTGCACTGCGGGTACATAGATGCCGAAGATGCAAGACCATGAGTCTACAATGTCTTCTGGCAGTCGCGACATGCCTTGACGCGAATTGAATTCTTTCGGGCGTTTATCATCCCTGGTTCAAGGAAGGCGCTAAGAGCCTGTGCATCTATACCCGTTGCATCCTCCATCTTATGCAGGATTTGAAGAGAATCCTTGTAGTTGGGGAAGTCATCGTTGTCGGCCCAGATATGGAGCCAATCCTCCGAGTCTGGGTATGTAGAAGCTAAAGGACGTCACTCAGCGTCAGCGGAGAATAACCGCTATGAAAATGTTCACACTACCTAAGGAAGTTGTTAGAGGGGGAATATCATAAGAGAGAGAGCGCGTGCATAAAGACGGAAATATACCTCAGTGTCTGGATGAGAACTGCTGTAATACAGACCGGACGACACAGCACTACAGATTCATCATGAATGCTGCTTCCTATGTTTCCATAAACGCGAGGCTGTTTGCCTGGTCACCCGGGTTTCGCCAGAAGACAGGTGGAATGTCTGGCTTGGGACTGGTGTCAAGAAAAAACATCGCGCATAGACCATAGTGTGAAAATTGAAAGTGTACCAAGTATGTGATGATAGGAAGTAACAGAGGATGAAAACAATAGTCCAAAGGCATGATGAACATGAGGAAGCACATATATGCATACTTATCAGTAGAAAAATGTCAATCAAATACTCAGTACCGGCATGTAAGAGCCCGGATCGAGCACATCGACCCAGCGCGCCAGAAAGAAAATAAGAACAAAAGCGCCAGAAAAAAACCAAGCTGTCGTCGCTGTTGATATCATAGAGCTGCATTACCTTCCGCCTCCCCAACGTCCTCCTTAACTGATACTTCCTCGCTGTGTGCCTCCTGCGGCACGTCGGGAAGGCCTGGGTCGGCGCCAGAGTATTCGGGGTAGTGATGAGACACGCTTTATCCCACTACATGCCAAGTAGTTTTGAGATGAGATGCGACCCAGAGTCGCTTCCAGCACGCATCCAACTGTTACATCGGACTGCCGCACAATATGTAGGCGGTCTGCACGTATAGATACCGTGTCTTCAGAGGGCGTCGGTTCTACATTGAAAGACGAAGAATGAGTATCAGCACATAAAACTCAATTAGATACATCAAAGGATACATCTCGAAAAGGCATGCTAAAAAAGCACAGGTAACACGTTTCAAGAGCATCAAGAACTCACCGTACATCCAAATAACACCCTCCGAACCAGCCAGCACTTTTAAAGCAAGCAACGACAATCTCCCCTTACACGTCTCCTCGAATGGTCACATAATCTCCAGATGAATCGCCTATCAACGTTGATCAAACCTTTGAGTAGACAAAACAGTGTAGTATAGGTAGCACGCACCGAATACCGCTCCAATGCCCACTTAGCCTTCACTTTCTTCAAATTCAGCCCACCCGTAGCCTAGTTCGAGCGTAAAGTCGTTTTTAGCGCAGCCCATGATTCGTTCATCGGGTTTTTACCAAGTCCATTCTGGAAGAAGATAAATGCGGACGTGTCTGTTGGCACATTATGATGGCTCAGCCATCGATCATGTAGTGACCAAGCGAGCTTACACCAGGTGGACAGGAATATGGGAGTAGACTCGGATTTTTCCACATGTGCTCTTGCGGCCTGGCACAAATATTGAGGGACCGTGCTGCAAAAGAAGCAGGCTGCCAGTGGAAATGATCGTGCATTTAAAATGGTATCAGGTGTTTGTTACATGCATGTCGAGAATGCCTTGACGAGGCCATGGTGAGACGAAAGCAGAGCTAAGGAGACCAGATCTAAAGTTGCACCCGGCATGTCAGAGTACTTTGAAGGTGATGCATGAATCTTATCGAATAAGCGCCGTCGCTGGGCCGATCGTCGCGAAAGTACAATAACTCAATCACCAATACATGACAACAATCGCATGCCGCACTAGTGATTGGACAGTGGTAAAACGAAAGATGATTCGGCAGTACATACTACATAGGTATGAAAATCTATCAGGGTATGGTACATATCGCCCAAGGAATGGTAGTAGTAGTACAAGAAATGGAGGTTCAGATAAAAATACAAGCATGGAGGCCGGACGACATTGCAATTGTATTTGCTCAATACGCTCACCAGGGCTGCTCGTCGACAGTGCCCCACCCACTGGTAGAGCTCTTGGGAGCCTTTGCCGAGGTCCGCCCACCACGCTTGCTACTGACGGCAGAGAACCCATCATCGTCAGGGTATCCAGCAGCGCTATGGGCATCCACCTGATCTGCCCAGGAAGTAGAAGCCTTCTTATTGGCCCAGGAGTTGTTGGAGTTGATGTTCAGCTGGGTTTTCTGCTGGGATTGGAACTTCTGTTGGGGTTGGAACTTCTGCTGCGACTGCGGCTTCTGCTGCTGCTGCCTCCATTGAGGCTGGGATTGGGCCTGAGACTGAGGCTTCCGCTGTGACTGGGGCCTCTGCTGTGTCTGCAGTTTCGGCTTTTGCTGAGTCTGCGCCGGGGGCCTCTGCTGAGGCTTGGGCTCCAAAGGGTTATCAGTCTGCCAAGGATCATAACTAGCTTCAGATTTGCCCCAACCATCATCAGACGGCTCAGGCGCGCCATTGCCCGCAGGTTGTGCCTCCTCCTCAGGCACATCTTCGCCTGCATTCCACGAGGCATTTGACGTATTATCCCATGCATTCAAAGTTTCAGCTGCGACGGATTCCGCTTCGTTGATGCTTTCCCGGCGCTCAATGGCAGCAGCGGATACGATGGCCCTAGGAGCGCTTCGCCAGTTCGACTTCACGGGCGCACCGCGACCTCGGAAAGCATCGTTAGGAGCTCCACCACGATCAGTGCCTCTCCCTCCTTCTCCGCCGCCTCCGCCATACCCCCTGCCTCTGCCTCTGCCCTTACCCTTCTTGTTGTTCGAACTTGCATCTTTCTGTGCTCTCTCCACATCGCGAACCTGCTTCGCGTACTCCCTGCAAATTCCCTTCCTGCAGATGATTCCGTGGGCGTTGCAGATAATCGGCTTCTCCTGCTCCTTGCTGTCATTGAGCTCCCTCCACTGTGTCTCGGCATCTGCAGGAGCATCGTCCCAAGTAACCCCATCGCCGATGGGATAATCTGACCAAACTTGAGTACCCATAGGCTCATCCCAATTTCCGGGTGCGATGGAGTCCAGCTCAGCGAGATTGGGATCTATGTCATCATGAACTGACAACCCGTCCAGCGCCCGTTCCATGCTTTCCGAAATTTGGACTTGAACCCTGCATGGACCGTCGTCAGGAGTGAGTATGATGTCAGTGCTGGCATTGGAGGACCCTCCGTTGGAGCTCCAGCTAGCGATACTCGTGTTATCGCGATCGATGCCAGGCGCCATCTCGATGCGAGGAGCGTTCCATGCGTTTGGTACTGCTGAAATTCCAGGAGGATAAGTAGGGTGAGACATCCCGGCATTCCAAGGTTGTGGACCACTCAGACCGGGAGGGACGGTGGGAGATTGGTTGGATAACGTTCTGGGTAAAGGAGAGGGGGCTCCGCTTGGGGGAGTGTTCCTTCCAGATCCGGTAGGGGAGTCTGACCACCCATTCGTTCCAAGTCCTGAGGGCGTAGGAAGGCCGACCCCTTATCATGAAACAAAGGAGGCGTTGAGTGTCGATCGTACTTCAGAGCGAACAAAAAGTGGACGACATACAAACATCAGATGCTTTCACTGCGATGGGTCCGCCACCAACTGCGGGCTGCTTCTTGAGCCCAGGGATGGGCGGAGAGGAAATGGCGATAGCAGCCTTCCATCCGTTGCCGACTGGTGCTGTAAATTTCGGAGCACCTTTGGCCCACGCACCTGCCCTTGAGATGGGAGCAGGGAGCTGTTTGTCGGTAATCCATTGTTCAGAACCGACGACTGTAGCAAGGATATTGATAGATTAGACCGGAAACAGGGAGAGGTAAAACAACCCCGGGCTTACCTGGTACAGGAGCGGTCAGCGTCTCGGGGGGAGGGCGCTTTACAGCGCCCGGAAGGGGCCTACACATGGGATGATTGGTCTGATCCTCAATTGGCACTTCACAGAAATGGGTTTCAGGGTAAGGGAAAGTGATGAAACTGGAAGAATAACATGGTCCGTCAGCTCATGTGACTGAAAAGTCATAAAGGATTGGAACTTACTGATTGTTCGGCGACCACATTTTAAACCAAGCGTCTTCGACATATATACGCTTCCAGCCTGCGAGGGAAATCCGATATGGTATTAGCCACTTGATCCGTCCATAGAAGGTGATCAAGATTCATCGATTATTACAAAACCGATCGAGCTTATCGAGGAATCTGCCGGGCGGCAGATTGAAATGGATTGAACCGACTGACTCACCATTCTTCTGCACCTGTCTTCCAGTGCTATAAGTGCAATAAAAAACCTTGGTGACTTGGTCCTGTTCTTGTTTGGACGAGTTCTTGAGGAACTCCTTCCAGCGATGCTCGCCGATTAAGCGATCCAGCTGGGGACACTCGCGAGCTATTTCGATAATAACCATGTCGCGTGCCTGATATATGCGCCACGATGGGGAATGTCATAAACACAAAAGTCAACCATATATAATGCAGATGATTCACACCACTTACACTGGGCTTGTGGAAAAATGCGTAAAAGTACTTTGCGTCGACGCAGCATGCCACCCAACGCGCAAAGTCTTGCCTATCCTTGGGCAACTCCATGTTGCAATGGCCATCAAGGACGTAAGGGTGAACGACAGTGAGGTAGCGAGGTTCATCATCTCCAGGAGGAGGGGTAGGAATACGCTTTGGCATGGTGGAAAGATAGAGAAATGGTACGTTGGGAGATCGAGTTATTTAAGCAAAAAAAGGATGGGCATGCGGTTGACGTGCTGAATCTGCGTGCTAGTGGCGACTCTTAAGGATCCCCCTGAAGGAATTCACCTGAAGGGTTCGGAGTTGCTATGTCGTTTCAATGCAGCACAATCCCGTATAAAGACAGATAAAAAATTGGGGTCGTGGCACCGACCCTGATGATAATAACAAAGATCGCGATCCTGTGTTCACATTAGTTGTCAGATCTGGTTGATCCCTGCATATAATGAGGTCTCAAACCAAAGAAAGGTCCTTGAAAGCTTGAGCTCAACGAAACATTTACAAGGCAAGCGGGCGTGAAGATATACAAAGAATATGAGATTGTAGACAGGAGTGGGTCCTCGAAGGTGCTTGATATATTCATATCCGTGAGAAAGAAAGCACCGCCTTGGAGCATCGTCGACTCGGAATCAAATCCTATAGCTATCGCAGGCCGCCACTATCCTTCAAGTTATGATGGTCTACGTCAAATTTATTCTCTTGAAGCGCTCCATTTCGCTTATACAGTACTAGTGGCGAGCAACTTAACCAGTCTTGAAAGTCAAGATCGATCCAGACAACGTACAAGTGCGGGTGGCCTCGGTAATGCTAACCATAACCGTAGTGGCTGTGATAAAACGTCATCCCCATAGCCACACTGGCAACGACTTGAGATGAAACAGGTATGTATGTAAAACCCTTCTATCAATCCCAAACTCACCAATCTACGGCTGGCCTATCACCAGGGACCTAGCCAACCTTGCCAGGCCGAAGGTATGTTATATACTAGGATTTCAGGCCACGCTCACACATAATTATCAAGCTTGTGCACTCCAAACATGCATTTCAGCGAACACGTACTCTCCAGATAAATGCGATGCACATCTCAAACGACTCTATCAATGCTGTTCTAAACTCTATCAGGACCGTACGGAGAATAACGGCACAGAACGTGGCAATGGTTCTGATCAAGAGAACATATCGACAGCGTGCCCAATGCAAAAGGTAGTTGAACGGTGGATAAAGAATCATCCTTCCTGATCGGCGCGACAACATTCCTGTACGTGCCACAAATTCATCCACTTCACACAAGATTTCAACCGATAGTAGGGCTCAATCGGATGTATCTGCCCGCACTGGCAGATTTTGAAGTGCTTTCGGATAGTCGACCCTTGATTATGTTAGAAGCGTGTAAAGTCGACTTCTCGGGTGCTTTCTAGGTTGTTGGACATGAAAAACGGCGATGATTTTTATTGCACAGCCATACCAATGTTGTTAGGCGCTCAATTGAAGCACGCTAAATTTACCTCCACCGGACCACGCATGAGGCTGTGGCTCAACTAGTAAGCGTCACTTACAGCGAGCGCCCGCAAGCCCGTCATATAAGCGTGTGTCGGTGTAATTTCACCGTCTGCTGGTTTAGCGGTTAATAAAGACCCTGCTGGTACTCATCGCTTTGACTGAATCGCCTCTGCTAATAACACCCAGTCCACTATGACATCTACCTCTACCCCTTCAGATGCAAGCTCCACAATATCCATCGAAACCATCACAGGAATCGTCATTGGAGTTGCGGGAGGCGTAGCTGTGGTCGCAGTTGCATGTTTCTATTTGCGGTGTTGGTGGAGACGTAAAGGAAAATGTGCGAGGGTTCGCAAGAGCGGGAGAGGAGTAGATCCTGAAGAAGAATTTGTGTCGGGGGTATCAAACTTTAGCATCCATGATCGACTCGAACAGTACAGTCACAGGCAACAACCATCTGTATCTCTCGAACCCCTCCTTCTCCCTTCTCCGCCCCATGCTTCACAGGATACCATCCCGGGAGTCTCAGCTCCCCAAATACCACTAGACTGGTCTTATCACCCTCCCATCCTACCCAACACATCAACAGATCACAACTATTTCAGCCTCTACGACACTGACGACCCATTCGCCCGCATCCAAAGGGCAATACCCCCCACATATCCTGCACACCACCGTGACATGCCCGTGTCTACGCGCAGGGTATCGCATGAAGTACCGCTTGAACAATATTCCAGGCACACAGCTAAGAACCCCGGCCCAAATTCCCCGCTTTTCATCAATCGCACTCTGACCCGTCACTCGGGTCCGGACTTTTTCCCAGGTCGGGCAAGCACTTTCCCGTTTTCGTCGGCAGACCCTCCCCAATCCATATCTTCTCAAAGCGGAAGTGACACCAGTACTGTTCATTTGTTTGCAGAGGCGCCTCTACCCACACCTCCACCCAAGCCGCGGATATCAATTCTCAGTCCACTAGCCGAACATACTAGTACTCCACGAGAGGTACAGCCCCAGACAGCAGGTAGCGAAGTCGACGCTTACAGCCACGAATCCATCTATTCACAAGAATCCGCACAACATCCCTCCCATCCTCCGGAACCCCAGCTACCATCCCAGTCATCAAAAAAGAGCAGATCATCCCAGAGATATTCAAGGTCGCTGACACTATCAGACCTAAGCCCCGTTATCGAAGGTTCGACATCAATGAGCGAGCCTCCCTCCAATGATATCTCAGAAATGCAGAAAAGGCCGTCTCTCACATTCTCAGAACTCGAAAGATCATCTTCCCTCTCAGTCGCACTCTCTCACAACACACCCTCTACAGCCCCCGAATTCACTTCGTTTCCCCTCCTTTCATCTAACGATGCATTCAGAAAGAGCGGTTACAGCGCATCGACATTATCTCCCTCGAGCAGCCGAGCGACGAGGTATCCTTCATTGGCAGCGTCCTCGTCTGGCTCGAATCCTCCCTCTAATTCAGCCACCGAGTGGCAACGTCCACCAGCAGGCCTCAGTGCGCTCACATGTCTTCAAACATTAGATCTCCCAAATCCACACGCACCAACACTGGAGATCCCCAAAGTGCACACGTTACCCCCCGCTCATCGACAACCACTTACAGCTGACGACGAGAAAGCACCACTCACAGCTCACCTGCGTGCGCATTCGCCATGCTGCGTGCCAGAAGTTGAGCAAAGATCGATTATACAATGTGGTATTGCAAGTATCGATGTAACACTATAAGTACTGATGGTAGGTAGCTAGATGAATAGATGCATGGATACATTATGAAGGACACGACGGACCTCTGATAAACTATTCATACACGTGTGCCTACATGGATAACGAAACTTATGCGAAATTGGGTCAGTAGAGTTACAGCAAGTACGCGTGGTCCATCGAAATCCACTCATACAGGTTATCTATACATGATAGTGAGTGCAGCAAGCAGATGAGTAAATGTTATTGAAAAAATCCCCTGCTTTGCCAGTACTTCACCCATGCCCGCGCATGGCTTGGTCCAAGCCATTCAGACTCTCGTGTAGAGAGACGATGCATCGTGCTGCTCAGTGAACAAGCCTTGTGCGTCACAAACTGCAAGCTATTACCTGCCTCCGCATCACCAGAAATAGTTTCAGCATTCTGGGGCTGCAGGAAACGTCGGAGGAAAGGAAGAATTTTGAGCGCCGGCTGACACGGCAAAATCAGCTGATAGTTTTCATCTACTAACAAGGTTTGACTTACGACCTCTTTAAAATCGCGTTCTTTTGCGCCCTGGGCACGTCGTTCCAATTTTTGCATCCACCCTAAACAGGGCTCCAGCGGCAGCGGATGTTTTGTTCTGCCACAATCTACAAGCGCATCTCTCACGCCCTCAAAGATGGTCCGCCATGGAACAGGCCTTGGATGGGTGACATTGATGAGTGGAACATGCGTCTCGGATAAGGCGACGTCAAGAGCTGCTGCTGCAACGCGGTCTGCAGGTGTCCATGACACGACCTAAATTCAAGGTTTGTAAACCAAACTAGTGTCGCATGAAAGAAGAATCACCCCTGGAAGGTCAAGAAGCGAACCAAGCGCCAAGCTTGACTTGACAAGGATGGGAACCCAATCAGTCATCGCCCAAGCCCCAGTAGGCCCGCCGGTAATCTGTCCGACTCGGAGAGATGTAGCTTGCAGATTAGATCGGGCGATGATCTGAGAGTGCTGAGTCACTGGATTTTACCCAGATATGTGAAAAGTTTCTACCTGTTCGGCGACGTGCTTTGATTCTCCGTACCCAGAACCTATTGCGATGGAAGGATCACTCAGAAGTTCCTCCGGGACCGGACCCTGACTTGTATCCCAACCCAATGATGATGAAATGGACGAAACGAATATGAACCGCAAAGAAGAGGCAAGTGGAGAAGCGAGTGCTAGATCGAGAAGCATCCGTGTACCCCGGATATGTGGTTCAAAAGAGGAAAGGGCTAAATTGAAGTCGACGCGCCACGCATTGTGAATGATCATGGTCACAGAACATCTGAGCTTCAGGAGTCGTGTCAGCGATGAGCTGAGCAAGAGAAAGAGAACAAACTCGTTCGTAAGTAGGAGCTGTCAAACCCAATCTGTCCTGAGAGATGTCTCCTTCAAGATAATGGATCTTCCTCGAGGAGGTTAGGAGTCGTGTGTTCAACCCTCTCTCCTCGAATGCTTTAAGCTGGCGCATACTGCTGTATGTGCCTGGAGCTGCCGAAAATCGATTGAGAACATAGACTGTTGTGACCTCTGGCCGTCCGAGAAGATCAGCAAGTAAATAGGATCCCAGTGTTCCGGTAGATCCAGTAAGGAGCACAACACGCCTACCATCAAGTCTGGCTCGCTTTGGAGGTCTCTTGATCGAGTCAGAGTCCAGCTTCAGAAATTCAGCCGAGTATTTTTGGATCATAGCCTCGATTCCATGGATGTGCGAGTCTCGAACAGACTCGGAAGTCCCATCTGCGCATGCAACAAGGGAAGCAACCTTCCGTGCCAGCGATTGAATAGTAGGGTTCTCAAAAATGATGTTTTGAGTGATGAGGCAGGAAATATTCTGAATTCCTGGTTCAGAAGACCTCTTTAGGGCACTGATGAGACGATTCCTAAGGTACGTGGCACTCAAGCTAGGGAACAATTCAGCGGCAACGTCCACCAGTTAAATAAAGTTCATACCTGTCCAAGCCCTGCGCAAATAAATCTACAGTTGGTTTTAGATCCGTCCTAAGCTTCGTGGCCTGTGATAGCAGCCAGGAGGCTAACTCGCTCTCCGTCCATTGTGATGGTAAGGTGCTATCGCCAACTTCATGGCTGAGTTCGACAACGTCATAACTGCAATACAAAACGCTTGAGTAGCTGCCAGACCGATTAATAATATGCGAACACTAACAGTGCATTAATTTCTTGCTCGTATACCTGGAGCGCCGCCTTTCTTTCGAGAGTGCCTTTCATAGTCCGAGACACGGGTTTGTCGTGACGAACAGCGATAATCATTTCCTTGAAGATACGACTGTAATCTGGCGCAGATGCATTGGCTTCTTCTACATATGGCCTAAAAAAAACCTGTCAATCCAAGATCTCGACTCACAAAGAGAACTACGCTCACCATATTCGGTTTCGAAACCGGGCAACTTGTTCCTCATTGTCCACATCAATGAAATGATCTACAGCAGGCTCGATCAAAACTCCAACTTGGTTTCGCTCACGCCCAAACATAATGGCGCCATTCACGTATGGACAACAACCGATGATTGCCTCCATCTGCGACGGAACAGTCTTTTCCCCAGTGGATAGAACGATGACATCATCCGCTCGACTAACACTGAGGCTGCTTCAGGTCTGCAACGAATACGCTTTAAACAAGAACGTACATTTTCCATAAGTGCCTCTGGGTTGGGTGTCTGACAAAAAGGTCGTTAGTGGCATAGCCCTGGACATCGGGAAGGTTTTCGATGCTCGGCTGGAGTCTATCTGATCGCTGTGAAGACGCTAATCTAACGCCTACTTTGGATTGTGTCTTGACACATACCAATATTTGGCATTCGTATAAATCGAGGTCATGAGACGCCCAGCGAATATTGACCGTATCGGAAAACTCGACCCACTGCCAGTATGGGTTACCATTGATAATTGAGTTCCGAGGAGGAAGGATGGAGACCGGACCACACTCTGTCGCACCGTAAAGCTGTGCAAGTGGTATTCCAGCGGCGGTAAGAAAGTCACCTTTCTTTTCTGAGAGAGGGCCACCTCCATACACCTGTCGCGTGGTCAAATGTATAGTGATCAAAATAAGACTAAGGCATAACGTACTACGTATTCGACCTTTCGTAGCGTCTTTAGTGCTTCTTCCGAATCGGCCCACTGTTCGAGGTGATATGGAACGCAAAGAACGATATTGGTTCCGGTTTGACTGATGCATTCAATCATATTGTCCGATGTCGGAATGACAGGAAGCGTCCGCCGATCTCCCACGGACGTAGGCGCGTATAATGTTGCTGTAACACCGATAAGCATTGCATACAGCTGTGCGGCCACACCAAAAATGTGAAATGGAGGAAGGGCCATTACGCCCAGACGGACCGACGGATAGTTCCGATATTGCCATAACAAAGCTGCACCACATTAGTTTGCTGTCCAAGATGAAACACAAATAGCCGCACGGGCATTCATCCAGCTGAGTTGGCTCCTATGATTTTGAGCGATAGGTTTAGGAAAGCCAGTACTTCCAGAAGAATGCATGTATAGAATGGTTTCGGTTATGCGTGTGATGGTGGAGCGCTTAGGGTATGGCGCAAAAGAATGGATAAGGGATTCGTTGCCCAAATGAGGGTAAATTTCTGATATGGATGGTATCTCGATGATTGTCAAACTAATGCCACTATTCCGCATAAGGCACCGGACGTCATCAAGGAGAGCGGCGTGATTTGGAGTGATGGACACTATACGACGACAAGTTGTCCGAAGAAGTAGATCCGCTATGGCCTGCGGTGGGTTGCGAGGAGACATGGGAAACGGCTATGTAGAATAAAACAAAAGAGTGGTAAAGTAAAAGGCATGGTTACTCACCACGATCCCTGCGATCATCAGACCGGCTATCAAAGTTGTATACAGGAGAGTGTCTGTATGGACAACTATTGCGGCGACGTCGCCTTCAACCCCAGTACGATTGGGTCGGAGAGCATGGGCTACTCGATGAGCAGCTCTGCCGAACTCGCGGTAGGAAATGGAGATCAACACGCCGGTTTGTGTGTTTGGAAAGATGTACATTGGGAGAGCGGCATTCCTCTGCATGTGAAAGTCGATTATTTCTGGAAAGAGGAGTGAGCCATCGAGAGGAGGACACTCCGGCCTGGAAGACGTAGTAGTAGGCATGACTCTGGTACGGAGATGTGTACAGGAGGATGTCAGAGGGGTATTCGAAGTATATATAGCACAGAAGACAAGTTGGCCAGGGTATCTGATCTGGAGGGTGATATCACAGTTGCGAACACAGGTCATGTATGCACGTAAGGACCTACGTGTTAGGAGCGCAACCTGATCGGTCTTCAAAATCCCAGCTCAGATTGGACGATAATTAAGTTGTTCCCATCGAAAAATACACCAACAGGTAAACGTTCTCTGGTATACAATGGGACTAGCTGGCAGGAGGCAAGCGTGCAGCCTGAATCAGGTGTGCGGAGAAAAAGGTAAATGATTCGTCCGTTTCGGAAATGAAAATAAATAAATAAACAAATACACTTCGGAGTCAATAGTCTCATGCGCAGATTTCTGACAAGGGTTCAGACCCAAGCCAAGTCTAAATCTTTAATTCCTGTTCAACTCGGTGCCTCTTATGTGTTGGGACAGTAACAAAAGGTCCTGGCAAACACAATCCGAGTCGGCGCTCATGGCCCGAGGTCACCGTTCATTTTAAACAGGTGGCAGAGAGTTTTTCAAAGTCCTCCCTTCACTCAGAGAAAGACAAGGTCCAAGCTGCAAATCATCAAGATTTCCGATTCTTGACGAGAAATAACCCATGTTCATACTTTTGGCTAGGTCGCCACTCTCCCGCTTGAGACCATTGAGCGGTTGTGGAACACATCGTAGAGGAATCCTAGCCATGTCAAAGAAAAAGTTTTCACCTTCAATACCAGCGAGGCTCAACACAAGCAGACAAAGAAGCAATATCAGTCTCAGCCTCGACATCATTAAAGCGACAAATCTATGTATGTGTTTTCGAAACATGAGCGAATCCCGCTGCATGCTCAAAGTTGACACTTGTCAAGATTCAAGGTAGTGCACGCTCATGGTTCTGGCATATAGTTCATCTTACTCTCTGATCAGGTCATGCAAACCAGTCTTCAGATCATCCCAATCTCCTTCGCCTTCACAACACGGTAGTTTAGCTAACGACAGACAGACCTGACGATGCACTGAACGGGGGAGGTGAACCCTCGATAGCAACAAAAAAATGTCAAGAATGGTAGCAGCCATACCATCAGCAGCCTGAAGCACCCCCTAGGTGACATCTCGGTTCCCGACACTCGTTCCCAAGAGAAAAAAAATGGACTCCTGCATCCGGCGACGTGAACTACGGATGACTGGCACGATTCGTCATATGTCGGGAGTCGTTCGGTTCACGATGATCTTGGAACGAAGCAATGTCGAACCCGCTCTTGACGGGAATCTGAACGGTCTTCGAGTCGAAAAGGCCGCATGCAACCAATAGAAAATGTATCAAGAACATGTTTGCTCTCTCCCCACCGGGCGCAGCTGTGGTACTCCCCAGGGAAGGATGACACGTTGCCGGGCCTAACTCGACGTCGTTCAAACTGAGGAAGTCATCACAAATCCAACGTAGGCCCAGGTCGGTGAGCGGAATCACGGAACCTTACTTAGGGTTGAGTATCTGGGGAACCTGAGAAGTACATACATACTTATCCACATACTGGAGGGGTGGATGAGTCACAACAACTGACGTGGATCAGTGGACATCGGCAATGGAAGGGGCAGTAGATATTTCTCATGACGTCAACAAGGGATGATCAATAATCCATTGACGCTCGACTAGCGGCAGCGCAAGATATTTTGGTTGATACCATGTACAAATTGGCTCGGAGCCCGAGTAAAAACTCATGCTCAACCCGGCCCGACGGCCCGTTCTATTGCTTGCTTTCCATTGCTCTCTTCGCAAACATTCCGAGTCTCTATGATCGGTTTGCCATGGTCAGACGTTGCCCGGCATGAGTAGACATGACCGCGATACACCACAGTTTGCCTTGACCTTCTCTTGACCTGACACGTGGCCTATTTCAACTTTGCTCAAATCGTGGTTTGTGCCACTTCCACTCTCAGCTGAAGGGTGAAACGACCGAGAGCTTATCGGTGCATGACATTTGACTTCATCACGGGAAGGAGATCCGAATGTTAGACGTCAGGGGATTACACATCCCATGAATATTTAGTCACTCAGCCGCTCATCTTTCTCAACCTTGTAAGTACTCCCTCGAGGGAGACCCGGTCCGTTGTTTCCGCGAAATGTATATGGAGAATTGACGCAATATAAGAGACAGCCAAATTGCATATTACGGGCAGACTATCTTTCACCCTCATCTCACCCTATCTCCTGCGAACAATGTCTTTCGGAAAGGTTGTTCAGCTGAACACAGGTGCAGCCATGCCCCAGATCGGTCTCGGCACCTGGCTTTCTAAACCAAATGAAGTCGAAAGTGCTGTGAGTCACAAGTCATCCCAATGTCCTGTCTTCCCTGGCTCACTTCCACGTCGGGCTACATAGGTCGAGATCGCTGTCCACAATGGTTACCGTCACCTTGACCTTGCTAGGATCTACCGGAACCAGGACGAGGTCGGACGTGCGCTGAAGAAAGTCATACCATCCGTCGTTACCCGCGAGCAGCTCTTCATTACCTCGAAACTCTGGAACTGCTCGCACCAGCAAGGACCAGCCGAGGCAGAGCTTGACGAGACGCTGCAGCAGCTTGGACTTGACTATCTCGACCTCTATCGTGCGTTATGACCGAGCGTTCCTTCATGTTTATGAACTCATACATGCATGACAGTTATACACTGGCCTGTTGCATTCGAGCCTGGAAACGGTCTTAACCCATTACATCCGACCAAGGAAGGAGAGATACATTTGGACCTCAAGACGTCCCTTGTCGATACCTGGAAGACGATGATCAAGTTGAAGGAAAGTGGCAAGGTAAGCCCAAGGCATCGATGACAGTGCAGTCGTGTGTATCGATCCTTCGATAGGTCAAAGCTATTGGCGTCTCCAACTTCACGATCGAGCACATCCAAGGCTTGATTGATGCTACTGGTGTCGTTCCTGTGAGTAAATCATCTAGTTCGTGTTGCCCATAATCATTCATGCAACCGGGTGTATCTAGGCTGTTAACCAGATCGAGGCTCACCCTTTGTTACCTCAAGATGACCTCGTTGCATACTGCAAGCAGGTGGGCGTCCACATAACCGCCTACAGTCCGCTAGGCAACAACCGTGCGTATTATGCTCACTTTCATATCACGAGAAGATGCTGACCTGCATATACTTGAATCACAGTCGTTGGCAAGCCTATGCATACCGAAAATGCTGCAGTGAAGGAAGTTGCTGAGAAACTCGGTGCAACCCCTGCTCAGGTTCTCATTGCATGGGGCGTTTACCGGGGCTACTCTGTCATCCCAAAGTCTGTGCAAGAGGGTCAGTGAAATTCATGCCGTGGATGTCAAACGATCTGACCGACTCTTGTAGGCCGCATCATCTCGAACTTCAAGCAGGTTGAACTCAGCAAGGAAGACTACGAAAAGGTTACAGCGATTGCAGGGGGCAAAGTCGGGCGGTATGCTGCCTCTTTCCGTGTCCGCTATTTTGCTCACTTTAACTCACCTCAGTTTCAATATTCCCATCTGCTTTAAACCCAAGTGGGATATCAACCTCTTTGATGAGGAACCTGAAAAGGTTGCTACCTACAAGGCCAAGATTGCATAGGCGTTCGACAAATCTCGGGGAGGGAGGAAAGAAGTCAGTATATATGTTACCAAGCATGTTCACTCAACCAATTTTATGAATATCATAATACACGGGGAAAATGAGTTGTGATGCACGAGCCCAACACACTCAGGCTCGTCGAGAAACTAAAGCTTCAACTTGAAGTTGGCGGAATGTAGAAAGCTTATGTAAAGTAAAGTTACGTTCCATATTCGGAATTCTTATTTTACCTCTTGCCTGACACTTCAACTTCAATGCATCACGGGAAGCAGAATCGAGTCTTTGAGGTCAGCCGTTCATCTTTGTACGTACCCCTTCGAGGGAATACCCGGTCCGTTAATGCCGCTATGTAGTGATAAGAAGACCGAGTGGCATATGACGCAGGCTATCTTTCACCTTCACCTCACCGTATCCTGCAGACAATGTCCTTCGGAAAGGTTATTCGGTTAAACACAGGTGCCACCATCCCCCAGATCGGTCTAGGCACCTGCTCTGATCCAAATAAAATCGAAAGTGCTGTGAATCAAAAGTCGTCGTCCTATGTCCTATCTTGCCTTGCTCACATCACATTGGGCTACCATACATAGGTCGAGATCGCTGTCCGCAATGGCTATCGTCACCTCGATCTCGCTATGATCTATGGGAACCAGGACGAGGTCGGACGTGCGCTGAAGAAAGTCATACCATCCGTCGTTACTCGCGAGCAGCTTTTCGTTACCTCAAAACTCTGGAACTGCTCGCACCAGCAAGGACCAGCCGAGGCAGAGCTTGACGAGACATTGCAGCAGCTCGGACTCGACTACCTCGATCTCTATCGTGCGTTATGCCATGGTTGAGCGTTCCTTCGTGTTTATGAACTCATACGTGTGTGGCAGTTATACACTGGCCTGTTGCGTTCGAGCCTGGGAAAGGTCCTAGGCCCTTACATCCGACCAAGGAAGGAGAGGCATACTTGGACCTCAAGACATCCCTTGTTGACACCTGGAAGACGATGATCAAGCTGAAGGAAAGTGGCAAGGTAAGCCCAAGGCATTGATGACAGTGCAGTCGTGTATATCTACTTTTCGACAGGTCAAAGCTATCGGCGTCTCCAACTTCACGATCGAGCATATCCAAGGCTTGATTGACGCTACTGGTGTCGTTCCTGTGAGTATAATCATCTAGTTCGTATTGCCCATAATCCATCAATGCAACTACATATCTCTAGGCTGTTAACCAGATCGAGGCTCACCCTCTACTTCACCAAGATGACCTCGCTGCATACTGCAAGCAGGTAGGCGTCCACATCACCGCTTACAGTCCGCTGGGCAGAAATAGTGCGTGTTCTGCTTACTTTCGTGTCATGAGGAGATGCTGACCTGCATATACTTGAATTTTGAATTGCAGAGGTTGGCAAGCCTATGCTTACCGAAAACGGTGCAGTGAAAGAAATCGCTGAGAAACTCGGTGCAACTACTGCTCAAGTCGTCATTGCTTGGGGCGTTTACCGGGGCTACTCTGTTATCCCAAAGTCTGTGCAAGAGGGTCAGTGCCATTCATGTCGTGGCTGTCCAACGATCTGACCAACTCTTGTAGACCGCATCATCTCGAACTTCAAGCAGGTTGCACTCAGCAAGGAAGACTACGAAAAGATTACAGCGATTGCAGCAGGCAACTTCGAGCGGTATGCTGCCTCTTTCCTATTTTACTCAATCTAACTCGCCTTAGTTTCAACATTCCTTTTCGCTATAAACCCAAGTGGGACATCAATATCTTTGATGAGGAATTCGAAAAGACTGCTACCCATCAGGTCAATATTGTATAGGTGTTCGATGAGTGTCAGGGGGGAAGAAGTTAGTATATTTGTAGCAAAGCATGCTCACTCGACCAATGTTATGAACATCATACACACAGGAACAATGAAACATGATCCACGGGGTCTATATATCGAGCATGATACCCGCAGCATGGCCTACTGAGGATGAATAGATCGTTGAGACCTTGTGATGGAAACGCGATCAGCACTGGCGGATATGAATGCGCAGCAGCCGTGTATTTTTCAGAACGTGAGACGCTGATGCACATTCAAATAAAACAACGATACCTCTACAATGAAGCGGCTGAATATAGGAACACGAGTTTAAAGAGGAGCAGAAAGTAGATTTAGCACTCACCCTTTGTCCCTGCTCCTGAGCCAACTGAGGATGAGAGCAACGGAGTCCCGCATGGGTTTGGTCGGCATTCAAACAAACTGCAGCCAGCTTGGCATGTCCACGACCGTATAACGAACAGCGGCCTAACCACCAGAAATTATTCTACTCCTATAGTGATGTAACACGACTTTTTAGCTTAGATCCGGGATACTGCGCCGCGACTTTCCAGGATCCAAGTCTGGAGGGTCGTATAAATAAGAGATGGGAGGAAAGCAACGGTGCCTGAAATCGGCTGGGCTCTGCGGGGAAGTTTTATAATGAAATCAGTTCATTCCATATATACATACTCAAGTCGCAGGCTCTCCCTTCCCAGCATTTTAGGTTCAACCTTCAAATCCTATTCCTTCAAATCGCACTCTTGCCATCATCGAGTGCCCTCTTCCCTTGTTCCGTTTCCACCAGCCATGAGTAGTGGTTCCCCTACCGCATATCTTGTATGGTCTATACTAGCATGCTTGGTGAGCGCATGGTACACTTCTCCAAATAAAGCACGCTTCTCATGCATGAGACCATGCGTAGTTCTTCTGTTTCCTCATATTTCATCTTTGGGAATATGATAGATTCCAATGTCTTAAGTGGAGCGAGTCTGGAAGACAGCCTGGTGCATTCAAACGGTTTATGTCGGTGCGTACTACTACTTCGTGTCAAGTTATTCGGATTGTCTCTGACGCCGTAAAACATTGGCAGTACACCTACATAGCAACCTTGACTCTCCTCGTGATCTTCAGCGTGGCATATACGTTCATAAAGTTCAAAGAAGGTCGTTTGCATTCTGCTTTGCACGATGAAACATTCCTCATCTTTCATTGTCTAGGCTTTATCATCACCCCAGAAGGGACTAGTACGTCCGCAATATGTGTGATTTTACCCGGGCTCATTGCAGAACCTACAGTCTATCCAAAACCTATCGAGTTATATACAACTAGTCACAAAAAGTGGATACTGCCTCTTTTGTTTTTGTTTAGCGCAGCATGGGCTTGTGAGCTGTAAGCGCTTTTTTGCTCAAGCTATTGCGCTACTCATGTGATTGTGGCACATAGCATCACACACTGGGAAGGTAGGTTGTGGTCGATTCTGTACCTGATATGTCACGTTGATCGCTCCGCAGAATTGACATTCTGGCTCTTCATCCTCCATCAAGGCCCTAAGATGCGGCTTTGGTTTGACAGCTGGGAGTTCCGAGTTTGGCTACTTGGTAATGTCTATTTGCATTTACATTGGACTTCTTTTTCTGACGAGTCACTTTTTTTCCACAGGCACGGTCGTAGCGGGGCTAGGAATGCCCTTGACCACTCTTATTTCCCGTCGGCAGCTTGATATGGTAGGGATCTCTCACAGCTGCCCTGAAGTGATCTTTATAGACCCTCCTTACAGTGCCAGGCTTGGATTTTTCTGGTCGGATCGTCTGCCTCGACGGCAACTACCCTTTTGTTTCTGTATGTTCTAGCAAGGTTTCCAGAGTTCATTCGTCGGGTGAAAGCGGATGGAGGGGAGCCAAAAATTGTCTTACGCCTCGTAATGTTTTATCAGTTGAATGTGAGTGAATTGTTCTCATCACTGTAACCCGTCGTAACGTTTGCCACGTCAAGTTCGGACGAGTTTTGTTTAGGTTCTTGTTCACTATTCCGCTATTCATTTTGGCATTGGATGGTGTACAAGGAAGTCACTCGATTAACGAAAATCCGTGAGTGGAAGTTTTGCTTATCTACGTAGGTTGAGTCTCATCATCTTTGAAGTTTTTGGTCAGGTATGCAAAGGTAGCCATGCGTGGGACGTTTTACTCAATCTGCTACTAGATTTCTTGATTGTGTTGGGCGGAATTGGTTGCTTTGTCTCTTCGTTCATGACCCTTTTGGTGAGATTCTCCTGGATAATATATCCTCCCCATTCATATTTGCCAGATATTCTTCCCGCGATCACTCACCCAAGAGCTTGGTTATACCACTGCCCTCATACCGTCATCTATAGTGAACAAACAACCGATGACGGCATCGATTGATACCAACTATGGTGCAGATAACCACCACATCCCTTCGGCCATGCATGTCCCCAAGGCCATTGTCCACCCCCCTTCTATACACTCGTCTGAGCCTTCTCAAAGCGAAGACACGACACCTGAATACGAATTCGAAGACTCGGCTAACAACACCCGTCATTATTCTCATTCCCATGACGGACATATGCGAATAAGACAGACATGGGAGCACACGCAAGATACGGAGGCAGACGGACAGTACATGTTCGACCAACACTCAGGAACCCTTGTGAGGCCACACTCTGATGGTACTTCCATTGGTTTACACCCATATGTACGTGTATGTTTCTTTTGTTCGATCGAAGTTTCTTATGCTGTCATAGGTTCGAACGTTTCGATCTCCGATTGGTGAGCTACCCTGACTGTCAATTCATCGTGCCTCACTCATCTCCCACACTAGATATTTGCGACCTCGAAGATGATGACCACTCACCAGCGCGATAAGGCGCAAAAACGTCGAATCCAAGCCTTTCATGAGACGTTCCGTGTTCCGCGCTGTGCGCCCTATGAATTTACGGTATATGCCGTTCCTTATTTTTGTTCAAATCAAGCTGTTGACCGTCGTCCACAGCTTTGATCTATTGCCAGTTCCCATATCTACCGCCACTTACCACATGCCATCTAAGGATTTAATGATACATTACCTAGCACTGCTGCCATTCGATCTATATTCCACCTATACCCCTGACAGTTGTCCTTCGAAGTGAAATACGCAACCATGTAGTCATATCTTGTTGTACTATCAGTAGAATTGGGTGCCCCGCACTCCACGAATGAGAGAAACAAATCTGTTTTATCTTGAGTGTGATATATTATGCACTGCCAGCACAAAACCGTATTAAGATCATTCATAGAGTGAGCTTCCGCTGAAGAAGCTTCAAACTCCATTCTGATGTACTCATCTCTGGCTTGGGAACCCGCTGTAACGGCTCGACAAGCTGTTCCTTCGCCTTCTCTTGCATTCTTGTGGCCCAGGAATCCACTGGCGTTGACTCATCAGCCTTCTTCCATATGTCATCAATGGCCGTCCGTAGCTCAGACTGTAGACAATCAAACTCCACTTGCAAAGCAACACCCTCTTCGCGGTGAGCTTGGGAAAGCTGGAGGAGATGTGGCAGTAGTTTTTTGATATCTCCTGCAAGAGTCGTCAGCCGTGGTAAATACAACACAAATGGTCTTGAACCTTGAGTAGTGGCACATCTTTCAACCAACTTCGTGACCGATTTGAGTATATACTCCTCTTCGTCGACAGTTCCTTTTCTCCCAGAACCTAGCTTACGCTCCATTTTGCGCTTCGTCTTGGAACTTTGCCTGGGAAATAATCACTAAATATTGGTGCAGGACCCGAATGACCGGCAAACTCACTTTGAAGCTTTCGAAGTGGCTGATGGCGCCACTGTGTACCGCGTAAAAGCAGTAGGTGCCATGGACACGTCCGTCATGACGTCGACATTGTGAAGGGTCGGATCATCAAAATTATAGAAGGCATCTGCTCATATTGTCATTTCAAAAAAAGCGGACGAGTCGCGGACTTGGTACGTACCTGGTTCTTCCACCTTCTTGATTCGGAGCTCTGTCAATCGAGCCACTTGTCTACGAAGTTGTTCCCGCATCTCATTGATGTCTTCACCAATCTGTGTGCGACAATCCAAGGCACAAGGAAGGAGTAGTTGATCTATGAGTTCGGGTTTGGCATGTAATGCGATCTTGCATGAATGTATCAGCCAACACGTTCGTTGCGATTGTGAAACTACACGTACTATCCTCCGTGCTTCGGCGAACTCATTGCCCTGAGCAAGCGTGTGTATTGCCTGCCGGGCGTCTTTGGCGTAATCAAGGAGTACCCGTGCCGATTCACTAAAGCGCTTCTTTGAGAAGAGCTCGTCTACTCTTTTTAGTCGGTTTGGAACACGATTACCGGAGAACCAGTCAGCGTACCAGCGATGCGATATGCGATTTCCGTGATTTCATCGCTATCAAGCTGCTCTTTCAGACAGAGCTCAAAGAGTTCCTGCCATTGCAGTGCCCTCTCATACGATATCATGGCGCGTCTTGCATCTGATGCCTCCACGAAAACTGATATAACAGGAAATGAACGACGATTTCTGTCATTTTCCGCATTGACGCACCTGTAGCTGCTTGATGATATTCGTGCCGATCGAAGAGCCAGGCACCATAGATACCCAAAACATCCTGAGGGTGCAGTCAATGTAAGTTTAGGATGTTCCAAGAACCTGAAGTTCAGCTACCGTATACTTGTCTGTGCCTTGCCAAATTGCTAGAGCCTCATCGTATAGTTGATGTGTGTCTAAATAATCCAGAGCTTCCTGAAAGTACTCGGGACCTGGATCGACGTGTAATTAGTATTCAAGTGAAGTCCACATCCGTCAATACACCATACCAGCGAGACTCAAGCTGCGAAGAGCCTTCGCACGCCTCTTGAGGTGATCATCGATTTTGAAGTGCTGGTAATACTGGGGCAATGCCCTGAGTTCGCGAAGGAACGGGAGGTACTCTCTCGGATCCTGAGAAGAGATGAAGTACTTGGTAAGAGTTATCAACATAAGAAATACCTTTTGCGCGTGTTGTGCAACCATAAGGACAAGAGAGAAGTCATACATGCCTAGAGCCGTATCAAATAGCCGATCTGCATCGACAAGGAAAATGATGTATTTGACGGCCTCTTCGACCAAGCTCGGGTTAACGCCTGGATGAAACTAGTTTAATTTGATATCTCTGAAACACAATCGACAATTCATACCTCGCAAGTGGAGCAACAATGCCAGGCCAGCTTCATGATCTGGTGGTGACTTGACAACGTACGCAGTAAGGATGGAGTTGACATATTTTGTCAAATCCCTGTCCTCCAAATTTTGGCGCACGGAGTCGCATACATTGGCAACGACCTCTGCAGGGAGCTGACTGCGCCTAAAAACCAGTCAGACAAATGTTGGAGTAGTTCCTGGGTTGCATTACCCCACGCTTGTCAAAAACAAATTGATGTAGTCGACGTCTTCAATCTGCTCCACAAATGCAGGAATACCAGCCATGAAAACCTCTTGGTTATGCTCAACGATGATGCTGAAGTCAATGCGATGTTTACGGCAAGCCATGAAAGCCTTTCGCCACAGTCCACTGGAGTAAGACGGGAGTGATCAATGTTGTGAAGGTCAATGACAAAATACGCACGCGTTTAGATCGTTTTTGACAACTTCCATTACCATAGGTCGCGGATTAATTGTTTCAAGATTTCCTCTTGGCATTTGAAGTACCAAGCTCATTGTACTTGGCACCGCTGTGACGATTCTTGAGCCTCTTTCAACCCGTCGTTTTTGCCAAGCTTGCGACGCGAGCTCGCCCGTTTTATTTTCGTCGTCATTCAGCGAGAGCATACCATTTCCTTGACCTGAAGTCAAGATTGCAACCATACTTTCTACAGGCGCAAATTGCACGTCGTGTGAGGTAGTAGTGAAAATCACGAATCCGGAAGCAACAGTAAAAGAGTTCACATTGCTGACCAGCAATGTCGATTCTGCATTCGGAATTGCAATATAAACCTTGCCGCCTGCAGACAGACCCACGAAAAGTCGGGCGTCGACGCGCTGGGAGGAGGGGCAGTGCTCTGTAAAAGAGCAAATTTGCGAATACGATTCGTCTTCCCTGTAGACTAGAAGGTCGTAATCAGCCATTAAGTCTATTCACGTCTCAAGGCAAGGACATTGCACACCTTGGAAGATGGCGCCATCAGGAGCCTGCCAAGTAAGTTGTCCAGGAACTTCATGCGGAATAAGACGACCGTTTTTCTGCTGTAGCGATATTGTCCTTGATCTTGTCGCCGAAATTGGCTTGAACGGCAAAACGACGTGCTCAAAGTCATAAATTACGATTCGGTCGTTCCCACTGACGTCAGACCCGAGTATCGCAGCTGAGATAGTCACACGCTCGTCGCCACCATTCTCGCAAGAGAGAAGAATTTGACGACAATGATAAAATTCTCGAGGTAAATTGGCTGACCAGATAAGATTTGGGTTCATAGCTGCTCCGCCACCCGGCGTGATTCGTGTGTGCAACGCCCAAATCATTACGTGTCCTTCTTGCCATACTGCACCGAGAAGGTCATGTGATTGCGAGAGTGATATGTGAGGCGGTACCTGTGACAGGAACAGGCTGCCGGATGATGCATCAGTTGGAGTATTCATTATCACCTCATGCGATGACATAGGGGGAGGTATATTTTGCGTGCGGAATGGTGTAAGTAAAATTTTCTCTGTGAACATCTCAACAAATGAAGGGACAAGGAACACAAATGAGAAACTTACGGCCATCAATGACCCCGACACAGCCAGTATCATTAGCCCCAGCGCATGTCTCCCATGTATAATCTTGTTGTATAATTTGAACTGCCAATTTTCAGTATGGCACGATACGAAAATATCTGAAAAGTGCATACGCGGCGATGTCAGAAGAAGTCGCATGCCCACTTCAGGATGCCAATTGATAGATGTAAAGTGGGTCGATAATGGTGCCGATATCTCTTGCTTGAGATACCTGTTGATACCATAGTAAGATAAGGTTTTATGAAGGGAAAGTTATTTTCACCAGTAATAGTTACCGGTGGTCCATAATTGCACAACATCACCATGTACCCGTTCAATGTGAACAGCAAGCACGTTTGAGTCCGATGACCATGCAAGATGTTTGATGCGGGAGTCCCGATCGTCTCGCAAATTAAATCCCCCGTGTGGTAAACCATTACGCTCAAAGAAAACAACGCCATGTTTTCCGGTCCGTTGCGTGTCCGATGGTCCTGAGCGAATTTCTTTTTGCGTAGATGCAATAAGATTGCCACTTGGTCTCCAGGATAGGCTCGATTCCAGACCTGCGACCATCTCTGCGGTAGACTGAAGTCGGGCTTCGTTTGAATAGACCCGTAAGACGCGTCCATTACCAGACTGAGAAGTTTGCCTAGCTAGAGAAGATACCACAAAATAAGCTCCGTCGCCGCGCCAACTGACTCGAGGGAGGCCATCATCACTAGGATCTTCTTGTATTTGAGTCGGAGTCTGTGGCGAGGATTTGAGATGTGCTCTTCCTATGGAACCATGGAATTGCGTTTCCTTTGCACCCCATCCAACGTTTATTGGAGCATCTGCAAATGCATATATGATTGGAAACATCACAAGCCACAAGGTGCGGTGTACCTTCGCCAAAATCTTCAGTATGCAAGGGTGCCTCGGATAGGACATCGAATGTGGAGGTCATAAGAATAAGGATTTTCATCGCCTGAACCTATAACATCAGCGACGCTAAAATCAGGTAGCCAATATAACTATGAAACGCACCAGTAATCATCACAAGAAGTGTGTCATCGGGACTCCATTCAACAGACAATATACCTGAATCAACACTTCCTACAATATCTGGACCGCTCTGCATCGATCAATACAGCTTAAGAACATCATGTAGATGCGCCTCACAATGAGTTCCCCTGATTCATCCAACTGCCACGTAACTGTATCCCCACTCCTTGTCACCAAGACCAGCTGTGCAGATTCGCCTATAACGCGGAGAGACAGAACTTTCGGATCGATGATGGAGCTAAAGGAGCCGCACAATATAGGTGCATTCCATTCGAGAGGATCAGCTGTAGTCCTCCATATGCGCACACCGAACTGTGCGTCCTCCGATGCAGCAAAAATTAATCCTCTGTCAACGTCGAATGCAGCGGCGACGATAGATTCCTGGACACCGTTACTGGAGGCAGAGTTGGAGGTTTGCTCATCGTAGGGTGGTTCTAAAGTGGAAACTTTGATAGCCGATGGCACTAGATTTCGCATCGTGGATGATCAGTTTGAGAGATAATTCGGATGGTAAACTTTGAGGCTTAGGAAACCCTAACCCTAAACTCGTTCTTCCGACCATTGACCAACCATCCTCTGACCACTGGCACTCGCGATCATGGTCCCCCAAGCTGCTCGAGATGATAGTAAGCCCACAGCCAGTTCCTCTCCCCGCTCGGGTCCAAAGCGGACCAAGAAGAAACGTCATCATCTTCAAAATACAGAAGAGTCCCTGCCCGGTGTTCAAAAAATCAAATCCTCACTTCGCCAAACGCGACGGCTTTTGGCAAAAGAAAATCTTGCCGCTGATGTTCGTGTGGAGACTGAGCGAAGGTTGAAAGCGCTTGAGGCCGAGCTTGCTCGTGCTGAAATAGCGAAGAAGGAGCGAACGTATGCTATGAAGTATCATAAAGTTAAATTTTTTGGTGAGTTCACATGATATGCCGCTCTGTCAGCAGCTATATCAGCGATTCGAGAACGCCAGAAACTGGTCCGTAGGATCAAGCAAGTCAAACGCGATCTTACTTCGGCACAAGGGAAGGAGAGAGAAGGGTTAGAAGGCGAACTCGAAGGTCTGAGAGTGGACCTCAACTATATTCTGGTACGGGTCTCGAATCTCATGAAACAAGTTTTCTCAAATGATACTACAGCACTACCCGAAGACCAAAAAGTACATATCACTTTTTCCTCCAGAAAGACGGCAAATTGATACCATCTCGACAACTTCTGACGACAATGACCAACGCGTTACGGTCCGTAATCTCATTCGAGACCAGATGCGGCGTGGCGAAATTAGCAAACAACCTGAAAATGAGGTGGAAGGTGGCGGCCGACCAGTTACGTATACTCCAGATCATTCCCATAGAAATGGAGAAGGATCTCGTAGAAAGGACGATCAGACTAGCTTGGCAGCACATCGTACCACCGACGGAGATGATTTCTTTGGTGAGGACGGTGACACAGAAGCCTCCGGCGCATCAGAAATGTGAAGTCGAGTAGTAGAGTTTTGTCTCACCTGTCCTGCATGATTCTGGTCTTACTATTCTCGACGAGTTGTCCGAGAATATGATTGCCTCTACATATTACAATGATCTAGGTGAGACTTCTATGCGCATAATATTACATTATCAACCAAGGACGTTGTGCTTCATACATCGACAGAAAGTTTATCCAAAATTGCAGACAACATTGGGTTTCCACCCAATCTTGCGATTTCTGCTCTGCCCTGTCGTTCCAACTTTTTGAGCACAGCCAGAGTGTAGTCGAACGATTTCGTAGTGTCCCTAAGGTAATTGATGGTGTGGTGCTTAAGGGTAGGGGTCTTAGGACGCTTTTGCAGGACATCTGATGATAAAGTCAAATGAGATGGATCCGGAAGAAAGAATTAAAAGAACCCACTCATGATCTGTCGATTATCGGGCTGTTCCAGAATGCCGTGAACGATGGGGAAGGAGAATTTTCCTTCCGACAAATCTTCTGCGAATCCCTTGTTATCTGTGTACTATATACAGAGGATGCGAATTATGTTATCATGTCTCAAAATGCATAAAGACTAACCTGACTGCTCTGAAGGTTCATGTAATCATCACGTATTTGGAAATGAACCCCAATGAGGTCGGTCAGAGGGATGTAGTCACTATTTAGAATTTCAGCCACTTCAGGAAATACCAGTATAATCCATGCAAGACTTACACGTTCGTGTTTGTCGTAGCGCATGCCATCATAAGTTTGACGGCGATCCTAAGGAGACCACCCGTTTCTGGCAAAAAGTTATTCACAAAGGGAATCTGAGACAAAGATGGCAACGTACTAGCTCTCACCATATCCACATATTCTTCTTCTGTGGGACAGCGCAGGGTGTCACGCCAGAGAATATCCATGCCCTGCCCACGGTGAAGTGACATGAGTTCACCTATACGTATTGTAACGTTAGGGTTGTTGTAACAACGATGGCAAACAACTAACCGGTCACCACGAGGTCCAGGTCATAATCGGGGATGATGCGGTCAGGGAAATCGGTTTTCTCGGCCGGAGAGTCGTCGCCGAGGCCACTGTCTGAACTTGAGCTCGAAATGGGAGCTCGACGACGAACAGTCGGCCTTAGAGCAGCCAGCTCCTGGTAGGCCAAGAAGTAGACGTAATTGGCAGTATTAATAGTCTGAGGGACACCATATATTTTGTGGGCGACTGGAAGATCGTGATCAATGATGGCTTTCAGGGGTAAGGACGACAGGAGACCAACCTGGGATCCCACGTCTCAGTTGAGAGTCATCTTCGATGTCGTCAATCCTATAAGCAAATGATTAGTCGGCGTTGAAAGGAGTCTGACAACGTAAAGACATACAAGAGACTGCCGTTATGGAGAAGGCCAACTACACGATTGATGACCGCAAGTTTGTCCTTTGGAACGTTAAGCCAGGAGTTGAAACTTTCGATAAGCTTTCCCCGGATTTCTTTGCCCGGGTTAGCAGTGATATAACTGTATGGTTCCAGCAACGACTATCATAGCAGTTGAGATATACATCCTGGAAGTTGTGGGTACCACTCACAGATTCCTGAGCTTCAGTCCAAGAGCCTGATGAAGTCCCCTGGAGGGCTGAGAGGAAGTTATCGTATTTGTCGACGGTAGCCATAATTACGGACTATTGAAGATGGGTTTTAGTTGGGGTGCTGCGAACATCGACTCATTTTATATGAACAGGGTAATATACAGGATATTCGGAGGCGACAAGTCCAGCCGAAAAAGCTCAAACCAGAAATAGTAATAGTGAATAATTTTAGTCCTGCCGAATAGGACCAGCCCTGCATTTAACGTACTTACTGTATCGCCTTGAAGCCAAGCGAAGATCTGAGACTCATGAGATGGAAGTCATCTGAAGCAACGCTGCACCGTGAGATTAAGAACGTTGGGATTTCTAGTATCCCGCTGATAAGCATAGTGCGCGTTACGCCTTGGACCAAGGCACATCAGTGAAACGTTGTTCCAACGGCGGCCTCATGGCGGCTATCATCGCAAAAGATGAAAAAATTGTGACACAGGTCGGTCCACTGGTTACACCGAGCGTGAACTTCGAGATGTACCAGCCACGTTCAGATTCAGCGAGTAAATATCTGTTTTCAACCCGAACGATTTAGCTGAGGAAGCGAGTAACGATAAGCTGGTTTACAGTGTGGGACGTTCTTGGATGTCAAAGGAAAGTACAGACCGTAGTATTACAAACGAGCTCGGAGGAGACGTGGAAGCGAATTGTAAACAAATCAATGCGAACAAAAGATCACTATAAAACTTGAACAATTTAACAGTTGAACATGATATAACGTCCATGGAACAAAGTCCAAAAAGTTACCCCACTTGCACATCGATGTTCCTGCTCAGGATATCTCTTAAAAATGCCCCATGAGCTTAATCCCAAAGCTCTACAGGCACACCAGGGCGAGGCTTATGGTCGGAGACCGCCGATTGCCAGCACAGCTCTTCATAACTTCGGACAGGCGAAAGAACCAGGTCCGCGTCAACATCTTCTAACCAAGTAGAGTTATAATTGTAAGCACTCGGAATGATCCGGCGCAACTCCTCGTGGAAAAAATCAAGTAAAAGCTCTTGTTGCGCCATGGCTTGTCGAACGTCTTGCGAACATGCGCAAGAGTAGGAATCTGAGAGAGGCGAAGAAGGAATTGGACTGCTGGTCTCGGGTGGACGATACCAAGGACTGTCCCAATTAATGTTAATGTGTTGCGTCGTGGCTTCGTTGTCAGGGACGGTAGTGCTGGTAGCAGTGTCATCACTGCTGTCCGAAAGAGATCTCATATGGTGGGCTAGCCAAGGACTTATATCAAAAGTCATCAGACCATCATGGTCATCGGAGGATTCGTAATCATCGTCCTGGAGATCACAAGGACCACGATGGCTGATGAAATTGAATGGATGTGCGTAAATGCCGTCAGGTGATGAGGGCACTTTGGAGTCAATATTAGGTTTTTCTTCCTAACAAGTTTGGTTTGCGATAAGTCAGATTACAACTCCATCTCATTTGAGCACCCACCGATTTGACCCCTGTCATCCAATATTGAATGTTCTTCATATCTTCATACATTGGCTTCGATCGCAATCCTGACTTGTCCCGAAGTGGTATTTGCGAAATCAAATGAGGGTGGGAGGAATCGAGTTGACCAGCAACTCCAGATCGAAAACTTGAGGGATGATATGCCATGTAAAAAGTACAGTGTTATGGGGAGCACAGCTGCGCGGGCATGAGTAACGGATTGCCGCTCTTCAGGAGCTTTTTATGCTATCGCGACCATCGCTGATTGTAAGCATGCCAGACGTCCACAATAACCAGTACCCTTTATGGGAGCAAGAACGTATCATTGCACGTGACAATGTGACAGATGGGTCTACAATCAAGACAATAGGTGTGGGGCCGGCAGCCCGTGAATAGAATCGCCCAAAGCTAAACAGAGTTCGCTGGACGAACCGCATAACACTAGGCGCCAGAATCTGTTGTCTTGCGGCGATAAGGAATGGATCCAGAATCACATACTCGTCTTCAAGATTGTCTCCGGGCACAAACAAGTATGGGCCGAGCACGTGAGCAGGCGTACAACAAAAGGAGGTAGTCGACTTGCGCCAATCTTCGTTTGGATCATGTGCTCTAAATCACGATTGCAGTCATGACGACCACTCGTGCTGCCATCGTTTAAGGCGAAGTCTCCCCAGAATAATACCATGCCTTCCTTCAGCCATCTTTACGACCTCGCCAATCGCGTTCGAACACTGCTCATCAAACAACCTCAGATTCCTATTTTTCCTCAGTATGTGATCGGGTCTGCTGCCAGGTGTTGGAAGAGAATAAGGCTGATACTGCGCAGACGTCCGAGGGAGTTGCGCTTTCCAAAAAGGCTTGTGGGAATAGTACAACTTTTCGATCCATGAAACATGGTTTTGTCGTAGCCATTTCAGATTGCGAGTGATTTTATGGGCGAGTCCTCGTGATACCGCCGCGGTAGCGAGTAACGAAAGCGTACGATCCACTGAGAATTTCGACACAGCATTCAGAACTCAACATAATTAGAAATGCGGCGCAAAGAATTAGATGAACCCACCTCGTTTGTGCCATGTATATAGCCACTGGACAATATTTGTCCGTTCGGACGAGCAAACGTCGTGGTGCTGAAGCCTGTGGATTTTAAGTGCAGCCTCGTCGAAGACAGGTCTCCACAGCCGACGAACTTGTGTTTTCGATGGAGAATGGTGCAGCACCACCGCGGAATTAGCTCGAAGAAAGAGCCGGTACAAGCTTCTGAATTCGGTTGGAAGACCAGCGTTGGTATGCCTGACAGTCACGGTTAGCATGTTACTCTGAGTCCTCTGAAAAACAGTACTTGCATGAAATGATGAAACTTAAATGCAGTGACAAGTTCAAGTTGGTCTTGGACAAGTCTCTAATAGACAACAGGCATCAAATTATGTAATATCAATGTTCAGTGAATCTTACACTGCGCACTTGTTTCATTCGTCAACACATAACGAGGCCAGCATACCTCTAGGATGGGACTGCCCACACTGGACCCATATTCTTACTTCGGGATCACACTGTCCTGCAAACTCTCAGTATTCGAAGTACGTGTTACGTTGCTTACCCACAATAAAGCTGGTAGCGAAACCAATCAGATCATTAGTACAACTCATTCGGCAACCCAGTGATGGAATCATTATTGCCTGCAGAGATTTTATGGTAGATTTTAGCGCAGTACATTTCTCGTGTCTGGAGGGTATGGTTTCCAAATGAATACCGTGTGTTACTCAATGATCGTAATCGCAAGTCTGCAGGTAATTCCTGCAAGCTAGCTAGGATGATCATGTCTGGCGCGCAGCAGGTGTCCCGGACATACCACACTTTTTTTGAGAATCATTTTTTGCAGAGTGCCAGACTACAACTATGATTTGGGCATCGTCACCAGTAATAAAATCACCCTACAAACGATCATTTCATTGGGCATTCCGAGTCTTTGGTGACTCCATCCGTGACACACTCTTGATATGCCGCCAGCTTACAGTCGCAATGAAGGAGCAGATTGGTTGCCGTGACGTGGAAGCTGAGAACGATTGCAGTTCAGCAGTGATCTCATGAATCTTTGCTTTGGCTACACAATACAGTGGATTCCCGGTAGTTGTGAGTTTGCATGTCCCGCATTTGATTTGCTTACCTGCCGAAGGACCTAGCTGACACCACTCATATACTTCAGTCAGATACTTGTGTACACCAATCACAATCAATCGCTCATCTTTCATCACATTTTACTGCCTTCAGATGAAACAATAGGTCGGTTCTGCGACCACTTACCAGATGCGGCAGCCAAACTATTTTCAGACTCCTCCCAGACATCGGATTCATACATAGATGAGTCGTCTTATAGCCGATGGATTTTCACCATTTCTATTTTTCAGGGCTGCAGATTGCCGACCTTGCGTTGACGGCAAGCGCCCGTGACAGCGGAAGTGACCAGTTGCGATCGCCCATTCACGCTTATTTCTTGACACGCCCGAACCACTGCATTAGCTCCGAGGGCGTTCACATGCGCGACAGTTAACGTTAACCCGCGGCGAGTCCAACTTGCACGCTTGCGACACATGTACAACTGCATAGCTGCAATTTGGTTCCTGCCCCTGGCCTTCAGATCTGACTATGCTCCACGGAGATGAACATACAGTCATTTATCACGTCCTTGTCTTTCATAGTTTGCTGGCGACAAAGAGCATCAAGTCCAATCCCGTCCCGCAGGGCACTCGATCGATGATTCGTCGGTAAACAAGCTATCGACGTCAAGCGGGGCAAGTAAGATGGGTCATAGAATTGCAGTGAGGTCGAAGCTGAACCGACGTTTTTCCGATATCCTAACCGTGGCCAAGTTACCAACCAAGATTTCTCGCACTCGTGCCAATCATGATGTCCACAATTACAATACAACTATTATCACTATATATACACTAATCTGAGATAGTTCCTCTAACCTGTCTCGGTGAGGCAAATTGGACCCGCGCAAAGTTGCAGGGAGTGATAATATCGGTCACTGGCCCACTTCGACAGGACAATACCACCGGAGAAGGCGTGTATGATGATTAGAATATGGATGATTCAAGTTTGCGACAGGTACTCATCAGTGCGCCGCAGTTCTGCAAAGTCGAATGTTCTCCCTTCTAAAACTTCTTCCGCATCCCAGTCTGAGGCAAACGTGAAGCCACCTATCATTACGCAGCTACATATATGATGTGTCAGACCAAGTTCGGCAACAGCTTATTTGGGGCGCATTGAGCATGTAACATGGACTATTAAAGATCTTGGTCACATTTCTGACTAGATTCTCAAGCCCACAACTATAATTCGACTGTCCCTGGAAAAGCTCTAATGTTAAATTTGAAGGACTCGACACGGACTACAAATTATGCCACAATGAAATCCCCTAGCAAATGAAAGGTTTCCCAACTTGGCCATTAGCGTATGCTTCGACGATGAGCTATCGTTGACCACTGAAAGTGAGACGAGTGTCAGATGTGAAGACACGAACACTAACCTTGATCGACACATAAGTCCCAGCGACACAAATAAAAGCGCCGGCAATGATTGTCAGCACTGCAAGTGTAGTTCCGACTGGTCGTCGTTTGAGCCCCTCCACACCACCCTTGAGATGATATGCGTCATGCAACCAAAAGAATCCAGCCAAACCGTACGTGTACCACGCGGCAAAGAGGGCCGCTGCGATGCCGATTAGGTAGGAAAATATCGGAACTGCGATGGCGAGAATTGCAGCGATAGCTACGCCTGAAAAACACAGCAGAGTCCAAACCGTCCATCCGAGTAAAGTATGCGAATGGACGTGCTCTGAATGACGAAATATGCGAACAAACACCAGCTTTGTAGCTGTGTGAACGTACAGCCCGGAAGAGCTTCCCGAGAAACAATGAGTGGGGACTAGGCCAAACAATAAGGCATGACTGACAACAGGAAATTTGGAAGAGCAATGCCAAATGCTGCCTTTGCCCATGCCGGAGAAAGAGAAAAGAGGACCGGGGACTGGACCGTGTTTCCAATATAGACATACATGACTACGCTGAAAACAGCGTAAAATACTGTAGCGAAGCCCTGTAGGCACCATGCTGCCTGAAACTGGCCTTCAGTCATAACATCAAGTACAGGAGCTTTCTGACCTTCATCGCGTCCTCAGGTCTACGCATCTCAGATATTAGAATAAAAAACCTGTAAGAGGTCAGTTTCAACAGAAACGCCATGCCCAAAGTCATACATGAAGTGTCCTAGTAAAGTATTTAGGGATGTCGACTAACATCACAAAATTCCGTACCTGAATATGCAAAAACCTGATGAGCAGATAAGCAACATTGTCACTCAAAGATATAAGAAAGTACTCACAGGATTTGTAACAGCCAAGAAAGCTTCGAAAAAGTTACTGGAGGCAGTTATTGTCAGAGACCGTCCGGGAACTGGGTCCACCCCTGCTCCAATCATTGCAATGAAACCAGCTACGGTAATGACTGCTGCACTAAGAAGACCCATCCATGCCAAGCGATCCAGCGTCCGTGGTAGTGAAATCAAGAGAGCGATAGCGCCAGTGATAATGACCAGATACATGCTGCACATGCCCTGATTCGAAAGCGTTGACAGTGCCTGCTGGCTGGAAAGTAGTCCAGAGCCCTGTTTCACATGATTCAGTTGCAACATATTCGAGTTGATTCAATGACGCACAGAACCGGACAAAGCGAAAGCAACAGTTCCAAAGGCAAGTACCTCCCGAGCCACGGGTCCGAACATGATGTATCCAGCATCACCTAGTGCATCTCAGGTGCTTGAAAACCACTGACGACAGAATTAATTACCCATAGTATGCACGTTAGGATGATTTAGCTTGAAGTCGATGAGCAACTTGGCAGTGTACAGGCCAAAAATACCGAGAAAAACGATTAGAATGACCGCAGGAACAATGCCTGAAGATTTGTAAAAACGCTGTCCCTCATGGATTCACAGGACAGTGAGCTCACCAACGACTGCTAGTGAGCTTGGGAGAGACAGGATACCATTGCTGACGATTTCGGCTATCATGAGGAGGCTGACAGCCTACGTCGATCAAGATTTTACTGCGTGCAATCTCGCATAGACGCACCTGCCAGCTGAGGGTCTTGTACTGAATCTGATGAGCGCCATCTTCAGCGAAAACATCTCTAGAACCTCCTGAATCTTGCTTCTCGGCGGTCATCGACGTACTTTCGTCGACATAGGGTTGCCCATGGGCTTCATACGTCGAGTGGGACGCCATTCAATGGGGTGATAAGGTCAGACTACAAGAGCACTCACATCCTATAAATAATGTGGAACCAACAAGATAAGGAAAAAAAGCGAAACCCGCGCCCCCATTTGCCCCAGCGTAGACAGAACCACCCATCACTACCTGTTGAACTGTTCGCGATATCAGTATGCCCGAGAACGCCATGAATTCGCCAACTCACTCACGGCATCGTCAAGCAACCTCCATCTCCTTCATCCTCACCTGCGAAAAGCCAGCCAACCACTCACGCGCTACATCAACAAGACTGTCGGGAGTATTCAAACCAACACGATATTTCGGACAGTTGACAGTTACAGGCTTCCTGGCAGCAGTTTAAGTGCACATGTACATGACCGAAAAGGAAATCTAGATAACCCAACCTAGTGTAGGTTGTCCTGTAAATTTGGAGACTCTGAGGCCAAATTACTAATAATTTGCACTGCGATCCACGAGCTCAAATTAGCGTAAATTTGTAACTTAATTGTAAGTGAGCTAACGAATTTAACGAACAAAACTATCGTTTTGCTGTTCGTCGTTCCCTTTTCATCACAACGCGTGCTCCCGTTTGACCTTGCTTCAGCTATATAAAATGACACGATGACAACGAAATGACTCCATTACGCACAGAAGAGAGAGATTCATAAACAAGCATTCGAGGCCAACGATAGATCATCGAACAGATTCAAGTTGCGCAGTACGTTCCATCTTCGTACAACCTTCCAATATTGATCATTAACAGCTATGGTCACTTGTTTCGCAGTCTCACAAACTCGAGCTTAGGGGACCACGAGCAAGACTAAGTACGGTTGATCATTTCAGATAATTTCAAACACTACATTGCTCCAGCAGCACGAAACTTTATCCAAAAAAAAATTGTACTGATCAGCTCCGAACTAGATCATCGACCAACCATGATACCAACTTGAAAGCGAAGGAAGAAACTTGACTCAATTTCGCGACGTGCCCCTCGGGCTGCCGACTCAATTACTTGGAGGTGGCATGCAGACACGGTTGTAGTTGTAATCCTGAGTCGCGGAGGTGAGTTGTGTGGTTGAATAACATCATGTTCATACTCACAACGGCACAATGCTTGCTGCAACATTCCTCACTACGAGCGCAAAGTTGTTTTAAGTCCTTACATTCATCGACAGACTTAGACACTGTCAAAGATACTGTCGAAGCAACAACAACGGCGAGGAGGGCGAAACGCATTTTCTTTGCGAGTTTATGTACAATAGTCTGAGGGGAATTTTGAATGATATATCTGAGGATGAGGAAACACTGTAGGACAACGATCAGCTCTTGTATCCAGCACACACTTATGGGCACGATTATTATCTTTTTGGCAGAATGGTTATTGTGATTACAGTCTTTTCAGAACGTGCGCTCGAGTCAATGGTCTCTCATCCCAATTTCTCACTCATTGCTTCATCATTTGAACCTGCAGTGACCTGCCGGCGCAGGGACGTTGAGAAGTTCATGCTTCAAATATGTACTCGGTCAATATCGCACGTCGATTTCTCTAATTCACTCGTTACTCCCTTATATCGAGCACCTGCAATTCGCATGTGCCATTAGGAGGCCGGTCGCCCTGAGAGAAATCAATTCTCATTCTTGGCATGCGCTTAGTGTTATGAGCAGAAGTCCGTCATTTTGCCAGCCGGTTCTGCCACATTGGTTCTGGTTCTGCCCGGCAGATGGCAGAACTCTTTAGGCAGAATGCGGCAGAACGTAAAACTACAGTGGATCACAGCGAATGATGCTCTATCTCGGTCAACTCAGAGAAACTGCAATGGAGTAGAACAATTTCAGTTGCACAGCCTGTACTGAGATAACTATCGATCATAGGCAATCATTTACGATTTCACGATGCACTTCCGGACGGCCTGTTTCATCCTTCATAGTTGACAATTTCAATCGCGGTGAGAAGGTCCCGTCTATTCCCCATGCCGCTGCCGACATCGAATACCTCTTCTTAGATATGGGTAGCACTCAGTCTCCGACGTGCCGCAATCTCTCGGTAGACACGGTTGAGACACTGACAAAGATTCGATCAAATCTTCGTCTCCATAATCACCAGAAGTCCGTAGCTCATGGAAAGCCAATTTATCGACGTCACGCGCACATGCGTTGAGGTAGCTGCCGATCTAGAAGCTAATTTTGTGTGGGCACTACTTCCACCTTGGACACAGAACATCGATGATGACTCGATGTTGCAAGTCTTGGATCCATATTGCTTGATGAGATCGAGGCAGCATTTGTCCTACTGGCTCGGAACACGGGAAAGCAGCCATAGAACGAGATAGTAGATTTCGGATGTGAGTGAGACAAAGCTTGTTCGTTAATTCTGATATGCTGAATTATAAAAGAAACTTGACGCTTTGAGTCTGAGTCCGGCGAGACACTGAACTAATAAGTAGAACATATACTACTCTTTTCCAGCAACTTCGGAGACTAGCCGAATGCGCGGAAAACTTCCATGACTTCAAGTTTCTTTGCTTTTATGCTCCTGGGAGAAAGAATATACCAATGCTCGGGGGCTTAGTAGGCATCGTGCAATGTGCTGATTCTATTACAGATTAAAAGTCTACTAGTATGCCAGTGAAAAAAGACAAGCAAAGGCGAAACAAGTAGCCAAAACTCCAACTCGTTCGAGTCTGCTGCGGGAGTCAGTACGGAAATCTGCAACAGTGGCAGGCTCAGCCAGATCATCAGTGAGACGCGCTCGTCTTCCTCACTTGTTCCTCAGCCGTTCCTTGTACCCCGTCCATCACTTGGTGCTCCTGAGCTCCTACGCTACCATTTGATGCCAAGTACTGCGCAGGCAGCAATATTCATTCTGTTCGTCGTCCCCTTTTCATCACAACGTGTGCTCCTGTATGATCCTGTGCTTCAGCTATATACCAGAAAATGACATGTCTGTCATGAATCACGATCGACAACTTGAACGAAGTGACCCCATCACACACAGAAGAGAGATAGATTCATGAGCTAGTCTTCGAGGGCAACATTAGATGAACAGGTTCAAGCTGCGCAGTGCATTCAATCCTCCCAACATCGGTCATAAACAGCAATGGTCGCTTGTCTCACAAACTCGAACTTAGTGGACCGGGAGCAAGACTATGTACGGTTGATTATTGTAGATAAGTTCAAACAGCTACATTGCTCCAGCAGCACGAAACTTTATCCAAAAACAATCGTACTGATTAGCTCCGAACTAGGTATTGCACCATAATCGATCAACTATGATACCAAAGCGAAGGAAGAAAAATGACTCACTGTCACGACGTGTCCCTCGGGCTGCCGACTCAACTCTTGGGTGCCGTGCAGACACGATCCCAATTGCTATTCTGAGTCGCGGAGGTGAGTCGTGTGGTTGAATCCTGGTTGCACAACAACCTGTTCATACTCACCCAGGCACAATTCAAACTACAACAGTCGCCATTACCAGCGCAAGGTGCATCAAGGACCACACATTCAGTAGATCCACTGACAGACAGATACTGCCAAAGCAACAACAATAGCGAGGAGGGTGAAACGCATTTTCTGAGGGTGATGTCGAATGATATCTCTGCCAGTGAGGATGGGGAACACTGTAGGACGACGATCAGCTCTTATATCCTGCACACACTTATGGGCACGATTCTTATCTTTCTGGCAGAATTGTTATTGCTGTGAGATAGCTGAAATTTCGGCAGAACTTGCAGGAGCGTACTCATTTGAATACAATCATTGGATCATAACCTGCCTGCAGGCTCATCAACAATTCTCCTTTTTGTAACTACAGAACGTTCGCTCGAATCTCCGGGCTCTCATTTCAATCCAGTGACCCTGCGAGATATTTTCTGGAAATTGATTCTCTTGGCATGCGCTTAGTGTTGTGGGTAGAAGTCCGCCATTCTGCTAGCTGGTCCTGTCAAACTGGTTCTGGTTCGAATGATGTTCTATCTCGATCAACTCAGGGAAACTGCAATAGAGTAGAAACAATCAGTTGTACAGCCTGTACTGTTTACTACCGATCATAGACACGATTGTACGATGCTTGCCGCTGCATTTACCGGACGCCCTGTCTCATCCTTCATATACATAGTTGACAATTTCAATCGTGGTGTGACCACCATTATTCCCCATGCGGGCCATGCCACCGTCGACATTGAACGCCCCTTCTTATGTGCCCTCTAGTCACTAATTGAGCTGTGACATCATATTTCGACGCAAGATCCTTTCATTGTACATTAAAGCTCAGGGCATCAACCTATATGGCGTGTAAAATTTAGCGAACAGCCACTGTAGCACTCATGTTAGAGATGACAAAGAATTAGACGAACAAACATCGTATGCTGAAGTCCGTGTTTAAATGCAGCCTGATCAGAGACAAGTCTCCACAGCCGACGAACTTGTGTTTTCGACGGAGATGCAGTACCACCATGGCATTAGCTCGAAGAAAAAGCCAGTACACGCTTCTGAATTTGGTTGGGCGGCGTTGGGGTCTATTATCAGCCTTGCAGAATTGGATGAGAGAATTACTTGGATCAAACTTACATGCGGGATGATCTTCCAAAGGGACAATAAGATAGATGTGCGGATCCTTTTTCGATAGGCTAGGGTAGTGGATATTCCGATGTAGTCCTGCTGTCGATTTAGGTCCGAGGATGACCGCATCTGTCTATAAACCAAGTCTGGCCCATCAGAATCCCACAGGCGGCAGGCAGGCTATTTGCTGTCCTCCTAGCTTGTGTACTCGATCATATGTCGACTGCTGCGCAAGAGGTGGCTAGCACATAGTAAAGATGGTCGAGTAATTGTCAAGACTCGGACCACTTGAAGGTCTTTTTGACCATATTTATGGGAATTTGACTGTGCTGCTTTACATGGGGCCAAATACTTTGAACATGTTAATTGAGTGTTAGTACGTGACTAGTAACTATGTACCTTCGAATTCTGCAAGGACACGATTTGGAGTTGATGGCGAATGCTTGAAGCCTCCAAGTGTAAGAACTTGCAAGGAAGCTCCATTATTATTCAAAACGTGTGCTGTGACGCCGCCAATATAAACCGACAGGAACTATCGGCTGAATGGTTAGCGCTTTCAAAAGTCAATGTTAACGTTTGGCTATACTTGCGAAGGATACCGAAAGGCAGACGACCATGGAGGGCGACTTTGAGCAGGATGCACTGCCGAATGCGTTGCCTCGCCTCGCCTCCTACCTGGATAGTATACTTTGTAGAAAATCGAAACTAAAGAGCAAGTCTCAGCGTTGGTGAAAGAACCGCTAACATTCATAATACCTAAAGAACAAGTCTAGAGACGAAACAGTGTAAGTGAGAGAGAGACGGCGTGCAAAGTAAACGTGAACTGTACCTCAGCGTTGGTGAAAGAACCGCTGAGGGACAAACAACGTGATACAGATAGATTATAAGCTATACTATAGAGTCCGTGCTGACAAACGAGTGAAAGGAACACAGTGTCGATGTTGAACGAGATGATTTAGGACATGATTTATTGCTGGTGCCGAGAATTACCGTAACTAAGCCAAGTAAAACTGAACCATACACGTGATCGCTCAGCATAGTAAGGTGGTTTCCTCGTACCCCATTCCTGTTATGAATCACGATCGACAACGAAGTGACTCCATCACACACAGAAGAGAGAGATAGCCTTTGAGGCCAACATTAGATGAATAGGTTCAAGCGGTGCAGTACATTCCATCCTCTCAATATTGATGATTAGCAGCAATAGTCGCTTGTTTCGACGGTCTCACAAACTTGAGCTTAGTGGACCAGGAGCAAGACTATGTACGGTTGATTATTGCAGATAAGTTCAAACAGCTACATTGCTCCAGCAGCGCGAAACTTTATCCAAAAACAACTGTACTGATTAGCTCCGAACTAGGTATTGCACCATCATTGATCAACCATGATACCAAAGCGAAGGAAGAAAAATGACTCACTGTCACGACGTGTCCCTCGGGCTGCCGACTCAATTCTTGGGTGCCAGGCAGACACGATCCCAATTGCTATTCTGAGTCGCGGAGGTGAGTTGTGTGGTTGAATCCTGGTTGAATAACGACCTGTTCATACTCACCCAGTTACAATTCAAACTACAACAGTCGCCATCACCAGCGCAAGGTGCACCAAGGATCGCACATCCCTCGTCAGACATAGACATAGATCCACTGACAGACATAGATGCTGTCAAAGCAATAACAACAGCGAGGAGGGTGAAACACATTTTCTGTACGAGGTTATGTGCAATTTTCTGAGGGGGATGTCGAATGATATCTCTGAGGATGGGGAACACTGTAGGACGACGATCAGCTCTTATATCCAGCACACACTTATGGGCACGATTCTTATCATGATCTTTCTGGCAGAATTGTTATTGCTGTGATATAGCAAAAATTTCGGCAGAACTTGCAGGAGCGTACTCATTTGAATACGATCATTGGATCATAACCTGCCTGCAGGCCCATCAACGATTCTCCTTTTTGTAACTACAGAACGTTCGCTCGAATCACCAGGCTTTCATCTCAATCTCTCACACAAGTTGCTTTGTCATTTGAAGCTGCAGCAATGACCCTGCCAGCGCAGGGACAACGTTGACAAGTCGATGCTTCCGATATGTACTCGGTCAATACTATCGTCAATTGGGCCAGAGTTGCAAAATCTGGCCCAATGATAGTATCTTACGTCGATTTCTCTCCCTCGTGGCTCCCTTATGTGTAGTAAATAGTTAATGTATACTTGCGAAGGATACCGGCACTACTATCGAAAGGCAGACGACGATTCACACAGTCCTCGTACCTCACCGTTTTCTCTCACACCACAACCACTTGCGATGAGTGAATACCATAGGCCCGATCCTCCTCCAGAAGCCCACCTCACTGCCGTGAATAATTTTGAGACGACATATCTTCAACCCTTGCAGATTATCGACGCTCAGGCTGTCCTTGAGAAGATTACGGATGTATGGGTCATTCTCGTTCATGGGAAGTGAACCAATCAATTTGTACAGGTACAGCCATACACAAAAATGGCGCTGGATGTCCTGTCTACTGCATCCAAAGTACGTTTCATTTGGCTTCTCGCAGAGTTTTGTCTCCCGCTCAGAAGTCATAATTCCATGTAGACTATCATCGCTAAAGCAGAACGGCGCGACCGATCAGTCCATCGTCTTCTCGAGAAATTGGTTGAAGTTTACCGCTTCATGACCCAAGATGATACTCTTCGCAAAATTGAATCAATGCGCGATGTCGTCGGAAAGATCGTCCGGGAGACTCTCGAGTGTGCCTGTTTCATCAGGGACTACTCTCACATGAAGATTTTTTGTGAGTCGCCAAGCTATCTCACTTCGTACATGAATCTTACACTATTATCATAGGGAAGAGATGTGGAAAAACTGTACTCTCAGAAAGCGATATCATCATTAAGAAGTACAACGACACGTTGGATGGACTCATGCAACAATTCCAGGACCAAGTTGACCGAGATGTCGCCGTCTGCGTCCAACGTACGGGTAAGAATTCTGACACTCTTCTGTCTTTACACTCCTTCACACCGTTTCAGGTGATACCCTGGATCTCGGGGATATAGCTTATGCAAAGGGCGTAGGACCAAATATCATGAAACAGTGCCTACCAGGGACGCGCACAGAAATTCTCTCCCAGATTACGGATTGGAATCAACGGCAGTGGAGATGCTGCTCAGCATGTGCTGTGGCTATCTGGCCATGCAGGCACAGGCAAATCAACCATCGCTCACACAATTGCCAAGTGGTTCGACGACATGGGAGTGCTCGGTTCATGTTTCTGCTTCGACAGGGCTAAAGAAGCCGAGAAACAGCACGAAAAAATCTTTTCCACCATCCCTCGTGACCTAGCTGATCGTGATCTGGAGATGAAACGAACATTGGCGGATGCGGTCAAAAAGTTCCCGTCACTCGAGAACTCGTGGTATATTGTCGCGCAATGGGAGAACCTTTTCATGGAACCACTGAAGAAATTCTCTAGGTCGAGCGTGAGACCTGTTTTGATCGTGATCCAGGCCCTGGACGAGAGCGGCGGAGTGGAGACGCGACGGGACCTTCTCCGCATACTTTCCGGTAAACTTCAGAGCAAAAGTCCTCCCAAAATCACAGAACTCCCATCCAACTGTCGGATTCTCGTTACCTCTCGCCCACTTCATGACATCGAAGATGCATTTCACGACGTTCCACATATTCTACGGTTATCTATGGATGAGATTCCAGCAGCAGTGGCAGAACGCGACATCCGCACTTTTGTATCTGACAAACTACAAGGGCTGCCGCGTTTTGGGGAGAAAGAGTTTACAAACCTCGCTGCGAAAGCCGATGGACTTTTCGAGTGGGCACGTCTTGCATGCGAATACATTATGGAAGACCTTTCCTGGCGTAAACCCAAGGTCTCGCTTTGAAACTGTTGTGAACCGCGATCCTGGGAAATGGACAAACAAGCTGTACGATATGTATCAGCTTATTTTGGCAGAGATCTGGCCACGACATCGGTATGGCGATGTCGAGTACCAGGAAGTACTTGCTGGTTTTCGTTCCGTGATGGGACAAATACTCAGCATGGCTGAACCTCTCCCGTTCGATTCTCTTAACGCCATGCGGGACTGTTTTCCGAACCACACCAAACATTACAAACTGGACATCGTACAACATATGGGATCCCTCCTCAGTGGCACAACAGACTTAGGTTTCCCCATCAGACCCCTTCACGCATCCTTCCAAAGTTCCTCACAGACAGATCACTCAGCGGTGACTTTTTCGTTGAGATCACAAAGACGCAACACCAAGACTTAGCCTTGGCATCACTTCGAGTGATGAAGCATGGCCTCCGCTTCAATATGTGTGATTTAAAGTCATCATACCTCCCTAATTGCGAAGACACCGGACTGCCTCAACGAGTCAAAACATCCATCCCCCAACATCTCTCCTATTCCTGTCGACATTGGGCTACGCATGTTCAAAAAACGGACTTCGACAATGAGCTTGCAAAGGCAATTAGATCGTTCTTCGACGACGAGAGACTACTGTTCTGGATTGAAGCACTCGGACTTCTCAATGGAATCGGAGGTGTAAACAATGTGTTTCTACTCCTCACCAAGTGGCTGGCGGTGAACACACGTCTACGAGACAGTGTTGGACGAATAGCTGATAAATAAACACAGGACCATTCTGGATACGAAGATTTGTTGTCCACCACGATGGATGTACAAAGATTCATTCATATATTTGGCGGCATGATTTCGTACAGCACACCGCATCTGTATTTATCAGCGCTGCCGTTCTCGCCCATCAGCTCCATCATGGCTACCAATTTTACTGCAAGGTTTCCGAACAACCTTCGTCTAGCATCCGGCCGTGATTTGAACTGGACGTTTGTTCAGACCGTAATCGGTGGGCACACTGGAGGGGTTTGGTCAGTCTCATTCTCCCGGGATGGCACTCGCATCGCATCTGGTTCAGGGGATAATGCCGTGTGGCTATGGGATGTATGGACGGGACAGTCATTGGGTGAGCCCTTGCGGGGGCACACTGAGCGGGTTCACTCAGTCTCGTTCTCACCGGACGGTACTCGCATTGTATCTGGTTCCTGGGATAAGACTGTGCGGTTGTGGGACGTAGCGACAGGAAAGTCATTATGCGAGCCCCTGAAGGGGCACACTCATGGGGTTTCCTCAGTCTCATTCTCCCCGGATGGTACTCGCATTGTGTCTGGCTCTTGGGATAAGACTGTGCGACTATGGGATGTAGCGACGGGACAGCCATTTGGTGAGCCCTTGAAGGGGCACACTAATTTCATTTCCTCAGTCTCGTTCTCACCGGATGGTACTCGCATCGCGTCTGGTTCGTATGATAAGACTGTGCGGTTGTGGGATGTAGCGACGGGACGGCCATTGGGCGAGCCCTTGCGGGGGCACGCTGGATTGGTTTCCTCAGTCTCGTTCTCACCGGATGGTACTCGCATCGCGTCTGGTTCGTCCGATAAGACTGTGCGGCTGTGGGATTCAGCGACAGGACATCCATTGAATAAGCCCTTGCGGGGGCACACTGGAGTGGTTTTGTCGGTCTCGTTCTCACCGGATGGTACTCGCATCACGTCTGGTTCGGAAGATAAGACTGTGCACCTGTGGGATGCAGCGACGGGACAGTCATTAGGTGTGCCATTGGAGGGGCACACTAGAGCCGTTCGGTCAGTCTCGTTCTCCCCAGATGGTACTCGCATCATGTCTGGTTCGGAAGATAAGACTATTCGTCTATGGAGTGCAGTGAAAATGCAACCATCCCCCGAGTCTACAGAGCCAGATCTCTCCGCATTCTCGCTGCATCGAAGCATCATACCTGCCACCGAAGAAAACCATATCATGCCAACCAACACTGGTAATGATCGCCTCATTCGCTTCTCGTCTAGCCTGGAACACGTCCTGCCCAACCCTGCTGACTTGCTCAAGCCCACTCCTCATCATAATTTTGATTCAACCCCTTTCTTGCTGCAGGTTGATGGATGGGTGATGGGCCCCAATCGTCGGCTCCTTTTCTGGGTACCTCCCGCTTCCCGATATGCGTTTTATAATCCTTGGGCTTCATTGGTGATCCCAAGAGGAGGTGTCGAGCTTGATTTGAGCCACATGGTACATGGGACAAACTGGTCGAGTTGCCGAGATGTGTGAGTTATCATTCTTAAAACATCTATCCTTACAGTTGCTAACATCGATCTTTCTAGCTCCACCCAACGATGATTTTATTGCTGCAATATTAGCTGTACTGTTTGATTCTTTGTCAATTTATGTGTAGCACCTACCCTTGAACGATCTACTGAAAAGTAGACTGGGTGAAACTCAAATGTTGCAAGATTCAATTCATTTATGTGTCTCTTGTGCAAACGTATCAATCGGCAGATTGAGTAAAATTTCTATAGCGAGCCTACAAAATTCACCATCAACTTTCTGGGTTCGAAAAGACAGCAGGTACTTCTCATTCATCGCATGCCAAAAGACATCTCCAACTCCATTCGCAAGCACCATTTTAATCAACAGCCATATGCTCCCACGCACCAAGACTATCGCCCCGTCCACATCGCCCGGAAACGCTGAGAATCGGCATAAAAGGTGCGGGTGAGGGCGAATGAGCGTGGTGGGATCTGTACGAGCTTCTGTTGATTGAGATGTGTGGTTTGCCTGTAGGAGATTATTATCGTAAGCTTAACTTAGAGATTCGGAAAGCAAATAAGGGACGTACAGAGAGCAATCCATTGATATTATGCACATCTCTATATTCCCAACCGCCGTAATAGCATTGAAACGACCACCGTCGACATTGCAGAATTCGCGTGCATGAGCGGGATCGAACCGTAGGGATAAGTCAGCGAATCTAAGAGGTGTTTAAAGACGTCTGCATTGTAGAGACGAAAGAGCTTAAATGGGAGAGGTCCGTGGCATGCTGGGGGATCCTGTACACGTGGGCGTGGTTGAAGAAGGTTAAGTCAAGGGAAAGTGATCTGAGGCCTGTAGTCATTGAGCGTCGTAGTCTCAGTGTGGGACGTACCTTTGGGTTTTGTGTCTGTCCATGTAGAGAAGGCTTCGTCCCAGAAGGCGTCTTGGGTGTACCTTTGAACCAGGCTGCGGGGCTGACTTGGATAACAGATCGTCCTTAGCCTTCGATGTGTTCAGCTAGTTTAGAATCGTCCTTGGGTTCATAATGTTCCATGCGCAATAAGCCGCATCCGTTCAATACGACCTGTTCCATGCCATCACGGAAATGCGTAATTTGGGGAGGTTCAAAGTCGACGACGAGCTCCATATCCTTCTTCGCTTCATAACAGCCTTGGCTCTTTCCCGTCAACCGTCCATTATCACTCAACAAAGGTTCTCCAATGAGTGCATTCGTCCATTCGCAGGCGCACAATACCCTCCATTATCTTTGTCGTTCCGTTTTGGACCTGCAAAGAATATCATTCAGTGTCTACATGCAGAGTGCTCGAGAAGAATCTGAAAACACACTTCACAGGTCCGACTTGCAATATGAGCCGTGAAATAAAATGTTAGTATTGTGTGTTAGGTGCAAACAAACTCGGAGAACTGTCTGTCTTCTGACCTTCTCCTGCAATCTCTGTTCTGGCTTGTTGTTTTGGTGCATTCTGTTAAGAACTGAGTACTGTGCGCTGACTCACGCGATCTCATGTTGCGAAAAGCATGCAGTTTAAGTTATATGTGATCGATCGTTTGTGATAGATGGATACCCACTGGTTAAAACGAAGTACAGTAGGTCATAGTAGTCTCGGTATCAGGCGAAGTTCACGAAAGTCAGAGTTAAAACTTAACAGCCGTCCCATTCCCATCTGTATTACATAATATTATAATGGATAACGAATATACATCGCGACCAGCTGCGACTCAGTCGTTTTGTATACAATCCATATAGGCATCGTCACTGCCAGCTGAATCACTACAAACTCAATCGACTTTTCAGATCGCCCAAGGTTTACTATGTGTACGTCATCTTAAATACATATGCATACCTAAACTCTGCTACTACATTTTGGCGCTTTATGTCGATATGTGCATGGGCCCAGAAGAAGGGCAAGAATGCGTCCGCTGCATACCAGCGCACTAACATTCATGGTTCGGAATTTTTGAAGAAGCCGCCAATGTCAGCTGTAAGCAAGTGGATGATCAGAATCTAGGGGGAGGAGGGAAGACTTGTCCCCCAACCCCATTTTGGGAGGGAAAGGTCCGTGGTGTGCTGGGAGATTCCGTAACATGGATGTGGTTGGAAGATCATGTCGAGGGAGTGATTTGGGGCCCATGAACGTCGAGCGTCGAGACGCAGTGGAGGGAGATAGATCACAACAAGGAACAGGAAAAGCCGATCATATGCAATGCCCATGGAATCATCTGCAGGGAGTACTCGAAGCAGGTTCATGTCGCGGAGAGAGCACAGAAGGATGCAAATTCGAACAACAAGCTGAGTCTGGAAACATTTCTCCCCTCGACTGGGTTGGACGATCCTCTGAGTTCAATATCTGTCTTCCAGCCGATGTTGCGTCATACGCAGCTTTGCAACCTTTATCTATCTGAAGATGAGATTCAGGCAGCTGTCTTGTCGCTGCAAAATATTGTGGCTCTGGGTTTGGCTTTGTGACTTTGTACCCTGAACGCTGCTCGCTTTGCACACCGCAGACTGCAACTTCCTTGTATCGCCTTCCCTGTCACAGAAGTCAGACGGCAGCGTGGTTCAGTCGAAGAACCCCCCGCACGTATGAAGTCAAGGCAGACAGACGACAGACTTCACTTCACGGCCTGTTTATCACCAGCAAAGAGAGCCTGGTCTAGTTCTTGTGGGGAAAGGCCTGTGTGACAGACATTCTTCCTTGTCCGTCCGTGCGAGAGTCGTCTTCTCGAGCTGCCCGACTTCGTATATGATGCGGAAAGCTTGGGAGATTGGTTTAAACTTGAGCCTCCGTTACACCATTCGCATAGCGGTTATCCTGTCAGACAGGAACTGGATGATTCAGAATCTCTCTCACGAGTGTTGCTATTGATCATTTGCCTTGAGAAGCCGTTCAGTGCAATTTTGCTAGCACTGCAGCGCGGCGGAGTATACAAGAAGATTGCCTCTGATCACGATAAGTCACCGTGATGGACATCAGGACCCTGGAAATATTGTAGCTGGGTATATGCATTTTTTGGGAGTGAGCAGTTTGCATCGACGCCTTTACGATATCAATGTACTTGGACTAGATGTTGAGTATAGAAGGTATGATAAGACTGTACGTGTCGCATTCAAATAGTATCTGAATATCCATGCCGGATGCGTTGCTGCAATCACCGTCATTACTGAGGCCTGCAAGTGTTGATTTTAGTGTGAGGAACAGAAAGGGCTTTAAGGATACTCACTCCTCTCGGCACTTTTGCCAGTGCTGTCCATGTGCCATGCGGCTCAAATCAAGCTCAGGACCTCCTCTGGGTATCACCAATGCAGTTGCAGGGTTATAAAATGGACGTCGAGAAGCGGGTGGTACCCAGAATAACAGCCGATGTTTGAGCCCTTTCACCCAACCACTCTTCTCATCCAGGAAAAAGGGGGTGGAATTGTGGTCATCATGGGATGCTCCCTCCGTTAATTCATGGGCATGACATAGCGTATGGATAGAGTCGGACGAGAAGCGAATGAAGTGATTGTTCCAAGTGTTCGATTTCATGATAGCGGTGGCCTCCATCGTGTGATGTTCATCTGAGAATGCTGGATAATCTGACTCGGCGCACTGTTGCGGCTGCCTCGTCCCTGCATCCCACAGCCGAACAGTGCGATCCCAAGAACCAGTGACGATGCGAGTGCCGTCCGGCGAGAACGAGACCGACAAAACTGAATCAGCGTGCCCCAGCAAGGGCTCACCGACTTGCTTCCCCGTCCCTGCATCCCACAGCCGAACAGTGAAATCCGAAGAACCAGTGACGATGCGAGTGCCGTCCGGCGAGAATGAGACCGACAAAACTGAATCAGTGTGCCCCAGCAAGGGCTCACCGACTTGCTTCCCTGTCCCTGCATCCCACAGCCGAACAGTGTGATCGTCCGAACCAGTGACGATGTGAGTGCCGTCCGGCGAGAACGAGACCGACCAAACTGATGAAGTGTGCCCCCTGAGCACGTTCTGAACGGCCGGCCAGTTCATATCACGTCCAGATGCCACACGAAGAGTATTGGGAAATCCTGCGGAAAACGCTCTCGATAGTGGAGAGTTGGCAGGTGAGAATGGCAGTGCTGATACATATAGATGTGGTGTGCTGTGTAAAATGATGCCGCCGAAGACTTGAATGAACCTCTGTACGTCCATTGCAGTCGATGAGACGTCTTTGAATTCAGGATGGCCCTGTGGTTGAGCGTAAGCACTTTATCTGGTGCACCGTATAAATGTACTTACGGTCAGCCACTGAGGAATGAGTCGAAGGTCAGGAACTGCATTACTGAGGCCATTGATCAGGGCGAGTAACTCGAGCCAGAAAAACAACCGCTCGTGGTTGAAGAACACTTTCACTTCTGTTGCAAGCTCCTCATCGAAGGGCGTGTTTCGTACGTGCGAAATCCAAAAGCGAGAGGAGTATGACAGATGTGGGGAGATGCGTTTTTGAACTCGTTCTTGCAGTTCGGGGTCTTTGCTATTAGGTAGGTACGACGACTTTAAATCGCAGATGTTGAAGCGAAGATCGCGTTCCATTACTCGAAGTGATGCGAATGCAAGGTCATGTGCTGCCTTTGACAGGTCGATGAAAAACTCTCCACTGGATGGTTCGTGCGTCAGGAAATCGTGGAAGGATGCGTGAAGGGGTCGGATTGGGGAATCTGGGTTGGTAGTGCCGCTAAGGAGGGAGCCCATACATGTTACCATAAGCTTCGCGTCAAAATGGTCCTCTTGTTTTGGAAAATGGTCCCTCATGGCGTTCAGGGAAGCTAAAGTAAGAGGCTCGGCTGTGCCTAGTATTTGTCCCATCACTGAGCGAAACCTCGCTAGTGCAGTCGAACGCAATTTCTGCGAATGCTGGACATTGGTGGATGTATTCCTGTGCATGGCATTTGTTAAAATGAGGCGATACATATCGTGCAACAGCACGCTTTGCTCAGTAGAAACGTGCGATACCACAGCATGGTAGCAATCCATTTGAGATATCCCAGCATGGGACTCTTTGATATATTCGCAAGCGAGACGCACCCATTCGAAAAGTCCATCAGCTTTCTTAGCGAGGACTTCAAACTCTCTGTCCTTGAAATCCAATCCTTCTAACTCGTTAGATACGTAAGCACGGATGTCGCGCTCTGCAAATACTGATAGAATATCATCCATCGACATCGGTCGAATATGTTGAACAGCGTGAAACTCGTCATTGATGTCACTAAGTGGGCGAGAGGTCACGATGAAGCGGAAGTTGTCTGGGAGGTCTGTGATTTTGGGAACGCCGGGTTTTTGATGTTTGCCGGCTAAAATGTGGAGGTCTCTCCGTGTCTTTGCTTCGCCACTCTCGTCCAGTGCATCGATCACGATCACAATGGGTTCTCGTGTTGACACAGTTGACTTCTTCAGTGGCTCGATAAGAAGTTTCTGCCACTGCTGAATGATATCCGTCGTCGTCTTGAGCGACATTGCGGACTGAACTGCATCTGCTGAGTGCCTGCCTCATCTTTCGGGTCACGGTCGGCCAGGTCGCGCGCGATCGTGGAAAAGATCTTTTCGTGGCGACAATCTGCTTCCCGTTGGCGGTCAAAAGAGTAGCACGAACCAAGCCCTCCCACGTCGTTGAACCACTTAGCGATGGTGTGGGCGATGGCCGATTTTCCTTTGCCTGCAGGTCCAGATAGCCACAGCACACGTGGAACGTTGTCCCCAGTGCTGTTGACCCAATCCGTAATCTCGGAAAGGATTTCCGTGCGCGTCCCTTGAAGGCATTCTTTCCTGGTATCTAGTCCCGCGCCCTCTGCATAAGTCATACCACTGAGCTCCAGTGTTTGTCCTGGAAAGGTATGAATATGCGTCAAGTCACAAGGATGTCCGAACCCGTACCTATATGGTGGACCTGTATGTCTATGTCGTGGACGTGTATGGCTACGTCGTGAGAAACCTGGTCCCGGAAGTTTTGCATGAGACTATCTAACACGCCATTGTACTTTTGGATCGTATCTGTCGTTTTCGAGACGACGTTCTTTCCGAGTCTCGTCCCTATGATGATAGTAGAAGCTTGAGATAGTACAGAGCGCAGCAGGAAACAACACTCACAGAAGTTGCTGGTCTCCGAATAATTGCTGATAAAATTGGCACATTCACGGATCTGCTGTGAAATCTTTCCAAGGACACTGGTAGCGCGCATGGACAGTTTTTGATCAAGCTTCCCGTCTTGTATTATGAAGTCGTAAACTTCACACAACTTCTTCAGGAGTTCAAGTACCGCTGCGTCACGATCCGCTTGAGCTAGAATGATCTGCGCAAATAATTGCTGAGCGGTGAGAGATAGGAAGAAAAAAATAGAAAACATACTTTGGCTGTCCAAGACAACACGCCCAGTGCCATTTTTGCATATGGATGTAACTGTGAAACTAGATTAGTTCGGTTCTGATCAAGAGGAAGAACCATACATCAGCGATCTTCCCAATAACGTCGTCGAATATCTTGAGGGGTTTGAGATATGTGTCCTGGAAATCGTCAGCAGCATCGAGATCCTCTGGTCCGCCTTCGACGACAGATGCTGCAGTTATCGCAGGGCCTGAAAGTGGATGCATGCGATTTGCAACCTCTTGTGCACCCCGAAGTACCGATCCGGTATCAGCCTCGACTTCTACATCAGGCGGAGCAGCCTGAACCCACGCGACAACCAAAAATTAGACAGAGATTAAAGGGCAAGTATCTCGGATAACTTACCTCAGTAATTGGGGTTGATGAACGTTCATCCCTTGGGGGAGCAGGGCTAGGGCTGCGGGAATCTTTCGAGCGCTTGTTGCAATTTCAGTCATGTTCCAAGACGCTCATTACGCATGATCGTGTACTCACCGTCCTTAACTTTTTCGCATCCTCCTTGAGTTTCTTCAGAAACCGACCGATTTTGCTACGGGGTCGATGCTAGACGAAGGATGAGTCAATGTCAGTCACGGTGTTTGGAGCGGAGTGAACTGAATGGTCCTGATAAGCCACGTACCGAGCCTCCAGGAGCTGTTGCTTGACTAGACTCGGATGTGTGGGTTTTTTGAGTCGATGAGTTGCCTTTCGTTCGAGTCATTGTGAATAGCAGTTGAAGCGAAGTAAGATGAAGGCTGAGGGCTCACGTCACTTATATATATAAAACCATTATGTTGCCTTGAAGCAAAAATACTTATTAGTGGTGCGGGCGCTAAGCATTCGAATTTCGACCGCATCTAAGTTGTGTGCGTTGAATCTGATGGGCTGTGGGTCAAGCTTATATGGATGGTTGTGACAAAGTACAGTCTACACTCAGACCCAAAATTTCACGATAATCTGCATAATTCCTCGCGAAACCTCGCAAATATGATGCTCCCATCCAAACGCTATTGTGTGCTTCAATAGATGCTTGCAAGTTGGCCCCAAGATCGATATGATCGCAATCCTCCCTCCAAACATTTACAACTGCGAGACTCAAGATGACCACGGAATATAGAACTTCGAGATATGGCCAAAGTTCACGAGTCTGTCGTGTTGCCCAGGTACATTAATATAACACGGCTCGCTATGGCTGAAGCCAGACCATAACTTCAGCTGGTCGTTATGCCAATAAGCCGTGCTTTCGTGAAGAGTAATGTCGCAAAAACAATACTGTGGTTGATGAGAGCTGCACTTTTAAAGTCAGATGATGGACGACTTACAAACTGAGTCTGGTGGATTGTAGGTCTTTCAGCATCCATTGAAAAATCCAGCGATAACTACCTTGTGATCGAGGATGACGGGCGCCAGCTGGAGCTCTACGAGACGTTCAGGAGGCGACAAGTTACGTACGATGTCGAGCTTTTACTCCCCCGTGTGCTCTCAGGCCCACAGTCTATGATCCAATATGAGACCGAAGAATTATAATAAGTTGAGCACGTCGAGCATGCCGTTAATCTAATGCATGGCGTCAGCAAGATGAGGAAGTATGTGGAGACAAACTTGATTTCGTTGCCTATGGCATGGAGTGTGTGCAAATGGGCGCTGGTTTTAGAAGCATGTGGCGAAATTGAGCACAATGTGAACTTTTCCCCAACTAGGGTGAATGAAGAAGGTTGTTGTGTTATTCCCAATCAGTTGTAGGGAAATGATGGGGTCATATTAATCCTCACCTTAAGGAACAAGGAGTTGATGGAGTTGCTTGAAGATTTGGATGGTAACGATTCAGGCAGGCCAGAGTGCATCTCTTCGGCAAGCTTGATCTTGGAGTGTGTGAGTAGATGACATCTGTTGCGAGGCTAGATATATTCACATCAATAGAAGTAACGCCAAGTTGTCACTCACCGATAACTCGCTCTCTGCACCTTTCAGCGCGGGTGATATGCTTCTCCAGCTCGTCCAAGGTCGATTTTTTTTCATCTGTATGGGAATGACAAACTGGGGTGACTATTGATGCGGTGAAACGTACAATAATTTGAAATACCACTCGAAGTACTTTGAAATTTCATTCTTGATGTAGAATCTAGCTATAAATGAAGTCGGCCAACTGTGGGAATAGTCCGAAACCAAACGGTCCAGTCACGACGTGACTGAGCTTGACGTGCTCCCTTCCCTCTTAACCGTTCCTTGTAAATTAAAGTACCCCATCCAACCGCACAGGCAGCAATATTAATCCTGTTCGTCGTCCCCTTTTCATCACAACGCGTCCTCCCGTATGACCTTGCTTAAGCCATACACGTCTGTTATGAATCACAATCGACAACGAAGTGACTCCATCACACGCAGAAGAGAAAGAGAGATCCACGAGCTAGCCTTTGAGGCCAATGTTAGATGATTCAAGCTGCGCAGTACGTTCCATCCTCCTAATATCGAAGACTAACGACAATGGTAGCTTGTTTCGAGTCTTTTGACAGTGACACAAACTCGAGCTTATTGGACCACGAGCAAGACTATGTACGATTGATCATTTTTAGATAAGTCCAAACGGGTACGTTGCTCCAGCAGCACGAAAATTTATCCAAAAATAATTGTATTGATTAGCTCCGAACTAGGTATTGCACCATCATTAATCAACCATGATACAAAAGCGAAGGAAGAAACATGACTCACTGTCGCGACGTGCCCCTCTGGCTGCCGACTCAATTCTTATCCGGGAATGCAGACCCTCTTCTTTTCAGGATCCTGAGTTGCGTGGTTGAATGCCGGTTGCATAATGACCTGTTCACACTCACAATGCCACAAGCCGTACTGCAGCAATCGTTATCAACAGTGCAACGCTGATAAAGGTTCGTACATCCATCGACAGGCATAGATACTGTCAATGCAACAACAACGGCGAGGAGGGCGAAACGCATTTTCTGTACGAGGTTATGTGCAATTTTCTGAAGGATATGTCGAATGATATCTCTGAGGATGGGGAAACACTGTAGGACGATGGTCAGTTCTTATATCCTGCATACACTGATGGGCACGATTCTGATCTATTTGGCAGAATTGTTAATGCTATGGGATGACGGAAATTTCGGCAGAACTTGCAGGAGCATACTCATTTGATTACGACCATTGGGCCATAACTTGCCGGCAGGCGTCAACGATTCTCCTTCTTGTAACTACAGAACGTTCGATCGAATCACCGGGTTCTCATTTTGACCCTGCGAGATATTTTCTGGAAATGGCAACAAGTCTTGACTAGTGATCACTGCGGAAATAAGAAAATAGTTGGTAGGCCAAGCCGAGTCGCATATCAAGAAGTGTTAGACTTCGTTTCCAAGTCTGATTGCGAGAATCAGGCCGGTTAACGTGTTTTGTATTGCAACAGTGCGTTACGCACATCCATTGTCATCTCGCTCTTATACTCATGCTTGTGAATTTCTGCACGGGATTGTGGTACTCAACACCCGGAATCCCGTTATTCACATTGTTCATGGGATCAGTCACGATCTTGTATATACTAGTCCATTGCGCATCTCGTATAGGACTTTGAACATACGTTGGTAATTGCATTCATATGATAAATCCTACAAGCACGTAGTATGTCTGATACTTGCACGTCAAAGACAGTTGATCAAAACATGAAAGCAATGAGCATCGGCCCCATGACGCAAAATACAAGTGATCTATCATAAACAATATTAGCATGGTATTTCACTCCAACAAGGTCTTGATAGCAGCGTCACATCATGCATTACGTTCGACATCAAAGGGTATTTCGACTTCGTTAATCACACACGGCTACTCCGGATACTTCGCGACAAACACTTACCACTCCCTATGATCAAATGGGTAAAGTCTTTTCTCAGCGAACGACAAGCGGCAATCTGTCTAGATGGAGTACTATCCCCATCGGAACCAGTCGAAAACGGTATACCTCAAGGATCCCCAATCTCACCGGCCCTCTCGATCATCTGCACTAGCCCACTAAATGAAGCCTACAACGTGAAAGCATGAGCACGTGAACCACGCCCAATCAACGCCACACCGACCACGTTGGCGTGCTATATCGACGACGGAAATTTATATGTTTCGTCCCCATCTTTGGAGACCAATGTCGCAATACTCAGGGAAGAGTTCATTTTCGTGAACAATTGGCTTCGCGAAGCTGGATTAATGGCAGAAATCGACAAATCGGAACTCATCCATTTCACGTGGCGTCGCGCACCAGATTGACCACCTATCTTGCTGCCTAGCGACAAAGGACAGGTGACAATTAACCCCCGTGACTGTATCAAATGGCTTGGTATATATTTCGACTCTAAACTCTCTTTTCACAGGAATGTACGTGAACTGGCAGGCAAAGCGGAAAATATCGCCCAAGGAATACAAATGCTTGCAAATACGGTAAGAGGTCTCTCGCAATCACTATTGAGAACTGTATACTCGGCTTGTGTTTGCAGTGTAATGACATACGCAAGCCCCGTCTGGTGGACAGGCATGAAAACTCATGCAAATATGCTCACCCGCGTTCAAAACAAATCCCTTAGACATGTATGCGCCACTTTCCGGACCACCCCAATAAAGGCCCTAGAAATAGAGGCATCAATCCCCCCCATTAACCTCTTCCTCGATCACGCAAATGACAATGCCGCCACTCAACTACTCAAACTCCCCTCATTCAACCCAATTCTACAGAGGCTCGACCAACTGTGGCGACAATTCGACCTCGCTGATCCCCCACCCGCTCTTCCTACTGACAAATACCGTCCCCGCAGCCGTAAACCACCAAAGTCGACCAGACTCACCCGTCTATCAAAACGAGCATCCCCGGACGTGGAACACATCAACATATTCGCACTGCCACCTTGGGCAAACACAGCGGAAACGTACCGCAGCCGCCTAACGATAACAGACAAACAAAGAGGAGGCAAGAAAGAAGCCGCCAAAGCGCACATACAAACCGCTCGGAATCTACAAACGGAGGACACGCACCTTCTCATTTACTCAGATGGGTCGAAACAATCGGTCGGAGAGGAGGAAAGAGCTGGAGCAGGATGGGCCAGCTATCATAGAGGAAGAGAAGTATTCTGGGGCCAGGAAGGAATGGGTCATAAAGTAGAGGTATATGATGCAGAGATGCTAGCGCTCCTTCAAGCAATATCACGAGCTATTCGTTTTGCGCAAGACTCCCAGGTGACCCATTTACATTTCTTCGTAGATAACAACTCTGTGGTGCAGGCTGCATATGCAGCTGCACCCGGACCCTCACAATACATTGCATTACAGATCAGACGCTCAATCGAAGATTTCCTAACCACGTCACCCTTCCACCATGTCCAAATCGCATGGATCCCAGGACACCACCATATCATCGGCAACGAACGTGCTGACGAGCTTGCCAAAGAAGCCACTGGACGTAATGACATGTCCCACTCGACCTACGCAAACGCGCGCCGAAGAAGCAAGGAAGGGATCCGGCAGAAATGGACAGAGAGTTGGAATAGAGACGTGGCAGCACAGACTGGACGTTTCGCTATCGCAAATCAACTCCCACCAACGCTCAAACCTCGCCAATACTTCACTCATACCCCCCGAGAAGTATACGGCCGTCTTATACAATGTCACACAGGACACGGATTCATTGGAGAATACTATGCCTCATTCGTCCCTACCGAACCCACCCTCTGCCCATGTGGAGAACCACGTCAAACACGAGAACGTGACTGCCCGCAATATGCACGACAGCACATCCATTTACGAGGTATCCCACAACATCGTACTCAGCGAAATCTTGGGTACGGAAAAGGGCATAAAGGCATTAGCGAAATTTATTGAAGAATCCAGCGCATTCAGGAAGGTCGCACTGGAACGAGAAGGGGACTGGGAAGAAAGGAGAGGGATAGAAGCCTGAGTGAGGGCGAAAAAGGAGGTGACGAAGGAGGGAGGAGACGAGAAGAGCACAGAAGGAGGAGGAAGGAGAGAAACTGTAACATATTACACTCAGCCTGGACACTGGACAAACTTATACGCGCACCGAAACTTCTCAAACGCGGACCGCTTGGCTATTCGTACTATACTTAACCCCCTTACCCTGTTACAATATCCCCCAGTACAGCCCTAACAGGGCACCGCGTCTTAACAGTTTACTTTGTTTGTTGCGGTATATAAATATAGAAGTTCTCTCTCTCTTGATAGCAGCCCAACACGTACCATAGGATCTTTAACAACGAACATCCCCACCCCACCCTTCGACACAAACTCCCACTCAAGCTCCCTCCCACCATCCAAACCAACACTCAAGTCAAGAACAACCAGCTTTTCCACTCTTACATCCCCCACACTGCACGCAAACTCGTTCATAGGTCATACGCACCCACTGCCGTTCTTACAGCAAGATTAATAGACGAGATGCGCACCGTCTCATGTCCTTTCCAGCAGTATCGAGCACGATGCGGAGTGTGAACGGGTCGTTTCGTCAGTGGCGAGGAACGGCACGGGCGTTCACGTGGGGAATGATGGAGCCTCCACGGATGAGGAAATGGATTTGGTGGACGTCTGCGAGGAGGGTTGTTTGGGGCGGTGGGTGTAGTTTGTGAAGTAGCCGTAGTAGACCTAGATGGTTGGTGTACAAGTGTCAGGGTGTGTAGAAAAATGAAAGGAAAAGGAAACGAACAAACCTGATTCTAATCAAGATACACAGGAACCTACCTCACCTTTCTGCATCACATGTTTATTGTATAACCCCGACAACCCAATATAATACTGGTCATCAATCCCAAACCCACCTTCGTCCTCGGTGAACATCACCTGCACCACTACTCTTTATGGGAGCAAGAACAATATTGATGAGCTCATTTTACCTCGCAAAGGGAAATCAATTAATGTGAGAATGACACCCTCATTGAAGGGGCGCAAAAACAAGTACCGGATGCCAGACACCCCATTTGCTTCAATGATTCTTCTGACGAATATGAACGTGCTTCGACAAGTCTGCAAGGAACCAGTGAAGGGAGTGATGGAAACTGGATCATACATCTAGTAAACGATCTGAGATCTGATACTGTTCATCACCATACTCGACCTCGTGACCATCGGCTTTGAAAACTTTTTTGTTATCGAGCCTATCTGTCAAGAGATCACATACGACGAGGATCTCCCACACGACAGTCGTGGTTGATCCTATAAGCTGCGTTGGGTTCGCAAATGCGAAGGCTTCACCGCAGTATGGTCGGTGAAGAAGCTGAGGATGATGTCGAGCAGACATGTCATGAGATTGTGTTGAGAAGAGACGTGTAGGGCAACGAATGGTGCAGTAAAAAGTTGGAGGGCGAATTACTTATGATGGACGTTTCTGCTTCACGGTCAACCAGAAGTTAAGCATCAGCCACACGGTGGTAGGTGCTGGCAATTGAATGTGGGACGCTGAAATAGCCTGAGTATGTCAAAGTGACAACGAGCAACATGCCAGTTGTGCCCGGGAATTGACGAAATTCAGACTCGCGAGGATGTGACTTGAACCCTATATGTAGTTTGAAGTCCTCAAAGCAAGAATATTGGTGGTGGCACTCGAGTCCGAAACCGAACGGTCCAGTCACGATGTGATGAATCGTGACTGAGCGTGACACGCTCCCTTCCCTGTTCCTTGTAAGTTAAAGTACCCATCCAACCGCGCAGGCAGCAATATTAATTGTTCGTCGTCCCCTTTTCATCACAATGCGTGCTCCCGTATGACCTTGCTTAAGCTATATACCAAAATATGACACGTCTGTTATGAATCACGATCGACAACGAAGTGACTCTATCACACGCAGAAGAGAGAGAGTGATCCACGAGCTAGCCTTTGAGGCCATTGCACCATCATTAATCAAAGAAAGCGAAGGAAAAAACATGACTCACTGTTGCGGCGTGCCCCTCTGGCTGCCGACTCAATTCTTATCAGCGAATGCAGACCGTTTCATTTTTAGCATTCTGAGCCGCGGAGGTGAGTCGCGTGGTTGATTACTGGTTGCATAATGACCTGTTGATACTCACAAAGCCACAAGTCATACTGCAACATTCGTCATCAACAGTGCAATGCAGATAAAGGTCCGTACATCCATCGGCAGACATAGATACTGTCAAAGATACTGTCAATGCAACAACAACGGCGAGGAGGGCGAAACACATTTTTTGAGGGGGATGTCGAATGATATCTCTGAGGATGGGGAAACACTGTAGGACGACGATCAGCTCTTATATCCTGCATACACTAATGGGCACGATTCTGATCTATTTGGCAGAATTGTTATTGCTATGAGATGGCGGAAATTTCGGTAGAACTTGCAGCATACTCATTTGATTACAATCATTGAGCCATAACTTGCTGGCAGGCATCAACGATTCTCCTTCTTGTAACTACAGAACGTTCGCTCGAATCACCGGGCTCTCATTTCAATCCAGTGACCCTGCGAGATATTTTCTGAAAATTGATTCTCATTCTCATCCTTGGCATGTGCTTAGTGTTGTGGGTAGAAGTCCGCCATTCTGCCAACTGGTTCTGCTTCGAATGATGTTCTATGTCGATCAACTCAAAGAAACCTTAATAGAAAAAAATCAGATGCTTCAGCCTGTACTGATAACCATTGATCATAGACAATCATTTACGATTGCACGATGCTTGCCGCTGCACTTCCGGATGCCCTGTCTCATCCTTCATAGTTGTCAATCTCAATCGTGGTGAGAAGGTCAACAACAAATCTGGACGCTACTTACTGGTTCTGTAAACACGCATCCAAGGTCGTGACCACCATTATTCCCCATCCCGCCGTAGACATCAAACACCATTTCTCAGATATGTAGCACTCCGAAGCGCCGCAACCCCTCGGTAAACACGTTTGAAACACTGACAAAGGTTCGAGCAAATCTTCGTCACAATATCATCCTCCACAGGTCGTGGCTAATGAAAGTCAATTTAGCGTCATGCGCACATGCACACTAGTGCGTTGATATGGCTGCCGATCCAGAAGCCAATTTGCGCGTGTATCACTGGCAGAATCCATATCACCTGATGATATGGAGGCAGCATTTGCCCTACTTACTATAGCCTCGTGATTTTCATGATTATTTTCTCGTTCTTGACAATCCGTGTTATTAAGCCTACTATCCATAAGTCGCAGGGCCAGGCAAAGTTCACTACCTTTACTTGTTTCTGAGAAGCACGGATCAAAAACAAAGAAATCAGAATCTTAGATGGACAGAATCCTGCTAGGAAGTAGGATGATTGGATTCAAATAATCGATCAGCAATGACACTTCTGACTAGGAGAAACACTCAGCAATAGCTTTGCACATATAGTCTGCTCCTGCCGTGGCCCCCGGGCCGCATCTTGAATATCACAAGTCGGATAAACTGATATGGAATGAGTAAAGAAGCAAGCGCGTTTCACAAGCGACAAATTTGTCACCAACTCATTGTTTTGTTATTGATAGAAGTCCACAGAGCCCTTGAGTCCCGCACCAAAAAATGAACTAGAAGAAAATTGTGCAACAGGGCACGATTCATTCCCGAGAATCCAGCTGATGCAGGCGAGTGCATGAGCGTGCTTGTTACCTAGCACTAATAAAAGCCAGCCTACGCGGCCCAGAAAACACTATCAACATTCGACTAGCATGAAATTCACTTCACTCACCACTATTGTTATATCTGCCGCAGCGATGGCTGGCATAGCCATCGGGTCTAATTCAGATATTAACACACCCATGAATTTATCCTGCAATCTTAGAAGTAGGCATTTCGCGGCCTACGTGCAGGCTGCGTACTTATGGTTATCCACAGATTCAATACAATGCGGAACAGGCCTCAAAGGCTTTAACAACGGGTTGGATTACGGGTTTGTCTGTGGACCTCAAGGGACAATTATATCATACGCGGCGTGTCCCTGCATAGGTTGCTGTGAGGTCGATATGGAAAACTATGAATTTGAGTGTCAGTTAAGTAAGCCTGTCTTTCCCTACTGCCCTTCGAGCCCGAGTATTGATATGTTGCTCACTTACTAGTATGTGTTGAAAGATTATAGATAAGTGATAACTTTGATTCGGACAACAACAAACAACACTCGCTTACATAATACGCTACACTCATTAGAAGTTTTTTCATTACTTCGTACCTCGGTTTTCGACTTCCGAGACTGAGTATTTACATACATTCATTTATAGAACTTTTCTTTCGTCCGACGTGTCCTCGAACAAAAGGTTATGAGCCCTGGTGCTTAAAATCAATCCAGTACCACACAGGAACATCAACAGAAACAATAATTAAATGTCGAACACACCCTCAGTGTCTGTAGCCCAACCAGCTGCAGCTGCTTCGTCCTCGAATATCCCTTCCATATCATCCAGTTCTACATCTACAAGCAGAACTGCACAAGCCTCCAATCGCCTATATGACATTCCGTCACTTGAAAACGATGGTTCGAATTTCCAACTATGGAAGTACCGTGTCGAGTTAATCCTTGACCTTCGAGGACTATGGGCAATTGTCGAAGGAAGTGAAAATATGCCAGATAGCATAACGCACCCTGTTCAACACCAGGAATGGTTAGCAAAGAACAAGGAAGCACAAGCTCAGATAGCTCTCACGCTGAAAGATGACCCCTTGAATGGGATACTCTATGTGCCAATAGCTAAAGATGCCTGGAAGAAGCTCTGTGAGCAATATGAGGGTAGAGGAAAGCAAACAATTGCTCAACTCATCGGCAAATTGTTTCAAAGTACCTTGACGGACGAATCTCCCATGGACAAGAAGAAGTCAAAGGAAAAGTGCACGTACTGCCAAATTCCTGGATATGAGGAGAAGGACTGTTGAAAGAAGAAAGCTGCTGAAGACGCTGCAAAGAGTGGGAAGCAGGCGGATAAAGACAAAGGGAAAATGGACTTATCTGCAAAGGTCGCACGCATCTCATCGGACCATGACACACCACTTCAATTATTCATGGCACATGGGCACTCTACAACTGCATCCAAAGATGATTGGATAGTAGATTCTGGCACATCTGCAAACATGACATGTCAGTGGGAAATTTTCATCAAATATTGCATGCTGAACCCACCCGAACAAGTCATCATCAGAGATGGACGCTCAATAGATGCAATAGGCATCGGACGTGTCGAAATAAACATCTATATTGGTGAAAATGAGTACATGCACTCCATCCTGCAGGAAGTCTACCACATACCAGATCTAAATGCGAACCTTCTGTCAGTTCCCCGCCTCATGAAACAAGGTCTTGAAGTCACCTTCGATGGTTCCCAGTGCAAGATCCTTGCAAAGGGAAAGACCATCGCTCTCGCACATAAGCGAAACTCACTATATGTCCTTCGAGTAAAGCCTTGCAAGAAAGCACTTGCATACATCCTGCAATGACCATCAGCTCCACTCGATCCAGATGTCCCCATAACAGCTCTCACCTCACGCATGCTCCATTCAAGTGCAACTCTGGACACATGGCATCGATGACTCGGTGTAGAAAGCTGATCTCTGCTGGGCTCAGCAGAAATTGTACTACCTAGACAACAATTATTTAGGTAGATCTTAGCACAACCTAGTCTGCTATACTTGCAGAGCAAGTGCGTTCGATCCTATAGGGGTTGCTAATTGGTATTGGTAGTAAAAATGCGTCAGTAATGCAAATAACAAAATGTCCGATGGTGCGAAACGATGTCCAAAGGTAATCCGATGATGTCTGAAGGTACTTATCCAATGTCCGAAGCCAAAGTGCGATGTCCGAGATTTCGGACTTTCGGACTTCATGATAATAGGTTGGAAACTTTATAATGAGTGTCGGATTGCGAGCGGTATGCGCGAGTATAACAAGTGATGGAGTATGACGGTGAACAAATGGTAATATTTCGCAATGCAACTAAGAACTATGAGAATATTCTGGGTGATCCGCAGAGTCGGGAAACGGCTCCTAACTACTGGATGATGATTGCTACAGGTCACTACAGAGTATTTAAGTAAGTACATAGAAATTTTGAAAACTACAGGCGAAGATAGTAGCAATATATTTTGGGTCCGATGTCCTATGTAATAAGACATGAGGTGCTGCGGACATGTAATAACGCGGTTCAAATGTCAGAAAACATGCACGGGAATGACTACGCACCTAGTGAGGCTAGTTCGGATGGACAGGACATGGGATGGACAAGTGCGCGCAAAGTGCGATCGGCCGATGCGATGTCCGAAGGTCCGATGTGCCGGATCCGATATGGAGTGGCTCGGACATGTACGAAATTGCGTTGGACATGTGCGCATATGTTTTGGGTGTTGATGTGAGTATGGAAATACGTGGTTTTGAGCCCAATGCCGTGACCATCACTACACCGTCTTTGAATCTCTCGGTTTCACATGCAGCAATGCAGATCATTCAGGTCTCCTACAAGTTCGAGAATAGCACCATCATTATAGTTGCTGTCTATGTCGATGATAAAATGATACTGTCGAAGGACAAGAAGATGATAGATGAGCTGAAGAAACAGTTAGCAGCAGAGTACGAGCTTACCGATTTAGGAGAAGCGCGCTGGATCTTGGGGATGGAAATCATTCGTGACCGTGATAAGCGCACAATCAAGCTGTCACAGAGCCGCTACATTGAATCAATACTTGAGCATTTCGACATGGGATCCAGTCATCCTGTTAATACACCAAAGGACCCTAATACCAAGCTCATCAAAGTGAATGGAGCCGAAGTCAATGTAAAGACTTACCAAAGTGCCCTAGGTGCACTGATGTATGTGATGCTTGCAACACGTCCAGACATCGCATTCACAGTAGGTGCTCTAAGCAGATTTTCAGCCACCACCGGACAAGCACACTGGACCGCCCTAAAGTGTGTCTATCGGTATCTATGCGGCACCACCAATAAGTGTTTGACATATCAAGGAAAGTCAGAAATGGACTTACATGCTTTCGTCGATGCGGACTGGGCCTCAGATGTCAATGACCGGCATTCGATAACCGGATATATATTTTCAATATCTGGAGGAGCAGTTAGTTGGAGTTCGAAGAAGCAAAGTTTGGTTGCACTCTCCAGTACTGAAGCAGAATATATGGCTGCTACTGCTGCTACGAAGGAGGCTGTTTGGTTGAGGACCCTACTCAGAGAACTAAACTTCTCAGAGACTCCCCCAATGACTCTCCAAATCGACAATCAATCTGCAATTCTGTTAGCCAAAAACGCCATGTTTCATGAACGTACCAAACATATAGCGATCTGGTATCACTTCATCTGAGAGAAGTTGGAGGAAGGAGAGATATGCGTTGAGTATGTTCCCATGAACAAACAGGTTGCCAACATTTTGACGAAGGCACTTGCGCGCGAGAAGCATGGACGATTCATCGAAGGAATGGGAGTGTTGAACGGCAAGAGTTTTGATTTGTTGAGTGGGCGTGTTGAAAGATTATAGATAAGTGATAACTTTGATTCGGACAACAACAAACAACACTCGCTTACATAATACGCTACACTCATTAGAAGTTTTTTCATTACTTCGTACCTCAGTCTTCAACTTCTGAGACTGAGTATTTACATACATTCATTTATAGAACTTTTCTTTCGTCCGATGTGTCCTCGAACAAAAGTATGTGGCACTATGTTGTGCATAATCTTTTCCCTCGCATGAATTGGACCTTATTAGATTGCCATAATGGGGTGGGAATGGCAACTTAGTCATAGTAAGATCTTCGTCATCCCACTTAGTATAACTGCCAGTAAGTAACACCACGAATTTGAATAAACTGTTTATGTTGAAGGTAGCATGTGAGGAATGCAACACGTGACTTGACTGGACTGGATGCGCTTGTACTAATACTGCAAGTTTTGAAATATCGCGTTGTTCTACACCTGTAATCAAGTTTCTACAATCAAACCCGTTATACAATGATCCCCATACCACTACGTTTCTTAACAATATCATACGGAAATAAAAGGGTGGTGACGCAGAAGGGTCCAACATCCAAAGCTCGTGAGTTCAAAGTGCGTGTCATGTTGATCTCTCTCATGAGTTTTAAATTATGTTTTTGATGCCAGTCTCTTCAATCTTTTGCGCACTGTAAATTTTGTCTCCAAGACTATTCACTCTCATCCCTGCACTTCCAAACAACCTGCAACTTTAGCTTCATGTCTTGTGAAGACAACTCAGCCCTTGAGGTAGATAAAGAGGCATGGGAAGAAGAGGGCTTGGCCGACCTTGTCTGCTGCCTGGAGGTTTACTTGGAGGAGGTTGTGCCTGGTCCGCTGTCCGGCGAAGAGGCATCGCAACCTGTTGAAGAAGGACATGAAGATGCTCGGGTGCACTAGCAAGTTTGAGGCTCTGATGAACGGCAAGGTGGAGAGGGAGAATGCAGTGTTATAGCAGAGGCCAATGACAATGTAGAGGAGGACGAAGCACAGGACAAGGATGAGATGGAGGGAGAGCAGGATAAAGAGGAGCAAGAGAAGGAGGAGGAGGATAGGGAAGAGAATGAGCAGATGGAGGAGAGTGAGGAGAGTACTGTGCGGACTAGGCCATATTCCTGAAAATGAACGGACCTGACCATTCTGAACCGTTTGCCAAGGTCCAGTTCTTGGTTCTTGCTTGACCCTCTGTGAACCGGACTGAACCGGATGACAGCAGCACTAGACTACTAGTACTGGCTCGGAACACAAGAAAGAAGCCATAGAACGAGAAGATGGCATTGTTGTCAACAGCGGCCTGGTTTTGTGTGATGAGTGGTGAATTGATCATAGGCATTTGACCTTTTAGCACATCATTCAGTGGGACAACCATAATTTAATTCCGGTTAGTGCTAGGTATATCATTGACAACAAATCAAGAATAAAAAATGCAGCAATAAAATTCCCATTACGTGGAGCTAGAGAGATCGATGTTAGCAACTGTAAGGATAAATATTTCAAGAACAAGAGCTCATGCATCTCGACAACTCGACCAGTTTGTATCATGTGCCATGCAGCTCAAATCAAGCTAAACACCTCCTCTTGAGATCACCAATGAAGTCCATGGAGTATAAAATGCATCTGGGGAAGCGGGAGGTACCCAGAAAAGGAGCCGGTGATTGGGGCCCATTATCCATCCATCATCCTGCAGCAAGAAAGGTGTTGAATTGGAATTGTCATGAGAGGTGGGTTCGAGCAAGTCAGCAGGATTGGGCAAGGCATGTTCAATGTTGGACGAAAAGCAAATGGGTTGATCGTTACAAGTGTTTGTTGGCATGATATCACGTTCTTCGGTAGTGCTTTGGTGTAGTGAAAATGCGGAGGATTCTGGTGATGGCTGCAGTTTCACTGCATACCACAGACAGATAGTTTTATCTGATGAACCAGATATGATACAAGTACCATCCGGGAAGAAAGAGACCAAATAAACCAATGCAGTGTGTCCCTCCAACAGCTCACCAAATGGCTGTCCTGTGGCTACATCCCACAGCTGCACAGTCTTATCTCCTGAGCCAGATACGACATGAGTACCATCCGGTGAGAATGACACTGACCAAACCCAACTGGTGTGCCCCTCCAATGAGTCAAACAATGGCTCCCCAGTTGTTGCATCCCACAGGCGCACAGTATTGTCCGATGAACCAGATGCAATGCGAGTACCATCCAGTGAGAATGAGACTGAGTAAACTCCATCAACATGCCCTTCCAAAGGCTCACCCAATGGCTGTCCCATCCACACATCTCACACTCGCACCGTGTTGAGCAGGAGATATAGAACAATAAAAATGAGGGATCAGCAGTAGTAAGTATGTGAATGAAGCAAACAATAGGTGGATATTAGTACACAGCTTTGTAATTGTCTCACCCGATGTTAGAGCCACTAATAAGCTCAGAGTATTAAGGTACTTCTCTGCAGCTAGGCCAAGAAGGCCATGAGGAGGATAGTCTTCACTGTCACAAATGTTGGGGTCAGGTGGACCATACCCTTCTCCAACAATTCCAGTAAGTGATCTGACATAACGATAAATCATGCACGGCTGCTTGGGCTGGGTGGGCTGTGAGATGGGTGGCTGGCGTGCATCTTAAATGTCAAGTGAAAGCATGCTCAGAGCATTGGCAGTGTCTGTGTAGCATAAATATTCACCAAACAGAGAAAAAGATTAGCTGACCAGTCACACCCCATTTCTGCTTGCACGAACCTGGCACTGAGCTCGTAGTTGTCCTTGATGAAGCACATATATTCAACCGTGAAGGTGTCGCATGAGACATTGCAGCATGTGGTGGCAGGAATGTTGGCAGGGCAGGTGTGGATACATTTCCTTTGGTGAGCATGAACTCAACGACCTCGATAAATGTCTTGGTTTTCTTGAACTTCTGTATTTGCCGTCCATTCACTTGTTGAAGTGCCGCTTCCCTGTACTGCAGTCAGATGATCATTAAGATAGAGACAATAAGTAATACTCACCAGCTAAGGTATATTCCAACATTCCTACCGTACACAACAGGGTAAAATTGTTTGCGATGCGTAAATATGGCCTGAAGAGCCTCAGACTGTAAGAGAGCATCTATCAGGCTGGTTTGTGATACTTGTTGGCCGAGTGAATTGATGAAAGACTGCAAGGTCATGACATGCTGAGCTTGCATGATTGATTCGCATATAACGACCAGTGGAAATGGTGGGGCTGTATGTCCTGAAGCAATGAACGGACTTGCAATGATAGTATCAGTCTCAAATTCTGGCAAAACCAAGCAATCTACTCACTGAGCATCCGCTATGCCAGGATCTTGGCCACCCAATACTGCAAATGCAACCATTTTTGTAGAGATTGTGAGTAGTGGTGGTTAATGGCCAAGATAAGAGTCACAGTGTGCGATTAAGTACATGTAAGTGGCATGCATACATGAACGCAACTCAAGCACATGCAACCGAAAAAGGTATGCATGTGCTTGAGTTGCGTTCATGTATGCATGCCACTTACATGTACTTAATCGCACACTGTGACTCTTATCTTGGCCATTAACCACCACTACTCACAATCTCTACAAAAATGGTTGCATTTGCAGTATTGAGTGGCCAAGATCCTGGCATAGCGGACGCTCAGTGAGTAGATTGCTTGGTTTTGCCAGAATTTGAGACTGATACTATCATTGCAAGTCCATTCATTGCTTCAGGACATCTGACTCTTATCTTGGTCATTAACCACTTCTACATTTGCTTTATGGTAGTGCACAAGGGCCAGAGTTATTTTGCAATCAAAATTGTTATAGTCAAGTGTCGAGTGTGAAAAATACATGATGTGGCTAAAGACTAATCGGACGCAATGACAACTCAGAGACATAGTCAACCAAACCACCCACAACCCCACAAGCTTCATCCCCATCCATAGTCAGATTCTGCTTCGTCTGTCTCATCACCATCAAGTTTCTGCTGATCAGCCAAGACGTCTGCGTGTGTTAGTGAATGATTCAAAACAGATGAGTTCTTCTTCATGCCGACCGTCTTGTCTCCTGTGAAACCAGTAAAGCTAAATGTTTGAAATACACAGGCGAGGTTGTGAGAATTGATTCAGATGCGGTGAATGGTAAATTCCTTGACAGCGTGGTAAATTGTATTGCTCTCAGCCTTGAGGCGTTGGAGAGTGACCTCAAAGTGATGATTTTTAGCAGCAATGAATGAGTGAAGGCGACGAAGCTTGATATTGCAACGATGGACCTCTTCATGAGCAGTGTTTGATGTGAAGTGACTGGCGCATCAATTCACGCACTTCTGGATGGGTCCATTGATTTGTTCGTACATCTTTTCAGGTTTCACGGAGAAGTGTGAACTCATCAAGAAATCCATAATGAGAGACACATGACCAGTCGAGACTCGGAGCAGGTGGCACAAGCGCAGATGCTGCTGCATTGTACTCCTTAACCTTGCTTTGAATTGCCTTGCAGCAAGTTTGGAGGGCTTTAGCAATATGAGTGCGCATGCGATACCCTGCAACATGAACATCATTGTGAGATAAGAAAAACACCGGAAAATAAAATTACCTGTCTGTGAAAGGTTTAACTTGTGCAACTTGAAGAGTTGTAGTACAACAAGATGCTGCAGCTCATCTAGAGTATGGTGATACTTTCATGTTGCCATGTACCTCATGGTATCAGCATACTTGCTATCCGATGGCTCCCACCTCCGCGTAATGCCCATCTTCACCTCCATAGCAACAATCTCTTGTAGTATGCGATCCAGGCGCTCATTCGCATGCCATCGCTGGGTTTCCAGCTTGTGTGTTCGGGACAGATTGTTTGCATATACGGCATCCATTGATGTCACAGTCGAAGTTGAGACAAATTGATAGTCAGTAGGAATGGCATCGAGGAATGATGCTGAGGCACACTGTGCTGCAGCCCTGAAAACATAGTGTTAGTTCATCAGATGGAAGCATGACCTTCACGTACCTTGCATCTCAGAGATTTTGCAACAACTCAATGTACATCATCACATGCACGTCACACTCAGCTTCTTTGCCAAGGGTTTCAAGGTATACTGACTGCTGGTTCTGCCATTCCTCGATGCTCGCATCCGTAATGCCAAGGGACAATTTGGCATGCTCAAATTCAATAGTCTCACGTTCAATGATGCCATGGGCTTGACGATAGTTGTTGTACAGCATGTTGCCGATATTCATGTACTTGTCCTCATCCCACTGTTTGAAAAACATGTCAATAAAAAAATGACGGTTATATGCACTTGCATAACAAATAACAGGGGCGAGTTGGTTAGATGAGCTGAATATCCTCTCCATTGTAGAAAAGTCCTCCAGTCCCATTCCTTGAATGACATTTGGATGGTTTCTATCCTGGCATGCATAGTTATGTGTATACCCGTGGAATGCATCAACGCACAAGCAGCTGTTAGATTCGTTGAACTTGGTAGCAAGGGTGGTCGACTTGACGGTGGTAGCGAGCTTGCATCCGACATCGTATCCAATCAATAGCTGGGGGCTGAGTACTTCAAGCGCCTTATTCATGATGGAGAGCGGATACTTAAACCTACATTAAAATCAGCAGAGGAAGCTTCCTTATGCAACGTGACATACAGTTCACCTGCTGCAGACCATATCAACAATCCACAGGATCATACCATGACAGCATGCGCATGTAAAGATCCCTGTTTCTTCAAATATTCCCCATGTCTGTTTCTTTGCTTCATCAGCAGCAGCCTTCCAATTTTCTGTGCACCATTTTTCGAGGTTCTCGCCAACTTGAAGCTGCAGGGCATCTTTATAAGCCAATGCTTGGGAGGATGGTGCTTGAGAAGACGATACTTCATCAGCAAACAGATTGACAGTAGTCACGGGAGAGGAAGAAGTCTGAATCAAACGTGCACATGTCACCAACTTTGCGGCCACCAAGTGGCGCCATTTGAGATAAGGAGTTATTGCCATCAAAAACAATCATATGCCGATAGAGAAGTGGTGGTTCACCCTCGAGCTACAACAGTCTGAGGAATTAATTAGTTAGTGCTAAGACACAGTACATACCTTGAATGAGCATGGTGGACAAGCATTTAAGACACACCAGTTGGGTGAATTGCAGCCAAGGGCTTCAGAAACTTGATGTTCGACTTGACGGAGGATGATGTTGTAGATATCAAATGCGCCTACCAGGCACATTCAATATCTGCAGCGATAAGGCATCTGAGTGGATGAAAAAAATTGTTAACAAGCCTAGAAATATGAATAACAACAATGACATACATTATAAAGATTGCACAGAACCTTTGTGAAGGCCTCAGCACTAAACGATGGTTTTTGCAGGTGTATTCTTCGGTACAGTTCCAGCGTGTGAAGTGAGATAGCAATGGAGGGTGACCGTGGAGTAGCTCCAATATAACCATTCAGAACAAGAGCCTCAGATGTGGTCTTGACACTGGCATTGTGCTGGATATGAGTCGTATTAGATAGTGTGTAAATGTTGATGCATTCGATGTCAAAGTCATAACTTGAAGGTGATGATGGTGGTGGTGGTGGGGGTACTGCATTGTTGGGGGGAGACTCTGAAGGGTACTTCCAAGCTAGGTAGGCCAGAGTCAAATCCTTGATGATAGGTGCCCAGTTCTCTTGGAGGCAAGTAACATGCTGGTGCCATGTTCGCCCATCTTTATACACTCTCCACCTAGAAAATTGAACTATATGATAGGGCTTGTCACAAGGCCAGGGTACTTACTGGCTTCCAACAATATCCCGAACCGCATGCATGAATGTGTCATCATCCTTCAATGTCTCTGGGACAGTCTCCCATTCAAGGTCTGGGTCCATAGAAGGATCATCAACATCCATTGCAAAGGTAGGCTCTGCATCTGAGTTTTGGAGGTTGGAGAGTAGCATTAGAGATTCGTTGCTTAGACCTGTATCATGTTAAAATAGGTATGATAGAGAAAAACAAAGTGAGAACACTGTACCCAATGTATTGAGTTCATATCTGTCTTGTCGACAAGAACGCTCGTTGACCAGGTCCCTCTGCTTGAGATTTCTGACACTGAGTGCACCACGCTTGCGAACATTTCCAACAACAAGGGTTACTGATCGCGAGACACCTTTCTCCTTTGGCATAGTGTTTGGGGAGAGGAGGGCGAGGAGGATGTGACTGACAGCAATGTCAAAGGCCTTACCGTGTGATGTTGGCTAAGTTCTTAGTTATGTAACGAACGATCAACATAATAATGTGCACGTTCAAGTAGAACACTTACAATTGAAATGTAGTGCCCTCGAGGGAAAAGGCCTCTGGCAACATCAGGAGCATGATGGGCAACATAAATAGTATCTAAATTAAAAAAAAAATTGAAGGAAAATGGTCCAGAACTGAGGGACTTACCTTGCTCATCATGGGTGACAGTGAGCACATGCTATTGGTGATGAGCGCACATCATGGGAGCTGCCGAAAGGCGTGAGAGTGTTGGGAATCATGTTGCTGACATAGCCGATAGTTGCTCTCGGCAGCCACCGGTAATAGCCCTGTTATGTTAGCAAGCATTTAGGGCAAGAGGTGTGCAAAAGGAGAATCCCGAACACAGAGCTCAACTTTAGATAAGCAAAAAAACCTTAATGCATAGCCACCCAAACTTTCGCAACATGCATTTTGGGTTTCTCACCAGCAGCCTCAAAAGCTCATAAAATCGTTTGGCGAGGACCGTAAAGGGGGTGTTTTTACTACTGTAGAATAGGTTTAGATAGTTATTTTAATGAAACATGCCCATCCAAAGATACTACCCGCTAAACAAAACATCTTGGATGTGATTTTTGAGGACACATGACTAATTAATATCAATATGACATGTCAATATCAATTCGACGTGTCTTGTCAATGACTCACATCTCTCCCTCCCTACACCTCATTTATTATGTATTCTACGACTCAACAATATACTAGTGCTGCCGTGGTTCAGTCCAGAACCATGGTCCGTGGTCCATGAATTGGGGCGGACCAGACCTGAGTGAGGTTCGCGGTCCACCATTTGCCTGAACGGTTCTATGTTGGTTCGAACCTTCCCCGAACCACAAGAAGTTCTGCCACATTGTCGAAGTGTGTTTTGACACTGCCTTTGATGATCCGCCTTGGCCTCACGGATTCTCGAGCTTCAATACTTACTTGTTTCCGACAAATGCAGAGGCTCATTGACAAGGTAAGTCATGACATGTACTGTTCAAACAGTGCTGATGAAGACTTGCATCAGGCAATTGCACTTCACACAGAAGCGCTGAATTTGCGCCCAGTCGGTTACACACATCGGTCCCAGTTCGCATACCTCTACGCAGGTTGGAAGCTGCCTCTTCATTGTGGGCAGATACGACAGTGGGGCATATAGAGACAAAGTTGTATTGTTTAACCTTGGTGAGTGCACCTCCATGATTTCAAACTTTCATTCCTAACTCCCCAACCGGCATCCATCATGCCCAACCCATCACACACCATGTCACCCATGTCTATGTGTTACAAGAACATCTAGATGCTTGGGCCCCTACCATTTTTCTCCTAATCCTCCTCGTATCAGCCCTTGCATCACACCCTTACCCTGACCTTACCCTGGTCATCCTTGTCATCCTCAGCATTCCCCTTCGCTCTCTATCTGTCGCTTCAGCAGAGCCAGTACATCTGGCCGGATCCTTTCGCTGACGAAGCATACACATGCTCCATTCCACCACCTGACTGATCCTGTGGACAGTCCCCTTGCCCTTACCATCCAGACGGTAACCTATGACACAATGCACGATGCATCCCCTTTACCCCTTTTCTCTTTCTCGATCTATGACTCAGTGCGCAGTCGCACATGTTACTTATATTTAGCTCCGCAGCTGCACGATCGTGCCCCTGCGCATTTCACTTCTTGTTTTGACCTTTGACTCACTTTCTTATCAAGCACGTTCTGGTTCACCTGTGTCTCACCCCGAACGTGCCTTCCTTTTATGGTTATACCCTTTACCGGTTACTTCACTTGGTAGTACGAGTTATCATCCACTAATACACCTCCTGTCCTCTATATAAACTTGCTACCATGTACTATATTCCCTAACTTGAATCTACTTGGTTCTTGACCTCCTACTCTCACCAGAGTGATCCTTTCTGCCTTGCCAGCAGTCTATATTCTATCTTCTTATCTGCTCCTCGCGGATAAGCCTATAGTCTCGATCTTTACTCATCAACTTCGTTGATGAGCAAAGCCCCTGTTAACTAGTCGGACTTCCGTCCTTCTAATTAACGACGATCTTACGATTAACCTTCGGGTGTCGTAAGCCTAGGCAGATATAGCTTATTGTCTCGCACCCGCTTGACATAAGCCACCCGATTTGGACATAGGCGTCAAATCTTACTTGCCGAAGCCTCGCCAAGTAAGACCCCTAACCTTGGGCCAGCCCAAGGACGTCCTCGACCATTGACGACACACGCTCTGTTTGAGCGTCGCCAACAGATACCATCCAAGTCGTAACACTATGCACCTTCCATCGCTACCAGCGCCCAAAATCACACGCCACGTCGTCTATGTTGATGTCCGCACCTTCCACCATTACCAGTGCCCTCCAGGTTCGTGGTTCTCTGAAGTTCTTACCTCGTCTTATGAAGGCCGCAACTTGATGATGGATATTTGTCGCAGCTCGGAAGCAGAGTTGGGAGCAATTGGACATCCTCCAGAACTCCTCATTTCAACAATGTCTCACTATGCTTTAGGTACGTTGCGCATCTAGACTCGACTCTGGTTGGGCAACTTACTTTTTTTACCATCCTATATAGATACAGCCTCTAAAGGACTCCTTGGACTCGGCAACCTCATTGAGGCAGGCACCACTCCTGCACCATCAATAGGGTAGAGCACAGGAAGAAGGCTGATGAGTCTTCCATCTGATCATACTCATCAAAATTGTCTTTGATAGCATCGTCTCTGGGGTCTGTCAGCCAGGCAGTTGAGCAGAGTGTGGATATGCTTACCCGTCCTTTGAAGAGAGTGAAGCTGACTGTCTTGCACTCGAAAAAGACATTTCCATCACTGCCATCATCCCCCGAACCATCAGTAATTGATGTTGATGCCATTGACACAGCGACAAAGTCTGTCAACGAAGAAGACTTAGATGCCACACTTCGTAAGCTACCGTGATACTACTATGTCAGTGTCTTACTCATGGGCCTGTGAAAAAACTGCGGTATACCGCGAACACCATTCATACCCGCAGAATTGGTGGGTCAGTGTCCACCTGTACCGTGCGGGTGCGGTGTTTGCGGGTATGGGTGCGGTGTGGCTTCAGCGACCCGCGGGTTCACCCGTGCTCAACCCTAACCATCAACATATCATCCCACCTCATGAGTCCCCCAATCTACTAGCCGTTGATGCATCAAGCATCTTAGATACAACTTGTTCCGTCCCATGTATGTACATGTGCAATGACATTGATATATTTCTCTTCGCGTGACTCAGCAGAGTGTATCGTCGCCAGGAAAGGTGCTGTTGTTAGTATTGTGGAGGGATACAGAGCTCGTAGTGCTGCCATGGTCAAAGTACTTCAATTATATATATATATTGCCAGCTATAGAAAAAATTGGGTCCGGTTCGCATTTGAACCGAAAAAAAACTGAACCTGACTGCTGTGAACTGTTCGCAAAGGTTCGGTCCAAGGTTCGTCGATAAAGGTAGAACCGGACCTTGGTCCTGTTCTCGGTTCTCATCAAACTGCCTCTGAACCAGACCGAACTGGACCATGGCAGCACTACAATATACCCGTTACGACTCATGGTTTGCTTCTACTAGTAATAACGACAACAGCACTGCATACATTACAGACCTCGAGGATCATTCATATCAAACCACACATTTTGGATCAGACTGTCATTCTCATGGACACTCTTTGAAGGGCATGCAGCTTACTGAACTTGAGCAGGCCAGCGCAAACATTCCGAAAGAGAAATGGCAGCCGTTCAGCATACCTAGGGATGGGCATGACAAGGAGAATGTGGTCCCATCCACTTCTCGTGCATCCAAACACTCTGCCCCATCTACCATGGCACCCTGTGCTTCCAAAAAGGCTCGGACCAATCTCGCAAATGCTCATTCTGCTGTTTTGTTGTGCACTTGACCTTAGGATGTCAATTTTGCTTGTCATTGCCTGTCTTTATGCTTGCTACTTGTAATGTCTTATGCACTGCTACGCTCTATTGCTACTTGTTCTGTCTTACACGTCCATGCATGCATGCTCGTTTTACATTGCATTCTCGTTCTGCTTTGGTTACGACGTCTTTGTACTGAACGACTACTTAATATGGTTAAATTGAGCGATCGGTCACGCGGTCACGGAAGGCGTAGGCGTCGTCGAAGTTTCTGAGGTTAGTGTCTTGAACTTCTCGATTGCACACCTCTTGATTTAGGGAATAAATGATTTATTCGTAGTGTTACTGGCAGTGAGTGGGATAGCGGAGATCGTATGCTAACTAGGTTGCCAAACCCACCCCATTATGGCAATCTAATAAGGTCCGAATTATGTGAGGTTGAGGTGGCCCAACATACTATACCTTTATTCTCACCACAGTTGTACCATCACAGTAGTTTGCGTTATCACGGTTTGAAATGATTATAAGTGCTGATTACCAATCAGCGACCTTTGATCGGTCGAAAGTGCACACATAGAGCGGCATTTGCGTTTGCAAATTTTATACACTCACGTGCAACGCAATAACGCAACAGTTCGAAAATCGCCTCGGGCGATGAACTTCATTATACATAACCTTCTTTGTCTCAAATTTCGAAGCACATCGGATAAGTTGTTGTTGCACGATGAAGATTCTGTAAATTCAAGCCCTTATCACCTACGCACCGTCATTTGCGTTGACTCAAAAATGGTAAACTTCTTTGATCGGTTTGCATTACAAAATTACTAATCGATGGCAGGTAACCTACACGGCCCAGAAAACACTATCAATATTCGACTCGGACTAGTATGAAATTTACTTCACTCACCACTATTGTTATATCTGCCGCAGCGATGGCTGGCATAGCTATCGCGTCTAATTCAGATACAACACCCATGAATTTACCCTGCAATCTTATAAGTAGGCATTTTGCGGCCTACGTGCAGCCTGCGTACTTACGGTTATCCACAGATTCAATACAATGCGGAACAGGCCTCAAAGGCTTTAACAACGGGTTGGATTACGGGTTTGTCTGTGGACCTCAAGGGACAATTATATCATACGCGGCGTGTCCCTGCATAGGTTGCTGTGAGATCGACATGGAAAACTATGAATTTGAGTGTCAGTTAAGTAAGCCTGTCTTTCCCTACTGCCCTTCGAGCCCGAGTATTGATATGTTGCTCACTTACTAGTATGTGGCACTATGTTGTGCATAAGCTTTTCCCTCACATGAATTGGACCTTATTAGATTGCCATAATGGGGTGGGAATGGCAACCTAGTCATAGTAAGATCTTCGTCATCCCACTTATAACTGCCAGTAAGTAATACCACGAATTCGAATAAACTGTTTATGTTGAAGGTAGCACGTGAGGAACGCGACGCGTGAATTGACTGGACTGGATGCGCTTGTTTTAATACTGCAAGTTTTGAAATATCGCGTTGTTCTACACCTGTAATCAAGTTTCTACAATCAAACCCGTTATACAATGATCCCCATACCACTACGTTTCTTAACGATATCATACGGAAATAAAAGGGTGGTGACGCAGAAGGGTCCAACATCCAAAGCTCGTGAGTTCAAAGTGCGTGTCATGTTGATCTCTCTCGTGAGTTTTAAATTATGTTTTTGATACCAGTCTCTTCAATCTTTTGCGCACCGTAAATTTTGTCTCCAAGACCATCCACTCTCATCCCTGCGCTTCCGAACGACCTGCAACTTTAGCTTCGTGCCTTGCGAAGACGACTCAGCCCTTGAGGTAGATGAAGAGGCATGGGAAGAAGAGGGCTTGGTGGACCTTGTCTGCTGCCTGGAGGTTTACTTGGAGGAGGTTATGCCTGGTCCGCTGTCCGGCGAAGAGGCATCACAACCTGTTGAAGGACATGAAGATGCTCAGGTGCACCAGCAAGTTCGAGGCTCTGACGAACGGCAAGGTGGAGAGGGAGAATGCAGTGATATAGCAGAGGCCAATGACAATGTGGAGGAGGACGAAGCACGGGACGAGGATGAGATGGAGGGAGAGCAGGATAAAGAGCAAGAGAAGGAGGAGGATAGGGAAGGGAACGAGCAGTCGGAGGAGAGTGAGGAGAGTACTGTGCGGACTAGGCCATATTCCTGAAAATGACCGGACCTGACCATTCTGAACCGTTCGCCAAGGTCCAGTTCGAGGTTCGCCGAGTCTGGTAGAACCGGACCACGGCAGCACTAAAGTCTACTAGTACTGGCCCGGAACACGAAAAAGAAGCCATAGAACGAGATGATGGCATTGTTGTCAACGGCGGCCTGGTTTTGTGTGATGAGCGGTGAATCGATCATAGGCATTTGACCTTTTAGCACATCATTCAGTGGGACAACAATAATTTAATTCCGGTTAGTGCTAGGTATATCATTGACAATGAATTCCAAGAATAAAAAAAAATGTAGCAATAAAATTCCCATTACGCGGAACTAGAGAGATCAATGTTAGCAACTGTAAGGATAAATATTTCAAGAATTATAACTCACGCATCTCGACAACTCGACCAGTTTGTACCATGTGCCATGCAGCTCAAATCAAGCTCAACACCTCCTCTTGAGATCACCAATGAAGTCCATGGAGTATAAAATGCATCTCGGGAAGCGGGAGGTACCCAGAAAAGGAGCCGGCGATTGGGGCCCATCATCCATCCATCATCCTGCAGCAAGAAAGGCGTTGAATTGGAATTGTCATGAGAGGTGGGTTCGAGCAAGTCAGCAGGATTGGGCAAGGCATGTTCAACGTTGGACGAAAAGCAAATGGGTTGATCGTTACAAGTGTCCGTTGGCATGATATCACGTTCTTCGGTAGTGCTTTGGTGTAGTGAAAATGCGGAGGATTCTGGCGATGGCTGCAGTTTCACTGCATACCACAGACGGATAGTCTTATCTGATGAACCAGATATGATACGAGTACCATCCGGGGAGAAAGAGACCGAATAAACCAATGCAGTGTGTCCCTCCAACGGCTCACCAAATGGCTGTCCCGTGGCTACATCCCACAGCCGCACAGTCTTATCTCCCGAGCCAGATACGACACGAGTACCATCCGGTGAGAATGACACCGACCAAACCCAACCGGTGTGCCCCTCCAATGAGTCAAACAATGGCTCTCCCGTCGTCGCATCCCACAGGCGCACAGTATTGTCCGATGAACCAGATGCAATGCGAGTACCATCCGGTGAGAACGAGACTGAGTAAACTCCATCAACATGCCCTTCCAAAGGCTCACCCAATGGCTCTCCCGTCCATGCATCCCACACTCGCACCGTCTTATCCTCCGAACCAGACACGACGCGAGTACCATCCGGTGAGAATGAAACTGAGTAAACCGCGCCAGTGTGCCCCTCCAAGGGCTCGCACAACGGTAGCCTTGTCGCAGCATCCCACAGCCGCACCGTGTGATCGTCCGACCCGGACACGATGCGAGTACCATCCGGCGAGAATGAAACTGAGCGAACCCAATCAGTGTGCCCCTCCATAGGCTCACCCAATGCTTGTCCCATCCTTGCATCCCACAACCGCACAGTATTGTCGAAAGAACCGGAGGCGATGCGAGTATTGTCTGGTGAGAAAGAAACTGACCAAACCAGTCCAGTGTGGCCCTCCAAAGGCTCCCCCACTGGCTCTCCCGACCGTGCATCCCACAGACGCACAGTCTTATCTCTCGAACCAGACGCAATGCGAGTAGCATCCGGTGAGAACGAGACTGAACGAACCCAATCAGAGTGCCCCTCCAAGGGGTCAACCAATGACTGTCCCGTCGCCACATCCCATAGACGCACAGTATTATCGAAAGCACCAGATGCGATGCGAGTACTATCCGGTGAGAACGAAATTGAGCAAACACAATTAGTATGGCCCTCCAAGGGCTCACACAATGGCTCTCCTGTCACCCCATCCCACAGCCGCACGGTATTATCGAAAGAACAAGAGGCGATACGAGTTCCATCTGGTGAGAACGAGACTGAGCGAACCAGTCCAGTGTGCCCCTGCATGGGCTCACCCAATGGCTGTCCCGTCCGCGCATCCCACAGTCGAATAGTGTTATCCTCCGAACCAGAGACGATGCGAGTACCATCCGGTGAGAATGAGACCGAGTAAACCGCGCCAGTGTGCCCCTTCAAGGGCTCGCCCAACGGTTGTCTTGTCGCGGCATTCCACAGCCGCACAGTGTGATCGTCCGAACCGGACGCGATGAGAGTACCATCTGGCGAGAACGAGACTGAGCGTACCCAATCAGTGTGCCCTTCCAAGGGCTCACCCAATGGCTGTTCTGTCCGTGCATCCCACAGCTGCACAGTGTTATCGAAAGAACCAGAGGCGATACGTGTACCATCCGGGGAGAACGAAATTGAGGAAACTGTGTCAGTGTGCCCCTTCAAGGGCTCACCTAATGGCTGTCCCGTTACTCCATCCCACAGTCGCACAGTGCGGTCCAGCGAACCAGAGGCAATGCGAGCACCATCCGGGGAAAATGAGACTGAGGAAACCCCGCTTGTGTGTCCCCGCATGGGCTCACCCAATTGCTGTCCTGTCCATGCATCCCACCGCCGCACAGTGTTGTCGTACGAACCAGACACGATGCGGGTTCCACCCGGTGAAAACGAGACTGCACAAATCCCGTCAGTGTGCCCACTGATTGCGGCTTGCAAAGCCGTCCAGTTCAAATCGCGGTTGGATGCTACACGAAGGTTGTTCGGGAACCTTGAGGTAAAATTGGTAGCAATGGTGGAGCTGATGGGTGAGAATGGCAGCGCTGATAGATACAGATGTGGTGTGCTGTGCAAAATCATGCCGCCAAATACTTGAATGAATCTTTGTATATCCATCGTGGTGGTCCGCAGGTCTTCGTATCCAGAACGGCCCTGTGTTTATTGATGAGCTGTACGTCCGACACTGCCTCGTAGGCATGTGCTCACCTTCAGCCACTTGGCAACGAGTGGAAGCACAGTAATTGCACCGCAGATTTCATTGAGAAGTCCGAGTGCCTCAATCCAGAACAGCAGTCTCTCGTCGTCGAAGAATGACCTAATTGTCTTTGCAAGCTCATTGTCGAAGTCCGTTTTTTGAACATGCGTAGCCCAATGTCGACAGGAATACGACAGATGGAGGGGAATGGATGTCTTGACTCGTTGAGACAATCCGGTGTCTTCGCGATTAGGGAGGTAGGATGACTTTAAATCACACATATTGAAGCGGAGGCCATGTTCCATCACTCGAAGTGACGCCAACGCTAAGTCTTGGTGTTGCGTCTTTGTGATCTCAACGAAAAAGTCACCGCTGAATGATCTATCTGTGAGGAACTCTTGGAAGGATGCATGAAGGGGTCTGACAGGGACGCATGAGTCCGTTGTGCCGCTGAGAAGCGATCCCATATGTCGTATGATGTCCAGTTTGTAATGTCTGTTGTGGTTTGGAAAACAGGCCCGCATGGCCTTGAGGGAATCGAACGGGAGAGGTTCAGCCGTGCTGAGTATTTGTCCCATCACGGAACGAAACCCTGCTAGCGCTTCCTGGTACTCGACATCGCCATACCGATGTCGTGGCCAGATCTCTGCCAAAAGAAGCCGATACATATCATACAGCTTGTTTGTCCATTTCCCAGGATTGCGGTTCACGACAGTTTCAAAGCGAGAAGTTGGGTCTACGCCAGGAAGGTCTTCCATGATGTATTCGCATGCAAGACGTGCCCACTCGAAAAGTCCATCGGCTTTCGCGGCGAGTTTTGCATAGTCGTTCTCCCCAAAACATGACAGCCCTTGTAGCTTGTCAGATACAAATGTGCAGATGTCGCGTTCTGCCACTGCTGCTGGAATCTCATCCATGGATAACCGTAGAATATGCCGAGCGTCGTGGAATGCATCTTCGATGTCATGAAGTGGGCGAGAGGTAACGAGAATGCGAAAGTTGGATGGGAGTTCTGTGATTTTGGGAAGACCTTTGTTCTGAAGTTTCCCAGCGAGTATGCGGAGAAGGTCCCGCCGCGTCTCTACTCCGCCGCTCTCGTCCAGTGCCTCAATCACGATCAAGACAGGTCCCACACTCGATCTAGAAAATTTCTTCAGTGGTTCCACGAGAAGCTTTTCCCACTGCTGGAAAATATCCCTTGAGTTCTTGAGTGACATGGAATTTTTGACCGCATCCACCAAAGCTCGTTTCATCTCCGGATCACGATCAGCTAGGTCACGAGCAATGGTAGAGAACACTTTTTCGTGAAGTTTCTCCACTTCTTTAGCCTTGTCGAAGCAGAAACATGAACCGAGTACTCCCATATCGTCGAACCACTTAGCAATCGTGTGAATAATGGCTGATTTGCCCGTGCCCGCAGGGCCAGATAACCACAGCACGCGCTCAGCATCTCCATCGCCGTTGATCCAATCCGTGATCTCTGAAAGGATCTTCGTGCGCGTGCCTGGTAGGCACTGTTTCATGGTATTGAGTCCTACTCCCTTTGCATAAGGGAGATCCCCGAGATCCAGGGTATTGCCTGAAACAGTGAGTGAATGTAAAGACGGGAGCATGTCAAAATTCTTACCTGTACGTTGCATGAAGACGGCCACGTCTCGATCAATTCGGTCCCGGAATTGTTGCATGAGTCCGTCTAAACTGTCACTGTACTTCTTAATGATGGCATCGGTTTCCGAGAGAACGGTTTTCCCAAGTCTCTTCCCTACGATAATACTATAAGATTTGTGTGCGAAGTGCCATAGCTTGATGACTCACAGAAGCTCTTCGTCTCAGAGTAGTCCCTGATGAAACGGGCACACTCAAGAGTCTGTTGAACAATCTTTCCAACGATATCGCGCATCGATTTAATTTTGCCAAGTGTGTCGTCTTGGGTCATGAAGCTGTAAACTTCAGCCAATTTCTCGAGAAGACAATGAACTGATTGGTCACGCTCTGCTTGAGCGATTATAGTCTATATTTAATTAAAATTTTGAGTAGGACAAACAAATTTTTGGAGAAATCAAACGTACTTTGGACGCAGCAGATAGGACACCCAGCGTCATTTTTGCGTACGGATGCACCTATACAACTTGATCAATTTCAATTCGCTTCCCATGAATGAGAATGACCCATACATCCGTAATCTTCTCAAGGACAGCGTCGATAATCTTCAGGGGTTGAAGATATGTCGTGTCAAAATCATTCATGGTGGTGAGACCTGGGGCATTGCTGGCTGCGAACGCCACAGAATTCGAACGTTCTCCGAGTAACCTCATGCTTTCCGTACCCTCACGGGCACCCTGAAGTTCAACATCAACCAATTGGGGATGAGGACCTTTCTCCATGCCAGAAAGAGCAGCCTGAACCTATGCGTCCACCGAAATTTAGAGAAGGAAAAGCAAAGGATCAGACGGGAATACCTGTACAGCGAGTCCAGAAGGGCCTTCAAGTTCGACATTCTGGACCGCAACGGCACGGTTACCTTTTCGCTTGAAGGTTTTCTGCACAATCTCAGCTATGTCAAGGACAGTCCGCATTATCGTCTAGTATCTACGCACGGGAATTTTTTTTGTGAACCCATTTTTCAATTTCCGTAGGGATTGACGGACTCCTTTCAGATGTTCGGCGCTCTGGACGAACGTACATGAGGGCAGCCAGCGATGAATTACCAGAAATCACGTACCTGGCTCTCACCAGCATTCGCATTTGCTTGGCTGGATTTGTTGGCTTCTGGAGGAGGATCGAGTTTATGGGCTTCACTCATTGCGAGTGGTCGTAGGTTTGAATCAAGTCAGTGTGAGAAACGTTGGGGGTAACACTTGACAAGACAACGGACATCTGATGCTTTGTCTGGATCCATCTAAGCATAGCCAACACGTCAGGTTAACATGAAGCGCTTATTTTTCAACCACGCAATCCCCGCCGGTTTACGTCGACTGGTTGTAGTAATTTCTATGTGCTCGTCACAGGGCAAGATAATAATAATAATGGAGCGTCGAGAGAGCCTGTTCTACTCCACAGTCGAATTGTACAGCAGCACCTTCAGATGCCTAGCATCGTCAAAGTTAGCCCAAGTGCCAGGTGCCTGGCAGAATCCGGAGTTTCAATTCCCGGATAAGTCCGGTGGTATTCAAAGTGTCATTCGAGCTGATCAACTTCAAGCATACGCATACTACTACGAGATGGGATGAAACAATGGTGCCTACCGATATTTATACGGTTGTTCCGTCACAAGTACGAGACTGAACGTTGACGTTGAACGCCGCCAGTAATTCCGAGTTGACGCCGCGAGCCGTCGTGAACCCAGCGACGTTAATGCATCACATGACAGCGGTTGCGTTGCCCTTGTCGTTCTTGTATTTGGATTAAAATGGCACAACAACAACATTGACAGATCATTCCAGGTCACGCCGCGTCTTCAACGATATGATCGTCGCATCCAACACGAGATCTGAGATTGCTCAATCTACTATGTGGCACGAGCTGTTATACTTCGTCTCGCACCAGAGCAAATCATAATGCTGAGTCTAGCATCTTTGTTCTCGTCCCCTTTTCATCACAACGCGTGCTCCCGTATGACCTTGTGCTATATACCAGAAAATGACACATCTGTTACGAATCACGATCGACAACGAAGTGACTCCATTACGCACAGAAGAGATTGATCCATAAGCTAGCCTTCGAGGCCAACTATAGACGAACAGATTCAAGCTGCGCAGTACGTTCCATCTTCGTTCGACCTCCCAATATTGATGATTAACAGCAATGGTCGCTTGTTTCGACAGTATCACAAACTCGAGCTTATTGGACCAAGAGTAAATCTAGGTGCAGTTGATCATTTCAGATAAGTTCAAACAGCTACATTGCTCGAGCAGCATGAAAATTTATCCTAAAAACGATTGTACTGATTAGCTCCGACCTAGGTATTGCACCATCATATGATACGAAAGCAAGGGAAGAAACATGACTCACTGTCGCGACGTGCCCCTCGGACTGCGGACTCAATTCTTAGAATGATAGGTCGCGCAGACCGTACCCTTATGATAAAGATCCTGAGTCGCGGAGGTGAGTTGTACGGTTGAATTCTGGTTGCATAACGACCTGTCCATACTCACCTTAGGACAATTTTGACTGCAACAATCCCTATCACTTTTGCAAGCCAGATAAAGGCCCAAACATCCACTGACAGGCATAGATACTGTCAAAGCAACACCAACAGCGACTCGGAGGAGGCTGAAATACATTTTCTGAGGAGAATGTTGAATGATATCTCTGAGGATGGGGAAACACTGTAGGACGACGATCAGCTCTTATATCCTGCACACACTTATGGGCCTGATCTATTTGGCAGAATTGTTATTGCTGTTAGATGGCGGAAATTTCGGCAAAACTTGCAGGAGCGTACTATTTGATTACGACCATTGGATCATAACTTGCCTGCAGGCATCAACAATTCTCCTTTTTGTAACTACAGAATGTTCGCTCGAATCACCTGGCTCTCAACTCAATCTCTCACTCATTGCTTCGTCATTTGAAGCTGCGGTGACCCTGCTGGCTCAGGGACAACGTTGAGAAGTCAATACTTCCGTCAATTTCTCTCACTCGTCGCTCGCTTATGTGTAGTACCTGCAATTCGCCTATTCCATTGTGAGTAGAAATCCGTCATTCTGCCAGCTGGTTCTGCCACACTGGTTCTGGTTCGAATGATATTTTTTCGATCAACTCAGAGAAACTGCAATAGAGTAGGGAAAATCAGTTGTACAGCCTGTGCTTACTGATAACTATCGATCATAGACAATCATTTACGATTGCACCATACTTGCCGCTGCACTTACCGGACGCCCTCTCTCATCCTCCATAGTTGACAATATCAATCCGATGCGAGTGCTGTTCGGTGTCCCTCGTCGAAGGGCGTGTTTCATACGTGTGAAATCCAAAAGCAACAGAAGACCTAATTCTAATTCTATCTACGTCCTTGTGGCTCGAACTCAAATAGAATATAATCCAAGACAGATGGCATTCCTGAAACCTGTTGTTATTTAACAGGCTGTAGTACTATGATAATCGAACAAGAAGGGGAAGACGTGAAGATACAAAGTGGATACGATCACAATCATATCGCTTTCTTCGATGTACAAGTTGCTAAAAGCCCGTTCGATCGGACACTACAAGCAAGCATACCGCACAACTGCCAGCCTCCCGGACCTGATGCCCAAAAATGCCTCGGCTGGCGAGCAGATGTATGTCCACCAGTTCACATCAAGATTTCTCAGTACCACAAGAAACCGGTGGGACGTCCTACAACGCCTTCATCGAGCTTCGCGATCTCTTTGAGTCCCTTGCCGCCATCGACCCTCTCAAATACCTTCACTCCACCACCTTCTGCACCACCCACAACCAGATACTTATCTTCGTCACCGCCAAACACCATTCCCCGGGCATGGATCAGCCCCGTACGCACTTCGTTCACAAGCTCTGGCTGACCCTCTCCGGCGGCGAGAGAGAATATTGCAATAGTGTCACCCTCTGGATGAGGGTCGTTTCTGTTTGACGTGTATATGAACGTTTCAGGGAAGGATGCGTTGGGTTCAGGTAGCAAGATTTCCGCTGCTGTCATGGTATCCGGGATTGATAGCGCAGAAAGCGTGAACAGAGATGTAAAAGGAGTAGGGGGCGCCGGAAGCGGAGGGAAAGTGTGTACAGCAAGCTTTAAGGTGAGCTCCAGTAGCGTGTAAATGGTATTTCCTGTTGTAACAATCAACAAGATCTCAGGAGTCCAAGTGAATGACGCACCTTGAGCGACGACGTGTCGTGGGCCACCGCCTGCTTCAAATTCAATGTGACCGCAAATGGACCACTTGCCGTCGCTTTGTTTGGTAAGTCTCCAGACCTTATCTGCACCTAAATCCGGGACCAAGAGCTCTTTCTCCGTTTTGTTCAGTGGATTGAAGATGGTTTGATGAGGGTGGGACGATAATTGACGAAATTTGTTGGGACCTTCATGCTCAAAGGGCATCGAAAGTGTCCATGGGTTTGATGAGAGTATGTAAGGGGCAGATGTTGATATTGGAAGGGTCGCGATTGTGCCCGAGGAGTACTGGGTGCAGACGAGAGTGCAAGAAAGGGTGTATGTTCATCGCTTAGGAAAGGTGAACCCGACGTTTTTGGGACTTACATTTCCAATGATAAGCTCGTCTTCTGTGACAAGAAGGGTGCAAGGGTCTGCACCACCACTGCTGGCCCTGGCCACCACTTCTCCTTCCTCGACGGTTCCACCCTTGCCATACTTGATCACGGCGATCTCTCCATCTGCCTGTTCGACCCCTGCATATATGATAGATTTGTTAGACGGGTGGGATGCAATCCATGACGGATGGTGCCCGACGATTGTTTGAGCCAGAAGATTAAGTGTCGGAGACCCCGTTGATGGTGCTGGGTCAAAGGACAACGTGTAGATCGAGTCGGTGTATGAAGCGACAAGGATCGTCAGCGGTGACATGGTCGTCTCGTTTACGGGTAAAGGACTAGATTGTTGATAAAGAGTTTAAATTAACCTGATAGACTGTGGGATTTCGTGTCCTTAAAACACTGCTGTACCAAGGACAAGTTCGGAGGCCGACATGAAGTCACAAGTTGTCCGGTGGTAGTATCGTCACCAGCGGCGTGATGAGCAGTGAATTGATCATAGGCCCATCTAGGAGTATGCGACAGGGCAGCTTCAGAGAAAGTACTTTCACCGAAGCTGCTCCGTCGGTGAATCGGTGGATCTTTGAATCATTGATATTGTACCCGTGTGTAAGTAGTCGTCGAGGTAGCCACTGCCAGCGGGCTTATACCGTGGGAGGACCTATATTATATTCTCAATAAAGAAAAACCAAGTTGGGGGGTGCGCACAGGCTGCTCAGCAACTTCTCCTGCGTGCCAGACTTTTGAATCTCATGCATTTTTTAATGTACCGTGCCCTATAGTGCAGAGTTACTAAGCCGCGGTATGTCTCGACACAAGATCCTCCATCTCAGTCGTATGTACAAAGCTCATACAACTTTCATGGTGTGCGAAATTTAGCGGACAGCCTCCATCATCATGATCCCTAGCTGGGCGTCTATGCAGCACACGACTTGTGCGCACTCACAGTCCTTCGATAGGTCTGACTAGGGGAGACTATTTGGTACTTTACCTCAGTCCGTCTCGGTTGTACTCAACATCATCAACCTCCGGCAAAATGTCTCAGCTCATCCCGAGTACCACACCCCTTCGAGCGTACAAAGATCATACAGACGCCATACGCGCTGTAGTAGTTTTTCCTGATGGCCGACGTATGGTGACGGGTTCATCTGACAAGACGCTTTGTTTGTGGGACTTGAGAACGGGTGCTATGGTGAAGAAGATGGAGGGGCATTGTGATACCGTGACGACATTGGCGGTATCACGAGATGGGCAATTGATAGCAAGCGGCGATCAGAAAGGAGCATTTATCGTTTGGCACGGGGAAACTGGCCAATGCCTTACCCAATCCACAACAGCCCACTCTAATCGGATCTACGCGTTGGACTTTTCTTCCGATGGAACAGTACTGGCTAGCGGTTCAGAAGACAATACCACCAAGTTATGGTGCACGACGACATGGCAACTACGAGGAAATCCAATTCAGTGTGGAAATTGCATCCGCTGTGTTCAGTATTCGCCATCAGGCGAACTTCTTGCGATTGCAACACACATCGATATCCAAATCTATAAGTCAAACACGAAGGAACGCATCGCACATTTCAAGGGCCAGATTTCATCCAACTTATCACTCGTGTGGACGCCTGATGGCTCACGCCTTCTCACAGGAGGCGATGCAAAGGATTCCACCATACGGGAGTGGGATACAGTGACTTGGAAGCAGGTTGGTGATCCCTGGATGGGACACATTTCAGGCATCTCCTCCATTACCGTTCATTCCTCGGGTACACTCGTCGCTTCTGCGTCTTATGGTGGGCGTGTCCGTCTTTGGCGACTCTCAGAACGACGAGTCATCGCCATATTCCAGCATTCAGGTTGGGTAAGATGTGTCACTTTCTCCGTAGATGGCAAGCACATCTTCAGCGGAGGTTTCGACAGGATGATCTCAGCATGGGCGGTACCAAAGGATTCTTGGCCTGAATCAAAGGTATTTCACTGCCAATTTTCCCCTTCATCATCTCACATGCGTGGTAAGGCTCAAGCCTCTGCAAACCGCCGTATGGCCAACTTGGAAAAATCGCTGTGGGAGGATGTGCTTCTTGACGCACAAAAGGTATGATGACATATATTCAAGCAGTTTCCTAGCCAACGCTCACTTTAATCACACATAGGTAATCGATTTAAACCCTTTATCGCATGTTGGATACCGGTTGAAGCATACTGCGCTTCATGGTGCACAACGCTATGATGAAGCCATCGAGGCCTTCACAATAATGCTTGCCAAATTGAACAATGCTCACGATATACAGATACGAAGTAAGTCCTAGTAAGTAACACTGTCCAGATGCTAAGTCTTTCCTCAGAGTTGCGCGAGCAGTATGCCAGTCCCTCTCAAGCAGACGGTGTCATTCAAAAGGTCATGAAGACTCAACTTGATACTGTTCCGCATCGCCTGCTCAACACCACTACCGGGTTTCTATGTGATCGAGACATGCAGATAAGCGCTTTCAAAACGGCCACAGATTACAAGCAGCTTCTTTTGTCGATTATGAACCATGCAGACATCCCAAGGGAGATCATCGCAGATGCAGTGGCCAAATACTTCGCTTGTGTCATGTTATCACATAGATGGGAAGGAAAGGAGCCGCTGCTGCAAGACATCAAGGACAAGGCCATGTACCAGTTGGAGCCAGCCGGTGGTCTTAGGAAGTTGCAGTTATTCTGCAAGAAGGCTCGTGAGGCAGGGTTTCGCTGGGCGTGGGTTGATTCGTGTTGCATTGACCAGAAAAACAATGTCGAGCTCCAAAAATCACTCAACTCCATGTTCGCCTGGTATCATTATGCAGCACTTACGATGGTCTACCTCTGTGATGTTCCACCTTCGTCCAAGTCTGGCGCACTGGCAAAGAGTGCTTGGAACAGCCGAGGATGGACTGTCCCAGAACTCCTGGCTCCTAGAGTCATTCTCTTCTACCAACAAGATTGGACTCCATATCTTGACAACGATTCCCACAACCACAAGGAGTCTGTCGAAATTATGCACGAGTTGGAGGATGCGACGGGCGTAGATGCACGCGTCCTTGTTGCCTTCCAACCAGGGATGAGAGACGCCCGAGAGAAACTCAGATGGGCATCTACACGTGAAACTGCTGTGGCAGAAGACATTGCGTACTCACTATTTGGTATCTTCGGCATCCAACTACCTATCCTTTATGACGAGAATAAGGAGAATGCACTCGGGCGGCTCCTGCAAGAGATCGTGGCTCGGTCGGGGGACATTACAGCCCTCGACTGGGTCGGACAAGCATCCACGTTCAACAGCTGTCTTCCGGCCAACATTTCATCATATGCAGCTCCTCCATGTACCCTCCCATCTTTATCCGAAGACCAGATTCAGACAGCCATCTCTTCTCTGCGTCATACTGTAGCTGTGGAATTGGCGTCAACTTTTATGACCGGCTTGACAATATGAGCGCTGCTCGCTTCGCGAACTGCAGACTGCATCTGCCTTGCATAGTGCACCGTGTCACGGAAGTCAGACGGAGACAGGATCTATCCCAGGAAACCAATTTCACGTACGTAGTAAAGGCGGATGGGCTTCGTGACCTGTTGGTCACCACGGAAGAGGTGCTGATTCAATTCTCGAGGACGAGGCCCACTCGACAAACATTCTTCCTTATCCGTCCATGGGACCGTCGTCTGCTCGAGCTCCCTGAGTTTGCAGAAGAGCCTGCCTTCGATAATGACGCAGGAGATTTGTCCGATCTCGAGTCCCCATTAGATCACTCACGTTTTTCTACGAGACAAGAGCGGATTGATTCGGAGCGTCACTCACAAGCATTGCGATTGACTGTTCGCCTTGGCCAACCATTCAGCGCATTATTACTCGCACAGCAGCGCGGTGGAGAATATAAGAGGATCGCGTCAGATCGTGATATCATTGCACAAGTCAAAGACGTCGGTGATGTTCACAATATGGATATTAGGACCTTAGAAATATTGTAGCTATACGAATTTATATTTGAAGGATAGACATCCGGATGTAAGTTCATATATTTCCATCAGAGCCACTAGTCCTTGAGCGTGGATCTGATTTGTGCAAAAACCCAGTGAGTTTACAGCGCAACTGCATGGCTGCAGCGACGTAGTTGGAGTCCTTCTCCTGGCCTTCAGATCTGAAGCTCCGAGTCTGGCATGGCGATAAGGTATACAATTGTCATCATGTCTTTGGACTTCAGACACTTCATATGCTAGCAATAAAGAAACATGGACAATAAACGTATAGGCTTACAGTGAGCTGCGGCTTTGATAAAAGGGTGAACAAGGTTGTTCGGCGAGTCGGCGTTGCTATTAGAGACGCGTAAACAAACATAAATAATCGGTTGGCACCGACTTGAAATTCAAGAACTCGCCGCTTTTGTGTTGCTTTGCTTCCAAGTCAGCCTTCCTTTGACGCCGCGATGGCTGCTTTGCTGAGGGGACGACTAACAAGTGTTTTGTGGATTTCGTGGCTAGTCAGGTACCTGTACAGTCCACTGGCTGTGGACGAACGACATGACCGGTATAAATGTGCAGAACTTCGTTGGGCTCACTAGCATTGCTAAGCCCACAATTCAATGGTGAGCATTAACCTCTGTGTGTCTCTTTCCTCTTTCGCTAACAAGTTATCTAGCCTAAATCTATCGCTCCCCCGCACGTGAGCTTGCACCTTCCTCCTGACTTCTCATCCTTTGAAGACGTTTACCTCGAGTCGGATGCCGCCAATAATGCCACTGACTCAAAAGACGATCACACACGCACTGCTCTCAGCGATGTACTCCCTCCTGATCCAGCTACCGACAAGATTCGTCGTCTCAACCGTTTGCGTTTGAAGGTAAAGCGCCCGCCATTTGCCAAGAATCGGTCGAGTGTTCAGTACAGTCCAAAGGTGCGCATCGGTTTTGCATGGTTAGTCGTACTCTCACTGATTGTTTCCGATAGAGTCCTGCTGGCAGAATCTTTGATTCATCTGCGTCTTTACCAGCTCCGTCTCCTTTATCCCCATCCTTTATCGATGCTCTGAAGAACTCCCGCGATCGGACAAGCGACGCTCTGCTCAGCGTTCACAATCAGATGTCATCGAGGTAGAACTACGAGCTCGTCCTGCTGACTCGCGAGAGTCTACACCTAGTAGCTCGAGTGCTTCATGCAATTATGAACCGGGTCAGTCGGTGATCGTAAAGGATGTTCCTTCCGATGCCAAGGCAGCCACTGGATGGAGGAAACTGCCTCCTAGGTTGCCGATTCCGAAGTGGGACGTCGATGATTGAGTCCCCTCCTGCAGAATACTTATCAGTTGTATTATAAATATATTGTATCACTTTATCGGTATGTACCCGGCTCCAGAATGCATCGAAAGGTTCAGGCATGAGTGCCATTCTGGGGTCTTATGTACTTGTCCAATCAAACACAAAGGCCAGCTGGGTCACGAATCAAACCTAATGCCAGATCCTTCCATGTCGTTGGAAAGCTGTATAGCTATCTCAAATTTGAAGCAGTGCGGTTTCGGGAGAGTCCAGCAGCGAGGTTCGTCGGAGACTGACAGGACTTGTGGACAATATTGCGACCCCGTTCAACTTGAAACCGTAACCGAACCATTGTCAGATTCCAAATGTATTTTATGAGTAAGGAACTTTTCGGTTAGAGATTTGGTACATTGTATATGAATAATGACTTCAATTACATAGGTTTCGGTACGTGCTCTGACGAATCAGCAACAACATTGGAGTTTAGGTTTAGTGTCTACTTTTTAGCACATCATTCAGCGAGACAATCATAAATTCGAGCTAGGTAATAGGATAATTGAAAAGGAATCAAGAAATAAAATGGCACACTTGATATTACAGCAATAAAATCACCGTTAGCCGCGGGAGCTAGAAGGATTGACATTAGAAATCGTGAGGACGGATGGTAATGACTAAGAACTCACGCATCTCGGCAACTCGACCAGTTTGTCCCGTGTGCCATGCGGCTCAAATCAAGCTCGACACCACCTCTTGGGATCACCAACGAGTTCCAAGGAGTATAAAATGCATGTCGGGAAGCGGGAGGTACCCAGAAAAGGAGTTGACAATTGGGGCCCATCATCCATCCATCGACCTGCAGTAAGAAAGGCGTCGAATGAGAATTATGATGAGAGGTGGGCTCGAGCAATTCAGCGGGATTGGGCAGTGCGTGTTCCAGGCTGGACGAGAAGCGGATGAGATGATCGTCACAAGTGTTGGATAACATGATAGGGTTTTCCTGGGCGGAAGGTGTGGTGTATTGATGCAGCGAAAATGCGGGGACATCTAGCTTTCTGGACTCGGGGGAAGGTTGCAGTTTCACTGCGCTCCACAGACGGACAGTTTTATCGTCCGAACCAGATGCGATGCGAGTACCATCTGGTGAGAACGAGACCGAGCGAACCCAATCGGTATGCCCCTTCAAGGGCTTACCCAATGGCTGTCCTGTCGCTACATCCCACAACCGCAAAGTCTTATCCGCCGAACCAGACGTGATGCGAGTACCATCCGGTGAGAACGAAACTGACCAAACCGCTCCAGTGTGCCCCTGTAAGGGTTCACCCAATGGATAACCAGTCGCTGCATCCCATAACCGCACGCTGTTATCATACGAACCAGACGCAATGCGAGTACCATCTGGTGAGAACGAGACTGAAAAAACTCTTCCAGTGTGACCCTCCAAGGGCCCACCCAATGACCGCCCCGTCGCTGTATCCCACAGCCGCACACTCTTATCGTACGAACTGGACGCGATGCGAGTACCATCCGGGGAAAACGAGACCGAGCAAACCGTTCCAGTGTGTCCCTTCAAAGCCTCACCCAATGGCTGGCCCGTCGCTGTATCCCATAGCCGCACACTCTTATCCTCTGAACCAGACGCGATGCGAGTACCGTCCGGTGAAAACGAGACTGAAAAAACCCTTCCAGTATGCCCCTCCATAGGCTCACCCAATGGCTGTCCCGTCGCTATATCCCACAGCCGCACAGTCCCATCCCCAGAACCAGATGCGATGCGCGTACCATCCGGGGAAAACGAGACTGAGTAAACGAAATCAGTGTGCCCCAGCATGGGTTCACACAATGGCTGTCCCGTCGCTTCATCCCACAGTCGTAGAGTATTATCAAAAGAACCAGAGGCGATGCGAGTACCATCCGGTGAGAAGAAGACTGAAAAAACTCTTCCGGTGTGCCCCTCCAAAGGCTCACCCAATGGCTGTCCCGTCGCTGTGTCCCACAACCGTACAGTCTCATCCCCGGAACCAGACGCGATGCGAGTACCATCCGATGAGAACGAGACTGACCAAACCGCTCCGGAGTGTCCCTGCAAAGGCTTACCCAGTGGCTGTCCCGTCGCTGTATCCCACAGTCGCACAGTCTTATCCTCCGAACCAGACACGATGCAAGTACCATCCGGTGAGAACGAGACTGAAAAAACTCCTTCAGTGTGCCCTCGCAAGGGCTCACCCAATGGCTGTCCAGTTGCTGCATCCCACAACCGCACGGTGTTATCCTCCGAACCAGATGCGATGCGAGTACCATCCGGGGAGAACGAGACTGAGTAAACCCAGTTAGTGTGCCCCTGCAAGGGCCCGCCTAACGGCTGTCCTGTCCATGCATCCCACAGCCGCACAGTGTTATCGTACGAGTCAGACGCGATGCGAGTACCGTCCGGTGAGAACGAGACTGACCGAACCCAATCAGTGTGCCCCTCCAAGGGCTCCCCCAGTGGCTGTCCTGTTGTCGCATCCCACAGCCGCACAGTGTTATCGTACGAACCAGACGCGATGCGAGTACCATCCGGGGAGAACGAGACTGAAAAAACTCTTCCGGTGTGCCCCTTCAAAGGCTCACCCAATGGCTGTCCTGTCGCTGTATCCCACAACCGCACGGTCTCATCCCCAGAACCAGATGCGATGCGAGTACCATCCGAGGAGAACGAGACTGAGTAAACGAAGTCGGTGTGCCCCTGCAAGGGCTCACCCAATGGCTGTCCTGTCCATGCATCCCACAGTCGCACAGTCTTATCCTCCGAACCAGACACAATGCGAGTCCCATCCGGTGAGAACGAGACTGACAAAACCATTCCAGTGTGCCCACTGATTACGGTCTGGGCAACCGTCCAATTCAAATCACGGCCGGATGCTAGACGAAGGTTGTTTGGAAACCTTGAAGTGAAATTGGTAGATACGGTGGAGCTGATGGGTGAGAATGGCAGTGCTGATAAATACAGATGTGGTGTGCTGTGCAAAATCATGCCACCAAATACTTGAATGAATCTTTGTACATCCATCGTGGTGGTCCGCAGATCTTCGTATCCAGAACGGCCCTGTGTTTATTGATGAGCCGTACGTTCGACACTTCCTCGTAGGTATGTACTCACCTTCAGCCACTTGGCAACGAGTGGAAGCACAGTGATTGCACTGCTGATTCCATTGAGAAGTCCGAGTGCCTCAATCCAGAACAGCAGTCTCTCGTCGTCGAAGAATGATCTGATCGTCTTTGCAAGTTCATTGTCGAAGTCCGTTTTTAGAACATGCGTAGCCCAATGTCGACAGGAATACGACAGATGGAGGGGAATGGATGTTTTGACTCGTTGAGACAGTCCGGCGTCTTCGCGATTAGGGAGGTAGGATGACTTTAAATCACACATGTTGAAGCGGAGGCCATGTTCCATCACTCGAAGTGATGCCAACGCTAAGTCTTGGTGTTGCGTCTTTGTGATCTCAACGAAAAAGTCACCGCTGAATGATCTGTCTGTGAGGAATTCTTGGAAGGATGCGTGAAGGGGTCTGATGGGGAAACCTAAGTCCGTTGTGCCGCTGAGGAGGGATCCCATATGTCGTACGATGTCCAGTTTATGATGTTTGTTGTGGTTTGGAAAACAGTCCCGCATGGCCTTGAGGGAATCGAACGGGAGAGGTTCAGCCGTGTTGAGTATTTGTCCCATCACGGAACGAAACCCTGCTAGTGCGTCCTGGTACTCGACATCGTCATACTCATGTCGTGGCCAGATTTCAGCCAAAATAAGCCGATACATATCATACAGCTTGTTTGAGAATTTCCCAGGATTGCGGTTCACGACAGTTTCAAAGCGAGAAGTTGGGTCTACGCCAGGAAGGTCTTCCATGATGTATTCGCATGCAAGACGTGCCCACTCGAAAAGTCCATCGGCTTTCGCGGCGAGTTTTGCATACTCTTTCTCCCCAAAATGCGACGGTCCTTGTAGCTTATCAGATACAAATGTGCAGATGTCGCGTTCGGCCACTGCTGCTGGAATCTCGTCCATGGATAACCGTAGAATATGTGGAACGTCGTGAAATGCATCTTCGATGTCATGAAGTGGGCGAGAGGTAAGGAGAATGCGAAAGTTGGATGGGAGTTCTGTGATTTTGGGAAGACCTTTATTCTGAAGTTTCCCAGCGAGTATGCGGAGAAGGTCCCGTCGGGTCTCCACTCCGCCACTCTCGTCCAACGCCTCGATCACGATCAAAACAGGTCCCACGCTCGATCTAGAGAATGTCTTCAGTGGTCCCATGAGAAGTTTCTCCCATTGCTGGAAAATATCCCTTGAGTTCTTAAGTGACGCGGAATTTTTGACTGCATCCGCCAATGATCGTCTCATCTCTGGATCACGATCAGCTAAGTCACGAGCGATCGTGGAGAACACTTTTTCGTGGTGTTTCTCGGCTTCTTGGGCTCTGTCAAAGCAGAAACACGAACCAAGCACTCCCATGTCGCTGAACCATTTGGAAATTGTGTGAGCGATAGCTGATTTGCCCGTGCCTGCAGGGCCAGATAGCCACAGCACATGCTGAGCAGCATTTCCACTGCCGTTGATCCAATCAGTGATCTGGGAGAGAATCTCCGTTCGCGTGCCTGGTAGGCACTGTTTCATTGTATTTAGTCCCACTCCCTTTGCATAAGCTATATCCCCGAGATCCAGGGTATCGCCTGAAACGTCATGAATGAATGTGAAGACAGAAGGGTGTCAGAATTCTTACCCGTACGTTGGACGAAGATAGCTATGTCTCGATCCACTTGATCCCGAAATTGTTGCATGAGTCCATCTAAAGTGTCACTGTATCGCTCAACGATGAGATCGGTTTCCGAGAGAACAGATTTCCCAAGTCTCTTCCCTATGATAATAACATGAGATTTATGCACGAAGTGCGATAGCTTGGCGACTCACAAAAGCTCTTTGTTTCGGAGTACTCCCTGATGAAACGGGCACATTCAAGAGTCTGCTGAACGATCTTTCCAACGATATCGCGCATCGAATCAATTTTGCCAAGTGTGTCGTCTTGGGTCATGAAGCGGTAAACTTCAGCCAATTTCTCGAGAAGACGGCAAACTGATTGGTCGCGCTCTGCTTGAGCGATGATAGTCTACATAAAATTAAGACTTGTGAGCAGGAGACAGAACTCTAGTAGAATTCGAACGTACTTTGGATGCAGCAGACAGGACCCCCAACACCATTTTTACATACGGATGTACCTACAGAACTTCATTAGTTCGCGTTCTATGAACGAGAATGTCCCATACATCCGCAATCTTCTCAAGGACAACGTCGAGAATCTTTAGGGGTTGAAGATATGTCGTCTCAAAATCATCCATGGCAGTGAGGCCTGCCTGGGCATTGCTGGCTGCGGATGCTACAGAAGTTGCATGTTCCCCGAGTAGCTTCATGCTTTCTGTACCCTCACGGGCACCCTGAAGTTCAGCATTAATTAATTGGTGATGAGGACCTTCCTCCACACCAGAAGGGGCCGCCTGAACCTACGCGGCCACCGAAATTTAGAGAGGGAACGACAAATTATCGCACGAAGATACCTGTAAAGCATGTACTGACTGGGAAGCGCCTCCAAATTCGACGTTCTGGACCACAATGGGTTGGTTGCGTTTTCGCTTGAAGGGTTTCTGCACAATATCAGCTGTATTAAGGACAATCCGCATTCGCGTCTACGCACAGGAAGTTTTTTTGTTAACCCATTTTTCAATTTCCGCAGGGACTGAAGGACTCCTCTAACAGCTTCGGAGCTCTAGACGAAAAATTCACGAGGGCCACCAGCAATGGATTACAAGAAACCACGTACCTGGCTTTCACCAACATCTAAATTTGCTTGGCTGGATTCGTTAGCTTCTGGAGAATCGAGCCTATGGTCTTCGCCCATCGCAAGTGGTCGTAGATTTAGATCAGTATGAGAGAAACGGGTGGAATATACAACTGTGAGAAGGGAATGGGCTTCGGATCCTTCAATTGGCAGTGTCAGTATCCTTGGCAGGCCTCAGGGTCAGGGAGCATAGCCAACACAACACATTTACTTCAAGCGCCACACAACCCCCGTCGGTTTATACGGTCGGCTTATACGGCTGGGTTATTGTGTGCGCGTCGCAGAGCAAGATAATAACAATAAAGCATCGAGAGAGCCGGTCTACTCCAGAGTCAGATTGTACAGCAATTATCAATACCTTCAGATAGATATTAGGCCTGCCACCTAGCATCGTCAAAATTGGCCCATAGCCTGCCGCATTCTCATTTGGTGGCATGGCATTCCAGCTGTTATATTGAACTTCGAGCATACGACAAGACCAATGCATAGGATGAGACGAGGATGCCGATGTGACTTAAAAGAGCTGTTTCGCCGCCGCCGCAAACTTGGACGCCAATGCATCACGTGACGCCACACTGCCACAGCTGGCAGTGTATTACGTTGCAACTTGCAACCACCATCTCTCGACTTTGTTTTATACCCCAGCACTTTTCGTGCCAGTCTCTATCCCGACTTTCATTATTCATAAATTACTTAAGAGTAATCCAAATTCAATATGTTTTGTGGAAAATTTTAATTGATATGCTGAAGCCTGCGCACGTCTCACCAGCTTAATCTTGCTCTGATCCATCATTCATGTAGGATTCACTTACAGTCCCGGAGAGTCCTAGTGGAAATACACCAATGACCTCAGATACTCAAAAGGTGTGTCATGATGCAAGCTTTGAGTTACTGCCGCCCTTGCCATTAACAGACTCATCGATGGGTTGATAAGTGTTTACGCGTTTCCAAGCTTTCGCTGTTACCCCTTTGACAGGAGAATATCAGGTTTTCGTGGCACGAAAATTCAATGTTTTCCTGTCAAAGTGCTGTGGAGAGCGGACAACCATTGTCGTTTGTGACCTTAGTGGCTAGTCGGCACATGCACAACTCAATGCTTGTGGACGGATGGCAAGGGTAGTATAAATATGCGAAACGTCGTCAGGCTCCTCCCAAGATCTCACTGCCAACCCGTCTATAATTCAATGGTGAGCATCGACCTTCCCTAGTGTTCTCTCTTCGCTGACGCGTTATTTAGCCTAAATCTACCATACTCTCAGACACGAGTCTGCACTTTGGTCTCTATGAGGACGATTGTGTCGAGTCGTATGCCACCAAACCAGAAGTCGAGCACACACTCACTGCTTTCGGAGAGCTCTCCCTCAGCCAAGAAGAAATTCTTGGCTTCCCTCCAAGCGATATTCGTCGCCGTAATCAATTGCGTTTGAAGGCGAGGCGTAAAAGTGCCCAGTACAGTCCACAGGTCTGCGTCGTGTTTGCATAGACAGTTGTACTCTCATTGACAGTTACACGACAGATTCCAGAAGAGAAATCCTGGGACCCATTGACGTTTTCCCAAATTTCGACTCCTCTAACGCCCACTGAGTTTTTCAATAGATTTAGACACACCGTGCGACGCGCTTATCAGCGCGCGCAGGCAGAAGGTGCTGAGGCCGAAACCCAATCTCGTACAGCTGACTCAGGAAAGTCAACCCCTAGTGACTCGAGTGCTTCACATGATTACCAACCGGGGCAGTCGGTGATAGTAAATGATTTTTCTTCTGTTTCTGAAGTTCGTGAACTGGTCAAGGAATGGAGGAAACCGCCTTTGAGACCTGGAATTCCGAAGTGGGATGTCGATGATTGAGTGTAGTTGCAATTCTATATGCTGTATATATATCGACTGAATATCGACGCAATCCATGTTGTTTTACATAATCGACTAACCTCTCTTTTGGAATTAAGTTCGTTTTTGACCAAGACAATGCGGTCCCCAGGGAGGCTCCTACTGCTACTTCTCCTCCCAACAGCCCTTGCCTTCAAACCATCCGACTTCAAAACATGCTCCCAGTCCGGTTTTTGTCGCAGGGGACGCGCCCTCGCAGAACGCTCCCAAGAATCCTCATCATCATGGCGTTCCCCATACTCAATCGAACCTCCACAGCTTAACCCTCATCAACCAGGGTTCACCACAAACGTTCACTCGTCCATATATCCCAACGTTAAATTTGTGCTTGATGTTATTATACACGAGGACGGCATTGTGCGCGTGCGAATGGACGAAGAGGACGGACTGAGGAAACGATATAACGAAGCTGCTCAGTGGGCGCTCGTTGGAGAACCTTTGTTGAGTGATGATGTCCTCTGGACGCTTGACGGGAAAAAAGCTAAGGCTGTTTATGGATTGAAGAAGGATATGGAGCTCGTCGTCGACTTTAACCCTCTCAAAATCACGCTTTTCCGCAGTGGTGTGGAGCAGGTCGTATTGAATGGGCGCGGCTTACTGCACATGGAACATTTCAGGACAAAGGAGCATTCTAAACTAGCTGAACATATTGAAGGCGAAGGACAATCCGTTCTCCAAGTCAACCCTGCAGCATGGTTCGAAGGTGACACCCAAGACGCCTTTTGGGACGAAACCTTTTCCACATGGACAGACACAAAACCCAAAGGTACGTCTTACCCTCACCACCAACACTGAGACTACAATGCCCAACGCCCACAGGCCCCGAATCTCTCTCCCTCGACATAACCTTCCCGAACCATGCCCACGTATACGGAATCCCCCAGCATGCCACGAACCTTTCCCTCCCAAGCACAACAGGCCCCACCGCAAGATACACAGACCCCTTCCGTCTCTACAACGCAGACGTCTTCGAATATCTCTCAGACTCGCCGACTTCTCTCTACGGCTCGATCCCACTCATGCACGCGCATTCTGCAAGGTCGACGGTGGCCGTTTTCAATGCTATTGCGTCAGAAACATGGATTGATATTGCTCATGTGAGAAAAGGCGTAGAAACGCACTGGATATCTGAGTCCGGGATTCTAGACGTATTCCTACTCCCAGGCCCAACACCCACCGACACTTTCACGCAGTACGCGCGCCTAACAGGAACTGCGCCCCTCCCAGCCCACTGGTCACTCGGCTATCACCAGTGCCGCTGGAACTACGTCAGTTCAGACGACGTGCGCGGTGTGCAGAATAGGTTTGACGAGGAGGATTTCCCGGTTGATGTCTTTTGGTTGGATATCGAGTATGCAGAGGATCATAAGTATTTCATGTGGAATAAGAAGACGTTCCCGGATCCGGTGGAGATGACGAAGGATGTAGAGGCTGTTGAACGGAAGGTTTGTTTTGTTTTGTTCATTCATTCTTCTATCTGTTGTCGTGTGTCTCGCGCTCACGCATATATACACCAGATGGTAATCATTGTCGACCCTCACTTAAAACGGTCAAATGACTACCCAGTATACAAACGGGCATCCGAACTAGGAGTTCTTGTTAAACCCAAGAGTGGCGAGGGCGAATACGAAGGATGGTGTTGGCCTGGCTCTAGCTCGTGGATCGACTTTTTCCATCCTGGTTCTTGGGACTTTTGGATCTCGCTGTTCAAGACGAAGACTATTGATGATCAGTGGAGTTGGATAGAAAGCACAGATAATGTCGGTATTTGGAACGATATGAATGAAGTACGTTTTCTTTGATGTTGGACCAGCTTACTTATTTATTGGCGATCACGAAATGCCAGCCGTCAGTGTTTAACGGACCAGAAATCACGATGCCGAAAGATAACGTCCATTACGGTGGTTGGGAGCATAGAGACGTGCATAACATCAACGGAATGCTTTTCGTACGTCCCCATCTTCTTTCTGAGCCTGTCAGTCAGGCTTATCACAGATTCCCTACAGGCAAATCACACATTCCAAGCAGCAGAAGCACGCACGAACCCCGCACGACGCCCATTCGTCCTCACCCGCGCCTTCTACGCCGGTTCTCAGCGTTTTGGTGCGATGTGGACGGGCGACTAATCTTGGTACATGGGAGCATATGGCTGTGGGCATTAAGATGGTGCTTGCAAATGGGCTTGGGGGGATGCCTTTTGCTGGGTGTAAGTTCTTTCTCTTCCTCTCCATCCCCCTTGTTTATAACCATCCACTTGCTCACAGCCGATGTTGGCGGCTTTTTCGGAAACCCCGAACCAGAAATGTTAGTGCGCTGGTACGTAGTGGGCGCATTTTCGCCCTTCTTCCGCGCACACGCGCATATCGACACGAAGCGCCGAGAACCTTACCTTCTTGAGGAGCCTTACAAGAGTTTAGTGAGGGATATTTTGAGGTTGAGGTATTCGATGCTTCCCGTGTGGTATACTGCGTTCAGGGAGACGAGTAAGAGTGGGGTTCCCATCCTCCGGTACGTTTTTTTCCTCGGTCGGACGATGTGGGTGATGTATGCGTGAATGCGCAGGCCTCAATACATGATGTTCCCCGGGGACGAAGCTGGGTTTGGGGTTGATGACCAGTATTATGTTGGGTCGTCGGGGTTACTTGTTAAACCTGTGACGGAGAAGGGGGTGAAGGAGGTTTCTGTGTATATTGCTGAGGATCAGGTTCGTTCGCTTGCTCTTACTTTCATTTTTTTTTTTACACATTCCGACACTTGTAAACCCAACCGTCTAGGTCTACTACGACTACTTCACCAACCAAGCCCACCGTCCAAAAAACCGACACATCACGCTCTCCGCGAACCTCGACCAAATCCCCCTCCTCATCCGCGGAGGCTCCATAATTCCCACACGCGAACGCCCGCGTCGTTCCTCACCACTGATGAAACACGACCCGTTCACACTCCGCGTCGCGCTTGATACTTCTGGAAATGCACGTGGGGAGCTGTATCTCGATGATGGCGAGACGTATGGGTATGGAAGGGGGGATATTGTTTGGCGTAAGTTCGGTGCGGAGAGTACGAAAAGAACGGGGAAAGGGATCGGGACAGTGCGCATCTCGTCTGTTGATCTTGCCGCAAGAACGGCAGTGGGTGCGTACGAGCCTACCAACGAGTTCTCGCGCAGTGTGGGGGATGTGAGAGTGGAGAAGTTGGTCGTTCTTGGACTTGGGAAGAAGCCTTTGAGTGTTGTTTTGGATGGCGGGAGAGAGCTTGAGTGGGAGTTCACGTCCAAGGGTGGGGTATTAGTTGTTAAAGATCCTGCGGTGCGCGTGGTGGATGATTGGGCTGTCGTCGTGAAGTTGGAGTAAGTGATACCATGCTAATGTTGTTTAGTTCACTTGTGCTTTTTGGCGTGGATATCTAAGTTTTGATTAAATGGGGCACCTTGAGGCTTGTTTCGAAATGACATCGTGAGGCATATCACTTTCGCTTGGATTGTAGGAATGAAAACACAGATGGTTTACACTATGAATCTTTTGATACGGACATATAATTTTCATCATACGAGGGAGGTTTGTCAGAAGATGCTTCGCTAAGGTTGAACATGGGGGCTGATGCTTTTCGGACAATTCCGACGTCGAAAACAGAATCGCCTCAAAACTCAACTTTGAACGTCCACCACAGGAAGTGCGGCCAGACGCCTTGTCTCCACCACAACTCTACACAAGACAAGATTATTAAACCTCATCGTGGCCAATATTGATACTAAAGACACAAGACACCTCCCGTAATTCTGCCTCGTCTGCAACACTCGGAGGCTGGGCTCAAATTCACCCCACTCGCAGTTGGTTCCGCCGTTGTCAGCGAGAATATTAGTACTGTTGCCGTTGAGCATGTCAATTTTCCTTTTGTTCTCGTCACCATCACCCATATCAACATTCCATGAAGCGAGCAAGGTGAATTTACACGAAATACCTTCGTTCAAGGTCGACGACAAAACAAACATCCTATTTCATGTCAATGATCCAATGCACATATGCCAAAATCACCAGGGTCAACAGTCCTAATGCAAGCCTGACGTTGTCTTCTCTCATCAAACCTGGATGCGAATGCACACCAAACGCAAGACTTCCAGGTCCTTATCGAGACAGCATGCGAAACACCAAACGCACCCGGAAGCTTTTGCCTCACCCGCCGTCCGCTTATAAGACGGATTACGTTGTTCCTACCCCTTCTGCGCAGTATATGGAGTATAGGAAGGACGCGAACGACCCCGCTGAGCCAACAGGTTCAACACCTGTTACTAGGTATACCCTGACCCCGCACGAAGCATCGAACGAATGTAAGCTGTAGTGTGTCCGTTTTCTGCTTCCTTACCAACACATGCGAGGCAGTAAGACCCTCGTCGCAGCTCAGTAGAAGAGTCAAGCGCAGTGAGTGGTTGAGGATACGCAAATTGACCTTGAGCTGGATGTGAAGTCTGACGAGCGCGTGGCTCATTTTGGTATACGCGGACGTGCAACTATGGTATTTCCAGTGAGGAGCAAGGCATTATCAGGTCTGGGGCGGGATCCCCTTTTTCTCAACGATTCCCCTGAGGTGACCAAGCTTTATTGACCACAAGAGACACGTCAGAGCAAGCCGGACCTCCTCGACGAGATCTACAAGATTGCACAAACAGATCCGGATGTGCGGGGGCACGTTCTGGAGCTGGTTTGGTTCCGCAAGTTCAAAGAAACATCCACGTCCAACATCCGAATCGCATAAGGACTGAAGGACGCCGAACGGGCGAAACAGGGCAGCCGTGTCCTGCACATCATCATATTCAGAAAGCTTATCCCAATGACGACGCTTTCCGGCAAGGAGTTACTTGCTGCATGGTGGCAAGTTGTGAAGTGTAGGTGTTTTTCCCCTTCTCCTGTTCTGTATCATTCATCTACTACTGGACAGGCATCGTGCTCTCTGGAAAGAAGGCGTGCTTTATCGGGATGTCAGCCCTAGCAATCTCATGGGGTACCGCTTACGTGGTCAATTCATAGCCGTTCTCAACGACTACGACTTATCAATGTTTAAACGTGATGGTCCCAGTGGCCTCGAGCGCACAGGAACGGTACGATTCATGGCGGCAAAACTTCTCACGCCAGAAGCCATGGCAGGCAAGGTTGAGCACATATATGCGCACGATGCTGAATCGTTCATCTGGGTCCTCACGTGGATCTGTCTTCGGTATGAAGGTGGTAACCTCCTCAGCAAGAACAGATCACTAGAAGGATGGCTTAAATCGGATGCTACTCGATGTAGGGAGTAAAAGAACGACTTTAGGTCATCGACGACTTGTACCATGTGTCCATCAGGATCGCATGTAGTGTCCTGGGACGTTGTAAAGAAGTGCTTTGAGGCGATCCACTCGCTTTATCCACCATCGGGGTACCGCAAACTGGGCGATCAATCGGCGTTCGGGTTATTGCTTGAGGGACCTATGCTAGAGCCTGTCTGCCAAGTAGGGCAGGTATACTTGTAGTTGAGGCAGCGTACCTCCGGAATTATTATGAGGCGTTACAAACCACTTTGTAGAATGAACATTCAATCACAAGCAACAAGCGGAATCGTAATGCCTGACAGATGAGAGTTCAACGTTTCAACGTTCAACGTGCATCAATGCATATGCGTGTATGCAGGAGATTCTGAACGTTTCTTTGGAATAGTCGGTGTCCAGGGACAATAGTTGCCTGTCAACTTCATTCCTGGAGAGACAGAATAAAAAATTACGACCAATTGGTCGCCAGCGAGGAAGAGTACTGTGACGGCGGGTGAGAAGCGATAGGCTTTCAGGGTCAAGACGAGGACACAATTATGAATGATGAAAGTAATGTCCCTGTGAATTCACGTTTGCGTATCCAGTCATCTGTTTTCAAAGGTCAACATCTTAAACCTCAGCAGTGATTGTCGTCGACAGGAATTTGTTTTTTCACTCGTATTGATTTTCTACAGAACCCTTTCCACTATGATAAGATGATGCAGAATGAAGTGGGGAATAATGTGTGTACAGAAAGCATAACCTGAAACAAAATTATCTCGAAACAGTAAATTCAATTCGATATCGGGGAGGGAAGCAACCGCCTGCCAAATCTCAACACTCAATCCAGAGGCACCAAAAAACTCGCCAGCGCCCAGCCCACTTCTCCCCTGACTTTCACGTCTCTGCATCCTCCCTCCGCGTCATTAAGCTCCCGAACCAGTAACAAACAATCCTCCCCGTCATCCACATATAAAGGTAAATCTGGATGCGTGCTGGGGTGCCCATACTCCCTGAGCACATCAAACGTATCTCCAGATCGCAACTCAAAGAACGGTAAACCCCGATACGATACGCCGGCAGGTGGAATACACATGTGTATTGCAGCGCATTGGTAGAGCGCGCGTAGCCCTTGCAAGTCCGTGGTGCGTCGAGTAGGGGTATGCGGTGATTGAGTTCGAGTTGGGGTAGGCGGCATTTGGTATGCAGGCAGCGCATTATCTATGGTATAATAACTTGGTGCAAGTGAGCTCGGAGCCCCGAGGCTCTTGACGGAACTCGATCGTGTCCTGTGGTGTGACGGACGGAATGTATCTGTGATCTTACTCTTTAGGCTCGGTCGTCTCTGTTGGCCACGCCCCCGGTCTCTGTCGTTGTCTTCCTGCTCCTCGTCGAACGTGGCAAATGATGACGGGCTTGGTGGGGGATCAAGTCCAAAGGGTATATTGCTGAGTATCGGCCCGGGCAGACTCTTCATTCGTGTGGGCTTGAGGCGCGGTGGGGAGACACTAGACTGTGATGGCAGCTGTGGGGCAGAAGGCATAGGTGGTACATCCTCGATCCCCCTCCCAATACTCGCACCAGGACTAGGAATATTCTTGTATGACTTTCCCGACTTCCCAGATTTACCAGAACGCAGTGACTCATCGGAGGGTTTGCGGATGATAGGACCAGTAGGGATATTGTTTGTACTCCCACTGCGCCGTCGACCAGTGATATCATGAGAGTTGGGGTGCGAGTGTGATGCGCGCGACGCCGGATTAAACGAGGAAGATGATTGTGAGCTGCGGTGGTCATAGGAATTCTGAGAACTGCGAGGCTCGTAAGAACTTTGCGAGTTACGGGGGTCGTAGGAATTCTGTGAGCTACGAAGATCATTTGATCGGTAGAGTGTGTCGTATGATCCAGAACCATACGAATGACGTGCGTCATACTCCTTCTCCCGCGCATACTTCGTTTCATCCCTCTTAGACCGACCCTCAAATGACTCCTTGGCCACATATCGGGCATCATATGACCCCTGGTGTTGATGTTGCTGTTGTCTTGGACGTGTAGGTGATACCTGCGAATCGAGAGGGCCAAGCGCGGGAGTAAGGTTTGCTGATTTTGCACCTTGCTGTGGTGGAGTACGATGTTGCACATGCTGCGGTATTTGGTACGGTGGGATCACAGGACGTAGCCGCTCCATCTTTTTAGGCGGATTGACAATCGCTAATGACCCAAGCACGCCCAATACATCACCCCATCGCTCACGCCAGACACGAACTGTCTCGCCTCCACCCGCTGGTCGGTCCGCATGCTCCATATTGTCTCTTGTTGCTCCCGCACCTTCAGCCTCAGGAACCTCCCCCTCCACCTGCAGCGCATCCCACAACTCTCCCCACCGCTCCATTACGACTCTCCAAAATGCTTCCATAGCCTTGGCTAAGTCTAGCACCACTCCATCAATCCCACGCTCCAGCAGCTTTACATACACGGGCAACTCCAGCGCAAGTTGCCCCCGCAACGCAACGTAGCTCTGGCTTGCCTGTAGCAGTGCCTCTGGCGGGCGGTTCTTGCGTGTAATTGGGAGGTGCAGAAGGTGCATATGCAGCGGCTGCAGAGTGTGTAGTGCACTAAGAAGCTTGAGTGGCGCAATCGATGTGCCTTTGAGGGATTGGAGAGAGGGGAGGATGCGTGCGTGTAGTTCGTGCTCGAGTTCTTGTACGAGTTCGACTAGTCCGGTACAGAGTGAGAGGAATGCGTCGAAGGCTTCACTTTGGCCGGTCCCTAATGTATCCAGTGAAGAAGGGAGAGTGTGATTCAAACTGGAATTGTTCTGGGATAGTTCAGAGCTGACGGTGACGCCAATGACGCCTGAAAATGCCCATCCCCATTTAACAAGCGCCCCAAACAGTGTATGGAGAGTGCGGGCATAGTTAAATGCGTCCCGAGCGAGATGGGAGAGGGTAGTGATATGCGACTTGAGCCTACTTTCGAGGGATACAAGGAGGGCAGCTTCGGTATTTTCGAAGTCGGGTTCTATTTCTGAAACGTGGATGGAGCCCTTTTGTTTCAAGGATGACTTAGTAGACGGTGTGCGCAGAGAACGCATGCGCGAGACGGAGGCGTTTACAACACCAACCTTGGGGATGCCGATGGATCCTGCACTACCTGCTCCAGGGCCGTCTTTAGCATGTCCGGACCCGAGAACCTCTCTGACGACTTCTACCCGCCTTCGTCCCTCATTCACAGCGCGAGCTACTTCTTCCACCTTCCGTTTCGCCTCTCTCAATTTATCGAGCCCTTCAGTTCCCTCCCTCAGTTTCCCGAAGGCCTCGCCTATGCTCTCTGAAGTTACGATAACGAGCGGCTCTGGAGTAGCACTGATCACGGCGCCGAGCAGCAAACCGTACTTCAGCAATCTCTGAACCGGCTTGATTAACAAACTCGGTAGGTCCCAAGCATGCGTGTGCGCCTCGACAAGTTCTTTGCTTTCCTTGAGCCACCGCGAGAATTGAGGCGTGAGCTGTGGTGGTGTACTGAGGGCGTCAAGGTGTGCGAGGGCGCGAGGGTGTGCGGTGATGTAAGTCATGTATGGGGGCGCAAAGAGGGGTACCTGGATAACGTTAAGCATCATTGTGAAGTCGCACTTAATATCTAGAGGGACTAACTCACCACCTCCAGGAAGATTTCGCCTACGCCCTTGCCTCCTTCTTCGATTGCTATCTCGAGCTTTGACACGAGCATGTTAGAAAGAACAGCGAGTTCAGAAATGTTGCGGAAAATGATACGTGTATCAGCGACAGAGAGTGGGGGCTCGCCCACTGAGCGTAAAAGCTGTGTCGGAGCCTTGGAATCGGTCAGATGGCCTACAGAATTACTGGTTAGCAATTTATATAATGATAGAGTCATGGAAGGACCTATTTGCGTAAATGTGGGTACATTCAATTGGATAGAAGGCACGCTGAACTGTATCGCCGGTGGGCAAAGACCCGAGACGGATACGTCAGACGTGGAGATGGTGCTGACTGTGCGTGAAGACAAGGATGAGCATGTACCTGAGCTTGATTTAGTGGATTCGGAACTTGAGCTAGACCCAGGGTTCGAAATTTCTGAGCCCTGAGACTGGGCGTGCACATGAGAAACCGAATGGCGGAGGGTGGCCTAGGATGTGATTAGAATAATTTTCAAAGAAATTTAAAAAGTAGGACTCACCAGACGCCAACCTCATATACACATCCCTGATAAGTGCCAAATCACTTGCATAGGCACGTTCAGAGGTCAGAAGTTCCAGCAGAGCATGTTGGCGCTTTGTGATGGCTGGTGCGGGGATAGGAGGGGGTGTGGTGGATGCTTCCTCTGAGCGTTGTTGACTTGACATCGCGCTCCGATCCTCTGACAGCTCAAGACGGTTATCAGTTCGTGGTCTTGATTTGATAGGTAGGGAGAGGGGTAGAGTGGAAGGAGGGAGGGGGAGTTCCTTGTCTTTAGGGAAACGAGTAGATTGCATAAGAGTATGAGCTGATTCCATGGTAGGAGTATGGCCGGCGTTAGGTGTATCAGCACCGACGGAATCGGTATAAGCAGCGACGGGTCCGGTATAGGTTGTGTATAGGGCAGTAGGGAGGGTATCACTAACGGGGTGCTCTGTTTCCCTTTCTCTATCGAATTCGTCCTCGAATTCGTCAACAACACCAAGTACGGAGTTGAGATCGGGAGTAGAGCCGAGAGCCTCTAGGAGTTGTGAAAGAGATGAAAAGCTAGGAGTGCGGAGGACGGGAACCATCTCTGACTCTGGCGCTAATTGGAGTGTTGGCAACATCTGTGACCGTGTGGCAGGAGTCGCTGTGATAGAATGTGATGATGCAAGGTTTAATCCAAACGTTGGTTCTAGCTGTGATTGCTGTAGATCTAGACCTTCTAGCTCTCTTGATCGTCGTCTAGCTTCTTCCACTATCATAGAATTACGACCTGGTCGAAGTGCTGATCTTGGTGGTAGCACAGGTAGCGTAGTGCTAGACTTCTCAGGTGGTGGTCGCGGTTTCGATGTTTGTTGTAGTAGCTGCTGGTTATTAATGAATCCGTGCCCGTTGCGTCCGCTAGCCTCGAGGTTCTCAAAATCTAAATGTTCCACCTCTGAACGTGCAATGTCCGTCATTCTAATTGAGTTGCCAGCTGGCCTTGAGGCAGTCGTAAATCCGTTTTAAACGTTAACTTATTACTGTTTCGCCACGCTGCCTGGACTGCCTGTTACTCTCGTGTTTCCACTGAATTTATGCCATCAACGTTAGCATCAACCAACACCAAGAGTGAAGGCGCTTGGGCGCTTGACTTGCCTATCTCGGCCAGCCTTCTTCGTGCGTCCTTGGTGTGGTTCCCTTGCCAATGATTTCACTATCTTCGTGCCAGAACCATGGTTAAAAAGAAACGGGATACAGTCAGTAATTTCGACTTCCCCGCCGCTCCCTTTTTTCTACCAGTGCCAGCTCACCATTTGAAACTAGGCTTTGCGATGAGCCAAATTTGCTGGACTCCGCGAGTCGTAATTGGCGAGTGCCCCACAGGTTCAGCTGTGACTGCTTTGGTTCAACAGCGTGTCGTTTATCAGGTTTCAAACTCCGGTTACTATGCGTGCAGGCCTAGGCTAGCTGTTCTATTACACCCTATGTGCAGGGACATTCGCACATGAGATAGCCTGCCTCTTACAAGGTCGCCGTGGCAATGTGTTCAAGTTTTTCGAAACCTACACTGGCACACGCAATGATCGCCGTGGGCAGGCGGCTATATTATTAATATGTACCTCGGTCCTCGTTGCTCTAGGCGGTCCACCTATGGATATAGGGATTCAAAACACAACCTAACGGAACGTCCAGGGCTGGCCATTTCGCCTTCAACGATGTTACTAACTTCCCCGACCTTCAAAGCACTTCGATTGACATTCCTCGCCACCCACACCAAAATCCTCGAGAACACAGATGGGCCCGAGGACTCAGCTCAACTGCGGCATGCCATTTACAGTTTTCTATCTATGACATCTTTTAATGGGCACACTGCATGCTCTTATCGTCTTAAGCTTATTGCCTGACTCCTTAAAGTCCATAGTGGTTCCTTCCCGCATACAGACATCTTTAACCAACTCGTTCAGTAACTCCTTGCCACGCACTTGTCAGTCAACAACATTCTTTTTTTTTGTCACTAGCCTCTGCGCAAATGGTCTGAACAGTTGTCACCATCTCTATGTGCTTCCACCCTTTAACCCCTCACACATTTCCACTTCTTTCTGTCTTCCGCCATTTGTCTTTCATTACTTGCCCTTGTAGTATGCCACTATACTTATTGCTCATTTGCACATATCGCTGCTAGTTAAAATTTGTCTGCACGGTCGAGAATAGCTGGCTCGGCCGTGGATGGTGCTGTTGGAACGGGCACGGACTGCGAGGGAAACTAAGGCTAAACCTCTATAGCGGGAAACTACCTATCAAGGGTCGACTACGACAACACAGCCTACATAGGACTACCGACTATGAGCCACGACTTCCGGCGCGCCCGAGGACTTGCAGGCTGCGTCAGGCCACCCTGGTGCACTGTTATGGATTACGTTGCTTTTCAGGTTTGATACATGTACTTGAGTTGTAAATTCCATTAAACTAACGCTTATATCCATTAGTATCTCTAAGTGATCTCAGTGACTTCTCTCCCCCTCAATTTAATTTTCGGCTAAAGGTTGATCGCATTGCTCTAGGGGGTTATTGAAACGAGTGTGTCGTGATTATGTACATTATAGGGGAAAACCAGGACTGCATCCTCCTCAATCCTACATTCGAGGGTCTTGAATATTGCATTACATACAGGAGGTAGGGGTCGTCGCTACAGGCATCTCAACGGTTCACTCCAATCTGACGAGTTGCTTTCATGTGCCACTGCGTCATGAAGCGGTTCGCATCGTTTGGTTGTGAGGATGTAAATCATTTCTCACCTGTATTTCCAAGGATCCCGCTCACTTTCGAAATGACGAGCCACTTTCTTGCGATGAGATTGTATCAGCTATAGCATGAAAATATTTGCCACACCGACGAGGCCCGTTCTAAGTCGCACGCGAGAACTGGCTGAATTTGATGGATGCCTAAAGTTTCTAGTAGAGGTGTGCCTCCAGCCTGGCAGCATACTGCAAGGGTATGAAAACTCACATGGCCCACAATGCTCGTAAGAAATTCGTCGAGCTTGACATTCATTCTCGAATCTCAAGTACAGATACACTGGATACTCCGGAGTTAAGCGTCCAGTAGACGGCGAAATAGCCCTTGATTGGTCAATTATCTTTAAGCCACTAGAAGAACTTGCACACTAAAAAATGCGTGAGCACGAGAAGCCCATGCGTCAGCGGCGTGTTCTCGCTGAGTCAAAACACCTGCTTTGGACTCAAACCCCTGAGTCCCGCCTAAAGTCACGCCCTCCCGGTGTACAATTCCAGGCGTGAGTGAAAGAAGTTTGTTCTCTACGAATGGACTCTTCGACGATTATGCAGAAAATGCTACGAGTGTTTTGCCCTTCGATACGGCGTTTACCGTCCACGTTCCCAGAATACAAGAATCCGGTGCCAGGCGGAAGTAAAAGACGTTTGTTATCTATAAGATCCGGGTGTGTCCCTGGACAATTGCGCGTAAGACGCTGTCGCCGAGTGTTCTGTCTTCTGATTAAATGGTTATGGATATGGACACCGGCTGAATCCTAGGAGAGTTGAATATAAGACTGCATACCACGGGCAACTTGAAAGCGACTTGTTGTCGATACAGATGCCGTGTTACTTGTAGGAACGATCGCGGGTCCACGTCCATGACGGAAAGAGCAAATTTCCATGATGTAGATCCACGCCAGCCCACGGAGCCAATTGTCGGATAAGTATATCAACAGGAGGTGCGCCTAGCAGAGCGATTAAAGTACTTTGACTCGGGAAATTTGGTCACAAGGCGCGAGACCTTCGGATCGCAAGATCGCAAAAGAAAAAAAGTCTTTCACACCTAAAAAGTAGGGCAGAAGGTTTTAAATTAGCGGTAAAGGACATGAGACTGGGCACCATGCACGCGATTGTGGTCATCCGCGGAATTTTGTGTGATGCACAAGTGTGGAGTATATTTTTCGTTGACACAAGTGGTCAAATGTATAAATTGAACCTTCTCTGAAGCTAATCTGGAAGAAAAAGAGTCTCAGGGTTCTACAAATGCCTGATGATTAGATCGCAAACTCTAATATTTGTTACGCAGCAGGAGCGTCACAAGACGAATTCCCTTTGGATGTATCATGTGTGTCAGACCAATCAAAGCTTACCGGTTACCTGACAGACCGTTGTGTCCAAAACTGTTTGCTTTACCATAACAATCTGTCGGATGATACATCAGATGTCGCATCATGCGAAGCTCAGAATCGCACACACGGAAAGTTGCACAGGCGGCCAGTGAAGGTATCTATCCTTGTTAAAAGCTAAGCGCTAATCAAGCGCTAATTGATAAGACCATATGTGAACATAGACGCTGTCTGTCGCGCTGGGCCGCACACTGGCATAACTTTAAATCGATCGTGACCTTGGTCGGAGGTTAAAGTCAACCCTCTACTATTATTGCGGGCCAATAAAAATCAACTGTCTGATATACATAGTACCGTGAGCTCGGCTGAATATTCGCTGCCGCTGCCTCGGTATCTCTGAGTCTAAACTGGCCGTTGCGAATTGATAGGAAAGTCGGTGACAGGTATGTAGTATAAAACAAGACTCGGCCAGTTTAGACTCAGATACGGAGGTAGCAGCAGCGAATATTCCGCCGAGCTCACGGTACTATATCAGACAGTTGATTTCTATTGGCCCGCAATAATAGTAGAAGGTTACCCAGCTCGGAAGGTCACGATCAATTTTTTTAGACGCTCAGGAGCGCTCAGGACGAAATAAACTGAAATGACCTGTCAAGTAAGGTTTGTGCGCTGTGCCTGGCATGGAGATTGAAACATGAGACTTGCTGGCACTGTGCCGCCCAGTACACTCGCGCGTGATAACTCACTGCATCGACAATGTCATAAATCAACGTAACTCATCCTTAAGGACTCGTCGGTTCTCTGACTAGTAATATATCGTAAGTGACTTATGGTTATACAATGCAGATGTCACTCACAAATTTTTCAGGAAGCTACCTAGGAGTCAGCATCGTCATGCCTGGAGCAGTCGTTCAGATCACCTTCTATACTGAGCCCCTTGTACAGACAACCCCGATAATCATTTGATGCGAAGCACAAAGGAATTAGGCATCTTTACCCAACCCCACCCCCCCTTTTTTTTTGGCAATATACATGATTGCTTGATGTGACTAACTTCCGAGTCAATGAAATACGGCACGCTCTAAGCTCGTTATGTGTTAATGGCTCATGATTGCAACACCGGTGCGAGTATCTGCCACAACGTGGACTCGGGGAATAGTGATAGGCTTTAATAATTCTACTGTGCTTCTCGTGTAGGATGCTCTGCTATACGAGATCCGAAGAACAATGCATTTCTAGTGGTCCAGAAATCGAGCCGGATATGTAGTCTGACGATTCACGAAGGGTTAGTTAGTTAGTTAGTGGGTTTATTCGAAGACCCAACCCGTCAATACAGTGCATAGTATTTCTTTCGTTTGGTTTAAATTTTGCTCGCCTCCTTCGACATGATTACTATCGTACAAAGACTTACAAAGTCCTTGTCTATTTAGACGCATACCCACAAATGTCTAGCTGGGCTCACAGCAGCAGGTGCCCTCGCATCGTGAGACGTGGCTCGCATATAGCTGGTCTGCGCCAAGGAACGCAACCTCGCGGCTGGTAGAAAAGGGGCATCAATTTATTTTTCTTCGTTCCAGATGCAGTGGACTGACCATCTGTAACGGAGATACCACCACAACAATATCCATCGCACATTTCGGGCTCCAGATTTCCCATAAGATAGTATACGGAGCTTAGATATCAGTAATGGATCCCCAGCTGCAGCTGTCAATCTATGATCATGAACTTGAAGTCGGGTGTTCTCAGACAGTTGATTTTTATTGGCCCGCAATAATAGTAGAACTTCGGTTGATTTCAACCTCCGACCCAGCTCGGAAGGTCACGATCGATTTAAAGTTATGCCAGTGTGCGGCCCAGCGCGACAGACAGCGTCTATGTTCACATATAGTCTTATCAGTTAGCGCTTAACAAGCATAGATACCTTCACTGGCCGCCGTGCAACTTTCAAGTCGGGATTGACTGGTCCAGGTTCCGAAACCACCGTCGCGTCCTCATGGCTCAACCACATCTGGACCGTCATTCACTTGGAAAAACACAATATAAGTAAGGCCACTGTCTAAGTAGTTGGTCGTCATCCTCACAACTGTTCTCGTTCAGCCCGTCATGTCTTATCGTCTCGCAACTTGGTCATTACTGGCGGCGGCGCTGGCCCCAGCGGTGCTTGCAATCCCACTTTCTATCAATCCTTACAATGATCCCAGTCGGCCGCAACTCAAGGTTGCGCCGTTAATCGCCACTGAGCATCCATATGGAACCGTTAACAACTCGTATATAGTTATTCTTCGCGATGACCTTCCCCAGGATGTCGTGCAGAACCACTTCAACTTCCTCCAGATGGCTCATGCCTCTGACTCGCTCCTCGGTGACGAGTTTGCAAAGGGTGTCCGTCACTTCTATGAAGGACCAGTCAAAGGTTATGCTGGAGAGTTCACTGAGAACGTCATCGACCAGGTACGGCGGATGCCTGAGGTTGAGTTCGTAGAGAAGGACCAGATCGTACATACCACGCGTATCAATACCCAGAAGGACTCACCTTGGGTAAGTTTTTCTACTAAGTGCTGTGGCTTTCAGTGGAGTTGACTCCACATGCAAGGGTCTTGCCCGTATCAGCCACCGCAACAAACTTAGGCCCAGCACCCTCACGAAGTATATCTATGACTCGCAAGGTGGCGAAGGTGTCGACGTCTATGTTATTGACACCGGTATCAATATTGCCCACTCCGAATTTCAGGGTCGCGCTTCCTGGGGCAAGACCTTTCCATCCAGTGAAGTCAATAAAGACGTCCATGGTCATGGTACTCACTGTGCTGGTACCATTGCTTCCCGCAAGTATGGTGTCGCTAAGAAGGCACATGTCATCGCCGTCAAGGTATTAGGTTCCAAGGGCTCTGGCACCGTGTCCGATATTATTGCAGGAGTCGCATGGGCAACTCAGTCAGCTAAAAAGAAGTTTGCAGCTGCTCGCGCCGAGTTTGCCGCCACTGGTAAGACCAAACACAAAGGATCGGTCATAAACATGAGTATTGCCGGCGGAAGATCTCCTGCTGAAGACCTTGCTGTCAACCGCGCTGTTGACGCCGGCCTCCATGTTGCCGTTGCTGCCGGTATATTTCACCAGTTAGTTGTTAAGATCATATCTAATCACAGCATTAGGTAACGACAACAAGGACGCCTGCAAGTACTCGCCCGCAGGAGCCAAAAAGGCTATCACAGTTGGTGCCTCCACAGTCGGCGATAAACGTGCAGACTTCTCCAACCATGGCAGGTGTGTGGATATCTTCGCTCCTGGTACGTGTCTCCATTTGTTGAAAGATCGGCTCCTCATAAGCCCTGTTTTCTCATAGGTGTTGACGTCCTGTCCACGTACATTGGCAGCAAACATGCTACCGCTACCATGTCTGGTACCTCGATGGCTTCTCCCCATACCGCCGGCCTGCTTGCATACCTTTTGTCGATTTACCCCTCTACTACCTTCCACCCTAGCTTGAGCTCGACGCGGCCTCCTGCATTCAACATCGAGCACCCTTATTCTTCATTCTATTATCTATGCCATGCTGCCCTCCCACGCTGGATGACCGACTTCATGCCATCACCACAGTTTGTCGTCAACGAGCCCGACACTAGCGGTCCGGTCGTGATCTCCCCCTTGAAGCTCAAGACGGCTCTTCGCAAGCTCGCATCGTCAAGGAAGCTTACTGGTCTGCCCCCGAAGACAGTGAATTTGCTTATCTTCAACAATGCTACCGCTTAAGCGTGATAAATATATATATATATATAACCAGCGCGTAATTTGCTGTCATATTGCAGGAATGGCATAACTTTACTTGCGTAGTTGCAGTTGTATACTATATATATCTAAATCCATTATACATATATCAAGGACGAGCATTTAGAGTCTGAGATATCTTGAGCTTGAGTGATTTCTCCGGTAATAATAATTATACTGTAGAGATACGAACCCCTCAAGTGCAACAAATTTAGCAGCAAATACAGTGCTGCCTCATCAGCATTTTTGGAAGCAAATTGTGGACTGGTGACAGTTGAATACTATGAATCACTCAAGAGACAGGGGTTGAAGTATACAATGGACACCATCACATTGGTGCACCAGTGCCAGGAGGCAGCCCAAAGGCAAAGGCTCAAAAATGCTCCTGTAAGGATCGCATATCCTGTACACCCCGACTATACCTTCTCAACGAGACATAAGGACACGTGTCCAGTCAGCCACGTGACTCACTGATGCGAAGAAGCACCACGCTTCGCATCCGAGTCACACGGATACATCCTCCTTTCTTACCTTCATCTTTTGTTATCGTCGACAACTAGATCGGTCCTTCACTCACCCTCATACGAAACCCTGGACATTCACAAACCCTTTCTCTCGTTACTTCGTCTCATTTTCACTCTATTGCTCCAAAAACAGTCAAGCCACTATGAAACTTTCGTTATTCCTGTGCACGGCGAGCTACCTAATACCACCTTCATTCAAATATTCTGTACCCTCACTCATTCCCGCAGCTCTACCCTGTCAGGTGCAGTGCCACCTATTTTCTATCTCACAAAAACCTTCAATCTCGTAACAGCAAGGACCCTTACACTCTCGAAACTTAAATACAACCATGTACATTCATTCAACAGAGAGTCCTTTGCCTTCCCACTAGATGCACGCAGTCCGTTCCTCTGAGAAACCTCTACTCTGAATTCCGATCCTCTAGTTATCATATTCTCTCTAACCATCGCGTCAGTTCCACTCCCGACACAAGGGTACAATCCCCGTCGAACTCAGTATCAGCCTTACACTCCTGCAGAGGATCTGAAACCCAAGAGCAGGTGTGCCCTGCTTTGTACGTATTTTCCTCTCACCATATGTTTTACTACTACTACTGACACATCTGACATTGGCAGAATATTCAAGTTGGCTAATTTCATCTTTGTGCACTACTTACATGTTCTCCACGCTTACCCAGTACCACTTGGACACTAATACTGTAGAGATACGACACTAGGTTCGTCACGTGCAGCCCGTGACTATGTCACGCTTAGTGTTACAGGTTCGAATGTCCAGCACTGGGCTTCCCATTAAGTAAGCCTTACTATAGTGGTTTGTTACATGCTGTGCTTACTATTATTAGGCTTAGTTGCAGCAATCCTCAACACCAGCATTAAATGCTGTCCCAAATAACCCAGGACCTTTGGGTATTTGGCATAGGTAAGTAGCTCGGTACTGTCGGCACTGTCTGCCGCCTATTTATGCCTAATGCGTCATCCCGACGCGCCCCGCCATGTGCTAAGCTTCCAAACTAGGTGAGACTCTTTTCTCATGCCCCTTGCCCTTCTCCATCACCACCAACGTTGTCTACCACCTGTTCTAGCCATTGATGCAGGCTTCCTGCGCCCCCAACAGCATCATTCACCACCATCTTACGTGGATCTGTCCGTTGGACCAAGTACAACGGCTCTGGACACCGTCTAGGTGAGTCTTTTCTCGCGCGCCCTTTGCCCTTATCCACCACCACTAACATCGCCTACCACCCATTCTAGCCGTCGACGCAGGCTTCCTGCACCCCCAACAGTGTCTTTCACCACCTCCTACGTGGATCTGCCTGCTGGACCAAGCACAACAGCTCTGGACGCCACCCTCATCTCTCAACAACCATCTACCACCCTTAGCATCGGTGCATGCTTTCTATGCCTCCATAGACCTTGTACCATCACTCTGGACACCACCCTCACCTTTCAATCACGCTATCTACTGCATACACCTCCATAGACCTTATACCACCACTATGAATGCCACCCTCGTTTCTCAAGTAGACCACCTGCTTTACTCTCATTGGCATTGCAAACTTATCTACGAGACCCAGTGTATTTCACAAAGTTAGCTTGCTTGTAGTCTGACTGGACTTTGCACAATGAAAAACCCTTGAATTTATTCAAATGAGTGACAGACGAAGGATATCTATTGAACTAGATTTGGGCTGCCGGCCCAAAAATAGTATCTAATGTAGCCAACAAGGCATCTAGATCAAAGAACTCGTTAGAAGGTGACACAGGAGCACTGCTGATGGCTGGAGGAGTAGGGGTATGAAAGAAGTCGAAGGCGGCGGGATTGATGGAGTCGAAGGCAGCAGGATTGATGGAGTCGAAGGTGCCAGCATTGGCATTGTTGAAAGCCTTGGTATTGGTGAAGTTGGTGGAGGGACTAGCCTCAGCGTTGACATTGCTATTGGCGCTGGCATTGGTATTGGTATTAGTGCCGGTGTTGTCATTGGAGTTGGTGCTGGTGGAGTTGGTACTGATGTTAGTGCTAGGGATGTTGGCACTAGGGGAACTGGCATTGGCAGCTGGGGTGGTCTCGTCTTCATTGTCGGTCTCGACGGTCTCTGTGCTCTTGTACGTCTTCTTGCGATGACCCGATCCATCTGTAGACTGTGCCCGCTTCTTTCCCTTGTCTGAGCGAGTCCGGCGGCGATGGTCCGTGATCTCACCACTTTCAAGCTTCTCATTGCGCTCTTTGAGGAGTTGTTGAAACTCCTCGTCATTGATTTCTCTCCAACAGATGGCACGAGACTCCCACTTCCGACAAATCATTTCAAGGTCAGGAAGGGCGCTTGTCACAACCCAAATAACGAATTAACGCTTGGGCAGAGACTAGGACTCGACTAAGGTTATTGGACAAGAGAGAGAGGAGCAAGTATGTCTTGGATTGCTACAGTTGTAGATACAAGAGGTTTGAACTAAGGAACTATCGACCAAGACATGCTACCTGTATACAACTATTGAAACGGAGATTGAAACTGAGCTATAACTACTAGCCAATCATAAAATAGAAAAGGGAATTGTACCATAGAACATTGTAGAATATTAAAGAAGCATCACGTGACCATATCTTATCTTATCTAATCTATTCACAATCAAAGAACTCGTCTTCTTCATCAGTCACATCGAAGACATGTGTCGTAGGCGCTAAAGGTATTTCAGGAATGATAGACGCTTTCAAGGTAGGGTTAGGGTTTGATTTAGGCGCTGTGTATTGATGCTTAGGAAGATTTAGGAAAGAATAATGGTTTGTTAAAGGTACTCGTGACATTACCCCCTCTCTAAGGTGAGTGTCATCACGAACGAATGAAGGTCGAATATTCTTTTCTCTCCATCGTTTGAAATCTTCCGTAAATAGTACTGAGCTTTTGATTCTTCGGTATTTTCCGGCTGCAGCCATGGGATTCTCTTTGTGGAACTCTGCTAAAGGAATTGGAGCGTTCTTCAGATTCTCTTCTGGCTCCCAAGATGACTCTTCCTTCGGGTATCCTTCCCATTTCACTAGGTATTGCAACTTTCCTCGGAACAATCGGCTATCTAGTACTTCTTCTACAGCAAATTCTTCCCGATCGTCAATCAATTCTGGGGGTGGTCGGTTTGGAGGCGGATGAGGAATTAATTGAGATGCGTGGTATGGGGTAAGTAATTCTACATGGAAAACCGGGTGAATCTGATATTTTTCCGGCAATTTCAACTTGTAGTTCACTTCGCCAATCTTCTCTAGTATTTCAAAGGGACCTAGACGACGATCTGACAGCTTTTGACTTGGACGTCGTTGTTTAAGATTCTTTGCGTCAAGCCAGACCTTGTTTCCTACTTTATACTGAGGTGCTTCTTTTACTCCTTTGTCGTAGAATCGCTTCATGCGCTCATTGACCATCTTAAGAGTATTTTTGGCATCATCTCTCGCTTCTTTCATTTGATCAACTCTCTCATCGGCGGCGGGGATTACGGACATAGAGTTTGGATGGATCGTGAAATCTGGGTTATACCCATAGAGAACTTTAAACGGACTGTGACCAGTTACTGTGACTGCATTGTTGTGTGAAAACTCTGCTATCGGCAGCCAAGATACCCAATCATTCTGTCTGTATGACGTGAACATGCGCAAGTATTGTTCGACTTCTTGGTTTACATGTTCAGTCTGTCCATCAGTTCTGGGATGATAGGAGGTCGATGCAGACCATTTCATTCCTAATCTTTTTGACATCTGTCCCATGAATTTCAATATGAACTGAGTTCCTCTATCTGAAATCACTTTCTTTGGTGTTCCGTGATGTTTCCATACGTTCTTCAAGAATAGCTCGGAAATACCCTTCGAGTCTACGTCTTTGATGGTGGGAATGAAGTGTGCTTGTTTCGAGAATTGATCAACGACTACAAAAATGCTATCACACCCTTCACTCTTTGGCAAATCCACTATCAGGTCACAGGTGATTGTCTGCCAAGGTCCTTCTGGAACTTCATTTGGCTGTAAAGGCCCCGTTGGTTTACTCGGAAGCACTTTTGTTTGTCTGCACCTATCGCAACCATCTACGTAATCATGGACATACTTCGTCATTGAAGGCCACCAATAGTTTCTGGAAATCAACTCTAAGGTTTTAGCTCGTCTAGGATGTCCAGCCGGTGGAGAGTCATGAAACAACTCCAATATCTCTCGGCGGATCTCTTTATCATTTGGAACATAAACTAATCCTTGGAATAACACCAATCCATCCTCCACATTCCACTCTTCGATTCCTCTACGCAGTTGAACCAGTGCTGCTTTTAGCATTTCTAGCGCTTTAGTGACTTCAGGCTCTCGTTCTGTACATTTTCGTATCTTTTGGAGTAAATGTTTTTCTCCATGTACCAAAACTTGACCTCTTTTAGCAGCTTTTACAGTAAAGAATTCCGGTTTCAAAAGAATGCAATCTGAGTTATCGTTTTCTACCCCCCCTCTATGGTCTGATCTCCGTGAAAGACAGTCTGCTTTGTCATTAACCACGCCAGGCTTGTGTTGGAGTGTAAATTCATACTCTGCTAGGAAAAGACTCCATCTAGCTTGCCTTCTGGTCAATTTTTGACTCATCATAAAGTATTCAAGGTTCTTATGATCTGTCCATATTTCAACTGGGTGAGGTGCTCCCTGTACGTAGTGCCTCCACTCCTCCAACGCTCTAATAATCGCTAATAACTCTTTATCGTGAATGTCATAATTTCTTTCCGCATCATTCATCGATTTTGAGTAATATGCCACTGGGTGCCATAGTCCGTCTTCCATCAGTTGAGAGAGAACTGCTCCTGTTGCGTAATCGGAAGCATCAGTCTCTATTTTCTTTTTCTTCTCAACATCTGGCATGACTAAGACGGGAGCTTCTGTGAAACATTTCTTTAATTCATCAAAAGCTTTCTGTTGTTTCTCCGTCCAGTCCCATTTGACATCTTTTCTTAGCAGATCATTCATTGGTCTGGCTATATCCGAGAACCCAAGTATGAATCTTCGATAGAAGTTGGCAAAGCCCATGAATGCTTGTATATCTTTTACGCATTTGGGAACAGGCCATTTCAATACTCCTTCTACTTTCACAGGGTCCATCGACATATTGCCTTCTTCCACGATTAATCCGAGGAACTCGACTTTAGACTGTTCGAAGCTACATTTCTCAGGCTTCAAGAACAGGTCATTCTCCTTCAACCGCTTCAGGACTTCTCGTACCACCTTTCGGTGCTGCTCCCTATTTCCATTCGTGAAGACCATTATATCATCAATGTAGACGACTGCTGTTTTGCCATCTATCAGGTCTCTCAGAATTTCATTCATCACAGTTTGGAAGGTTGCAGGCGAGTTCGTGAGTCCAAAATACATCATGGTCGGTTCGTGGTGACCAAACGGCGTTTTGAAGGCCGCCTTCCACTCATCTCCTTCTTTCATGCGAATATTGTTGTACCCCCATCGTACATCCATCTTAGAGTACATCGTGGCACTGGTTAAAGCATCAATCAAATCTTGAGATCTCGGTAACGGGTATGCATTTTTCACTGTCTTCTCATTGAGCTTTCTATAGTCCATCACCGGTCTTAACTTGCCATCTTTTTTGGCCACAAAGAAGAAAGGTGCTGCTACTGGAGATTGTGAATCTCTAATACGTCCCAGTGCAGTCTCGGTTTTCAACCATTCCTTCAGTGTATCCATCTCTTTGGGTGACAACGGATAAGGTTTCGCATTTGGCAGAAGATCGTCCTCGTCTTTAAGATCTATTGCATGATCCCACTTCTTTCTTTCAGGGAAGCGCTTAGACTCTTCTTCTGAGAAAACTCCCAGGTAATCATGAAGCCAGTCAGGTACCATTTCTTCTACCGACTGCTTCTTCTTAGTAGCTTCTTCTGCTACCTTCTGCTCCGTGGCAACCGAGGCTTTATAACGAATCCATAGTCTCTCTGGACTCTCTTCGTCTTCTATTTCCTCAACCATCGCTCTCTTCATCGACATATCTTCTTCATCCTCGTCTTCATCGTCCGTAGGAATCAGATCAGGTACATCATCTATCTTTTTTTGTTCTTTTTTCTTTTCTTTCTTTTTTTGTCTTTTTTCTTTTCTAGTTTCACATTTTACAGGGCATCGAGAGAGTGTGAATTGTCCTGCATTCCAGTCAATCTCTGGATTATGATATCTCAGCCAATCTATGCCGATAATAACATCATCGCTTCCTAAGTCTGTAACCATGAAGGCTGCTTTCTCTTCTTCATGATTACCAATCTTTAGACCTAGTTCTGCAAAATGAGTTATCGATCCAGCAGCATTTAGTGATCCATCAATGTTCCTAACTGAAATGGGTCTTAATAATTTACGGCATTTCACACTGTTCTTTTCAACAAACTTCTCACTGATAAATAATGTTGATGCACCGCAATCCACAAGTGCTTTTACGTCTGCTTGTCGGTTCTTTCCTTTCAATGTTATCGGAATATAAAAATGCTCAGATTTGGATCTAATATGTACTTCTGATACATCTTGAAATGTAGAAAGAATGGAGAAACAATTGTTTGGGTCTAGGTCTGCAGACTTTGACTTCAACCTCTTTAAAAATCCTTGCCTTTGTTAGAAGCGATCAAATCTGTGAACCACTTCGGTGTGGAGTTTTCTTCGACAACTGCAGCTGCTTTGACTTGCGCTTTTGGCGCACCTTTACAGTTTCTCGCTATGTGGCCTTGTTCTCCACAGCGGTAGCAGGTGAAAGCACCAGGCTTTCCTTGGGGTTTGGGTGATCCCCTCTGCTTGCCAGAGTCTACATCCATAGTGTCACTGTCTTTGCTAGGACCAGCCTGCCTTGGGTTGAAGGTTTTGGCTTCCTTGTTAGGGGTCCACCAATTACCCTTCTTCTTCTCAGTGTCTAGCTCTTCGTAGTTACATCCAATCTGTATGGAGTAATCAATGAGCTTCTTGAGGGTGTCTTTCTCAGACGCTGGAATATGAGCGAGTTGCTCTTTGATCTGGGTTTGTAGACCAGATCGGAATTTGAGGCGGAGGTCGTAGTCGGAGTATTTGGTGAGTGCAGCCTTCTGTTTGAAAGCTGCTGCATATTCGGGCACTGATGAAGATCCTTGCTTCAGGGTTTCCAACTCCCTGACAGCCTTTCCTTCTCTGTCGTCTTGTCCCCACATGGTCTCGAATTCTGCTGACCAATCTGTAAAGGATATTGGCTTGGTGTCAAGCTCAATAACATATTTCTGCGCCCATTTAGCAGCAGATCCTTTAAGGAAAGACAGAGCAGTTGTGATTTTCTGCCTGTCTGTGATCAGTGGCCACTGTGACATATATAATGCCAACTGAGTAGCGTAGACTTCTACGGAGATTGAATCTTTGTCTCCAGTAAATTCTGTGGGCTTCGACAATTTGACTTGCGAAGTATTTGGGCTTTGAGCGAATCTCTCCAGCTTTTTCTTCAGTTCCTCTATTTGTGCGTTTTGGGTTCGAAGTTGAAGCTCTTGTGTCGCGTTTTGTGCTCGAAGTGTGTTGTTGTGGTTTAGGAGTTCTTGTGTCCTTACGTACAGATCGTGTGTTGCCATGGTGATGGCATTCTGTACATAGTTGGTGAATTCCACCGGCATAGCTATGCCTTGTGGTTGTGGTCCCTGAGGTCCTTGTTCTTGGGGTTCTTGGGGGTTCTCAGGTCCCATTTCTGTTTCGTTAACTTCAGCCATAGTGCCAGGTGCGTTCTGGAATCTGATTCACTAATGACTGTTTGAAGAGCGGGTCGTAACGGCTCTTCCGGATAGGAAAGATGATGAAAGGGGGAAGGGAAAAAGGATACATAAATGGAAAGCTAAAGGGGTCCCCAGTACTAACTGGATCAACCTCGTCTTTTAGGGTCAAAGGGTTCTTTAGTCAACCCGACTGACACTTCCCTAATTACTAACTAGAAAGAAGTACGTAAAACTATGCTTTTGTTAAGTGGGAAAAAACACGGTGTGCTTCGTGTGTGCTACTTCTCAATCACCGAAAGGGTACAGGTCTAGGACAAGTTATCACTCTTCCAGCTGAAGCTTACAAGTGTGAGTCTCACTAGGATCCCGTATCTAAATCCTCGTGGTAACAATGGTAGGACTATCCGCAGATGCGACAGTTCCACTAGACTTAACGAAAAGATTCTACGTGCGTATGAAGAAAGATATAGGTACGAAAGAAACTATAGTAACATTGAGCAGGCAGGGTTTTGGGCCAGCACTCAAAGTTGTAGCAAGACGCCTAATGTCGTCAACACCTCCGTATACTGGCGGCTGCAATGTAAGGCAGGGCCTGGTATAGGACTACTAACTAATAAAGTGTTACGACTTGGGTGGTATCTGTTGGCGATGCTCAAACAGAGCGTGTGTCGTCAACAGTCGAGGACGTCCTTGGGCTAGCCCAAGGTTAGGGGTCTTACTTGGCGAAGCTTCGGCAAGTAAGATTTGACGCCTATGTCCAAATTGGGTAGCTTATGTCAGGCAGGTGCGAGACAATAAGCTATATCGGCCTAGGCTTACAACACCCAAAGGTTAATCGTAAGATCGTCGTTAATTAGAAGGACAGAAGTCTGACTAGTTAACAGGGGCTTTGCTCGTCGACGAAGTCGATGAGTAAAGATCAAGACTATAGGCTTATCCGCGAAGAGCAGATAAGAAGATAGAATATAGACTGCTGGCGAGGCAGAAAGGATCACTCTGGTGAGAGTAGGAGGTCAAGAACCAAGTAGATTCAAGTTAGGGAATATAGTACATGGTAGTGAGTTTATATAGAGGACAGGAGATGTATTAGTGGGTGATAACTCATACTACCAAGAGAGGCAATCAGTAAAGGGTATAACCATAAAAGGAAGGCATGTTCGCGTTGAGACACTGGCGAGGTAGAACGTGCTGGATAAGAAAGTGAGTTAAAGATTGAAATAAGAAGTGAAACGCGCAGGGGCACGATCGTGCAGCTGTGGAGCTAAGTATAAGTCGCATGTGCGACTGCGCACTGAGTCAGAGATCAAGAAAGGGAAAAGGGCAAAGGGGATGCGTCGTGCATCATATCATAGGTTACCGTCCGGACGGTAAGGGCAAGGGGACTGTCCACAGGATCAGTCAGGTGGTGGAACGGAGCATGGGTATGCTTTGTCAGTGAAAGGATCCGGCCAGATGTACTGGCTCTGCTGAAGCGACAGGTAGAGGGCGAAAGGGAATGCGAGGATGACGAGGATAACAAGGGTGAGGTCGGGGTAAGGGTATGATGCGAGGGCTGATACCAGAAGGATGAGGAGAAAAATGGTAGGGGCCCAAGCGTCTAGATGTTCTTGTAACATAAAGACTATTCATAGAAAAGCTCAAGTGAGCAAAAGGATGGGTTTCAGAAAATGATCGCAGTTGTTTAGACCGGGCAAAGGAAAATGTGTAATGGCTATCTAGGAGGTTTGTTGGCGAGCTGCTCAACGAATCACCTAGAGAGAGATGGTAGATGCGAGCGGTATGCGAGAGTCGGAGTCTCCTATAGTTCAAACCTAATGTCACAACCCAAATAACGAATTAACACTTGGGCAGAGACTAGGACTCGACTAAGGTTATTGGACAAGAGAGAGAGGAGCAAGTACATCTTGGATTGCTACAGTTGTAGATACAAGAGGTTTGAACTAAGGAACTATCGACCAAGACATGCTACCTATATACAACTATTGAAACGGAGATTGAAACTGAGCTATAACTACTAGCCAATCATAAAATAGAAAAGGGAATTGTACCATAGAACATTGTAGAATATTAAAGAAGCATCACATGACCATATCTTATCTTATCTAATCTATTCACAATCAAAGAACTCGTCTTCTTCATCAGTCACATCAAAGACACATGTCATAGGCGCTAAAGGTATTTCAGGAATGATAGACACTTTCAAGGTAGGGTTAGGGTTTAATTTAGGCGCTGTGTATTGACGCTTAGGAAGATTTAGGAAAGAATAATGGTTTGTTAAAGGTACTCGTGACAGCGCTCAAGGCTTGGCTGAGGTTGACAAAAGGGATGTTAGCAGGCCAGCCTTCAATAACAACTTGATAGTGCTGGATATTGTTGCGGAAATAATTTGCCCAGTGCATCTTCATGTTTTCGTCCTTAGTGATTGCCACTACATGGTAATAGTAATTAGAATTGTAGTATGAAGAATATATTGAAAGAAACCTCACCAAGTCCCTTCTGAATTTTGTGGTGGATCACTGCACGAACATCGGAACAATGCTTTTGATGATTTTTTGCAGCACCTGTTGAGTAATGGAATTTAGTGTGCTGAGCAAAGGTACGAGCAAACATACCTTTCATGCCCTGGACAGCGAATCCTTCCATCTTGCTAATTAAATCTTGATTGTCGACATTCATTACAGACACCATAAACTCGTCCACACCTTCAGTAGCAAAAGCGACACCACGAAGAGGGAGGTCTATGGACCCATGCATCGTGTAGAGGATCGCCTCGGCTCCCATACGGCTCCTCAAATTGTGAAGCTGTAAACTGTGTCAGTAAATCCAAAATGAAGATGTGTGGAGGACTCACCTCATTCTCAATGGCCTTGAGGGTCTGGGTGACATCAGTAACCTTTGACTTCGTTGAAATTCAGATGCCCGTGGCTTGTGTCTCCTTGTGCTCGCTGTACTTGAGCAAAATCTCAGCCTTCTCATCATCCATGAGCTCTTGATATTCCGCATGGTGGCTCTTGACGAGTTCTTGTAGGACGTCCTTGCCTGTTGCCCCTTGACAGCACAGTAAGTACATTGTTCATGTGTTGTCAAACCACGTACCATTCTCTTGATTATCCTGCTGTTTTTTCCAACAGAATGCATTCCATGCATTCAACTTTGAGCACTTAAATCTCATCATTCCCCGGCCTAAACATAAGTCATTTTGTACACGATGGAAACTCTTGTGGTGAGAAAATGCAATTTCCTTTACGGTCTCATCAAGACCATTCCAAGCATCACCGAGAGCTGATCTGAATTTATGCGCATTTTCACGATGCTGAGCAGTAAGGGCAGCGCAGGCCTCCTTACTGAGAGTGACCCTGGTGCGATGAGTAGGCAAAGCCTGGATGCATTTGCGAGTCTGTGTTGCATGAAAGGTCTGGGTGGCCATTGACCTGGGTATTTCAGCGGTTAGTAAACACCTGTGCAGCCAATTTATATGCAAACGGCGAGCACAACAGAGTATGTATATTGGTGTAACTATTCAAAAATGACATCAGTGGCTTTTGCCACACACAATCGGGGATCTAGAACAAGAACAAGAGAAAAAACAAGTAAAGTGCGCACATAAAAACTAGGGCGCCAAGAAATGTGAATATTTGTGAAAGGAATGAAGATGGTAGCTAGAAAGTGATTAAATTGTCAATCAATTCAAATCACAGTAGAAATATAAAATACCTTAGTGTTTGTGGGCATAGCTTGGTTGCTGTGAATGTCAGAATTGAGTGCTCTACTCAGGTTCAATGCCTGTTCATAAGTCAGGTTCCATTTCGGTGATTGAAGCACAGCCTCCCAGCGGCTGCTGCGAATGGAGCCAATGAGCTGATGAAGCTTGGGAAGTATGTGATCATCTAGACTGAACCAATCAAGCACAGCATCAGAGTGCAGACCTATGCTGATCAAGGGGGTCCCAGCTTGGAAAGATGCTGCTGCGCCAGTTGACTTGGTCATATTTTTGGTACCGGGGGGCTTTGGGATAGTTGCAGTATGAGTGGCATTCAAGAGAAATGTGTCAGTGTTGCAATGCTGCCGAATGTCTGACTTGCTCTTGCTAGGCGATGCTTTCGCCAGGGCTTGACCCATCTGAACAGCAGCCGAAAGCGACTTGTTGCTAACTTCAAAATCACGTTTGAACTGCTTGGTGGGATGAGCAGAACACTGAATGTGTGCACCTGTGGCCACCAAGGGTCCAGGCAAAAATGGGGGTCTGGAAGGATTCACTTGACTTGCCGGGTCTTTGAAAAAAGTGAGCTTGTGAACATGGAAACAGAGGAGACTCACAATGCCAGGGAGGGATGATGCCCTCAATGCGACAACATTCTGCATAGCGCTGCAGATGGGGGATGACAAATTCCTTGCTGAAAGCCTGCACTAAGGCCGATAAATCTCCCCAAATCCACTCTGGTGTTTCACGATATTCCCATGGTGTAATGTACAGATCGACAGTGAAGTGTTCTGGAGACAGCATTTCTGAGGCTTCAGAACCAGCACAACGCATGAGGATGGAAATTCCACCATCAAGACAATCTTGCATTGTGATCTAACAATTTATGTCATTAGTATACGAAGATAGAAAATAAAAAAAGCTCACTGCATCAAACAGGTCTTGTAATGCTGCGTTAAGGAAATCTTCTTGTGTGATGGATTGTTTGTTTGATGACATGTATGAATTGAAGGCGATATGAGACGGATGGAGGCCACCAGGCTTTCGGGTATGATAGTGAGTACCGTCAACGTGGGCTTCATGCTTGAGTAACATGTGAGCTGCTGCCTGTTGTTCTCCATTGCTGAAACCTTGAGTGAACGAGCTTGAGTGTAGTGCTGCTAAGCTGGATAGTGAGAAGCGAGCCACCTGTGCTGGCTTGTCCATAACATCAGACACAGTTTCTGGAGATCCTGCATGACCTGGAAGTGTCTTGTTTGGAGTGGTGGGGGAGGGGGCATAGACAGAGTGAACCATGATTGAAGCGCAAGGTTGAAGCACGAGATTCCGGAGAGCGGTTATGAAAGTAATGAAATTTGAGGCCTTGAGGCATGTATTGTTACCGATTATGTTAAGAGTGCGCTCCTAAGTCATAAGTAGTAGCAGGTAAATATCAAGCACAGATCACAATATGTAGTAGCAGATGATATGTAGAAGGGAATATGTTGAAGAACAGCCTAAGTATATAGTAGCAGATGATATGTAGAAAGGGAATATGTCAAAGAACGGCCTAAGTATGTAGCAGATGATATGTAGAAGGGAATATGTTAAGCTTGAGGATCATCATATGTATATTGAGCGCAAATCACACTACACCGCAGAGGAATATTTTAAGGATCATCATACATATCTCCCATTCAACTACAGTTTGACCACTAGCATTTTGCGTGTCTGAACATCTTGAATTCCAATATCAACACTACTATTGTATTTTGATGCAACATTTACTCTACAACGGATGCCAAAAAATCAGTGAAATCTTCTACATTCTGTTCTTGCTCCTCATGCTCGAGATTATCTCCACCACTTTTTTCATCAGTCGCTGAAATTGTCGAAGTCGCCATCATCCACTCAGATTCTGTGTTAGAAATATGTAAGCTGCAAATAATGAAGAGCGGGGGACATACCATGGCTAGATGTGCCGTTGAGTCGAGTTCCAAGGCCTCTTTTACCTGAAAAGCCTGCCTGTGACATGATTCAATCTAATCTAAACAAATGCGCTGCATTGATGGCAGTGCGACTGCACCATTGACATTGCAGTTCAAGTCCAACAGGTTTATTTGAAATGAGAAGGGAATTGATGGTGGCATTCACAGTGAGTTCCTCGTCATGTATGGCTGTACACAACCGACAAATTTTGATATTCAAGCATTGAATCTCTTCATGGGCACATTGAAGTTTGAAGTACTTTACCGTAGCTTTGCGATGCACAGGTTTGGTCCAATCCAAGGTGCGAATGTCAGAATGAGACTGGCGCAAAAGATCAAACTCACCCAGAAAGCTATACTCCACTATATCTTTCCAAGTGAGCTGTGGACATGGAGGTACAAGAGCAGCAGCCTGCAGATTGAACCAGCTAAGTGTGTTCCGAATTGCCTGTGATCGATGTTGTAGAGCCTTGCTAATTTGTTGACGTAGTTTGTAGCCTAAAATAAACAAAATAAACACTTATGTGAGTGCACAAAGACAATGATCTTACCCGTGCCTGAAAGCGAGAGTTTTGACAACTCAAATAGATGTGTCATGACAAGTTGTTCTAAGTCATTGAGTGCTGGCGGTAAGTCAAAAGTGAAGCTTTTTGGCGAAATTGACGGTAGGGTTCGCTGTCGATCTCCCATCACTTGTCAATCCCAAGTTGAATTTCTAAATGCGAAGCCATCGCTTCTGCATTTTGAAGCCTCGAATATGATCCGTCAACTCGGATCTGGGCTTGATTGATGGCGGTGTGCATTTCCTGATAGCCGCCGACATGAATATCCACAAGCACCCGATTGGCGGCTTCTCGTGCTGTGTTCCATTCCTTTCTGTCATATACATAATGTAAGCGTCAAATAAATACAAATTAAACTATATGACTTACTGGCAGACAACAACTTCATCGAGAGCTTGAACATATTGAACACTGACACAATCCTTGACAGGGGGTTCCTTCAGGCCATCGAGGTATGAGCACTCTTCCTTGTGAAAACGAACAAAGTCGGCATGTGTGAGATTGAGGACACCTTCCAGAGAGGAAAGTTTGCCAGTGAGAGTTTGAATGGCAGCGAGTGCCTCTCGGTAATGATTCTGTAAAAATGTACCTACACGTCAACTCATTAGCTTAGGATTTCATAAAATGAAAATAACTTACTAAGCGCTGAGTACTTGTCATTGTCCCAAAAGGCAAAGTGTTGCTCGATCATTTGATGCTGGTGAAATGGAGTAGCGTGGCGAGTGCTGCGTGCAAGCTCATTTGATGATGAAAAAATGTGTTCACAGCCTTCTCCCTCGGTGTGGCCAGTACCTTCTATGTACATCGGATGCCAGTCAACACCGTCGGTTGTGAGCATGGCCATGAAAAGCTCTGACCATCATTCATAAATTGAGTTCACGAGCTTGGGGTCCAAGGCAGCTATTTTCCAGCATCTTGGAAAATGCGCAGCCGATATTGTATGCAATGCCACCATTCTTCCCATAGACATTGAGCAGATGATCTAGAATAGCGAGCGGGTATTTTGAGCTTGAAAAATCAGTCAGCGATGGTGACAACAAAATTAAAATCAAAATTACATACAGTTCGCCACTTTTGACCATATCACACACTAAAAGAATGAACTGTTGGTGACAGGCCACAATAAAAATGCCAGATTTGTCGAAAACTGAAAACATGGGTTTACGTGCTTCCGGACCAGCATTTCGCCAGCAGTCAATGCAGTTGAATGGTGCCGAGTCTGACTTTACCACATCCTCCCAGTCATCAGTGGGATCTTGCTGATCGGAAATTAGATTTGTAAATTTCATATCAATTGAAAACTTACTTCATGGGGTTGAGCGCCATTAAGTTGGAATTGGTCAACTTTTGCGCGATGGAGCCAGTAGTCAGAACGTCGAGTCCGCGAATCATCCCTCGGAGATGTGCCATAAATAGAAGATGACCATCTTTTCAAGCTATTATTGCCGTCGATCAGTGGCAAGCCACTCAAAAGTCATGTTGTCTTTGTTGTCTAGTTTGTAACAGCAACAGGGACACGAGTTGAGAAGGCGCCAATATTGTGTATCGCGCTTCAGTGCTGCTTTGATGAGGGAGTCTACCTGATGCAAGATCTCAAGGTAAACATAATATGCGTCCGAAAATTGGGTATTTAGATATGGTTGGTAAGGGATCTATGAAGCAACATTGTAATTGATATATCACAATACAATTGAATATCGTACATCATGGAGGTGGCATAGGGCCTTACACTGTGCTTGAACGCTAAACTGGGGGCAAGTCCTGTGAGACTGTCGATAAGCCGCAAGCATGCAGAGAGAAATGGCGACGGTCAGATGCAGCGGAGAACAGCCAAGGTAACCATGGTATATAAGGGTTTCGTTCGGAAATCTGCGAAAGGCAAGGGGTTGCAGCGATGCAAATTTTCAGCCTAGAATACTGTTGAACAAAGTCTTCTGACCGGAAAGAAATATATTGCTTACTAAAAACGTCGACCAGCTCGATATTCTGCAGGATTAGAACTGTCAGCATCATTACGTAGAAGGACATCATCGCTCAAAACACTTGGCATGCCATCACCATTATCACGGGTGCAATAGTCCAGATAAGCCCTGACCAGGCCTTCCATCTGAAGATCCCAGTTTGCATTCTGAACATTAATGCGGTCCCCTCATGTGCATGGATCAACATAGTGGCTAGCACGCATAAGCGCATGCTAGTGGGCATGAAATCAAATAACTTACAATCCAGAGAGGTCTGCCATTTGCTGAGCTAGCCCCTGGAACACCTCGTACTCTCCGCCCTTGTGGCTAAACTCAGCTCCCTCCTCGCGGGGGGGAGCAGTGTATGGTATAGACTTGATATCTGTGTCATAATCGACAAGCATAGTCTCAACAGCCACACGATCTTCAGCTGACATCTCTGCAGAAATGAGAAGACAAACATCTAAGAAAAATGGACACCGTACCTTGTATACATGATTGCCGCTTGGTGTTCACATGTTCCCTTCGTTGGGTTTGTTGTCCTGCCTTCAGTACATCAACTGTTCGCACAGAGCGTCGAAAACCATGTTTTATGGTTGCCTTCGACAGCTCTGTGATCCTCCTTGCTGACGGTCGCGACATGGGTGGTAGAGAGTATAGTAGGCAGTAGATAGCATGATTGAAAGGTGAGGGTGGCGTCCAGAGTGATGGTACAAGGTCTATGGAGGCATAGAAAGCATTGAGCTGGTGTTAGGGCTGAGCTAAGCTAAGCAGCTTTGGCATGCAGCCAACTTGTGTCCCGAACCCTAAACTAGGTGTACGCGCCTGGTAGATGGTTGTTGAGAGATGAGGGTAGCATCCAGAGCCATTGCACTTGGTCCAGCAGGCAGATCCACATAGGAGGTGGTGAAAGACGCTGTTGGGGGTGCAGGAAGCCTGCATTGACAGCTAGAATGGGTGGTAGGTGATATTAGTGGTGGTGGATAAGGGCAAAGGGTGTGCGAGAAAAGACTCACCTAGACAGTGTCCAGAGCCGTTGTACTTGGTCCAACAGACAGATCCACGTAAGATGGTGGTGAATGATTGGGGGTGCAGGAAGCCTGCATTGATGGCTAGAATGGGTGGTAGATGACATTGGTGGTGATGGAGAAGGGCAAGGGGCATGAGAAAAAAGTCTCACCTAGTTTGGAAGCTTAGCGCATGGCAGGGCACGTCGGGATGATGCATTAGGCATAAATAGGCAGCAGATAGTGCCGACAGTACCAAGCTACTTACCTATGCCAAATACCCAAAGGTCCTGGGTTATTTGTGACAGCATTTAATGCTGGTGTTGAGGATTGCTGCAACTAAGCCTAATAATAGTAAGCACAGCATGTAACAAACCACTATAGTAAGGCTTACTTAATGGGAAGCCCAGGTGATGTCCAGGTGACCTGTGACCTTACCCAAATAGATTCGCCTGTGGATCGTAACGCTTTGCCACTTGCAACACCATTTGCAACCATCTGACATGCTGCTTTGTGATTCAAGCAACTTGCTTCAGTCTGTCATGGATTTGCCTCGCATAGTGCTGACTGGTAACGAGTGGAATTGGAGACTCTGTTATCTTAAAGCCTGCCAGGTGAGTCTACTAGTATGATCCATTTTCAAGTGCCCATCATGCCATCACAAACTGATATGTTTGTTGCTTCAGAGTGGCTCTCATGTGGTCGTGTTTTTGACCAGAGCAAACTGCCACCTTCTGTTCAACATGAGATCATACGATTACTCAGGATCCCAACTCCAATGCAACCAACCATCCCATCTTGGACTCTGCCTGTCGCACAGCTACTCGACATCAGTCTTTGCGCATCGCTGGACTGTGATCTTAGCCCAGACACCATCATTTTCTCAACAAACCCCCCTCTTCTCAGCCTTCCCAACGATTTCATGACACGGTCAATTCCCCCGCTCCGTTGCATCACTCACTCCTCAATCAGTTCAGTCAGGCTTGGTTTAATGGTCACACTTTAATCGTCCATCCACTTTCCCCAACATTTCACCTTCCGTTCTGGGTTCTTTCATACTGGAGGGACATGTCATGTGCCCTGGAGGCTCGTCTCGCCTGGATATTGGCCCATGATTGGGTTCTTCAGAGGCTTGAGGATGAAGAGGACATGGGCCATGGTGCTTCCAAGTCAGTAGTTGTAGACGAGGTTCTAGATTTGCTCGAGCGTTTGCCATGGGATGTTGACTTGAAGGGGTTTGGTGCTCAGACCAGTCTTCGCACACCAGAGCTTCTCCCTCTACTCGCTGACACAATGGTCAATGGTTGTGTACTTGATGCTCTTATTGCCGCTATCAATGATCATGCAGATGAACACAATGATACTGCTGTCGAGACACTTGATTTTTCAAATATATTATTCCTTGGTGACATGCGGTGGTCAAAGTATCATTTCGACAAAGCCTTTACTTGGCTGCATTACCTCGGAGACTCGCTTCATGATGGCACCATACAGAGCATCATTTTCCCTGTCAATATTGCCAATGTCCATTGGGCCATTGTTAGCGTTGATGCTAGCACACAGATGATCTTGTACGGTGACTCACTTGGATGGTCCATGCTTAGTTCATATGTTGATGCTATCCACCGCTGGTTGAAAAACCACTGATTCGCACCGTTTGACAAAGGATCCTTGTCTCATGAGGAGCAGACAGACTCCTTTTCATGTGCAATTGCGGCTCTCAATACCATCAAGCATGCTGTCTTCAACCATCACCCGCTGTTTACTGATGACTTGAAATATTGTCTTCACATGGAGGAGTTTTTGATGTTGACAAAGAGCCACTTTGAGGTTCGTTTTTACTGTGTTTTTACCACTCAAAAAACTCATTTCCTCATAACAGTCTGAGGAGTTACTTTCTGAGTCTTTGGAGAGCTCTTTCGCAGATGACACTAGTGATTTCAGCATCAAATTTTCATCATGTCCTCCATCATATCCCAGTCCGGTACCAGCAACAAGCCCCTCCCCTCTGCTGACAACATCTAGCTCAGAACATGTTTCCTTGAATCTTAGGGTTCGCAAAGAGGACAAATCTGTTGGTTTGTTCAAGTACTTTCCAACTACGACGCGCAAGGAGCATCTCAAATCGGCATGGACTCCTTTCTCTTGGGAGCTAGAGAGTTGTGAGCGGGATGCCCATAGGGTTCGTGTTGAAGGAGTAGAAAGAGATATACGCCGACGTGAGGGAAATAGGGAATGGAAACAAATCCAATGTGCCTGTGAAAAGGCTGCGAAGAAGGCCACTACAAATCACACATCCGACATCGCTCCTGCCCTCCCGATGACAGATCTTGCTGAGGTGTCTTGCCCATATTGTGAGATTCAAAGAGATGCGAGGGCGCATAAACCTAGTGTTCAACCTGGACGCAAAAGGAAGCATGAGGACACTGTTGCAGTTCATGTCAACTGGCAACACCCCTTGTTATGGGCTACTATTGCTGAAGCTGCTGTTCAAGTGGGGATTGGCATGTCCCCCATAGAGATTGTGCGTGATCTTCAGCAGAGGGACTTAGCATGATTCTGGACATTGACTCCACAGGTAGTTGGAACATGGATTGACCGCTCTGGTGACAAAGCTGTTTGGAGTGTGGCAACTCTTGCTCGTGTTCAGCGATGCAGCCTGCCCATGTACCAAAACACACAGAAACACATTCTATCCTCCTATCCCAACATGGTCAAATTGATCATCAACGACCTTCAGTCTCTCCGTCAAGTTGGTGTTGTGTTGGACACTCTCCGCTGCCGTGGTATCATCCTTGCACACCTGCAACACTCCATTCCTGATATTTTCGAGCATGTCACCAAGGACGGTTCTCGCTTCCGCTGCACGGAGAGTTGGGTGAAGGAGTTTCTTGCTGAGCATCTCAATTGGAGCTTCTGCAGGGCAACACGTGCAGCTCAAAAAATGCCACCAAATGTTGAGCAGCTTCTCTTCAATCAGTTCCTCCATTTGACACTCACAATTCGTGACTGCGCAATCTTCGATGCTGCATTCATCGTCAATATTGACCAGATGAATATTGTCTATCAGCCAGCAAACACCTCGACATTTGAAACAGTTGGCTTGAAGCAAGTCTCCGTGATTGGGCAGGAAGAAAAACAAGTGTTCACCGTCATCAATGGAATATCTGCCGGAGGTCATGCCCTCCCCTTGCAACTGATCTATGAGGGAAAAACTTCACACTCTATTCCTTCAAAGTCTACTCCGCAATACAAGGAAGCGATGGAACTCAAGTTCAAAATCTCATACTCAAGTACACACACTTACTGGTCAACATTTCCCCTCATGTGTGAGTACGTTAATGACATTCTGGTGCCTTACTGGGAGGAGCAGAAAGTGTTACTCAATGCACCGGCTGACCAGGAGTGTATTTTGCACCTTGACGTGTGGAGTGTGCACAGATCAATTCAATGAGTCTCTTGTTCAACTTGCCCAAGACAAGTCTGCGTCACTCATCAGACTTGACACAACAATTGGCACCCTTCGTGATCGGTCATTGCGGTGGGTTATAAATGGATATCATGCTATAAACAAGCCTGAGCTTGTAAAGCAGGTTTGTTTCTCATTTTCTCACACTGTCGAATCTTGATGCACAGAGCTAAATCATGTTTTCAAGGCATTTTTCATGTGTAAGGCCAGGGAGAATTTCAATCTCTCATTCGCGAGCCTCGCAAGTCGAGAGGCATTGCAATATTTACGTGATGTTCAGAAGAATGATCCAGCTGGATGGATGAGGATTGCTACCGCTCAGTACAAGACTGTCAGTGTCGATCAGGCAACAAACTCTGAGTCAGAGAACAAGGCCACTGATACTACCGGAGCCGAATCCCCCTTCGACAATGCTAGCGAGCATGACCTCGATGCCAGTGACGTGCCAATGGATGCACTCCTTGACCATACGGCTTCTGGGGGTGAACACGTCCGTTCTGACTGCCATATTGATGCAGATGGCGGACTTCTGTGTTCAAACCACTCTGAAGTCTATGATGTGGGTGACATTACTGCCGAAGATGTGGAGAGTGGCTCGAACAGTGTTCTGAAGGTTGATTACAGGCGTGGAAAGCATAGACGCATCGCAAATTTGATGTATGATGATTTCTGGTCCCATTAGCACATAACCTATGTTTTTTTTCCATATGTCACAAATTAGCTTTGTCCCACCAAAAATTCATGTGGCAGTCACAGCAAATAGATTCAATTCGTTAAGGGCTGTGACCTGTGACAAACCTAGTGTCATATCTCTACAGTACATCCCCATTCCATCCCCCTGCTCCCAGTATTCAAGACGTCATCTCTACTACTAGTAGCATCTCCTTGCACTTTTCTTGCACTTTTCTCATTCTTCTGGGCTACTTTTTTCGCACTTTTTATGTAGTCAACTTTTGATACTATGCAATATTGTGCGTTTTCAAATGCATCTTACAAAAACAAGTGTGAAAAAGTTGAGAATAAGTAAAGGATAGGTAGCAAATAAGTGGACAATATTGTGCTTTTTTTCAACATGTCTGCCAAAAATAAGTATGAAAAAGTTGAAAAAAAGTTGTGAATGAGTAGAATATAAGAGTCTGTTCGGACAGCAAAATTTCGCAATTTCCACTTGAAATTTCAGTACAGTACAAACAACTCCAAATAGTTGGAGATGTCACGCTGATAACAGATATCAGTATCAACCTTGTTGCTATCATTCACCAGTGTCCAGAGAAATTAAAATGCACCCCAACCCTGATCAAGACCCACCAGACATGGATTGTTACAAGAACATCTAGACGCTTGGGCCCCTACCATTTTTCTCCTTATCCTCCTCATCTCAGCCCTCACATCATACCCTTACCCTGACCTTGCTCTTGTCATCCTTGTCATCCTTGCATTCCCCTTCACTCTCTATTTGTTGCTTCAGCAGAGCCAGTACATCTAGCCAGACCCTTTCTCAGACAAAGCATACCCATGCTCCATTTCACCCGATGACTGATCCTGTGGACAGTCCCCCTTACCCTTACCATCCAGATGGTAACCTATGATACGATGCACGTCGCATCCCCTTTGCCCTGTTTCCTTTCTTGATCTATGACTTGATGCACAGTCACACATTGTACTTATACTTAGCTCCACAGCTGTACAATCGTGCCCTTGCTTGTTTCACTTCCTGTTTCTGTTCTCTGACTCACTTCTTATCTGCACGTTCTGGTTCACCTATGACTCCCCTCAAATGTGCCTTCCTTTTCTAGTAACACCCTTTGACCAGTTCCTCTTCCGGTAGTACAAGTTATCATCCACTAATACAATTTCTCTCCTCTATATAAACTCGCTACCATGTATCTAGTTCCTTAACTTGAATCTACTTGGTTCTTGACCTCCTACTCCTCACAAGAGTGATTCCTTCAGCCTAGCCAGCTGTCTATATTCTACTTTCTTATCTGCTCATTGCAGATAAGTCTCTAGTCTCGATCTTTACTCATCGACTTCATCGTTGAGCAAAGCACCTGTCAGTAGTCAGACTTCTGTCCTTCTATTAACACAGATCTTACAATTAACCTTCAGGTGTCATAAGCCTTGGCAGATACGTTTATCATCGAGCTTTGCTTGACATAAGCTACCCAATTTGGACATAGGCGTTAAACCTTGCTTGTCAAAGCCTCGCCAAGCAAGACTCCTAACTTTGGGTTAGCCCAGAGATGTCCTCGACCATTGACAACACACGCTCTGTTTGAGCGTCGCCAACAGACACTATCCAAGTCCGTAACAAAAGATTCAAGTTCCCCTTCTAACCCTCGACATCCATCGAGGACAGAAACAGATACAGTAAGCCTTGGCAGATACACTTATTGTTGAGCTTCGCTTGACATAAGCTACCCAATTTGGACATAGGCGTTAAACCTTGCTTGCCGAAGCTTCGCTAAGCAGGACTCCTAACTTTGGGCTAGCCCAGAGATGTCCTCGATTGTTGACGACATACGCTCTGTTTGAGCGTCGCCAACAGATACTATCCAAGTCCGTAACATGGATGATGCAAGGTCTGAATCTGCCGGTGATGGTATGGTAACACCTGTGGATATGGAGGAAGATGGTGGTGATGAATTGGATATTCTCGAGGGGATGTTCTATGATGCTACTCGTGCAATCTCCATGATTGCCATTGATGCGGCTCAGCAGACATTCAATGTTTATTCAAAGGCCTACCTTGAGAAGACACCATATCACACTTCAGCTCTATCAGGAATAGCATGGGTCAAGGAACTTCTCGCTGGGCATCCAGACCACATACAATGTGAACTTGGTGTACGCCGACACATTTTTTTTGTCCTCTTAAATCTACTTCACACTGTGAGATGTAGGGACTCAAAGCATGTCACCCTTGAGGAGCAATTGTCCATCTTTCTTTATGGATGTGTCACTGGTCTTTCTGTCCATCATCTCAGTGAGTGCTTTCAACGCTCTAATGATACAATATCAAAGTATGTTGTTTCTATCATACCATGCTTGTTTAGTGATACATTTCAAAGGTACTTCAAACACATTGTCACTCATCAGCTGAACAGTGTCATGGCTCTTGCAATTGCAAAGGCACCTTGATGCAAAATTGTCTTGCTGCTTGTTCATTCAATATGTTCTTCCTCTACATGCTGAGTGGTTGGAAGGGGTCAGCAGCAGATACGTGCATCTATCATGCTGCTCGCATCACAGATCTCAAAATCCCTCCTGGCAAATACTACCTTGCTGATGCTGGATTCGCATCGTGTAATGAGCTTTTTGTCCCATATCGTGGAGTGCGCTACCATTTGGCTGAATGGGGTCGGGCAAATTTAGTGTATGTCATGCTGACATTTATCTGATGTCTATGTGTACTACCTTTGTTTTATAGGCCCTGTAACCATAAAGAACTCTTTAACTTACGACACATGATGCTTTGCAATGTTGTCAAGCATATTTTTGGTGTTCTCAAGAGCTGCTTCAAGATTCTCCTTCTTCTGCCCAGCTACACAATGGATGTGCAGGCCAGGATCTGTTACAACTTGGATAGTATCTGTTGGCGGCGCTCAAACAGAGCGTGTGTCATCAACGGTCGAGGACATCCTTGGGCTAGCCCAAGGTTAGGGGTCTTACTTGGCGAGGCTTCGGCAAGTAAGATTTAATGCCTATGTCCAAATCAGGTAGCTTATGTCAAGCGGGGCTCGACAATAAGCATATCTGCCAAGGCTTACGACACCCGAAGGTTAATCATAAGATCTGCATTAATAGAAGGACAGAAGTCCAGCTAGTTAACAGGGGCTTTGCTCATCGACTTCGTTGATGAGTAAAGATCGAGACTAGAGACTTATCTGCAATGAGCAGATAAGAAAGTAGAATATAGACTGCTGGCTAGGCAGAAGGAATCACTCTTGTTAAGAGTAGGAGGTCAAGAACCAAGTAGATTCAAGTTAAGGAACTAGATACATGGTAGTGAGTTTATATAGAGGAGAGGAATCATATTAGTGGGTGATAACTTGTACTACCAGAAGAGGAACTGGTCAAAGGGTGATACTAGAAAGGAAGGCATGTTCGAGGTGAGTCATAGAGGAACTGGAACGTGCAGATAGGAAATGAGTCAAAGAACAGAAACAGGAAGTGAAACGAGCAGGGGCTTTTTGTTCTTGTACTGGTGTGCGCGGTCTGCTGAACACAAATACATTGACACATTTAAAAGCGACAATGTGCAAAGTTTTGTGCTACTGACTAATTGAAGTACTTTGACAAAAACAACCTGCAGAGCTCATCCTTCTTGATGGAAAGGTAAGTGTCAGCTATCGCAACATCAGCTTGAATGTGCATCATAACTGCTACCATCTGCACATCAGTCAAACCCTCCTCCTGCTGCACACGTACAATCGCCCTTTGTTTGCGTACGGGATAGGTTCTACAGAGTGTGCATGCATATGCATCATGCGTTCATGCATAATACTTGTTGCATTGTCAAAGGATGTCTTGAGACCATGAATTTTGTCACTCATATGGTCAAAGGCATCTGAGATGCTGCGGCGCTGTGATTTCACTGATTTTGAAGTTGAAGTACTGGTGACAGCCATCTTGGTGGAGTTAGGAGGGCAGCCTATGACCTGTGAGTCATCGTCATCAACTACAGCCCTGTATTTGCCCAGTGTCTTCGATGAACTTGGTGTGGAGTATGTGGAGGTGGTGGAAGCCTCTGGAACTTGGTTATTTCTGGTAAATAACATTGGTTGGTCCGAAGGAATGAATCTGATTGGAAGGGGTGGTTCATCTGGCACCGGTGGGACATGAGGGTTGGGATGCTCAATAGTGTCAAGCATTTTCTCCAATTCCTAACAGGCTCCAAGTCAGTTCAAGCATGAAGGTCACAAGAACCGGCACTCACAAAGTTTGGTGCAACAGTAGTACCAGTCATGGTGGTACTGCAGCTGCGGTCTCTGGTTGGCGCTGCAGGCCAAGCGGTAGCATGGTGAGCAATATCCCCCCTTCCCTTTGATGGTAAAAGTTCCTTCAATGTATCGTAGTGCAGCCAACCCTTATTCTTGAATTGCTTTGCTTGAGGCATACTCTAGACTCAGAAATTAGTTATTGTAGTCAGTGCAATGACCATTGGCATACCTTCACAAGTTTTGTCCAGACAGACTCAGATGCATCTGTGATGTTGGGTCCAAGCTCTGCACTGAACTCCAAGCCAGAATAGTTGGCCAATCTATTAACAATGTTGAAGGTTGAACAGATCTGAAGGGTCATCAGCAAGTACATAATCATCAGACATAACCATAACTGAACTTACTCGAGACCACTTGGACTGGCATGCATCAGAAGACTTTAGGGGGCCTTGTGCAGTCATTGTGGCAGCAACAGCAGCCCAAAATGTCTTGTCAAAATTGAGTCCTTCTCCACCCTTGGCACAGTGCGTGGCGATGTACTGAATCAGCCATAATTCATCGTCTAAGGTCCAGACACATCATTCTTTGATATCAGGCATGCTTTCCTGATCCTTCTTGCTGTGTTTTTTGTAGCAGAAAGGTATGTTGTGGGGGCAGGAAGAACAAGTCCTTCAACTGACTGGCATGATGGGATATTGATAAAGTCTGTCACATCGGTCACACTGATTTGGGATATTCAGGATGATTATCAAGCAAATTCCATCTTTGAAATTTCAGCGAAATTTTGCTGTCCGAATAGACTCGAAGCAATGAGATCTACTGAAAAAAGTTGGTTCTACTTTTACGACTTTGTGCTACTTGACTCACTAAGTTGTGTGAAAAGTATTATATAAGTGGGTAAAAAGTGATCTCATGATTTCCTGATGCACATACTCCTACAATCTGTACATCTCATCATAATGCAGACAGATTATACAGACAATACTGTTGGAAGTAGTGGAAGTCGAGAAGTCTGAGATGAAGGAGAATGAATGTGCCAAGCTAGGCACAGGAGGGGAATAGTAGTCTGAGCACAAGCTGATAACTCAAAATGCCAGTGCATTGCACTGCACCCTGAAATATACATCAAAAGGTTTATTTTTTGTTCCTTATTTTTACTTACTATAAAGTTACGCCTGATAGTGTCCAAACATCTCAGTCTTTGAACAAAGCTGAGATGTAAGTGTTACAAGAACATCTAGACACTTGGGCCCCTACCATTTTTCTCCTGATCCTCCTCGTATCAGCCCTCGCATCATACCCTTACCCCGACCTTACCCTGGTCATCCTTGTCATTCTCGCATTCCCTTTCGCTCTCTACCTGTCGCTTCAGCAGAGCCAGTACATCTGGCCGGATCCTTTCGCTGACGAAGCATATCCATGCTCCGTCCCACCACCTGTTACAATAACATTTACTCCTATTTCATTTTTCTTTTCTTGTAACCATGCCGCCGACTCTAGACTCATCTAGACTCGGCTATTCTCTTATCAAGCGGGCTGTCCGCACTTCTTCTTTCTTGATTGTAACATAGATACTATCTTGCGCCACATGGCGGTTTCACCTATCTTTGCTATCCTGATAGGTTGTACTCTTTTCCTATCTCTGTTACCTTTCTTGTCGCGGCTACGCCGCTTCCTTTTACCTATATAAACCCCATGTACCATAGCTGTATTCCTTAACTTAATCTACTGGGTTTTCCCCTTGAAACCTGATCTACTAAGGTCTCCACCCTTAGTAGCCTGAACTCTGATTCTAAGACAGTCACTCACTGTCTTAGCCTGAAACCCTTGATTGCGGTAGAAGTGCTAAAACCACTCACCGCCTAGGCAGAAGTGCTAAAACCACTCGCCGCTGATCCTGCATAGAAGCCGCGGCTCGTGCAGTAGGAACCACCAGAAACCTTCCTTGTATTAGGAAGGCCGACAAACTGTTCGCCCGACAGGTCTATCTTGACCGGCAACAGCAGAACTATCCCAGTCGTAACACCACCTGACTGATCATGTGGACAGTCCCCTTGCCCTTACCGTCTGGACGGTAACCTATGATATGATGCACGACGCATCCCCTTTGCCCTGTTTCCTTTCTTGATCTCTGACTCGATGCGCAGTCGCACATGCAACTTATACTTAGCTCCGCAGCTGCACGATCGTGCCCCTACGTGTTTCACTTCTTATTCCGATCTTTTACTTACTTTCTTATCCGCACGTTCAGAGCTCACTCGTGTCTCACCTCGAACATGCCTTCCTTTTATGGTCATACCCTTTACTGTTTACTTCTCTTGGTAGTACGAGTTATCATCCACTAATATGTGTCCTATCCTCTATATAAACTCGCTACCATGTAACATATTCCTTAACTTGAATCTAGTTGGTTCTTGACCTCCTACTCTCACCAGAGTGATCCTTTCTGCCTTGCCAGCAGTCTATATTCTATCTTCTTATCTGCTCCTCGTGGATAAGCCTATAGTCTCGATCTTTACTCATCGACTTCGTCGACGAGCAAAGCCCCTGTTAACTAGTCGGACTTCTGTCCTTCTAATTAACGACAATCTTACGATTAACCTTTGGGTGTTGTAAGCCTAGGCCGATATAGCTTATCGTCTCGCGTCCGCGTGACATAAGCTACCCGATTTGGACATAGGCGTCAAATCTTACTTGCCGAAGCCTCGCCAAGTAAGACCCCTAACCTTGGGCCAGCCCAAGGACATCCTCGACCGTTGACGACACACGCTCTGTTTGAGCGTCGCCAACAGATACCATCCAAGTCGTAACAGTAAGTACTTACCATGTTCATGTGTGTCAGCCTTGACTGACAAAAGTGTAGTGTACCATTCTGGTTTTCTAGGTACATAACACTATTAATAAAGAGTCTTTGAACAAAGCTGAGATCGTACCATTCTGGTTTTATAGACCATTCCTATCCCGCTCTACCTCTGATTTCTAGAGGTTATGAGCCCTGCCATGGCCACAGATACTATGCTCCCTGGCACAACTTCCTTGCTGTTCAATGTCCCCAAACTAGCTAAAGACAGCTCAAATTGGATTACCTACAAGGAGAGGACATTGACAGCTATAGGTGCCCGAGGTTTGATGTGATATACTGATGGTTGTGCAGTCGAGCCATTGCCCTATGTAGTAAATGAAACTATGGGCCAGACAGAGAAGCCAGATGGCTTGATGCCCTTTGAAATGGAAATCGAGGAGCTGGATAAGAAAATGGATGAACTTCTCCAAAAGAACTCACTTGTAAAGCAATAGGTCTTCAGTACCATTACAGATTGCCTGTTGCTGCAGGTCCAGAAATTCCACCTCATGTCTGAAGTCTGGGCAGAAATTTGCCAGATAGACAAGGGTAAGACGGAACTCATGCAGATCAATTTATGACACCGAATGCAGGAGACAAGGTGCAAGGAATTTGGAGACATTAAAGCTCACTTTGCCAAGCTCTTGAAGCTGCAAGAGTCACTTGCAGGTATGGGTATCTTCATCATCGATATGGACTTCCATGCCATAATTCTTGGTTCCCTCCCTGAATCATACCGCCTGCTCCTATCATTCATAATGGCAGCCGCTAAAATCACCAAGAGTCCTTTATCCTTCTATGAACTCATCAGTATCATAATGGAGGAGTACAAGCACTGGAAACTCACCAAGTGCTGTCCCACTAAGAAAAGCACTGCACTTAATGCTAGGGAAGGTAGAGGAAAGCCCAGATCATCAGCAAGTACCCCAAAGCATAACCTGGACCTCACCTGCGAGAACTGCAACCTGCAAGGGTCATTCAAAGGCTGATTGCTGGAGGTCAGGTGGTGGTAAGGAGGGACAGGGTCCCAACCAGCAGAGGAGGAAGGCTGAAAAGACGCAGAAGCAAACTGTGAATGTCACCACTGAGACAGAGTCCCAGGACCAGTACACATTCATAATGTCAGACTTGGCCAATATAGCAAAAGGCTTGAACATACCTGCAGATAAGAGAGGCACCATCATTGATTCAGGCGCCACCTCCCATTTTTGCCTGGACTGAGCAAAATTCTCCAACTTCATCACCATAGCCCCCCAGACTATCCATACAGCTAATGGGTCCACCCTGAGTGTAATTGGTCGAGGAGATGTGAAGCTAGAACTGCCTCTAGGTCAGCAATGCACTACTGTTGTTCTGAGAAACATGCTATATGCACCTAAGATGGCCTTTACACTCATATCTACCAACCACATCACAGCGACCAGAATGGCTATTCTTTTCAAAGGGCGCATGTGCCAGATCCTATCGAAGGAACCAGAGCAAAAGGTTCTTGCAGAAATCCCACCAGTGGAGGGCCTGTATAGTGTTGTTTCGGGACATCAGAAGTCGCACCATGTGAATGTTGCGAAAACAAAACTCACTGTTGCCCAATTACACTGGGTCCTAGGACATGTGTTCCAAACAGCTGTGGCTAATGTCCTGCATGATGTGGGAATCATGCATGGACATGAATACTAGATGACTCTCAAAAGACAAAGTCTGTTAGCTTAGTTCTCAGACTAGTCAACCCATACCTTGGTTTCAAACCATGGTCCATATTTCCAGTTTTCCCCAAGTTTCATGATCTGAATATGTTTTGACAGAAAAGTCTAATGTGAGATGGGAATCACATTTAGACCTAGTTGATGTGAGAAGAGAAATGAAGGTTAAGGTATAGCCTTGCCTTTGGCATATTCACTTTGGCTAGAGAAAACCATAGAGAAAAGTACAAAGCCTATAAAAAACCTATCCAAAAAGACCATGTTTCAATTCCTGCCAACTGTATTATTTTGACTGTGTTTCAATTCCTGCCAACTGCATTATTTTTTTGACTGTGTTTCAATTCCTGCCAACTGTCTTATTTTTGCTACCTACTTTTCTCTAGTGTTTCTTTACTTTACTTTTTCATTAGGATGCTTTGACTCACCTGACACTTCATAAAATTGTACCCATAGGGTATGATGTCATTATGATGTCATAAGACTCCACAGATACTCCTGCAGGTATTCTATTGAAAGATGTTATGTCATCAAGCTCTAGATTATTCTACTCTGCAATGACATCATTCATGATGTCATTTCCTTCTAGAATATTCTGCTCCACAATGACTCACTCTGACTCACTCATGGAAGGTTCTGGAATCTTTTGCTCCACAATGATGTCATAGCTCCATCTTTCACTTGTATTTTATTCTTTTATTGGGTTTGACCCAATATTTTGATTGGTCCTTCTTATTTTTTATTGTTTGTGAACCTAGGTTACTTTCCCACACAAAATGTATATAAGGAGAGCCCATTCTCCCCCCCAAAAAATGATCTCCCATTTGTAGCAATCTGCCTATCAGATATTTCACTTGCAAAGTTAGTCCCTTTGAAGTGAGACAAGTGCAGGGAAAAGAATTCCCTTGAGATTATAAGTTTC